TATATGTACACGGAGCGAAACATTTCTAACAACGGATAACAATGATTTATTACTCCGCGGATTTTTCAGTAGGAATAAAACAGTATTCGAGGAGCCAAACCGATTAAAAAGCAAAGCAAATATCAAAATTACGGAAAAGCACTTTGCAGAAGAAACAGCATTGATGTATAACAAAAAGATCTCGTCAAGTAGATTGACTTGACTTCGCACGCATTTCTGTAGATTATATAATGACTTATCGCCAAACCTAACGCAACCGGACCTTATTTAAAAAAAATCGAAAAGGAATAGCAAATGAGATGTAGAATCAACCTACTTCAAACATATTATATAATAATAATAATAATAATCGACTTTATTGGAAATATGCTATACAGATAGACATATGATCCAAAAGGCGGAGTTTACAAAAATAGTGTTCTTCCACTCAACCCCAAAAATTGACAGAAAAAGAAAAAAGAAAAAGAAAAAGAAAAGAAAGGTTTTGTACAAAAAAAAAGTATACTTACATGCAAGTATCTAAGCGTAAAAAAGCATGGTCATGCATTTCAAACGCATTCATAACTACATACATACATACATAAACTAGCAACAACTTGATAATACCAAGTTGAACTAATATCAAAGCTTAAGTAAATTAGAAAGAATATTTTGACATAACGTAAGCCTTAGCGTGTTTTTTGAAAAATATCGGTGTCATAGACTTAAGGTCCGAAGGTAACTGATTATACAACTTATAAATACAGTATGAAAAAGATTGTTCATACTGAGAAGTGATGTGACATGGAGGACTTATCAAATTCTTGCTTCTCACATTGACATTATGTGATTCAACCCTCAATTCAACTTGACTACACAAATACTGTGGTAATTGACTCACCATCACTTTATGATATAGTACCAAACAGTGAAGTATTCGGCGCTGAAACATTTTCATCCAATTTATCTCCTTAATTTTGTGACTGATGTGTTCTCCTCTAGGAGTTCCACAAATCAGACGCGTGCATGAATTATGCATGAGCTGAATTCGATCATTGTCAGCTTTAGTTATACAGGAATGATAAACAACATCACAATGATTAAACGCAGAAAGGACTAAAGAATCGCACAGAGTACGTTTCCAATTGTGGCTCAATATCCTTCTTTGACCATAAATTAGTTTTAATTTAGGAAATGATGCCCTAATTTTATTTGTGATGTGGCCATGAAAACGGAGGTCATTATCAATTAGGACGCCAAGATTTTTGACACTATCTTCTAAAGGTATAAGCTTACCATCCAACTTTAAGCTGATAGAACTAGAAATATCTTTCCGTGCTTTTTTCCTACCAAAAATGATAGCTTTTGACTTATCAGAATTTAAGACTAAGCAATGGTTTTTAGAGGCTATGCTCAAAGACAGTAAGTCAGAATTAATTTTGGCTGCTGCTAGCACGATCTGCTCGGACTTAAAAGACGTATACAGGGTGGCCCATAAGTCCTTTGAGCTGGAAAAAAAGGAATAAAACCAAACTAGTTACATTATGAAGAATTATTATATTTTGTTATCATCTTTATTGAATGGGAATTATGTTTTAAAAATCACATCGTCTAAATGCAATCCATTACGATCACGGCACTCATATAAACGACGTCTAAAATTGTCGATGACTGCGCGGCAAGTCAACACTGTAATGCTTGCCATTTCTCTTCGGATATTTTCTTTCAGGACATCAACTGATCGCGGAGTGGTGTCGTACACTTTACTCTTGAGGTAGCCCCATAAAAAGAAGTCCATTGGGGTCAAATCTGGACTACGTGGTGGCCAGGAAATGTCTCCTCTCCGAGAAATTACTTTGCTGGGAAAAAGTTGACAGACGACGGGCATAGAAGTGTTGGAGGTGTGGGCAGTTGCTCCGTCCTGTTGAAACCAGGTCTGCGTATTATAGCCTGGAAAATTCTGCAACGCTGGTGTCAAAAACTCTTCTATCATTGCTACATACCGCTCCGAAGTAACAGTTAATGCGCGACCTCTGTCGTCCTCAAAAAAATAAGGGCCTTACGATGCCATACGCTGACATAGCAGCCCAAACTGTAACTTTAGGGCTGTGTAAGGGCTTCTGATGCTTACGCCTTGGATTTTCGGGGCTCCAATAACGGCAATTTTGTTTATTTACATGCCCGTTTAAATGGAAGTGAGCCTCGTCCGAGAACAACACATTATTGAGCGAAGAAAATCGATTCACATTTCATTCGCAAAGTTTGGTCTCTGAATAGCATCATTATCTTTTAATTCCTGCACTAACTGAATTTTGTAAGCGTGCAGACGTAAATCTTTCCTTAAAATCCGCTGTAAAGATGTTCTGGGTACGTTTAGTGCACTGGAACCCTTACGAGTAGACTGGGTAGGATTTTGACGAACAGACTGTGCCACATTGTTGATGTTTTCTACAATACGAGTTGTCCTTGGTCGACCCCACCGCTGTTTATCTAACGTCGAACCAGTCTCTTCGAACTTAGCAACCCAGTTCTTAATCGTTTGAGCTGTTGGACACTTTGTAAAATTGTGTAAATTGTGGTATTCTGGATATTTACGCCGCGCAATGGTTGCCGAATCATTATTTTGATAAAACGCGCGCATACAAAAAGCACGATCCGCTCCAGTGAAACACTCCATGGCGACTGAATTCCCAGACACTGAAGATACTGCCCCCACCTCGCCCGCGCCGCTCACGCTCACCCGTTAAATTTTATTCAAATTTGAAATTTCAAAGGACTTATGGACCTCCCTGTATATTTGCGTGTCATCGGCATATGCATGTAAAGAGCAGGTCTTAAGACATGAGTGCAACTGTGACGTATAAATAATATAGAAGAAAGGCCCTAAAATAGAGCCTTGGGGTACACCACTGATGAGAGTTTTAGGTTCAGAAAAAATCTTGTTGATTTTAACAATTCGTTTACGGTTAGATAAATAACTTTGAATCAATTTCACAGATTCATTAGAAAAACCAATAAAATGCAATACTGCAAGCAGTAGCTGATGGTTCAGCTTATCAAAAGCTTTCGAGTAATCTAATAATATTAAAGCAGTTAACGCATTTTTATCAGTTGCTTCTATTATGTTATGAGTGATCTTTAAGAGGGCAGTAGCACAGCTGTACCCTTGCCTGAATCCTGACTGATGTTCAGGAAGTATTTTATTAGTATTCAGTTAATAACGAATTTGCCGCCCAAGAATCTTCTCAATAACTTTAGAAAGAGTGGGCAGTATACTTATTGGTCTTAAATCCTTGAATTCATTGGGACTGTCATGTTTTGGAATTGGTGTGACATGAGAAAAGAATCAGGAAACACTGAAAACTCAATACACGTATTTACTAGGTGAGTTATTACGGGTAAAATACGAGGACAACAATATAATAACATATCAATCCCAATATTATCAACACCAATGGCCTTTGACTGGATCGACTTTAAGGTATCTGCAACTTCATCTATACAAGTCATTGTGAAGTTGAAGTCACTCTTCAAATTATATTTTTTACTATTTAAATATCTATTTAGTGTTTCACAATCAGGGGTTAAGCTTGAGGTCATTTCAGATGAATAATAATCGCTAAGTCTTTCAACATTATTTAAATGTTCATGTATAATTGAACTGTGGTCCCTCAGCGTGCCCAACGATTTCAAAGCCCGCCATTTCTTTCTTGCATCACAATTTCCCCTAACAGTACCAAGATAAGCCCTCTTCTCATTCTCAGTAGCAAGGGAAGCAAATTTTTTCAGATCTTTGTAAGATTCCCAGTTTTCTTTACATTTTCTATTTTCAAACTTAACTAAAGTCTTATCTCTTAATGAAAAAATCAATTTGAGATTTTCCGTAAGCCAGGGAGCTTTTCTCCTTGTAACTCTCACAGTACGGACAGGTGCATGTTTGTCAAATAAATCCAAAATATACCTATCGAAAAGCTTAAGTTTTTCATCTATACCTTTAGTATAGTACATGCTGTGAAAATCAATCTGGTTCAGATCTGCAGTAAAGACATCCAAATTAAAATGCTTGTAGTCCCTATACGAAATAAATTTATGGCAAAGATCAACATCCTTAAAAGTAAAATGACACTCAGTTAGCAGGTGATCTGATACATTTATGTCATACATTTATGGCAGTTTGTAGTTGGTTAGATGCAGTAATTAAATCTAAGAGAGACTCATTCCTACAACTATAACGAGTTGGCTCATTAACCAGTTGAGACAATTCATAACTATATAGTATGTTATGCAACTGTTCAACATCCGCATTTTCGTGTGACAATAAATTTATATTAAAATCGCCAGCACATATGAACTGATCACAGCTGATCAACAAACTACCAATAGCTTCTTCAAATTCATTAAGAAAATCTTGCATTGATGACAAGCCAGGTGGCCTATAAACGACTCCTATGACCATTCTCACTTTATTCAACTTAAACTTGATAAGCAAGGCTTCAAACGTATGAAAATTACTTGGACATACCTGAACATGCTGAATTCGAGTACTCAAGTATATTGCTACCCCACCGCCTCGACCAGCCCTGCCATCCCTAAGTATTTTATATCCTTCAATAGCCACTTCACTGTCTGATACGGTACCAGATAACAGAGTTTCACTAAGCAACAGAAAAGTAAAATCCTCCTTTAATACATGCGTTTTCAAAGTTCCAAAATATGGTAAAAGTGAACGTACATTAACATGCGCCAGTGATATGTTTTTTAAAGAACTAGCCATAATTGATTCTACTTTTCAAATACGAAAGATAATCATGATACAAAGGACATTGCTTGTCTGTGGCAGAGATTCAGAGGTAACTCAGCTTTATATTTATCACTATATATAACACAATTGCAGCACTTCACTTCATCTGGTTTACAATCCATAACAGAATGACCCTCAGAACACTTTGAACAAATCAAAGAACCTCGACAGTTCTGCTGATAATGACCAAACTTCATGCATTTACGACACTGCGTGACAATCAAATTATCACCAACACTACATTTTTTCCAGCCAACATATGAAATCCCTTATCAACTAGGCATTTTCTCAGCGACGGTAAGTCCTCCAAAACAAGATTATGATGATCCTTTACAGCAGATTTCAGCTTTACAACAAACTTGATATCTGATGCATCAAAGCCATCCAAATCATTTGCAGAAATGAAGTTATCTATGAGCGAACTATCCGTTTGATCATCAAGCTTAACATTACGGATCATAATTCTAGGATTTAACTTTTGCGACTGATCAACGGTATATTTGTTTCCTAATTTCGACGTAACAATATTTTTTAACTTTTCCAAGTCTGCTGCTTCATTACAAAAAACAGCAGCTCAATTTTTTATTCTCTTAGTTCCATTAATGCAAATATTAAATTCTGCAGGATTTACAGCTTGAGTTAGAATTTTCATGACATCATGTTGGGATTTCCCATATTTCGTTTTAACAAGAAGAACTGGTGACTCATTACTTGTATTCCTTTTCAAAACACTGCTATATGTTTGGCTCGTTTTTTGCTCACCTGACCCTGGCACAAAAACAGCAACATCCTTTTTACTGGCAGAATGGGAATTCAAATTTGATTGCAATTCTTGAACCTTAGATATAAGCAGGTTATTTGATAATCGCATCTCAGTTACCATATCCTCATATAATTGTTTTTCACGCTTGAGACACTCAATTTCCTTAAGATGTAGCGCCAGAACGCCAGAATTCGATAATTTGTCTTCAAGAATTTGCTTACAATAACCACAGAACCAATAAATGCAATCAATTTTGGTTAACACTTTATATGCATCATCCTTCAGGTTAACACACACATGATGGTATAACTTTTTGCAGTTTTTGCACTCAACAAACTTAGTTTTTACAACAAAATTATCAGAGCAACGCGAACACAGACTAACATCGGCCGCCATCGCTCGTAGCAAAAATGTACTATACTCATAATTCACACGGTGTTTTATGTAACTTAATAAATATGCTGTAATGGTAGTTACTAAAATGAAACTATGATAAATGAAACACTCTCAGAAGTAAGTTAGCTATGTGCGTGTATAACAAAAAAGTACAATGGGACAGGTGTATTCAAGACTCAAGTGGATTCGAAACTTGCTTGGGGACGCGACAATCTGGTACAGTTTAATACTTCTAAAACACGATACTGTACCTTGACTAACAAAGAGAGTCCTAGCGCTCATCCGGTTTCAATGGATGGTCGCGTTCTACCAAAGAGCTGCTCATTCCGGCTCGCCGGAGTCCAGATCACCGAAAATTTGATCTGGCATCTCGTCAACAGCGGCAGCTGCTGGGAAAAAGATGAGCGAGAGATACGAAGTACTTTTCTCCACATGACCTCCTCACTCTGAACAAGGCCTAGATGAGACCTAGCCTTGAGAACTGCCAACATATTTGGGCTTCTGCAGCCCTGACTGCATTATTCATGTGCAATTCTTTTTAGAGGAGGGCTATCCCACTGATCGATGACTTCTCTAATAGGCAGTCTCGGGACCCTTTCGCACCGACGGGCCATCGGCCAACTAGCTCTCTTCTACCGCTATGTCAACAGGCTTTGCTTCCCAAAGATCTCCTTCATGATACTGCCGCGCGATGTGCTTGCCAGACAGACCCTCTGGACTTTAGCTTCGCATCCTAAAAGTGTCAAAATTCGTACATCCAGAATTGGTTGATAAAACCCCTCCGTTTTACCGTAGGGTATCGAGATTGTGGAACAATTTATGTGAGGAGGCTGTTTCCAGTTCTACTAACATTAACCAACTAAAAATCGGATTAACAAAGTTTCTTTGGGCTACTCATATCAGACGAATTGCCCTGGTATTTAGGCGTCTGACTACGCGGCTGCTTTGATTTAAAAAAAGCATTGACTTATTTAGTGATTACCGAATCAATTTTTGGGTGCGTGTAAATAAATACTGAAATAAATGAATTTCTCTTTCATTGACAAAAGCATGGAGAATGTGTTACCATGGTCTCTCATGATGGCTAACAGGTGCGTAACATTATGGGGATAAGAAGTTTCTTGGTAGAACGCTTCCCACCAAAAATGCAACATTGGCAACCCCCTATAACCCCCCCCCCTCAATTTTCACCCCACTAAGATGAATGAATGAAATATCTTGAGATGAAGCTGTGCGATGCAGTCTTTGATTACTGTGCCACTGATGATAGCCCTATTAATACATAGTATCCCAACTGATTGACGAGTTGTCCTTTCAATGATGATGGGCAACTAATATCGGTTCATAGAGTGGAACTGTCATTCAATGTTGGCCAGAGGCGTAGAGACCTTTCGGCGTTTTCGAATCGCAGATGTATCAAGCTTTCACGAACTCTTTGAAAGTAGCAGTTGTCTTTAGACATATTTTTATTTCTCGTTATCTATTTTTAGATTTTCGTAAGTGTTGCTGAAAGCGGGCTAATGCTGACGGGGAAAAGTACGGTTTCGGATATGTTGTCTCGATAATTCGAAAATCCATATGGAAGGTTTCAAATGTTGCCAATATTCACTACAAATTCTCAAAAAGTTATCCTAATCACACCTTCTTAAGTGACATTTCTGTAGCCTACAATGTGATGGTCTCTCTCTCTCTCCCTCCCTCTCACTAATAACTCATTTAGTTTTGTTTTTTGTCAATAATTCAGCATCTGTGTAAGGAGGTATAGATTCAATTATACTTTGGGTCCAGTCCGAAGACATCACTTTGTTTATTCACTATGTAGTCCGCCCCTGGAGTACGATCCGCGCACCAAGTTGAAAGACGAGAATCCCCACCTCCTCGCCGCGCCCTGGCCACTCGCGTTGAATCATTCGCTTTTTGGTGCGCGATCCGTGCAGTCGCCCGGCCTGCTTCAGTTCAGAAAACGCGTGCGATTTCTCTTTTTCGGTACATAGTGCTCAGTGAGTAGGTAGGTAAGTTCACAACAAGGCTATTCTTTTTGATACCACTTAGCAGTCTGTTACATAATTGATTGGCGTATTCAACCAGATTGAATACGTTAACCAATGGTTATACTTGTTTAACAGAAACCATGGAAAAATCAGGAATTTCGGAGGCCAATTCACCCAGCTCCTTGAGAGACATGATTCGGGCCATTTTACAGGAGGAGCTCGAGGCAAGGTCAGGTGGTTATCGTTCTCGCACTAATTCGAGAAGTTTATCCCGAAAGAGTCGACACAGCAGAGCCATGTCTCGTACCAATTCACCTCATCATTTTAGACGCTCCCGCTCTCGCATCAGCCGTAGGCGTTCAAGGTCACGTTCTAGGAGTAGTAACAGTCGCAGTCGATCACCGAGCGTGTCGAGGCGACGTAGAGAGAGACGGGAATATTTGCGTCAAGAGAAAAACTCAGGCAGCCCATCTGATAAGGTACAGCGTCAGGTAGACTCGGCTGGCCGTTCTCCGTGCGAGGCGGAAGCTCAGATTCTGACAGGGCCGGACTTGGGAACGGTACCAACTGAGAAAAATGATATGGAGGATGTTTTGATGCTTAGTGAAGGTGAGTGTCTCCCATTATCGGAAGACATATTAAATATCCTGGGTGTAGATCCTAAAAAAGCCAATAGGTCTAACTTCCAACTACACGGTGCCTTAGCTTCTCGATGGTCCCACATTTTGGCCAACGGACTTTCCACCGAGGACACCACCATCATTAGAGAAAAACACATTGTGCCTTCTAACTGTGCCTCTTTACACCCTCCGAAGATAAACCCCGAAGTGAAAGCCATTCTCTCTTCTACTCATTTAACGAGAGATGCCACCCATTCCGGGTACCAATTGAACATTGGTACCGGACTGACCGCCATGGGGAAAGCTTTTAACGTCATTTTGGAAGAAGAAACCCAGATTCCCAAGGATATCAAGGAAAAGATTTTATCGAATTTGACAGATTCTGCGCGAATCTTGGCGGCACTCTTTCACGACATCTCTAAAACTAGAAAGTACCTGATCAGCCCAGTACTCAACAAATCAGTTAAAGAACTGACTGAAAACACCTTACCAGGGGAGTTCTTATTCGGGCCAGATTTAGGTGAGCGGGCGAAAAATTTGAAATCTTTGGAGAAGGCCGGACAGGACCTACGTTTGTCCTCTATCCCCTCACGCAGTAGCTCTCAAGTGACTCGGTCTTTCAGTAATCCTGAAAGAAGAGGGGGGGGAGGCAACTCGTCAAAGAATGTAGGCGCTTTAAACAGGTATCGCCCGTCTTACCGCAAGAGGGAGGTGAGGCAGCACAAGGGCAATTCCTCAAAACAGTTTGCTCCGAACAGACAACAGCAGTCCAGAAAACGTTGAAGGTAAAACAAGTTCTATTTGCTGGTCGGCTACAATTTTACCTCAACTCTTGGTCAAAACTAACTTCAAATCCGATAGTCTTATCCTGGATTCAAGGTTACCGGATTCCCTTTAAATGCACACCTCCATTACGTCAACCTTTGGGCACAAATAATTTTTCTTCGACAGAAACATCGCTAGTTCGAGTAGCTATACGCGACTTGCAGAAGTCCGGGGCCATAATCAAATCTGAGTCAAGGCCCGATCAATTTATCTCTCCATATTTTCTTGCAGATAAATCCAACGGGGGAAAAAAGATTTATATTAAACCTGAAACAGTTAAATGAATATGTGGAATGCCCGCATTTCAAAATGGAGGACCTTCGTACGGCTATAAAATTGACTCATAAAAACGTGTACATGTGCACAATCGACTTGAGAGATGCGTATTTTTTAGTACCTGTCCACAGCGACCATCAACAATTTCTAAAATTCTACTTTGATGGCCAATTGTATCAATTCACTTGCCTACCGTTTGGGTTATGTACAGCTCCGTTATGTTTCACAAAGCTTATGAAGCCAGTCGCCTCTTTTCTCCGCAATTTAGGCATCTCTACAGTCAATTATTTAGACGATTTTCTAATCTTTGGAGTTTCCTATGAATCCTGCCTTAATAATGTTAGCACAACCATTCGGTTTTTAAGCTCATTGGGTCTTATCATCAATAACAGCAAAAGCATTCTGGTACCCACTACTCGTATAAGATTCCTCGGCTTTCTGATAGATAGTGTTAATTTAACAATTGAACTTCCTGCCGAAAAGAAAAATCACATCCTCAGGTTAGCCTCATATTATTTGAACCAATCGAGATGTAGAATTCGCGACTGGGCAAGGTTCATTGGCACCTTGGTGTCGGCTTGTCCTGGTGTGAAATACGGGTTTCTTTATTGCAAATCTCTAGAAAGGGAAAAATTCTTAGCTTTAGAGAAAAACAATGGAAATTATAACGCAAGTATGGCTATTCCTGAAAACATAAAGAGCGATATTTCATGGTGGAAAGATCACATTTCAACAGCTTTCAATGACATAAGGTATGATTCCTTTCATATCACCATCTTTACCGACGCATCGCTAACAGGATGGGGGGTTTGCTCTGGCCAGGATAGAACCCACGGTTTCTGGTCCGACTCCCAAAAACTATTGCATATAAATAATTTGGAATTATGGGCTATATTTTACGGCATCCAGTGTTATGCAAAACTTTTAAAAAAATTGCAATATCCTAATTCGATGCGACAATACAACAGCCGTTTCTTACATTAACAGAATGGGGAGTGTTCGGTTTCCAGAGCTATGTTCTCTGGCTAAACAAATTTGGCAATGGTGTGAGGAAAGAAATCTCTGGCTTTTTGCATCATACATCCCATCTAAAGATAACGCTATAGCAGACGATGAGTCCAGGAGCTTGAATTTTGAAACGGAATGGTCATTATCTCAAACTGCCTTCGACCATTTAACCGACATCTTCGGAAAACCAGAGATCGATCTTTTTGCCTCTCATACCAATGCGAAATGCGAGGTATACGCTTCCTGGCATAGAGATCCAGGATCTACATATATCGATGCGTTTACAATTCGCTGGAACAGTTTTTATTTTTATGCATTCCCCCCTTTTACCTTAATTCTCCGAGTTTTACAAAAAATAATTCAGGATAAGGCTGTCGGAATTTTGGTGGTTCCTTGGTGGCCTTCACAACCTTGGTACCCACTTTTCCGTCAGTTATTGATCGACCAAGAAATTCATTTTCCCCCTTCACCTGATTTACTATCTTGTGCGGTTTCCAGGTCACATCCGCTGTCGAAAACCCTTACCCTGGTAGCAGCGAAGTTATCAGGCAAGCGTTTTTGAGTAGAGAGGTGCCGGAATCTGCTATTTCTACAATCATCGCCTCAGTCTCCAGATCCACATTGCAGCAATATAACAGCTCCTACAAATTGTGGTGGGAATTTTGCTTTAGTAATGACATTTCGATCTTTAAACCCACAATCAAAGACGTGGTGTCATTCTTGCAAGAGTTGACAAAGAAGAAAAACCTCACGTCTGGCACTTTTAATTCTCATACATCTGCTCTTTCACTAATTTGCTCAACTGATTTAGCATCCAATCCTATAATTAGACGCTTCAAAAAAGGCATTCATCGTTTACGGCCTTCTCGGCCAAAATATTCGGCCACCTGGGATCCTATACCTCTCCTAAGTTATCTAGAAAAGTTACCATCTCCACTTAGCCTCCAAAGTCTGTCACAAAAATTGACAACGTTATTAGCTCTAATAACAGGAGAAAGACTCCAGACAATTTCTCTTATTCGTCTTTCACATACCTCCCATGGTCCCAGCGAAACTACCATTAATATTTCAGACCCAATTAAAACCAGTCGAATTGGGAAACCTCAACCAACCTTGCATATACCGGTTTTTCAACAAAACCCTTTCCTGTGCGTAGCCACCATCCTGAAGGAATATATTGACAGAACAGCTAGCTTGAGAGAACCCGACAACGATTTTCTATTCGTGACATATAAAAAACCACATACCAGGGCGTCCAAAGACACTTTAAGCAGATGGGTAAAACAGACTCTTGCATCGGCGGGTGTCAACACAACACTTTTTACGCCCCATTCAGTCAGGCATGCGGCTACCTCAACGGCGTTAAGAAAAGGCGTTTCCGTAGATAGTATATGTAAAACAGTTGGTTGGACGCAACATTCCACATTTGCAAAGTTTTATAATCGTCCTTTACAAACCAACAATGAGTTTGCAAATGCCATTTTGGACATAAATGCCTGATTAGTTAGAACAGTTTAAGAGTTTGTGACGTACTTTAGGTACTCTAGTTGTTTTTTGAAAAAATATTACTATTAGGGTAAATGTTAAAAATTGACCCCTTGTTTTTTGCTTTTGTTTATGAGAATGCAGAATATATGTTTTTGCCTTTTTGTGTTTGTATACTTGTATTTTTTATATCATCAACTCGCTCGCAACTCTATCTCATCTTTAAACATCTACATAGTGAATAAACAAAGTGATGTCTTCGGACTGGACCCAAAGTATAATTGATCGATCAAACGAACTTACCTGAAGTGAAGTTCGATCGTAATTATACGAGGGTCCAGTCCGAAGACATCACCCCCACCCTATATGCAACCCTCCCAAGTTGCGAGCAAGTACCATTTCTTTAAACAAATGATTCAACGCGAGTGGCCAGGGCGCGGCGAGGAGGTGGGGATTCTCGTCTTTCAACTTGGTGCGCGGATCGTACTCCAGGGGCGGACTACATAGTGAATAAACAAAGTGATGTCTTCGGACTGGACCCTCGTATAATTACGATCGAACTTCACTTCAGGTAAGTTCGTTTGATCGATCAATTATTGTCTAGAGAAAACGCGACAAATAAGATTCGCCACGAAACAACTACAACGATTATCCTTGTTATTTGACGGGGTACATCGGTCACTTACTTCTAGACTTTACCAAAAAAGCCAGTCAATGTGAAGCGCCAAGGTATTTCGAACTTTGACCAAAACCATCGGTCTTCGGCTAATTGAACCGACAATTCCAGGCTTGCTTGTGCTCTGTATAATACCATAACTATGTTGAATAGGCTTACATCACACACTACCTCTTTCTATCTGAATACTGGATATACCTACTGATCATCCTATATATCCAACAAAATACAGAAAAATCCAAATATATTTCGATCTATACTGGAGATTCGATTCGGAGCCCTTTAATAATAAAAAGTTGATCCACCATGTTAGTTTAAACGCACTGGTTATCCTCACCCCTGACTCTCATTGTTGTTTTTTCTTTCAGATTTGGAAGCCTCCAACAACCAGAGTCGGCAAGGCAACGAGAACAATGCTGTATTCAACGAAATAAACAGCCAAATATCATTCACCGGCAACATAGAATCTGGCAGAAATAATAAAACAGAGGAAGCTACTGAAAGTGACTTATCAGTTGAAGGCAGATTGAACTTCGCAGGGAAATTTAACCATGCAGGTTCATTAGTAGGTCCGGATCTTAACAATACAACGCCAACGACGATTATTAATGAAGAGGACGATGTTACCACCATAGGACCAGATATCAGTTTGGTAGGTACAAAGCTGATAACTGGAAATCGGCTTCATTACGAGGGAAGGTTCATTAAGCCTTGAAAGCTAAACATGAATGAAACAGATTCCAAGAGCAATAATAATAGTCCGAGATCCTATCGCACATGACCTGTAATTACCTACGATACAACCGAATGAAGATAACTTTTGTCAATTTTTTGCTCGAAGTGCAAATGTATTTAGAATTGTTTTTAATATGTTGCTGTTTTTCGGTTCTGATAATTAATGTTACATGCAAACTGTAATTCACCATAGCATATGAAAAATTATACAGTATAATTCTGGTATTATGTTTTGTAATCGTAGAATAACTAATAGTATAGAGAAGGGGTAATTTTAAAACTGGACAGTTGAAGATAAGTAGTATTTGTCTTTTGACAGCTGTGTACAGTGGAAAACTTTGCAACCTATGAATAGTTAACCAAAGTGGTACCCACCCTGCTTCAAGCAAGAGACCCATAGTTCTCGGCACCTTTGAAATGACAGCCCTATCCATCAACGAACAAGTGTCCCCCACCACCATATGTTCATCATGCGAACTATGCAAAAGTTGCATAAACTGAGCTCACGCTGAATAGAATCGGTTTTCCGTCTCTGTGACCATAATCATTGGTCATGGTCACTATATCACTTGCCGGTCAAAGGTTGAGTGAGGCAATGGCTGGCCGCATTGTTGCCGGCATGGCGCTGGCGGTGGAAATTTTGGTACTTTCCACGATATTTGATCGCAAAATGAACGATGAGTTCGCAGATAACCTTTCTCGGTATCAATTAGTGAGTGTACATCTCTCCGGATTTAAGGTCCAGACATGATGCTGACAGATAGCGATTTGAGTAACAAGCATCTACACTTTCTCATTTATAATATAAATAAACCGTAACACTATTGGAAAAAAATATTCGCATTAGATTTTTCTGTATAATCCACTTCATAAGGATCTCCAGAATAATGACCAACATGTCTTCATGCAAAAATGGGATGACTTTTAAGAAAAGTAACTGAACACTGACAATTTAATTTCTTGCTTCTAGCATATTTTTCAGACTGTGTTGCTATGTCTAAGCAACATGGTGGAATTCTATACATTTTCAGAACGATACAAAACTCGAGCACGATTAACAAATAAAAAACAATGTTTTCCAATATTCCAAAGTCGCTGCTCGAAAACCAGTGACCCTTAAATAACTTAGTAAGGATGTTCTTCGTACCAGTTGAACGAGAAAATATAAAAAAGGCGATAGCGATTTTAGTGGTTGGTAAAAGAATGTTTCTCCTCAGAATGATTATGCTGACATTCTTTCAACTTATCTATAGAGACCATCTTTTACAGCCCGACTCAGGCTACAGCAGTGCATCTGTGAATCCAAATTTCCCTTATGGATACATCAGAGGACCACCTGGTCCAAGAGGGTACCCTGGATCCCCAGGAATGCCAGGACCAATCGGAACGAAAGGGGAACCTGGTAGAGACGGGATAAACGGAGCCGTTGGAGCTCCCGGGCCTCCAGGAAACGTTTTCATGATACCGGTAACGCTTTCATCATAAAACAATTTAATAATTCAAATCATTCTCAAATTATTGGAAATGTTTGGTGTGATTAGTAAGTTTTTTATTAGCAATTAGCAAATCGTTATCGGGAATAGAGGGTCAGGTTCATTCAAAACATTTTTTTTTTATTCGCAATACAAAAATTTCCTTAAACGTCCTCTAAAATGCACCGCTCTCCAGTACAAATGATTTAAGCTTTTCTTTTATAATTGCAAACCCCTTCGCGAATAATTGTCTTTGAGGTGAATTATATTATACTTGGGGCGACCGGACTAAAGAATTATCTTCAACCGTATATTTTTCAGTTCAATCTTGTTTTGTGCAAGCAGTTAATTACCCAGTCGAAGCTTACAATTAATTTTACTCTAAAACTGTAGAATTTCGATTCATTTAACATTTAACACCTGGATTTTAAAATGTTATGACAAAAGTTCCAATCAATTTAAAAATTGAAGCATGAAATAGGCATTCCCTATGGTGCAAATGGGAATTTTTCTCTCACGGAAAGATAAAACTTATATATACTGTGAAAGTGTATCAGCCCTCAAAAGTTATTGAAAAGCGGGGTAGTAGAAATTCGCACGAGGGGGAAGGAGAATCCCGACAATCCCAAATACTGTACACAAAAATCATGCAAAATATGCAAGTTTTTAACAATACCTGCCAATTTACTCGCGCCCTTGCTATCGTGGGGCTGCCGCAAAAAAACTGAATATTATGAATTTTAATAAGGAATCGTTTATGTTCTGGATTCTAAACGAAATATTCAGAATGCGGCAAAGCATTTCAAAGCAATTGTAATTGTATAAAACGTTTACAGCAAACACATTTTCAGTCTCATATATAGACGATTTAGAAATTCTGGAAAGGGAAGTGATAATAAAAGTCACAAAGTTGACACTGAACAATAGCTAATTTTAAAGTACGGCTCTAGATGTTTGTAGTGTACATACAAATTATTTAAACAACAATGGCTGCAATACTAGGCTAGAAAGAACATCAAAAAATGACATGAAATGTTTATATAAGCATGGGTCCCAGAATACCCTCTCACCGAGATACAAAGTGTTGAAGTTTACTTTGCAATGCAATGTTAAAAATGTTCCCCGAGAAAACGTGGTTTATGATAAAAAGTAGTCAAAAATACTTATTCAATACTTGGAAGGTACGGCGAACTCTAGTGCGCCACAACTATAAAGTACACTAAGTAACCCTGAATAATAAAGTATATAATCAATTAGGAGAACTAACTAACCGAAGTCATTGAATATACAAATTAATGGATACCTAGTAGTAAGGAAGTATATAAAAAATACGTGTCCATGTTTTTCAAAGATGTGAGTACCCTTATCCAAAGAAATGCCTACAGCACAGTGAAAAGTATTGTTTATAATTAAAAGTAGTCGAAAATTCTTTTTGGAATCCCGAAAAGTGCAAGAAAATATAGTACACCATCAGTAAAGGAGACTATAATAACTCCCTGCTGAATAATAATCAATTCTGATGAATAAAAATGAGCAATATTTTTATGATAGTTAGTTAATATTTACTGAAGTCGTTGAATACAAAAGACGCTGGGTATACAGGGTGACTTTGAAGTTGAGTCATTAATTTTCAGATAATGATTGTAGAAGGAAGATAAACCAAAATATGTGTGTGTAAAAATAAAAAATAAATTAAAAAAAAAATGTTACCTTGTTTTATAAAGTATCCTCCCGACAAGTATTTCAGTGTGGACCTGTATTTGATCGTGCGGTCTTGGAGCACCGGCATGCCCTCCCCTGTGAGGTCTTTAAGTCACCTGATTCACGAGCCCTTTATACTACATTAACAAAGGCACGAGGGGTCGGTTGCACTCGATTGGGAAACCGATCCGCATAAATCCGAGATGCCGCGGCAGCATTTTGTAAAGACTCCCCTCGTAAATAAGAATCATGTCCACAAGTTCGTAAACATGTGCCATTTTTTATTTCGTTTGAGCCACGCAACAAACACCACTATTCACTCACGCGTTACCGACTGACACATTGACTGAATACAACTGAATAAAATTGTAGTAAAAACATCGTGATAAGCGTTTCAAATTCTTTCGCTTTTTTGTTTCCGATGCGATGAACCGATAAGGCGGATTATATCCGTTGTTGCCAAACACGAGCACATAATATTATTATTGAGACAGGGCGGTACTCAAACTTCCAAAGGGCTATAACTTTGTTACTTTAATTTTACCAGAAAAATGTTACAGGAAAAAACATTTCTTTGGATCAGATCTACTCACTGTTAAAATAAATGACTCAACTTCGAAGTCACCCTGTGTATATATATATACAAAAGGTAGGAAAATAATGGGCAAAATCCGCAAAAAAGGAGGAAAGTGGATTCGACACGTATTTCTGCTGGTTGGCTTCATCATCTCCGCATGATCATTTTCTCTTTGTAGATCCTTTGGGCTTGAAGTACCACAGCAAGTGGCTATAACCAACGAAGTTTTGAATAGCTAGAAAACGTTTCGAAAGAGAGCGAAAATAGATAGATTTTGGCTATTAGCGTGTTCTAATTATTTAAAAAAGCATTCTCAACAGAATGTTTTTTGTTGTTTATTGTATGGTAGAATATCTTTGTATGATCTTTTCAGCTTTACTTATTGTTTTATAAATCATTCATTTTCTAGAATTAAAGCGTGTGTGTCTTAAAAAAACGTGAAGATGCATTTGCACGTACTGTTTGCTCCTATTTGAAGTAGTTCTGTATATATAGGATATTTTTTGTATTCAGTGACCTTAATAAATATTATAACAAAATTAGTTAGCAATTTTCAGCATTTTCCATCCAATAGTGATTATTCAATATGAGGTGATTAGTGTACTTTAGGGATAGCGCACTAGATTACTTCGCACTTTTCTGGTTTCAAATAAGTATTTTGACTATTCCTTTTGGAGAAAGATTGGTTCGAATCGTGTGTATTAGGAGAGTGAACCCATCTCACCATAGTATTATTTGATGAATATTAATAGTTTGTCATTGCATATTTTAGTAGCAAATACAAAATCAACCTAATTATACCAAATTTGAAGATCAAACAGAAAGTGATAATAAGCATGTATAAATTTATTCTACCCGTAGCTAAATACACAGAGCAACGAAAAAGGTCCAGATGCTCAAGCCGAAACGTTCAGGCAGATGATGGCCCAGCACATGGTAAGCACAACACTTATTCATTCAACACTCTTATTGTGATCGCATTTTCACCAGTATTCCCGACTCATCATGCACTGTCCATTGTATCGATTCGGGCGATATTCAAAATTGTTTGACCACTTTCGAACCATTACTAACATTATACACATTTGAAGTTATTAAAGCTAGCACTAACCTTTTAAGTATTACATAATCATTTACATTCATATAAAACAAACAGTTGTTTGAAACTATGTTAAAGATGGCAATGAGAGGTACAGAAGGACCAATAGGATTGACCGGAGTTCCAGGACCTCAGGGACCCCCAGGACCGGAAGGGATGAAAGGAGAACCTGGAGATAGTGGGGAACCAGTAAGTATATATGCATATACATATCCAGTGTAACAAAAGTAATGGAAAGCTCTGTATTTTTTCAGGTAAGGTATTTTTGAAAAAGGTTAAGGTCTGGTCTTTACTAACTTTGAACAAGGAGTTCTGAGTCTTATCTCCAAGGTTATTCCAATGTAAACTATTCTTTTTTAAATGTGTGTAAGGCTAGGGGCTTGATGATCAAGTTCAGACCTCTAGTAACCTTGAACAAGAATTTTGTTATTGACCTTAGATTTGATCGTAAGCCTCACCATCAACGATTTTTTTGATACCCCCTTTTTTACCCAGGCAATCGAAAGAACGGAAAATTTTACATCCAAATATGTAGGTATCAGTGTCATCTATAAAAGTCAAATCAAATGTGTGAGACTAGGGGAAATCCTTAGAAGCTCAGCATTATTGATGTAAGAAGTCAGGTGTTAAGTAACATAAAACAACGATTTGAAATTCATTTCAGAGATGATCTTGATCTTAGATTTAAATACATGTTCGGGCATATTTTCCATTTCTTCGATTGACGGAGCATTTCGCTTAAAAAGGTTCACCATGAAATAAGATGCAGCTCAAGGTCAAACTCGAGGTCACTATTGAACCCCTTGTTCAATGTTAGTAACGACATAACCTTGATCTTTTTCGAATGTAACTTAACTGAAAAAAATGCAATGCCGTTGATTTTATGCACCCTGATTAAGTATAACGTATCAACTATGCATAACTCAACAAACCACATCGTTGCATCGTAAAAGTTTCCTCAGACAGTCGAGATTTCTGTTTATCTACCAATAATATGGCTTAGTGAGTTTCTAGATCTAACTCCAAATTGTAGGGCCTACCGGGAGTGCGGGGTCCTCTCGGCCCAGCTGGCCGTGAAGGGAGAAGAGGTATTGCTGGAAGAGATGGGGAAAGAGGGCTTACTGGACCGCCAGGAGCTAAAGGAGACCAAGGACTAATTGGACTACCAGGTTAGACTTCGTGTTACCAAAATGTTGGACTGTCTCTGTACAAAGTACAAAGTTAAAATATCATATTTTTTCAATTTAGGTTTGCCTGGGGACAAAGGTGAAAGAGGAGCTGTGGGTAGCACAGGAGAGAAAGGATCACCTGGCCACGATGGGCCACAAGGTGAAGAGGGGCCCCAAGGATTGCCAGGAATGACAGGAGAAATGGTAATACAATCAAATTGATGTAAAGCAAAAATATTTTGGAAAATTCAGGGGTAAATCACTGGGAAAGGATCAGGGTTTATGAGCGGAGTTTTCAGCCCTGTACAACTCAATTTTCAAGTTGGACACATTTATGAAATTTTCAAAACTAGGCTTAGAGCTTTTAGAGAACAATTAAGTACTAAAATAAAAAGAAAAATATTGACTAAAGTTTAGAATATATATGTGACCGTATTTTTTATAAATGAGATCAGCTTGAAATATGAGTTACTTGCATGGCCGAAAACCCCCCCTATAGACCCTAACACCGCAGCAGCGGTGGCAGCAGTAGTAGACTCTTCGGTCTCCTGATCAGTCGCCGTGCGCTGTGCGGGTTCGAGTCCCGTCCAAGGAGAAATTTTTATCTTGGCTATGGATGTTGTGATTGTCCGTAGGTGGTAGATGGTCTCTGACTGTCGAACATGGAGGTACCACCCGGCGGATGTCGTAGGCGGAGCCAAAAGGTGTGCATGTTGCATGCACACGTGTTAACTCGCCAGAGTCCGTGTGGCGTTCCCCCTTTCCCCTGTATCCCCCTATAGCCCCACGGTACCCAATGGGTATTTTTGCTGGTTGGCTTCATCAGGCCCGAAATGAATGCACATATGAAACTACAAAAGTAGATACACATGCCCACACATCCGGATACGGGTGTAACCTGAGGAAACGAAGTTGGAGGGGAAAAAAACGACACACGAAGTCCACAACAAGAGCCAACCTACACATTGTAGTATAAAATGGCTATACGACCTGGAATTTTCAAGGAGACGTCTAACCACCACCACGCGGCCGGTTATAGCCACTTGCTGTGGTACTTCAAGCCCAAAGGATCTACAAAGAGAATATGATCATGCGGAGAAAAGTATATAACAACAAGTAGGAAAATAATGGGCAAAATCCGCAAAAAGGAGGAAAGTGAATTCGAGCAGAAAATAGGATAGGTAACCCGAGCGATACGTATTTCTGCTGGTTGGCTTCATCAGGCCCGAAATGAATGCACATATGAAACTACAAAAGTAGATACACATGCCCACACATCCGGATACTTGTTGTTATATGCTTTTCCCCGCATGATCATATTCTCTTTGTAGATCCTTTGGGCTTGAAGTACCACAGCAAGTGGCTATAACCGGCCGCGTGGTGGTGGTTAGACGTCTCCTTGAAAATTCGAGGTCGTATAGCCATTTTATACTACAATGTGTAGGTTGGCTCTTCTTGTGGACTTCGTGTGTCGTTTTTTTTTCCCTCCAACTTCGTTTCCTCAGGTTACACCCGTATCCGGATGTGTGGGCATGTGTATCTACTTTTGTAGTTTCATATGTGCATTCATTTCGGGCCTGATGAAGCCAACCAGCAGAAATACGTATCGCTGGAGTTACCTATCCTATTTTCTGCTCGAATCCACTTTCCTCCTTTTTGCGGGTTTTGCCCATTATTTTCCTACTTGTTATATACTTTTCTCCGCATGATCATATTCTCTATATATATATATATATATATTAATTCCGGTCTTTTTTGGTAAAGATTCGTTTAAGCATTGGCTGGCTTAAAATTTTAAGCTTTATTGTATCTGTAGTTTAACCTGGTTTTTACTATCCAGTCGAGTTATCAATGGCAGATGATGCTCACTATGATAATAAAAAGAATTATTTGCCGACATGGAGACGAATCTCCCCATCATGATTGAAGTATTGGAATAACTAGCGCGAATTATCAGCTTTAACTATGCTTCAAAAACTTTTCTATAATTTAAATAATTCCGTTCCGGGCCATCTTCATCAAAAATCATACACATTATCCTCATTTTTTGTATTATGCTTATAAACATGAAAATGTTTAACTAAATATCCACAAAAATATCTAAAACGTGTATTCTTGAGACATTTATTGGAGTAACCAACAACAATCTCTAATTTATTTTTCTTTTAGGGACCAAGGGGTTTCACAGGACCCAGAGGTATTCCTGGTCTCCCAGGCCCTCCAGGACTTCCTGGATCAGAAGGTGGCCTGGGTAGCAAAGGACATCCAGGCCCTGTAGGGCAACCAGGTCATCCGGGTCAATCAGGTCCTCCTGGAGATGTAGGACCTCCAGGACCTCAGGGGCTTATGGGGCCACCTGGAGCCATGGTAAGTTCGAAGTCAACTGATACGTTGCTCTAAGACATGGGATATTCAGATATCCAATTTACTCCCTTCAAGTAGGTTCGCGTAGGTATTCGATTCACATGAGGTTTCTTTTCAGAATCACCTCCATGATAGACTCAAGAAAAAGAACGGTATTTTCAAGTTGCTAAAGAGACCGACTCCTATTAATTTTTTTTATAAGGGTCATGTACAGAACCTTGCAATAAGTACCAACATATCGCCCACGTGATGAGTGGTCTATTTTTTTTTCAGTCAACATTAACGCTTTGAATTTTTTAGAAATTCCAGTTTGAAATAAACAAAAAATTAAAAATGTTATTTTGAAACCTAAGGTTTTTACTCAAAAGAGAAATATATGTATATCCTTGTTTGCTCAAAATAACTGCTGTTTTTGGAATAAAACTGCTGATTTACCTTGAAATAAACAATATTGATGAACATATTTTGTTAAAGTAAACTGAATATCCATTGAGGTCTTCAAGAGAGATGTCTAAGCTTTTAACTACTTGTTGACCTCAAATACATTATATACGAGGCTTGTGCAATTGAAACCCATCTTTGGCCAGGTTAGCCTTGGAAACAATTCTAATCACTTAACTGGTGTTTGTATTTGATTGCGATTTTAAGTATTGTGACCTAAAAATGGCGATTTTTTTGTCCAAATATAATCAGCGTGCGGTCATTCAATTTTTGTGTGCTGAAGATTTGCAACCATGATCATAATATCTTAAAGGATTACTTAAATGAGCACAAATGTTACTAAACAATATGTTTAATCACAACTTCGTGAATATATCTAAACATTGAAAGTAAAAAGTCTTAAGAAACTAGAAGTATGAACAAGTACTGTTTCAAATTTCATAAACAAAAATGACTGATCTTATATCCTATTTGAGAAAACATAATGATATGATGAAATACTACATATCCACATCCACACAGTAGAATAATAGTTTTCTATTCTATACATCTGACAAAGTCACAACACATATACATTCTGTATCTCATTAATTACTACAAGTTTTAACATTTAAACCCTTTACCACCCAAAAGACAATAGAATATGGTGGCATTTTCACATATGGTTCTGTGTTGGTAAACTTTGGCACAAACGTTGGTAGCTCATAATTTCTCCTAAGTTTCAATAATCTTCCATTCAGTCTTATATTCTTGGATAACAGAGAATCGGAAGTCAACTCATATGCTACTACTATCAAGCTATTACTATCTGATGGTTCAAGCTTTATATTGGCTTCGGTATTGCCAAGATTTGAGCCAAAAATAACAACTGAGTTGGTTGGTATATTTTTAGAAGAACAATGGGCATACAAACGTACAGTTGGCATAGTTACAGTAAAGTAATTTAAAACCTTGTGACCAACTAGGCGTTTGTACAATATGCTCACCCAATAATCAGGATTTGGGTCATAGTTTTTGTCCAACAAAGCATAATACTCTTTGAAAATTGATTGTCTGATAACAACATTTACTCCTAACTTTGCACATAATCCCAATTTATCAACCCAAAGAAATACTCCAATAAAAGTATCAGATAGATTTGGAGCACCACCTCCATATGCTGAAGCAGTTTCACCAAGCCAAAAAGGTTTGTTTGACAGATGGGTCCCATTTAAAATAGATTTCATAGTTTTTATCTGTGTTTTCAGCGTGTCAAAAATAACTGGGTTCAAAAAATCTTGTGCAGTAGCTGTTCTACCATTCACATAATACTGATGCCAGGTTATAGCATCAATCAAACGTCCTATATGACTCAGGAATACCCTGAGATACTCTTCATTCTGCCCATTTTTTGTGACCAGTCTGTCAACATCTGGACCCACAAGCATTGCATTGCTATATAAAGGGTATTCCTCCAGTAGAGACTTTAGTGTTTGAAAATCTTTAGCCAGTTGTTCGGGACTAACACTTGTATTGAATTTATGGTGGTATGAATTAGGCTCATTGCCTAACTCCCAGTTAAGCTTTAGGCTATTATTTTGTGAAAACTCTATTAGTGTTTCAGCATTGTGGTAATCCCATTCTCCATCTGATTGTCTCAACAAGGAATTTAAATCAAAAATAGCATCTAAATTTGCTTTTTCAGTTAGCTTAACAAGATCGATCCACTGCCTGCCTGTCATGCTATAGTTTGGCGCCAATTGGTAGTTGATATCATCCTCATCTCCTATTTGATTGTACAGGTTCTCAGCATATTTATATGGCTCATCAGATTCAGGATCAAAGATTAGCCTGTCCGCCAAATTCCCTCCTATTCGCAAATATGAAGGTGATAAATGCCGCATCATCTTCACTAGTTTGGGGCTACTTGTGTTGAAACCCTTGAAGCCAGTAGCAATAACAAAGCAGTCAAGGCCAATACTGAGAAACTTTTCATCAGTGATGTAAGCTGGTGGCTCTTCATTATGAATGTGGACAATTTGGACGTACCTGTAGGTGCCTGGGAAGCTTTCTGTCACTAGTAGGAGCAGGAACAACAGCACAATAGTTACTGCGATTACCCAGACGCATAAGTCTCGGCATAGCTTCACTAGATAGTGTAGCCCAGAGTTTTCGACAGCTTTCATCCGGATATACATGATGGATCAATGATTGTTTGTAAAAAGTTTTTCGCAGTTGGATGTTTAATTCACATTTTAGCTTGAATCTGAGTGTAATTCAACAGGGGTTTTGTTATTAATGTTATTGTATTTTTTTGACACTTGACATTACCAAATATAACCTCAAAGAAAAATTTCGCACTTCTTGTTTGGTGATCATAGAACAGGTAGTGAGAAACCGCAGATGACAAAAGGCAGATCTAGTTATTTGTTACATATCTGTGGCAATTCTGCTTCACCTTTAAAAATAGGTAGATAGGTGTAGGTATATGGTATACTTGCCGAGAACGGAGTACATGTGGGAGTAAATAGTGGTAGTCAGAGATGTGGTAGTAAATGAATCGATCACCACGCACGCAGTGGGAAACTTGATTAGAAAATAGGTGGTCTATATGATCAAATCGTTCATGTAGAATCAACTAAGGCCTGGTAAAGGTGCAAATATTTGGCATTCATCATTTTTATCAAATTTTTTTCTAACTTCAAATCGACTAAATAGTTACTAGTGTGCAAGTAATTCATTCTGCTATTGCTCGCTATGAGCGCTGTGAGCGTCTCCAAAAGCGTCACCTGTGGAGAAATGACTGAACGACAGGCTCAATCCAGCTGCAAGTCAGTTGCCCAGGATGCTTTGTTGGTTGCAGAATTCCATGATAGTCTGTAGAGTATGTCTCTGAGAAGATTTGACAAAGAAACTTGGTTAAGTAGAAGAGTAGCAAGATCGCATCTGGATGTTTGTGTGGTGATTGTGTATATTGGTCATGCGTATAAAATCAGTTATATTTGCTATGTGAGCAAATTATGACTCTATTAGCTGTACCAAACGGGTTATTTGCGTTGTCCTTTCTGAAGAGAGGTTATGTTCAAAGCTATAAATTAATTTTCCACGGTTTTTTGCGTTTTCAAAAACTTTGAGAAGCACTACGGGAAATCGCCACTGCGCCCGTGCTGTGTAATTAAGCCACATTTCAGAAAGGTTAGGAATGACGTATCACACACAAACCATTTTCGCAGTGCCTCACATCCATGCGCTGATTTGTATTTTCTTCTTAACACTTCAAAATAAATTTCTATAAAATTTAAATGACTGGAAATGAATAATAATGCAAAATGTAATAAGTTTTTCACATTTCACAAATATTCCTGACTGTGGAATATTTTCTCACCTGTTTGTTATAATATACTTCACCAACCAGCGATTTTCTTTTCTTATCTCTCTCATTTTTTAAATTCAGTAAATTTGCAAACGTAATTTCCAGAATGAACAAGAAAAGGTGGGTGCGCGACTAATGTCTAGCTTTTACATAAGTGAATAAGTGTATTTAAGAGAAGAAACCAATGGAATTATCAACACAGATTATTAGCACACAAATCCTCACTATGGGTCCATTGATATTTTTTTTATTGAATAGATGCACTGCCAGTTCCTTCCGCTATGGTATACAACTCACAGCTTAGACCTCTAATAATGTCATCCCTGAAGCCAGATGTTACATCACATCAGAGCTGAAGCGCAATGACGTTTAGGCAACACGTACAGCTACAGAACGAATGGACACCAAGTGAAGAACAGCTTGTTCTATGTTGACATTTAGAAAAACTTGCATAATATCATGAAAAACCTATATAATGTCAAAAATACCGACATAATTGTCACTTTTCAATATACGTAATACCCCTGCAGGTCAACTGATGTCGTCAATTCTCGGAATATAGTGGATGATGGTCTCATCGCCATTGAAAACTAAACAGTATTATTGGTTTTCAAAGGTGGACAAAGTGGTCACTCGATTGCCAACGCGATCTGAGGTAGTTTACAGATGCTGGTTGCCCTAGCAGTGGCCGATTATGGAAATAGATGGCATTTCGTGCTGTTTTAGTTCGATAGAACTTATTCTTCAGATAGAAGCAGACAATCTGCTCTGCTTTTGTTGTCCGTTGTCCTACCTAGAGATCAACCCTGGACCATGCTCTTGATTGCCAATAAGCACGAAACATCTGCGCACCATTGGTTCTCTGTTGGTCAAACGGACGAAAGCAGTAGGTATTATTAATTTGGCACATATAGCATATCTTCAATACTTTGTCTGTACAAAATTGCCGGACATATATTGCAAACGAAAATGTCCGTGGCGTAAGTAGCAGCATATATCGCGGCATATTTTGCGCGCCGAAATCACTTGATACATTTTTGTACAAGACGTGCTTGCTTCGCAAAATGTTCTAGACTGACGAGGCGCATGTTGCGGCACAAAGTATACCGTATTTATATTACATACCTTCATCATCTTTCATTTCAATCACTCTCGCAGATTAAGTGACATCCAAACATTTTAGCAAATTTTTAGGCAATTCAAAAGTTTTCTATAGATATGTTATAAGTCAAATTAACTTTTCTAGACGACGGCAGTAGCTATATGTTATTAAAACAAATGACTTTATAATTTCAAGGGTCCCAGAGGAAAACCAGGTATCCCAGGACTTCCAGGAGCAGACGGCACTCCAGGCGCCAATGGTCGGCCAGGACCGCCAGGTTCTAAAGGCGAACAAGGATCTCTTGGACCCCAAGGAAGCATCGGATTTCCGGGATCAAGAGGAACAAAAGGCGATGAAGGTAAAAGAGGTGTAACAGGCGATAAAGGCGATAAAGGCGAGAGAGGTCTGGAAGGGGAAAAAGGAGACCAAGGTGCTAAAGGAGAGATGGGCCTGCATGGACCACAGGGACAGCCAGGGATGGAAGGACCTGAAGGACCAAAGGTAGTAACAGCAGTAGTATTGGTAATACACAACCGTGTATACAGCTATTTGTATATATATATATATATATATATATATATATATTCTCTTTATATATATATATGTATGACAAGCCAGTTGTTTATAAAATATATTAATTAAAATTGCAACAATAAAGGTAACAAACATAATCATTTGAATTACAGTTACATATAAATATATTCTTACACACCGATAGAAAATGCAATATCTCAGTAAAAACAGCACGAAAAAAATTTATTGAAAATTAATAAACACAAAGAACAAAATTCAATAAATAGCAAATGAAAAAAAAAGAATCAGACAGGATTAGTCTTAAAACTCGGTATCAATTTTATTATTTTTTCTCATTTATTCTTCTTCGTTTATCTTTCAATATATGATATATTTTGGGATATTCTTTAGCTGTACAGTTTTTTTATTCCGAGGCAGCCGCGCCGGCAGAAGCCTAAATGCCAGGTCACCGCGGCTGCTATGAGGATCCCAAAGAAATTTTGTTAATTCGATTTTTGAACTGCCTAAGGTAAGTAAGTAGATCTGAGAAAAGCCTCCTCTTGTAGATTGCTCCACATTCTCGACACCCTCGGGACAAAGCAGCGGTCGTATCGGCCAGCTCTGGATGCACGAAGTTCAACACGGTTAGGATGGGAGGCTAAAGTCAGGCGGGCTTGTCTGGCAAGCACATTGCGCCGCGGCATCATGACGGAGAGCTCTGAGGAGCAAAGCCCGTTGGTGTAGCGGTAGAAGAGAGCTAGATCGCCGAAAGCCACCGGTGCGAAAGGGTCCCGAGACTGTCTGTTAGAGAAGAGTCATCGATCAGTCGGATAGCCCTCTGCTGGACAGCATCGAGTATAAATAATGTAGTGGGACGGCAGCACCCCAAACATGTGAGCTGTACTCGAGGCTAGGTCTCAGCTGGACCTTCTATAGAGTGAGGACGCCCATGCGAAGAAAAGTACTTCTTAGCCTTAAACAAATAGCCTAGTTTTTTCCCAGCAACTGCCACTATTGACGAGATATGTTCGTGCCAGATCAAGTCCTCGGTGATCTGGACTCCTACCAGCCGAAATGAACGGCTGTGGCAGAACTCGGCCATCCATACCGGATGAGCGCTAAGCCGCTTTTTGTTCGTCAAGGTACAGTACTGCGTTTTGGAAACATTAAACTGTACAAGATTGCTGCGTTCTCAAATAGTGATAACCTACAGATCGTTGATATGTAAGAGTAACAATATCGGAGCCAAGAGCGACCTCTCGGGAACACTGGCGTTGACACTGTGGGATCATTATGGGGTGAACAGGAGAACTCGTCAATTACGACTGATATCTTGCGGCAAAAGAGAAAGTCAGCCACCTATCTGCAAAAGCTTCTCTGGGAGGTCATAAGATGGAAGTTTGAATAAGAGGGCAGCGTGCCACAGCTGATCGAATGCTTTTGTGATATCAAGAGCAACGACATAAGCCTCACCATAAGACTGGATGAGTTTACTCCACAATCGTGGCGTAAGCTTGTGGATCACTGGTGCCGGAAACCCTTACTACCTGTCGCTAATCAAGCCATGGCGTTCGAGGTAGTCCAGAAGCTCATGATTTATGCACATCTCTATCACCTTACTTATAACAGAAAGCAGAACTATAGGCCTGTACGAGTAGTTGTAAGGGTCTGTTTAGATCCCTTTTTTGGGATGAGTTAGACATGAGCAAATCTCCAGTTTTCTGGGAAGGTGCCGGAGACGTAAGATATATGGAAGAGACGCGAAAGGACTGGAGCAAGCTCCACTGCACACCTCTTCAATACAACGGCAGGAATCAGGTCCTGACCAGAAGCTTTGTTGATATAGACGAAAGAAGTTAGTTGCATTTTCAATGACTAAATCAGATTGTTAAGATCCATTTTTGAGGGATGGTGTAATTTATCCTCTGTATTTTCTGCCGATGGAATCAGCCAATAGGTTTTGGATTTTATTATGAATACAGATGTAAGAGTAACCCAAAACAAACTTCCAATTGTGATAGATGTCCGAGATTTATCGATGATATCATTCGTCTTGGCTTGCGGGTGTTAAAATTATCGAGGAGATGATTTCGGCATGAAGATGATATTTCAGCTGCGGTCACTGCTAGGAAGAAACTATATTCTATTCAGGAGGTGTGTAGCCCAGATAGAACACGACTTGAAATACTGGTCATGTACAAATCTGGATGGCTACTGCACTGTTCATCCTTGATACAGTTTAGAGAAGGAGAATTCGAAAAATCGGTGATGCTTCCATTACATTGACGGAATTTGTTCCTCTGTCCTTAAAGCAAGTTCCAAAGCAAACAATCTCTTCAAGAAAATAGCGAGTCGCATGATTAGATGGTAAAAGTAGGAATACTGTGATTTATCAGTTGCATTTTACAGGGTTTTGATGGACCAAGAGGCGAAGTGGGATCCATTGGAAATCCTGGTGAAAAGGGAAAAGAAGGAGCTGCAGGACTTATAGGATACCCAGGAGTACCTGGTGAAAAAGGAGATAAGGGAGCCACTGGAAAGAACGGACCAACTGGAGAAAAAGGAGAAAGAGTAATATTCAGAAAATAATATTTTAATTGTTGCCTTAAGAAAAAGTGTCCTAATAGGTAGAACTCTATGATTTTCTGGCCAAATGAAACCACATACGTATAAATTTAATTACTTCTAACTGGCGTTTCGGCCGTCGAATTGACCTTTTTATATTATCTAAATTTTTAAGTTTGAGTGTTATGTTTATAAATAATCTCAACTGTGTCACCAGACGACTAAAATCTGTAATAACATTTTTGGCAAAATTATGTTCCTTAATCGTCTGCGGATTGTTTGAAAAGACTTTATTCTTGAGGGATCCCCACAAAAAAGTCAATTGAGGCTATAATTATGTAATTCCTCACTTTGCAGATGACACATGTATAAATGGCGCCGAATTTAAATTTTGATGTACCTATTGGGTCAATATTTTGTTTGTTCCTTTTAAGTTATATATTTTCTCAGTTTTTATGATTTTATCACTGGCACGTGTGCCAGTAATCTATCTTTATTTTTGTTCTCTGATGACTAGCGTGTTAGCCTGAAGTACTAGGTTTCAACTTTGCATGATGTGAGGTTTTGGAATCATCGCTATATGAATTTTTGTTTAATAGGGTCATCCAGGACCTCAAGGGGATAGAGGTGAACCAGGAGCAAGGGGCTTTAGAGGCATGAGGGGTCGTAGAGGTAGAAGCGGCCTACCGGGAACTAAAGGCGATACTGGACTAGCTGGTCCAGCGGGACCTCAAGGGGATATAGGACCTCCAGGCCCTGATGGACCTAGAGGTCACACTGGACCACCCGGAACTCCTGGAGAAGCTGGAAAGAATGGTGCTGCTGGGTTGCCTGGAGAAAGAGGCCCTCCGGTATGTCTCATGTATCTTAAAAAAAGAGCATCAAACACCCAATTTCAATGATAGCTATCGTTTTATTCGTGCATCAATTCAAAGCGAAAGGATACAAATCATATTTTGACAGAGTATACTGAAAAAGAAAATTTCTAAATTACATTGCACAAATATGAAATACTCGTATTAGAAAAACAATTAGTAGTTTAATCGTTTGTGGTTCAAAAAGAAGTTGCCTGCAAAGTTTCGGTGACGTTTGAACATGTTGATGCCGTTACAGATTTCCGTCTGCTCTTTCTGAATTTTTATTTTGCTACCTCGAATCTTTTTCACATAATATCAGTTGTTTGATAATCTCTTCTTTCTAACTATTTTTAGGACGACTATAGCTTTATGATAAATTAAAACAGAACATTTCCTATAATTTATTTGTTCGGCATTTGTTCGGCATACGAGGGCGTCAAGGTTTACAACACTCTCAGAAATGGAGAAGCAACTCCAGACATCTACGACAGACACAAGGAACTCATTGCAAGGCCCAGCGCTAAGGATGGGCGTTTCTGCTTATCTTTGGATAGAGCCAACCTAAGGTTGCCGGTGAAACTGTTGTCTTTTTTTTTTATATATATATCGAAACAGCCGCGCAGGCAGAAGCCTAAATGCCGGAACACCGCGGCTGCTATGATGATCCCAAAGAAATTTTGTTAATACGATTGTTGAACTGCCTAAGGTTAGTAGAACTAGGAAAACCTTCCTCCCGTAGATTGTTCCACAATCTAGACACCCTCGGGACAAAGGAGCGGTCGTATCGGCCAGTTCTGGATGTACGAAGTTTGACACGGTTAGGATGGGACGAAGAAGTCAGGCGGGTCTGTCTGGCAGGCACATCGCGCGGCGGCATCATAGAAGAGAGCTCTGAGGAGCAAAGCCCGTTGGTGTAGCGATAGAAAAGAGCTAGATCTCCGACGGCCTGCCGGTGCGAAAGAGTCCCGAGACTGTCTGTTAGAGAAGAGTCATCGATCAGTCGGACCGCCCTCCTCTGGACAGCATCGAGCATGGACAATGTAGTCGGGGCGGCAGCACCCCAAATGTGTGAGCAATATTGGAGGCTAGGCCTTATCTGGGCCTTGTATAGAGTGAGAAGGTCATGCGGAGAAAAGTACTTCTTAGCCCTAAACAAATAGCCTAGCTTCTTCCCAGCAGCTGCAGCTATTGAAGAGATGTGTTCGTGCCAGATCAGGTCCTCGGTGATCTGGACTCCGACCAGCCGAAATGAATGGCTCTTTGGTAGAACTCGACCGTCCATCGAAACTGTATGAGCGCTAGGACGCTTTTTGTTCGTCAAAGTACAGTACTGTGTTTTGGAAGCATTGAACTGTACAAGATTGTTGCGTCCCCAAGCAGTGATAGCCTCCAGGTCTCTTGTCAGAGAAGAAGTCGTCGCTAGTCTTCTTTTTTCCAGCTCAGCGGCAGAGATCGGCTTGTCACTCTGAATTCCTGCATGTAGAGTGCTGTCATCAGCGAAGCTGTGGATTGGGTTGATCGTGCAGGAAAGGAGGTCGTTGATATGTAAGAGAAACAGTGTTGGAGCCAAGACCGATCCCTGGGGAACACCCGCGTTGACGTTGTGGGATGAAGAGGAGAATCCGTCAATTACGACGGATATCTTGCGGCCAGAGATAAAGTCAGCCACCCATCTGCAAAGCTTTTCTGGGAGGCCGTAGGATGGAAGTTTGCTTAAGAGGGCAGCGTGCCACAGCTGATCGAACGCTTTCGTGATGTCAAGAGCAACGACATGAGCCTCACCATGAGACTGGATGAGCTTACTTTACAGTTGCGTGACGTAAGCTAGGAGGTCCCCTGTGGATCGTTGGTGCCGGAAACCGTACTGCCTGTCGCTAATCAAGCTGTGACGTTCGAGGTAGTCCAGAAGCTCGCGATTTATGCACCTCTCCATCACTTTACTTATAACAGAAAGCAGAGCTATAGGCCTGTAGTTGTAAGGGTCGGTTTTAGATCCTTTTTTTGGGATGGGCTGTACATGAGCAAATTTCTAGTTTTCTGGGAAGGTGCCGGATTCATAAGATATCTGGAAGAGACGCGAAAGAACTGGAGCAAGCTCCGCTGCACATCTCTTCAGTACAATGGCAGGAATCAAGTCCGGACCAGAAGCTTTGTTGATGTCGAGCGACAAGAGCACTCGTCTTACGGTCTTATGCCTGAATGTTACCTCCCGCATAGTGCGGGGAACCCTTTGAATTGACGGCACTTGGGCGTTGGTGGGGACGTCCATGGTGGAGTTGGCAGCAAAGATCTTGGCTAGCACTTCCGCCTTGGCCTTTGAGTCGAATACAATAGTTCCATCCTGACACGTAAGTGGTGGAAAGCTACTGTGTGAGAAGTTCTTTTCAATCTGCTTGGCCAGCGTCCAGAAAGACCGACTGCCATTGCGCTGCGACATTACCCTGTGCCTAACTTTTATATCATGCTGGTTTTTGGCATTGCGAACCGCTTCGTTATATTTGTTTCTGGACTCGACGTCGGCTTGTCTGTTCTCTACAGTGGGGTTTTGTAAGTAGGTTCTGTGGGCCTTGATCTTCTGCTGGCGAGCAGTGTCACACGATTTGTTGAACCAGCCGTTGGACCCTGGTTTAGGAACTTTCACTGTGTGAGGGATGTATTCCTCCATTCCGACGTGGATAATTTCGGTTATTGAAGAACAGACAGTCGACGCATCCGCGTCAGTGAAACAGACATCTCTCCAAGGAAAGCTAGAGAAAAAGTCTCTGAGCCCCTCCCAGTCGGCATGTCCGTAATGCCAAGTTTTGCGGCCTGTGCGAGTTTCTGCTGCCACAGCGGCTTCGGACCGAAACCTAACCTCCACAACACCGTGATCTGAGTTACCCAGGGGGGACAGGACAGCAGTGCTGTAAGGGGCAGGATGCGTGGTCAGAAAGAGATCCAGCAGGCTACTGGCGTGTGACGAGACGCGGGGGAAAAAAGTAGGGCTGGTCACCAGCTGGGTCAGCCCTTGGGTAAGAGTGAACGCTTCGACTGCACGACCTGCTGCATCGGTCTTATTTGAGCCCAACCAAAGCTCATTATGGGCATTGAAATCACCGAGAAGAACTACCTCTGAAGCGGTGTGGCTAGTGTGGCTAGTTATAACACGTTAAGGCGCCACCTGCACGTGATGGGGGTGGCTGAGGATCCTTTGTGTGAGCGCTGCGGGGTAGAAGAAGAGACCTCAGCGCACGTTCTGTGTCGCTGTGAGGTTCTTAGCTACCACAGGCAGACTATACTGGGGTCCATCACTTTGGACCCCCAGGACGTTAAGCAGCTTGGACTCAAGACCATACTTAACTTCGCTAGAATGGCGAGGCTTGAGGTCTAAGAAATGTGGAGGTGCTCATGGCCCGTCTGAGCGATCTATGCGCTGGCTCCTTATGGTGGCCCGTATGCCTCTAATTTCATGTTTCATTCATTCATTCATAGGTAAAGTAAAGTAAAGTAAACCATGCCAGCCAAAATATTCAAAGAAAATGTTTGTTGAAAATGTGGAACACGGACTACGTAAGGATGTTCCACTTACCACACATGAGTATTTCCGACGTTTTTCACCCCGTTACGCGTGAGGGTTGATTCGTCTGTGACTAATATGGACTGCAACAACCACTCACAGAAACGCACCCTTGAGAGCTTGTACCAAAAGGTACAGTACATCATCACACATCATTTGGTGAACTTTAGTCTTGGAGTCTTGCACTTGTCTAGCCACTTCCGTAGTGCTTGTTGAAGGATTCTCTTCTGCAAGATTCAGTACTCCTTCTTCAGTTTGCTTCATTTGGGGTTCTATGTTTGCCACTGTGCACTGTGCCCACTTCGGCATTCCTGAATCACGAGTTTTTTGTACAAGCTAAACAAATCCACGCGGACGGCCCTGAATGATAACGTCTGACAAAGCGGTCTGCATATACTCGCGAAGCCTCGGTAGCATTTTGAAGACATCATAAACTGAAATCATATCGACAAGTTTGATATTGCTGTGCGAGTGTGCCACTTTGTATTTTTTCGCAGCGATTGGTAGACAAATGTTTTATTTACCTACACTGCCGGCGCCTCGGTTGAGTACTACCGTCGTGCCTTGTCGCTTTTGACCTTGTAGCGTTTTTCTGGGTTCTTTTGGGTGTAGATTAAAACACTGGATTCCACTAAAAGAAATGCACTAATTTATTTGACTTCACTAGATAGAACATTTATGTACACCACTATTTATATCTGACTATTTATTTACGAATTACTATGTCGCGCCATTGACTGCACTATACTATGCTCTACCCTGCTTCCGTCTCCCGGCCGTCCCTATATAGTCCGCATAACAGGTACTCATTGATTCGAGAAGACTCCGGTGAGCCACAAAGCTGCAGTCTAGAATCTTCAATGTCACTTCGCGTCGATCTAGAAGGCGAGTCACTGGCACAGTCCTCAACAGATGTCGCCACCGAAGGAAAGTCTCTGGCACGGTCCCCAACAGAGATCGGCCATGAAGTCCTGGCGAGTAGGAGAGTCTGGCGCGGTCCCCAACAGATGGCGCCAACAGTACTATTCATTCTTTTTACAACCTGATCCAGATACAGGAGCGGCTTAGGTTTGGCTTAGGTTTTATTGATTTTGCGGAACCAGTATGTCGCTTATCTTAAAACTTTGGTGAACATACTACTAGGAAAAATGTTGGTTCTTTCGAGTTCTATACTCCGTCTAAAGGTAAATCTCAAATTGGCGGTATTTGCCGCTAGCGCCACCATATTGAATAAATGCCGTTCATAATTATGTTACAAAATTAGACATTAGTATACAAAATTCATTGTCAGAAATTGGTTTAAAAAACTATTCGGTCAAACTAAAGTTTCACTGTTTATCTTATTATTTTCTTAGTTTGCATAGGATCTGTTTGCTCTTCTTGTCTATGACCATGACCCACAGTATACATCGTTGTTTCATGCTTTTTAGCAATCGCCAGTATGGTATAAGTCTAGTCATTGGAGACAGATAACGGAAAGCAAACAAGCAGATAAGCCTCTACTAATAAACTCAGTATGTAGTGCGCGTGTAGATGACACTGCTACTCCACATCAAAGCCGTTCCACCGACCCCTACGTCCGCTGATAGCAGGAAACTGATACGCATCCAACATCTCTGAAATAACATGAGCTCGTCAATAACGGGAACACTAAGTGTTCACCATGCTTCCATTAGTTATGACGTACTATACTAAAGTTGCAGAAACTAAACCGACTATGTTTCTGTATGTTCTAGGGTGAAGCAGGAAAGGTTGGGCCTCCAGGACCCTCAGGAGTAATCGGACCCCCAGGAGCTACCGGAGAACCAGGACCCATCGGTGAGCCTGGAAGTCCTGGAAATCCAGGGGTACCTGGAGAACCCGGACTGTCTGGAGATGCTGGAAAAGAAGGTCCACCTGGACCGATCGGACCCTCTGGCAGACCAGGTCCTCCAGGCCCTACTGGACTACCAGGATTTCCTGGCGAAAGGGGGCATAACGGATTACCGGTAAGTGAAGATGAATATCCTGAACACAAGTATAAATATCGATAGATGATCATTTGGACAATTTAAAAATTTATATCCACCAACGATTTTGGAAGAACCCATTTCTTTTGGAAAAATGCGGTAAATAGAATTTCTGAATTAAAACTGTTTAGCAGACAGACATTTTTAAATGTGTAAGTACATACTCCCAGCTATAGAATGTAAGTCTCCAATTTCATAAAGTGCTAAGAGCTTCCAAATATACCAAGGTCATATCTTATTTATATTCAGCAAGGAAGCTTTTAGCAGAAGCATACAAAAATCTTCGAATAAGTTGACGAGAGTCCCACTTTAGGGTCTGAAGATATTAGGTTACAGTACTTCAGTGAAAATTTGGCAAGTCCGATAATTGTTAGACTGACCCTAGTGTATTGAGAGTTGGGCAGTCTATGAGGTAAAGACTGACTACCATGCTAGATTAAGGTAGCAATTTTAAACGGTTTTCTAAATATTTTCTGTTAATAGAAGTTATACTTACATATTTCCACCATGGATTTATCGAAAACCACTAATTAAAAGAAAAACTCCGAGACATGTCAAAAAATTTGCCAAGGGGGATAACTTTTTAACCAAAAACTACTTCACCCCCTTTCACCCTCGGCCCTCCAGGGTCATTCTCTTAAAAAAATCAAATGACAAGGGGGATCGAGTAATAGCTTGTCTGAAAGGTCTTTCGAAGTCCTTTGATTTGACGTTTGATTTTTTCAAATCAGTCGATTGGTTTTTGAGAAAATAAAAAATCTTTATTTATTTAAGTGTTCACAATGTGGCCCGTTATGGTTTGCCAAATCTACAATTCGTTTTTAATTTAAAACTAAAAAACTACCAACATAAACAGCAATTCGGAAGATTAGACGTGGCAACAACCAAATAACAACCCAAATTTTTTTCTCCATTCTTTTCATCAACACAGACAGCCTGGACGAACTGTATTTACTGTTATACCTGTTTAGTTATTTGTTGCAAAGGAAAATACATAACTTAATTTTCTGTCAGTTACCTTTATGACAATCTTGGGATAGTGAAAAATAATTTATTGATTCAGATTTTACTGGCAAAATGGTTTACACACTAGCCGAAAGAGTGGAAATGATTCTAATTTATGGTGCCGAAAATCAAAGTGCTCGGCAAACTGCCGTCATGTTACATACGGGGAAGATAACTTCGCAAAGGTGTGTTTTGGACCTTGTTAATACATTTACTCAAACTGGATCTGTTGCAAATAAAAAACGTGATCGTCGGAGAGTTTTGGATGAAGCCGCTCAAGTTGAAGCTTTGGGTCATTTTTGAATAAATCCTTCAATAAATACTTCATTACGCAAAATTGTTGCTGCGACTGTTATTTCATTACTATTACTACTCCATAAAGATCATGCATTTAAAATGACTGCAGTTATTAATGATAATACCATTCATGTAAAGAATATCTGCTTCAGTGATGCATGCACATTTATTTAAATGGATTTGTTAATAAGCAGAACTGCAGGTATTAGAGCAATGAAAATCCTTATGCTTTTGTAGAAGGGCATACCCATCAGTACCAAAAAAAAATAATGTATGGGCTGGCATTTTAGGAAACAAAGTGATTGGGCCATTGTTCATTAATTGAAAGTAGAGTGGAGATATTTATTTGTATACGTTGGAAAAAAATACCATCAATCATCTTATTACTGAAACCATTGAAAACCAAATCGAAGAGGATGGAAACCCTATACTTAATGAGGCTGAAATATATTTCCAGCAAGACGGCGCTCCTCCTCACTAAGTTCTTCCAGATAAGTGGATAGGGCGAAGAAGGCCTATAGAATGACCTGCTAGATCCCCAGATTTGACGCTATTAGATTTTTCTGTGGGGCCATTTGAAATCTATTGTGTTTACTCCCCAACCTGAAAGTTTGGATAAATTTCGTCAACGCATCATCGAAAGCTGCCATGATAGCCCACAAATGCTTTTGAAAATGTCAGGAATTTGAACATCACCTATATCATTGTTTGGCCAATAACGAGCAGCATTTTGAACACTTACTGAAATAAAAAGTGATATTTTCGTGTGTTTTTATTTCCTATTTGAACAAATGAAGATAAATAAAGATTTTTCTAAAAACGAATCGACCGATTTCAAAAAATCAAACGTCAAAATGAAGGTATTTGAAAGACCTTTCAAATAAGCTGCTATTACTCGAAACCCCTTGTCATTTAAAATTTTTAAGAGGATGACCCTGGGGGCAGACGGTGAAAGGGAGTGAAGTAGTTTTTGGTTGAAAAGTTGTCCCCGTGACAAATAATTTGACGTGTCTTGGCGTTTTTTCTTTTAATCAGTGGTTTTCGATAAATCCGTGGTGGGAAGTTGCCAAATGAACACCCTGTATACAGCTTTAGGCATTCGAAGAAGTCGACAGGTCATAGACGTTTTTCCAAAATTCTTTTCACAACAAATTTAAGGTTTTCTAATTGAACAAAAAAATACCTCACTTAGTCAGAACACATATCCAGAAATGCGGATTTCAGTTTAAAAGAATGCATCATCATAAATCATGCTAAATATGAAAACTTTAAGACATGCGAAGTGATCAGCCCAAGTACCACGCACAAAATATATGGAATTTGACCAACGGTCAATTTTAATGAAAAATCGTACAGTAATAGTTCGTGTTGTGCTGATCATTGATCAAATGTCCCAGGGGTCACATAGCCCAGAAATGCTTTCTATTGGAGATACAGGGTGTTACAGCTTGCTTACTTGATACATTCAAAAAGGTAGGGTAGTTGACTTTTCTGAAAGGCAGTGTATGTTAATTAGAAAGTAATTACTTAACCAGCTACCTAATATGAATACAAAAAAGTAAAAAAATAGCAAAAAAACATTTTAAAAAGCTTTTATTTAGCTCCTATCAAAAAGGATTACAAATTAACTTATCGGATTGGAAGTAGTCTGTTTTATACTTCTCAACCTTTTAACGATAATACCTTCTACTCAAGTTTTTAAATAAAAACGTGTTACGTTTTAACAGCAGGAGGGAGAAAGGTGTAACACTCATTTATTTGAAAACTTGAGACAAAGCTCCATTGCGTACAAAGGTTAATAATAAAACGGCATATTTGCAACCAATAAATTATGTTAAAATGATTAACTCTTTTCATTAACAACCAAGAAAACTTTTTTTCGAAAAGGTTTTTGTCTTTCATTTACTATAGGTACGATCTCGGAAATCATGGTAGTAATTCTTAGTTATCGTTTCCAGGGCATGCCGGGCTTAAAAGGAGACGCGGGTCCTCCAGGCCCACTAGGACCTATCGGAGACAAAGGTGCCACGGGTGAACCAGGAAACGATGGTCCTCCAGGACCAGCAGGTCGACCTGGACCCCCAGGTCCATCTGGTGCCGGTGGAGCGAAAGGAGAAAGAGGGGAGTCAGGGCCTGCCGGGCCGATGGGCAGGGATGGGCCGCCTGGAGTGAAAGGACCTCCTGGAGGTCCAGGACCTGTAGGGCCACCTGGAGAAGATGGCGATAAAGGAGAGGCTGGACCACCAGGGGATAAGGGCACTAAGGGGTCTCCAGGAGAACATGTAAGTAGCTATTCCTATTATATAATGAGCAGAGAAGAATTTGTTTTGGCGTATATTTGCCGGTAAATTATGCACAGGGAGCATATGACAGTTTTGAAGACCTCAAATTAAACATAGTTACAGAGTTTGGGAGACCGAGAAAAGAGGAAATAAACCAAGCAGTGATATATTTACAGAGAAGAGTCAGGTTTTTTTGCCTACAAAATAACAGACTATGTTTTGAACATCTGCTATGATTTACCTCTGTTATTACCAGCAATAAGAATTCGATTTGGTGTTCAGGTTTCACCATACCTTTTTATTTCCTTATGATTTCCGTTCCAGCAACAAATTTATAGCCAACTAAGTAAATACATCGCTGAATTTAGGACTAAAACATCCATTTAAATGTACATAATTCCAATATAGTGCCCATATGAAAAAACAAACTTGGTGATGGAAGTCGAAAGAAAAACCTCGAATTTAAAATATGACTACGCCATCTTGTAGAGAAGAGAAGGTTGCAATAACAGCATGCAATTTATTTTGAAATCCCATCTCAAAGTCAAGAAAAAAATGATTTATTAAATCTGGTATATGAGACAAATGACTATCTGGCATTTTCAAGGCAAACCTAGGAAATTTTTTTTTCTTAAATGACTATAGGTTTGTCAATGTAAATGCATGACATATTACTCATTTTGGAATCCGAATTAAAACTTCTATTCAGCTGTGCCAAAGTGTAAAATAAATAATAAAGTTGATGCTGGAAGACAAAAGACGAAACGTCAGATTGAAATAGGAAGGTTCGACATTTTTCGTATTTCTCTTATTTTAATTAAAATCGAGGGATTTTATTATTAAAAAAACGGTCAAAGAAATTTGAGTGCAAAATATTAATATTTACGTCGACGGAAAGCATTTTAAATTCAAGGATCGACGCGACGCTAGAAAACGTATACTTTATATGAAGTCACTTGAAACACTGTGAAATACCGGGTGCGTTTTATATATCTATATTTAACACGCTCTGTTGCTGCAAAAAACGCCAAATTTCGCAGCAAGTATAAGATCAAAGGCAGTTTCACCGGTCCACGTGGAGTAAAACACGCCTATGCGTGGACACAGCCAATGAGAAAGCGTGTATTTCAGAGCTCCGAACAAGTGCAGGTGGCTACTGAAAATTGAAACAGTTTAGCCAGTGCCGTATAGCGGTGAATAAACGTGTTTTCTTTAGTCTGTCCGTGTTTTTTCATAGATTTTATTAGTTTGTGTGTTTTTGACTTTTGAATACTCAGTTTACTTGTTGATTTAATTGTTGTGTTGATTGTTCTTGTGTGTCCTAAATATGGCTCTTTGGAGACCTTGGGAAAATGCTCCAAGCCACGGGGAGATGGTTGATGAACCTGTGCAGGCAGAATTCTTTCATAAAGATTTAGAGGAACAGACCCAAAGGGTAATCCTAAATATGTATGATTGTCTGAAAAACGAAAATCCAGATTCCTCGCAAAATCAAATTTTAAACAGAATTTGTATCCTGACAAAAATCAGTCGGTCTACCATTTATCGGGTTATAAAAAGGGGAGATGTAGTCAACCATTCCTTCCACAGAAAGCGCATAGGGCAAAGATTAAAAAGAATAGACGTGGGTTTTCAGGAACATATTCGTCGTATAATATACGGATTTTATAAAGAAAATTTGGTGTTCACGTTGGAAATGATACGGGATAAATTAAAAGATTATCCTGAAGATTTTTATAATTACAAATGCTTAGACTCACTGCACTGTATTGTAAAACTGTGTGGTTTTCAATACAAAAAATTAGATAAAAGAATGGTGATTATGGAGTCGTCTCGAATCGTTGAATTGCGCCAAGAATTTTTGCACAAAGTTAAAATCTATAGAGAGCAGAAAAGAAATCTGATTTACCTGGATGAAACGTGGTATGATACCCATGATGTTGTGCAGTACGGCTGCGTTGACGACAGCAACAAGTGCATTTTAAATGCACCATGCAACCGTGGAAAACGAATCATTATTCTCCATGCTGGCAGTGAAAATGGATTTATACCTAATGCCTTGCTGTTATCTGCCAAAAATATCAAAGAATCATGTGCCGACTATCATGAGGACATGACCTCCGACTTATTTGAAAAGTGGATAGAGCAGCAGTTAATACCAAACATTTCCCCAAATTCAGTGATTATTATGGACAATGCGCCATACCATTCCCGACAGAAAAACAAAATTCCGAATACAGGCACAAAAAAACAAGACATTATTGATTTTATGAAGGATAAGGGAATGGAAATACCACAAAAATCAACCAAAGCCATATTATTGGATCTTATTAAAAGACAAAACTTTGAAAAAGAGTATGTTGTTGACAATCTGCTTCAGCAAAATGGCCATGAAGTATTACGTCTACCTCCCTATTACTGCATTTTTAACCTGATTGAGTTGGTCTGGGCTGCTTTAAAAAAAGTAAGAAAACATAATCAGACCCCTCAATTAAGTGAATCGCCATTGGCCACAATAAGAGATGCAGTATCTCATATTGCTGCCACGGACCTATGGAAGCAGTGTTCTAGGCATATTATTGAAAAAGAAAATGAATATTGTGTTTTGCCTCCTGTAAATCCCGTTGTAATTCCTCTACAAGATGACTCTAGCGACAGCTCCGAAGGCGAGGATGAGATATAAATACCTATAATGTAAGTCTTTATATACCTTTTTATATACCTACCTTCTATGTAAATATTTGCCTATGTCAAACGTTGGAATTCTGTAATTTTTCCATTTCTTAACTTTCAGTCAACATAAATTAAACTCCCAATATAAGAATTTTTTATCCCAAATCAAAAAAATAAGAAGGTAGTAAAATCCATTTATTGTGATATAAAAACATTATTATTATCGTTCTAAATAAATGACCGCACGCCTATGATACGTCATGAAATTACAAAGGACGCGCCGACCAAAGGTTTTTATGCTATTTCAAGTGACTTCAGATAAAGTATACGTGTACGCGAGACTAGACCGCGTGACGTCAGTAGCCAGACACGTGCTGTCGCCCTCATAGGGTACTTGTATCTTGCATTGTCTTGTAAACGGAGTGAAGAGTATACGAATACGAATTTATATAAAGTAGGACCGGCGCTTGTGTACTTTATTTATTGGTGCTAGCACAATGCTCCAAGCTTATCAGAAAGCTGATTTGCGAAATATACCCCATGTGAATGTGGAAATGGTGTACGAGTTTTTGGCAAATTTAAATGAACCTCATAGCAGTGGTGTTAAAGTTGTTCGGTAAGTACCTATATGAAGCTAATTTTTTTTGTTTATTTTGCTCCAATGAGTAGTATTTTTTTGTATTCCTCCGCAAAAATTGATCCTGCTTTGCTTTAGTGTATTGAAAGCTAATAATATTATGACATAATAATGCCTGCTCGCGACAATAATTTTGAAGGCTATTTATCTCAGCCTTTTCCTTCCTAGATAAAATATTATTGAATTTAAATTATCATACATACCTTTTTACCTTGTTACGCCCCGAAATTGGTTCTTTTTGCAAGCACAATGTGGCTTTATTACACTATTCTGAAGTAAAGTATGGTACCTAATAAGTTTTCAATGAGAGAAATTCTAGGGATGTAGAGCAGAGAATCTTATTTTTTAGGGTCTATTGGGGACTACTTAAATGGGGGGGTGGGCAGTCACATTATAGTATTTTACTACTAAAATAACAAAGTTTAGGGCTGTATTCGGGGGATGGGCAATTAAGCCAGCTTCTAAGCGTTGACTAATATTGAGCTTAGAATGACTACGATCTCGGCAGTAAGCTGATCAGCTTCGCTGTCACTACTTTCAGTACTGCGTCCACTGGCTTCATACGAATCAGATTCGGATGTTCCTGTCATTACGGGTCTTTCAAGATTTGCCCGTTTGCTTTCCACTTCCAAATGTTTTTATGGCTGCTCTGAAATCTGTTTAGCAAGCGCAGGAATTCTTATTGGCGATACAGCAACATCCATTGCTTTCCGTTTTTGCACGATTTGAACTGACTTGCTTCTAAAATGTACCTGTTTGGTTTGGCATGCCTTGTCACATACCTGTGACTGAACTTCCACTGGTAAAGGTTCAGGCAGTTCATCATGCTCCTCCTCAATAATTTCCACGCCTTCAGGCTCGGACTTTTCGGTTGAGGGTCCCGCCCGGCGTACCGCCGCTGGCTGCAAATATTTGGCGATGTCTTTCTGCCTTGCCCTTTTTTCGCTGAACACTAATATTGTAGAGCTTAATTGTCTACCCAGTTGACATGCAAATTTATGAGGTGCAATATTAGGATTCATCCGGTTTCGAACGACACTCATCTTGTATTGTAGATAGTTTTCCATATCTTTTTCCAAGTCAAAATGATCTTCGCAGCAGTACATGGACGACGTGGAAGAAACTGAGTTTACATGCCGTCGAGCTGCGTCAAACCACTTTTTACGTTGTGCGGCACCTTTTGGGACACTCACAAAATTTTTTTGTGGTGTTGTACTAGTCGTATTTTTACATTTTGGCACAAAACACCACTTTCTGTTCGACATTTAACACTGTCAAAGTTGACAGAATTTAACAATAATCTATCGTACCAGCTCTAACTACTCCAAACCGATTACTGGGGCGTTGTTGTGAGAATGGTAAATGCAGCGGGCCAGCTAGCGAGGTGTGTCTGGCTACTGACGTTACGCGGTCTAGTCTCGCGCACAGGTACGTTTTCCAGCCTCGCGCCGATCCTTGATTTTGAAATGCTTTTAGTCAAAGTAAATATCAATATTATATTATATTTTGCACAATTTTTTTATCGTTTTTTAATAACAAAATCTCTCGATTTGAGTAAAAATCAAAAAATGGCGAACCTTCCTATTATGCAGTATTGCAGGGGAGAAAAGTGACAATGTTAACGTGCAATTTATTTTGAAATCCCAGTACAAAAAGGTCTGGAAAATATTTTGGGAAGACTCGGTTTTTTCCGTCTCTCTTCAGAAGTACTTCGAAACTTTCTAAGCAGCATTTAGTTAATTACCTAAATACATAACTTTACTCCTATTTGAGCGACTACGAATTCTTGAACGTTTCCAAAATGTGGATCGAATTTGAAACACCCGATATATATGTACTCGTATATCATTGAAATTAGATTTTAAAAATGTCTCTCTTCAAAATTTCAATATGGTGTGCATAAAGTTGATGATGGAAGCTAACGTCGGAATATTAAGTCTCTACACGTGCCGACTTGTAGAACGGAAAATGGCAGCCATGATAATGTGTAATTTATTTTGAAATACTCAAATATTCAGGAGAAAATACTTAGATTTTTAAAACTTTCCCAGTGCTATTTTCTTACTTACCCAAATACCTAACTGTGCCTCGTTAAACAAATCTCTTATCTCTTACCGTTTCTGAGACCCCAATGGTTATGTCGAATTTAAAACAGCAGTGTATTCTTATATTCATTTGTTTCCAAAATGGCGGCTCACGTGCAAGTTTTGTCAAATTCAATATAGGTATGACCTGCGAATATTCAAATACAAATTCAGATACATTTACTATTTACAAAAAAAAAAACATTCTATCGTGTTAAATAAAATACACTCAAATGATAATATTTTTTTGACAAAAAGGACGGATTCTTCATCACAAATAACCGTTAACACCCAGCCTCACATAAGTAGTGTAGGTGTGAAAATGCCCTGTTTTACACTAATTTTACATAAACTACATTTCATTGCATATGCATTATATCAATAATTAGGAATTTAATGATTTAAGTTATTATAAGCATGAACCATTGATATCACAGAAAAATAAGTTTCATTTACACACATCAAATGGCGGGAGGGAAGCACCGGAGAGGGGACCAATGAGGCAGAAAGCAACAGACGCGAGGCCACACCGATGAGCCCATAGACGAAGAACAAAAATAGACGAGCCCTCATACAGTTAAGCACACCGAAACACATCCACACACACAAACACATGTGAAAAAGTTAATTTTTACAACACCGTATCCGTGCACAATCACACTCTTTATTGTATTGTTGGTCCTGAAGAATCATCGCCATTATATACTTTGAGAACACTCTTTGTAACATTTCCTTTACATTATTATTTACTGTTCCACATTTCAACTGCAAGAAATGAAACAGAATGTTGAAATGCTGCAGACCTATGTCTTTTAATAATAAGTTCTGATTTAGTCTTGTTCCGTAATCATGATTAAAAGTTAAAAGTACATTTTTCAAACACGGAGGCTTTCCTAATATTATTGTTCTATAGATAAAAATGAATAAATGATGTTTCCTGCGATTTAGCATAATCAGTATAGACGAATTGTTTGGATAAGGTGTTATGTGGCTACGATAAGGTATGTTAAATGAAAATCGCATGCAGGCATTCTGCACCTTTTGTATAGTATTTTTAATAGTGTACGCCACCGAGCTCCCATAAACTATATACGTATCCATGGTCAAAAAAACGACAAAACGAGATTCTGATAAAGGAAATACTTTTGCTTAGGCAGTAAATTTTTGTTTGTTTGGAGATATTCTTTAATCGTATGTAAGCTGCCGTGAATTTTTTCTTGATATGTGGTTCAAATGATATTGCATTATCGAATATCAAGCCTAGATACAATGGGGATATCTCATTGTTTATACGGATAATCAAACTACGCTCTATATTTCTCCCAAGTGTGAAATTAGTTCCCAAAAATTAAAGCTTTTGGTTTAGAATTTAGATTTAGAAATAATTAGAAGTATTAAGTTTTAAATTATGGCTTATGGCAAAACTGTTCACCTCAGCAGGTCAGAATTAATGTGCTTTTCGATTGTGCCCAAATTGTCGTAATTGATAGCAATACAGAGTTGTGAGTCATCGGCGTACTGATGAAGCCGTGCCTAAGCAACAGCTTCAGACATACCCACATAAAAACTGAACAACAAGGGTGAAAAAATTGATCCTTGAGGCACACCTTGTTTTAGTGTTAAAGAATTTATTCGAACAACTAGTACTAGTGATCCGACTAAATTAAATTATTTATTTACTAGAATTAATCAATTAATATAATTTTAGTTTCTTCTAAAATCTACGGATTCTAAATAGTAATATCATGTGTTGACTGAGACCCATTGCTTTTAGGGGCCAATGGGTAGCCCAGGTCCTCAAGGCATACGAGGCGAACCCGGATCGCAGGGACTTCCGGGAGAACGGGGCCCACCCGGTGAACTAGGGCGGATGGGACACAAAGGCGAAGAAGGACCTAGAGGACCGCCAGGTCCCGCAGGGCCTGCAGGGCCACAGGGACTCCCTGGACCACCAGGTATGAAAGGAGAAGTAGGAGACGTAGGACAGAAGGGGCCAGTGGGTCCAGGGGGGTCACCGGGAGAGCCTGGACCTAGGGGACCAAAGGGCATAGAGGGGCTGCCTGGACTGCCTGGACCTGATGGGTTGCAAGGACCTAAGGGAGATGATGGACCACCTGGTCCTATGGGACCACCAGGAGCTGAAGGAAAGCCGGTAAGATAATATGTTGTAGACAGTATCAAGATACAGTCTTAGAGTGTATCTGATGGCTTCTGTTAAACTTATCTATTTCCAAGCTATACGAGTATACAAGCTATTATTAGAGTACCTGGTCAAACAAATGGGTAGTCCTAAGGAAATAAGGTACCTAATACCTTCATGAACATATTACAGCTCGATATCGGCATAAAATTTAGAACCACTAGCATAGATCTTTTTCAAGTCGACACAGAAATAAGACCAAAAAAGAATAGAAAAGCTTTGAACAAATTCAAAATAACTAATAACATAATTCCAAGATGTATCATTAAAGGTTATCACAAGAGGTTGATCAACAGCCACATAAAAACGAGATTCCAAGTTCACGGTGGACGACCTTAAAAAGCAATATCTATAATTTAGGAAATTCGCACTTGACATCCTATTTTTTAGGGATAAAACTGGTTCCAAGCGAAAGAACACGACATACTCAAAAAATATATACAGGATGTCTAACAAAAGGATTGGATAGTACACCATGATCTCAGGAACAGTAAAATTGACTATGTTGGTTAAATAAAGGGCCGAAAATTGCATACGTTGATAAACAAATTACGCTATTTTATGGATACTGTAATTGATTTGAAAAACAATCATTTGATCAATAATTATTGATCTCCGCTTTCATAGCTATTATAATGTTCATTACCTCCAAGAAGCTTTTTGCAATGACTCTTTCCTTAGGGTGATCAAGGAACGCAAGGCCAAAAAGGTGAAGAAGGCAAGATGGGCATTCAAGGTCCTCCGGGACCAAGAGGGCCACCAGGACCTGAAGGTGCCAGAGGTGCAGTTGGTGCCCAAGGATTTCCAGGACCTCACGGTGAACCCGGTTTACCTGGATTGAAAGGAGAACCTGGAAAAGACGGGGAAGATGGGAAACAAGGAGAACCGGGTCCACCAGGTCCTCCTGGAGAAAATGGCAAGATGGGACCTGTTGGACCTCCTGGTAGACCTGTAAGTATTCTGACATCATTAGCTAGTTTTTTATTTGTCATAAATGTACGCCTCGATGAAATTCAGTGTTCAATTTTTCAGGCAGTTATAATATTTACAAAGTTATGCTACTTCCTGTTACAGCAGAAGTAGATGCCAACTTACTCATTTAGGTAGATCATTTTGTATGTTTCGTCACTTTTAGAATCTACATGAGATTCTGAAAACATTTCACAAATAAACATCTTATACCTGAGTATAACCGTTTTTGTCTCATATAGAGGCAACAGATTCAGAAAAATAGCACAAAGATAAGCTTTCTTTAGTAGGGGTTAAGTTGTCCCACTTTCGTTTTAGCAGCTCTACTACAGTAGATTTTGCTACGTTATATGTTATATAAACAAAAATAAAAAATCTTATTATTCAGCCTGCCAAAAATCTGTTTCATGTAAGATAATTCTATGGTTCTACCTATCATAATCTAAATCACGTGGAAGTACAGAGTCAATCTACTTGACGACACTTTTACAATGACGCTAATTTTTGCACGTTTATGTTAGGGCCCTGAAGGCACGGCTGGATTGCAAGGTAGTCCAGGTCCGCCAGGCGAGAAAGGAGATAAAGGAGCAATTGGAGCACCAGGACTTCAAGGACTTCCAGGTCCTCAGGGAGTAGCTGGACCTCAGGGGCCTACAGGCGTCAGAGGATCGCTAGGAACAGCCGTAAGTACTCAAAAAGTTAGCAGGCCATGTGCACTTTTAGGGAGGATGGTAAATGATCCAACTTATATTCTATAAAATATCCTACATATAGAGGGTAGTCAGGAACTGGGCATAATCTTTGAAAATCGGAAATCAAAGAAAATTAAGTGATGGAAGAGAATTTCAAAAAATATTTTTTCTTATCGGATCCTTCATTCCTGATATTAAACGGACTCAATAGCTTAAAAAAGAAAAAACATTAGTTGCTGTCAGATCAAACCATGCATCGGTCGAAAGAAAATCAAAACATTAAATTTGCTTAGAAATCAATGGAAAAATCAAAAATTCTTATTCAAAGAGAAAGCAATGGCGTACCATTTTTTCTCCAAAAATTTTCAATGCAAAACCTGTACGGACGCCACTGGTACAAATACTAAAATTGTTTGTATATCATAAAATACACCTTGATGCATAAAAGGTTGTGTAGCAAACTTCATTAAAATATCGACAATAGTATCACAATTATTATAAAATAAAATTTTTTTAAAAAAACTCTGTTCATGATTTTTTTTCTTAATATGGGTCCAAGAATGACCTTAAATATTAGCATATCATTCAGGAACGCACCCTGTATGGTAGGGATGAATGAGTGATTGCTAGTTTACTATAAGCTTCCAGAAGAGTGAGGAGTGCCTAATAAAATACTTTTTCGAAGATTTTTTTCGGTGACATGTCGGAAGATTTCAGTAAATTCTTAAAATGTCGATCACTCGGAAACCCCCAGCTAATAAGGATAATTTGTTGCAAATGACCTCAAGTGTAACCCTTTTTAAGGAATAAGTTCATTTTCTGGTAGCACTGTATATTTGTATTTTAACTAGGGAGAGACTGGTCCACCAGGCAATCCAGGCATTCCAGGCGAACCTGGAAAAATAGGAGAACCAGGACCTCGAGGACAGAAAGGAGACAGGGGAAGAAGAGGACCAAAAGGGCACAGAGGTGAAATGGGACATCCAGGACTTAAGGGCGATGAAGGGGAAAGGGGCCCTAGAGGAGAAAAGGGTGATAGAGGACCAGAAGGTCCAAAAGGAGATACGGTAGGAACCAATATTTGATTGCTTAGATATTCTATCTGACGTAGCACTAGCGCTAGCTCATGACACAGCCTGCCTTCTGATCAAAGTCTCCCAAGTGCGTCCACCAGATCATTGTTATCAGTTACATCAACGTGTCCCACATACAAAATCCCATTTTTGTAGAAATTATGTGATAGTCATTGTCTCTTGTAGGGTTCCATAGGTCCCCTGGGTCCCAAAGGCTCTGACGGACCTCCAGGACTTCCAGGTCCCGAAGGGCCACCCGGTCCTAAGGGTGTAGAAGGCAGAACGGGTCCAAAAGGGGACACGGGACCACCGGGACCACCTGGACTACCTGGAGCACCCGCAGAGATGCCTCTTATACCACCAGAAATGTTATTCCAAGCACAAGTTGCTGCTGGTAATGTGGACAAAGGAATTACTAGAAGAAGGAGGGATGTTGGAGAATTGATGTGAGCACTTGTATTTTTTATGTTTCCTATATGGTCTTTCACTTCCATTCTCAATATAGCTAACTTATACTTCACTTTTCAATGATCGAAATGACTATCGTCTCGACATTGCAATCCTTTCAAAGAATATTGATATATAAGTATACTCAGCAAATCGTGATTCCAATTGAACCAGTACCGTTAGCATGCCAGCGTCATGTGGCAAAATAACCCCACAAAAAGAAATCTATTAGAGGCACATTGAAACTTCTAGGTGGTCACAAGAGTCACCGCACCTAGAGATTAGTATTCGCCGGAATATGTTCTTACGACCCATAGGGCTTATTTAGATGTGCTACAAGTGGCTACACCTCCCACGTTGGGCGCCACGAAATTTGTCACGCCTTTTTTATAAACAAGAGGAAATGGTGATGTGATTACTCTTTCCTTTTTTCTTTTTTGAAATTAATTAATGAAATAATAAATAAAACACTATAAATGAAATCTAAGGGTCGGACAATGCAAAACAGCTGTCTAGTGGCGTGCAAATTTAGGCCCTACCTCAAGGCGGAGATTAGGGGCGGGGGGTTAAGGGTGCCAGTGACTTAAGATGGATTAAGCCACAAATCTCTGAGGTGTTAATCGGAACTTGTTTTGCCTGACCACCCGCACAAAAGAAAAGAATCTCACAGTAATGACAGAACCTAATTAGTTGTACACAGAGAGCCAAATAAAACAAGATATTAAAAAAATCACAAGATATTAACTCTGCAAACAGCACATATGCTCCACCACTGGAGTGCAAGTTAAAAGAAAGGATATTATTAAAAACTACCGCACATTAAAATTATATTTGGCCGTGATAAATAAAACACCGCGAAACGTTTACCATGGTACACGTTTTACAGATATTTTAGCGCCTAAACCTAAACTTATCTGGGTTGAGGTCTTCTCCTAGTAACGGCTAGGCGCAGCCGAGATGTCCTCAGCTCACAAGTGATCAGGTCAGGAAAAAAAACGGTGGCCAGTTGTGGGCACGTCGCAAGGTTGCTTGCCTCGTTCTCTAAAATTTGCGGTATCACTATAAAAAACCTAGGGAGAGAAAGACTGCGTAAAAATCTACTCTCTACTTTCTGTCTGAGATAAAACTACTCATTGAAAACACTCAAACTTGGAGAAAAACCATGTACATGTTTTTACAAGAAAAGTAAAGCAAAGGTAAAAAAAATATGAAAATGTACTAAAGTGATATACCCTCAGAAATGTATCCTGTGTTCTAAAATAAAGTTACGACAGCTCAAAAATCAAAATCATGATCAACGTAATGTCCAATAGAAGGTGCCATGTAGGCACTGTCCCATATTTAAGCACGTAAAATGTCAAACAAAGTCAAGTACACTCTAAGAACTTCAGTCAGCAATAATCAATATATATAAATAATATCTATAAGATAGTTAATAAAAATGATATTTTATCCGTTCACATCAGGTTTTCTTTTTTGCTAAGGGCAATGGGTGGCTTCTGGCAATATCAGCCGCAAAACAGCGACAAGCAAAGCTGGAGGAGTGTGTGGTGGTTCTCCGCAATGCCTTCCCACTAAAAGGAAACAGATATTGAACTAACTTCTTCAGGACATGCATTAATGCACGTGGTCCGACGGTATAAGAAACAAAGACTTACCGCTGAAGATTAAAATCTCATAAGTAAATGGACGGGGTAGCACCCAAACCAAAACAACTAGACGTAAGGTACAATATGAAGGTATACTACTCCACAAACTGGTGTTCGGCATGTAATATCGCATAATCTTGGAGGTTAAACAAATGTCGCTCACACCACAATCTCAGGAAAGTGACTGACACGAAACACCTAACTTTATAAAGGAAGGTTCAATAATGAGTGGCCTTGGAAAAGATATGTTCGATAGGACACCAAATAACGGAGAAACACCACAGAGTTTTTTTCAACACAATACTGAATCACTGAGAAAGAAAGATATAATACATGTGAAATTATATAATCAAGAAACTATGAAATTTACCGAAAGAAAATCACTGAAAAGGGTTTGACCTAGGAATAGGCACTCTACCATTAATAAAGAGGAATTCAAATTACTAGTAAGTGATCAAAATAGTAAAAAAAGGTTACGTGATTTTGGCACATGACACCTGCTGATACTAAGTGTTCGACTGTAGCTAGCAAATTTGTGTAACTTTAAGTTAACAGTGACTGCACTGGACTCTAGTCCAAGAACTTACAGGCGAATGAACCCTTTCGGCCTTTAGCTGCAATTGCTGGGATCGTTACCCGTTGGGTTACTTCAGATTTTCAAATTCATTAATATTTATTCATTACTTTGAAGTGAGTGTTTTTTGTAGAACATAGTTTATAGTATTTGTGAAATATACATATTGATCAAAAAAAGGTATTTTTCGGTTCTCCGCGGAACAATAAGTTGAAGGAGGGAAGTTTGTCGTCTTAGAGGAGAGGCGGTTTCTTCGACTTTATTAAAGCTTGGCCGCGTATAGCATACAGAGGTGTTCCAGTTTTTTTGGAAGTCATGCAAGGGATGTCCATCTATAATACTTGATTGTGGCGACTCCATATTGTATTTGTAAATCAATCAGATGTGATTAGATGGACTTTTCCAAGGCTCTTAACAGAATTGATCACAGGCTTATTATTCCATAAGCTGCAATCCCATGGATTTTCCAACCCCTGATGCAACTTTTTGTTTGTCTTTTTCTGTTATTTTTTATTGTATCAGGTCATACGACTGACTCTGGATTACCACAAGACAATAGCCTGAGGCCGTAAATATTCATTATATTCATAAATGATATCGTTAATGCTGTTGGTGCGAATTGGTTACGCTGATGATTTTTTGTCGGGTTACTAATGAATCAGATCGCAGTTAACTTTTGGGAAACCTTATTAAGTTGGATGGTTGGTACTTACAAAACAATGTACGTAATTCAATCTACTAAATAAGGTTGGATGTTGTAATAAACAGAATGAGAAAAAGTAAAAAAGGATCATAGTCTGATTTATGTAGTGCAAGTCTTACATAAAGCAACTGTCTTACAGAAATGAGTCAAGCATTTTTTATATCAACGATTATTGATACTAAGTTTTCAAAAGACGAACTAACGCAAACTTCCCTTATTCTCACGCTTCACACAGCATGCGTTTGCACGGGATTCCAAACATAAATGTTAACTGTGAAATTTTTGCCTGCGTATCTTGAAATAGTCAATTATCATCTATTCTTTTAATAATCCCTATTCAAAACTAATTTATGCCGCGTGTCCAAGCATCTACGGCCCGCTGGCCAATAGGAACCCACGAATTAGAAGATCGCGTGCTAGTGTTTGTTTCGGCACAGCATAAATGAGATGATGGTCTTAATTGTAATCTTCCACAATCACAGTGCCCCCTAATTCCAATATATTTTAAACAGATCCGAATATGAAGGCGAGGTCCACTCCAAAACATCAGAGACGCCTGAAGCAAACAAATCGGGAGAAACGAATAAAGAGGATATGAACATGAAGTTCCTGGATATGTACAGCACCATTTATACAATGAGAGAAGAATTGGAAGGCATCAAAAAACCAACTGGTACCAAAGAAAATCCTGCAAGGACATGCAAAGATTTATATTACGGGCATTCACATTATAAAGATGGTAAGCTACGTTTGCATAGCTCGAAATTTTCTTTTTCTCATGTATGTACAGATATCGAGAGATTTCCAATAAGACATTCAGTGAAAATCCCTGAAAACGCCCTCTTAAACCAACTATTTCTAAATAATCTCGTTTAAGAAATAAAGCCTAGCTTGCTCGATTTCTAAATTTACGTAAAATAAGGTCCCTATGCGAGAAACGTGACACAACTCAAAATTTGTTGTTTTTGTGATTTCAGCACGTGTGTACATAAAATACAGTATATATTCACTAAGAAAACAACAGATTAGAGGTTCTAAGCAATATACTATAGTAGAACAAAGTTGGTTATTGCCATGAAGAATAACGATCAAACACGTTTTCTGTAAAATCACTTTTTTGGGCTATGGCCTCGGTTATGTCACTTTTTATTGAAGGGGCAATTATTTTCGTACGTCTTATAATGTATTCTTTATTAGTCTAATCATATTAGCACATTTTCCCGAAATAATTGTAAAGCCTGGTTTTATTGGTGTAAGTTGTTCACTTTCGAAGGAATCCCAAAAAACACGTTTTTTTCATTCTTTATTGTCGAATAAAAAGTTTTCCCACAAAAATTGGTGTACCCATTTTATGCGTTTATATTTGGAATACCCCTTTAAAGAACTTGCAGCAGTAAACCCTGATTATACAATTATTTCGCTAACCAGGGGTATTTTCGTCTAATATATGATTAGACTATTATGTCGCATTTACACATTGGAGCCAATATTGGCGCCATATATGTCTAAAATGTACATGTAAAATCGAGACCCGAAAGGGTATCTGAAAGTTATAAACTTACTGTTTAGCGGTGATTTATACAGGGTGTTCGAAAAACAGACCTAGATATTTTAGAGGGTGATTCCTTGCTAGAAAATATGAAAAAAAGTTGATACATACATGGGTCCAGAAATGCAGAGTTTTCAAGATACAGGGTGATAAATTTCAACAAATGATTATTTTTTTATTAATATCTAAAAAAATATTTATAGGATTCTGTTGGAATTTGGCAATATTATTTGCTGTATTAAGTGTATATTTGGCAGACTTGTTCAGACAAAAAATTGGAGACATCGTGAGCTACGCTGATGACACTGTGGTGATATAGAAATACCTGTACAAATGAAAACTGGACAGATCTAAGAACCTTAACACAAAATGATATTTGTAAAATCAAAGACTGATTTGGTAATAAGTTATTAACAATAAATTTTGAAAAAACTAATTTTATTCCCTTCACATCATACGCCATCTACAAATAAAAAACACTGGGGATAATACATGTAAAATAAATAAAGTAAATGGTGTAAAATATTTAGGAATGTACATAGATGCACACCTCAGGTGGGATATGCATATAACGTATGTCGCGAAAAAGTTGCAGTCCCTTCTATATCGAATAAGAAGAATTAAAAACATACTACAGTATTGTCAATTAAAAATACTATATCATGCATTGGCAGAATCTCACATAAATTATGGTATAATAGCATGGGGAGCAGCAAACGTAACTCATATATTTAAATTAGAAATAACTCAAAAAAATATTTTTAAGACAATATCTCATAAACCCCGGCTGTATCCAACTGACCATCTCTATAAAGAAACTGGTATATTAGACTTAAGGCAATTATACCTACTAAGAGTTTTGATAGTGCAACACATATCTCGTCCTCCCAACCAAGAGCCGATACATTCGTACCAAACAAGAAACAGGAATTATTTAAAGGTGCCAAAACCAGAAAAAAATGTAATGCTCATATCGTAGTCTTACCTAGGGCCAAGATGTTACAATCTTCTTCCACAACAAAAAACAAACAAAAACACTAATAACCTAAGATAGACTTTGTGCCCTAAATGAGACATTTTACCTTAAAAAGGATCTATAATTAAATGAAGCCATCCATACTCCCACTTTGTCAGATAATGTATTTTAAAATCCTATTTAATGTTGTTATTGTTCTTTTCTTAGAAAATCACGTGTGTCTTTTTATTTCTAGTTTAAGTAGTACGTAATTATTCATAAGCTAATGCATACCCGCGTACAAGGCTAGCCTTCTGCGGGTTTTCTACCATGTTTACTGTTCTAAAATATGTCATTTCTAGTTATCTGTTACAGTTTTGACAATAAACATTATTATTATTTTTTATTATCTAGCTCTCAATATATTAAAATTATTAGGTCCAGTGGCGACCCGGGCGGCACCTTAGCGAATATTATTGGCCAAAAAATGTACACCACTGCCTTTTTTGTAACTTTAATATTTATTGTTTGATTAAGAATCTAAAAATACAACTTCTTTGCCTTCTGTATTTTTTCGTATCTCACTTCGTTTTCGAGAAAAAAAAATAAAAATCGTCTTATTGCAAGTCACTGGACAATATTGGTTTATTAATTTTTGCTAAAAAAATCAAGTGCTTTGGAAAACAAAAAATCAAAAAAAGTGCACCTTTTCCAATAGGTACCATGACATAACGTACACTACAACAAATTAATACAAACTTTTTTTAATTTATCACCCCGTACCTTGAAAACTGCATTTCCGGAGCCACGTTTATAGAAACTTTTTTTCATATTCTTTAACAAGGAATCACCCTTTAAAGTATCTCCGTCTATTTTTCGAACACCCTTTATAAACACGCAAATGGTAAAACTCACATATCTCAGGTTCAGTTGAAGTGATTTTGATGAAATTTTAACAAAGGAACCTAAAATAAACGTAAAACTAATCGAACGCTTAAAAAAATTAGTAGCGGACTCAATTGCTTCGACAGGCTGAATATTGAAATGTTCGACGATGTACAAAAATTCTATGAATGATGCTCATTAACTGTCAAAATATATTGATTGCGCATCTTTTGGTTTTTTAACTGGAAATTAAATCACTACAAAATAATAAGATACATATCATTTATTTTGTTTTTCGTTTATATCATCTATTGTTCTTTTTTTTTCGGTGAAATAATAATATTCAGTGTAAAAGTTACAGCGCGTTGCACTTAATAAGATACAAAAAAACTCAATCCGGTCCTAGAATTTCCCTACATCACCTTTAATTTAATTCCCAGCACTATTTTGTAAGATGTTGACGGAATGTCACATAAACTGATTAAAAATAAACTAAAAGAGGCGTAATCGACGTATTTTGCTAATTAATAAGCACCATTCGTTGGTTTTTCTTTAAATAGTCAAAATCTTTAATACACAGCTCAAAAGGTGTTGATAACATAGACAGGTTGAAAGAATCGAGCCGGCCCCTTGATTTTTAAACCGTTTTACTTGTCTTACGTTACTGGGTACCTTTGTTATTGTGCAAAATTTCTTCAAAATCGGTTCAACAGTAAGATTAAAGACTTAACACGTTTAGAGAAATATCTGTGAAAAATTAATTTAAAACATTTTTATTTTGAGATATGGAAAAGTGCTAGTTATATACTACCTACCATTTCACTATGTCTATTTCCTAACGGAACACCCTGTAGAGTCTACAAATCTCATTTTGCAGATTGGTATTGGATCGATCCAAATCTGGGCATGCGGGATGACGCGGTCTACGTTTACTGTAACATGACAATGCAAGGCGAAACATGTGTGTTTCCTGACGAGCATAGCTCTAGTATGCCCAACATACCTTGGAGGAAGGAAGGAAATAGAAAGGACTGGTACTCTAATCTCAGAGGAGGATCAAAGGTAAGAAGCGATGCTTGTGGAAGACTTTAATTGATACAGTGGCTTAAAAAGACTTATCATATTACAACGAATATGTTACGACGGGCGGGATGCAATGGTAGATCCTCGTTCTGAAGAGAACCTTAGTAATATCACCAAGCACTTGAGCGAGTTTATATCTTCTGTCGGATACCAATTAAGTGAAGATAAATAAAATAAAATAAATAACTGAATATCTTTATTGCCAGTTGATTTAAAAAGTATATTATATTTTTCAAAGTTCTTCCGAACATGACATACTCAATTAAAAATATAAAGTCAGTATTATATCGTCATGATGTAGAGAGTCTTGAATAGTTCCCAAAAAGAAGTGAGCTTATTACTAAATGCTATTGTACCAATCACTCTTTTCTGCACAAGTAGCAAATCCGATGTATGTGAGCTGCTACCCCAACAAACGATACAGTAATTCATAGCTGACTATACGTGAGCAAAATAGTACATCCTAAGCACTCCAGTACTTACAAACTGCCTTAGTCTCCGTAACACAAAGCAATGCTTTGATACTTTGTTGACTAAACAGTCAATATGATACCTCCAAGTGCGCCTTGAATCGATCATAACACCAAGGAATTTAGTGACCTGAACCTCGTTCACCTTGGTTCCATTAATTTTCAGGTCAATATCACAATCTCTCATCCGTTGCATCTTCTATTCATTAATTACTAGACCGTTCCTTACACAGCAGCTATCCATGTGATATGATGCAGCTGACAACTGCTGAGTTGGATCTTCAGTTTTAACCCCCTCCGTGGTATCGTCAGCAAATAATGTAACAAAATGCTGTTCCATGAAAATGGGCGCAACGTTGATAAGCAACAAGAGCAATAGAGGCCCTAGTTTGCTTCCTTGCGGAACACCAGTTAAAACAAACTTGGTGCTAAAAGATAATTTACATCTACCATTATTAATGACAACTCTTTGTTCCTTGTCGGCTAGATAACTTTCTATCCAATTTAAAGCGGTTCCCCTGACTCAGTAGTTATTAAAACCTTCGAGTAAAAAAACATGGTTAGCAGTGTCGAAAACACGACTTAAATCTATAAAGAGACAACACTGTATTTCTTTCTTTTCAAGGCAGGTTAAGACAAAGTTACACAAAGACAATACTGAAATCCAAATTGGTGCCTGTAGATGATATTGAATTTGTCGGCAAATTTTATCAATTTATTATAATAAGCCTTTTCACAGAATTTTGCGAATACGGATAACAAAGAAATGCCTCTATAATTAGCCATGTTGGTGATATCATCTTTTTTATAGATTGGTATAACAAGTGATTCTTTCAGCTTATAAGGAAATATGCGTTCTGCAAAAGACAGATTTATCAGTGCTCCCAGAGGTTTTACAACTAAGTACTGAAAGTCATGATATTTAATAGGAATGAGCAAGATACTTCATCAAAGCCTGCTGATTTCTTTTTTGCGACATGTTTTAACAGCTCAACAGCTTCATCGTCAGTGACTGGGCTTGAAAACATGGAATTTGGGTTTGATGAGAGTTGGTACATGCTGCCGGCTGAAAGTTATAGATTTAGTCAGTTCCGATACAGGATTTATAAATAAATTATTGGATGCTAGAGATATCTCAAAAGCTTCCTATTGATGCATCGCCCGATCACTGATCTCAAATATGAGGAACATAAGGCCTCTACAAGCCGTCGCTATTCTGGTTTATCCTTCTTAAGCGTTTTCATCTGTCCCAGGATTTTTCCATTCGCGTTACCATATGTATCAGTGTTCACCTCCATGTAAGTCTAGGTCTTCCTATATTTTTGTCTTTGAGTGTTCCAGTCTATATACATATTCTATTTACTGATTCGTCCATCCCTCTTTGCCGTATGTGATCTATCCAGCTGCACTTCCGTTTTCTTATCCCAGTTTCTACTTGTCTCAGCCCCGATTTTCTCTACAGTTCTACGTTTTGTATTAGTCTTGGTCAAAATATTCGTAAAAACCTACGTAGACATCTATTGATGGAAACTTTATATTATTGTTGAACAATGGCACGTTGTTGTTGCGGATTATACTGACTGATAGCTAAAGTATAAATGCTTAGTTGTTGGAAGAGGTCTGGCACTTCTTTTGTATGAGACCAAACAAGAAACAACACTAAAATCGATGGTACTCATTTTCGTCAGTCTGTATGTCTGACTGTCTGTCAGTCATAGTGGGTAATGTTGTTGCAAATTTTGAAAATTTCCGCTATGAGCATGGAACATTAAAGTATTATATTGTTTGGTTAGGTAAAATTTTAACACATTTGGAGATCTTTTTTCTTTAGGGCATAATTAAAAAAATTTACAGAGGGTTGAAGAATTTCGAAATTTGACAAGACTCATATCATTTGACTTATGTTACGTAGAACTACAATGATCGATTACCCGGAAAGTAGGGATCATATAACAGGAAACATGCATTGTGATTCAAATATCGATCGATTATTTTTATTTGTAGTCTATATGGCTACAGAATGACGCTTTCAATATCACCTAATACTTGAGCACTATAAAATTGCAAATATTGAATGAAGAAAAATGCGCGGCGAATGTAAAATGTCGAAACGCAACGCTATTGGCGTGATGTCACCGTTTGCGACTTGTGACCAGCCAACCTTTTTTTGATGGGTTAGTCCGATTTAAAATGCAGGATGCAGGCGTTTGTTCTCACTATCAGTTTGATGTTATAACTTTTCAATATATAACCTATTTCACGAGTATCCAGCACGCTTTGACATCTACTGATGTGAAAGCACGGGTATCATGTAAAAAACCTATAAAACGTCAAAAAAACCTATAAGGTGAGAACTTGCAGACTAGGTAGTTTTTAGGGCGCAAACAGTCATTCCACGTTTGCTCACTAGGATCGTTGTGAACGTCCATCTATGGAGGAATCTCTCAACTAAACTACTCATTATTGGTTGCATAGTTTTGTGAGGCTGAGTGATCCGGGTCTGTAGTTTTTATCTCTGAGAAGAAAGTTGGTTGAATAGCAAGATCGCATCTGGATGATTTTGTGTATTGGTCTGCATGTGTATGAAATCAGTAATATTTGCTGTGTGAGAAAATCATTACTGAATATGCCGAATATGACGGGTTATTTATAATATATATATATATATATATATATATATATATATATATATATATATATATAAATATATATAATTAGGTGTATTTGAGACAAGAACCTAATGTATGTAATTATCATCAACACATACAACTTACAGCTTAGACATCCAGTAATGCCATCTCATAAGCAGATTTTACATCACATCAGAGCCAAAGATTGATAACAAGCCTCATGACGTTTAGGCAACACGCACAACTAAGTGCTAAGTTAACATCGTGTAGAATAACCTACATAATGTAAAAAAACGGCATGATGTAAAAAAAATCGGCATAATGTCACTTTTCAAGATACGTGATACCCGTGCAGCTGATCAGCAAGTGACATGTTTGTGTTAGGCTGCGACGTTGGCAACAACGAATCGGGTGTAAATTTAGTAAAACGTGTTTGTAGCATTTTTTTATGCAAATGAACTTTTCTAAATAAAAGGGCTGTTAGCAAGTACAAAATGAATCTGTATCGTGCAAAAAAAACAAAACAAAATACGGCTCTGACTACCTGACGTTGACGGATCTGTCAGAATTATGTGTCCTGTGCCGATATGGTAAGTTTTGAGATATTACTAGATAATCAGCTGTCATTCTACCGTAATGGATACTCGTGAAATACGGTGTATGTCAAAAACTCGACAGTAATCTAAAACCTAACAAAAAAACAATCAAATGATATGTCGAGGATGGTGACGTCACTGCCATGTGCGCCAAAAATGGAGCGTTTAAGTCAACGTGGTTGGCATTGCAGCTTTAGATAGGTATTTAATTGAAAATAAAATTTCCATGTATGAAATATGTTTCTATGGTATTATATTGATGTAAATAATCGAAAACCGATACAAAAAAACCATGCATATTCCCTATTACAAGTTGGAGCTAAAATATGTTTTCAAAATGGAGGCACTTATGGTTGTACTGAAAGTAGATACCAACTTGCTTATATTGAATAAGACACTGTGTATTATACAAGTATTCAGTTTTTATATTCTTAGTGGTATTCTAAACATATTTGTATCATCCTATACCGTTCTTTGTTTAAAAAATCACATAATAATTATTATCATTTCCTGTATTTGCTATAAGATTTGTAAAGGTTTGATTATACAAAGGTACATACTTTAGTAGGCTTTATTCGATAAACAATAATATAATCTGGGAAAATTAACATAAAAATCAGCGATTAGCTCAAATAAGTTGTGTATGGAGCCAGATGACATATTAAACGACCCCGACTGTGGGGTGAGCTAGTGAGAGGGGACACAGAGGAAATAGGGGGAAAGGTCGCGTTTTTCAGTTTTTAACTTGAATTTCGTAAATTCTATTAACATCTTTATAATCACTTCCACATGAGTAATCTACATTAAATCTCCAACAAATTACGTTGTATACATGTTTACTGTAGGATCGACACTTTTAGAGCTACATAAATGGTATCTTAGTTGACAAAAATTTAAAATAGAATTAGACTTGTATGTTCTATACATTCTGTTACAAAAAATAATACCTAATTGTAAGCATTGCTTACTACAGTCACCTGTATCCATTTTTCTAATGTTGGACGCATGATTCTCCTACCACGGGTCATCCTTCCACAGCTCTTCATAGTGTGCATCAAGGTCTGTTCTGTTGTCAGACAAACCTGTGGTTGCTGAAGTTAGAGATGTTGAACTTATAGTATTTATAATAGCTCTGACTCAACTAGCTCAAAAAATATTGTTTGTCAAGGTAGGACGGATAAAAGTAGGAACTATCAACTTCCTCCCAAAGATCTTCAAAATTGGGGTTAGATTATTTTTTTATAGCTCCAGTGGTTTTGATACAACTTTAACTCACAAAAAGGGCAAAGCATCAGTTATCATGTTTTTTGAACAAAATCCCTTGACATAGGTAATTGTATTTCATAATCCAATCCAAAAATGATCATGTTGCGCGTTGCGCCATAGCAGAAGCAGGAGAAAATATGCTTCTTGCAGTATACCGTACGCCCTCTACATAGAGTGAGCTTAACAGACATTTTTAAACTCTTTTTCTTAAATCAAATACAAATACCAAACGATCATTCTTCGCTTCATCCTACCAAAGGATCAGCGAAATATCACCCATATGGAAAATTTTGCAGGGGTAGCTAGGAAACCAAATTGCCACCTGAAATGTGAGCTTGAATGTGAGGAGTTGACGGAAGATTCAAGCAAATCACGACCTTAGATCCTCGTGCTCCTGACACGTTATTGAGTTCTATTCTCTACTGATTAAAGAGTGGCTGTTCCGGCAAATGCAGTTGCCGAAAAGCGGGCGTTAACTGCAGTCTAATCTATAATGGCAGCTTGAGAGTATTTACCAAGGATTTGATACCTGTGGAATATTTTCATTCATTATTTTTTTTATAATAACTGTAATATACAAAATTCTATTTTTCGTTTATATCAACTAAGACTGTAATGTAGATTATTGATGAAGAAGGAATTTTGAAGATATTATAGTAATACGAGAAATAAGCATAAAACTGAAAAGTACCTTTCTTCCCTTTTTAGTACATGAATCTGGATACCTCATGTAGTAGTTGTACCCAGTGACATAACTACACGAATTATTTGGTCTAATTACCTTAATTTTATCAGGAAGTCCCCAGCAATTTTTTCAAATGGAAGTTGCATGTTCTTTATGTCCTCATCATAGCATTAAATTAGCATTATTTTTTTATAAGGTTGCCTACTGCTCAAATTTATTCAAGGGTATTTCAAAAATTATACTAAAAGCATATTATACCCCATTCGTAGTCCTATTGACGCCCAGACAAAGCACAACATGCCCAAAAGCGAGATTGTACAGGTCCGTATTTTCCTCAATGGCGTTTGAGTAATCCAACAAAATAAATGACTATTTTTATAGAAAGAAGTGCACATACTTTTAGCTAGAAATAATTGAATCATCGTCCGAATGGTTAATATTGATTATTACAGGTTCAATTTTAATATCGATCACATTGTCCTGATCCTACATCTTTGTTTCGATTGTCTCTTGACGGATGCAATCATTCCAATCGTTTGCCGTCACTCTATTGACAGCTTCATAAACAATTTTCGCGTCAGAGAATTCTATATTTGCCAAAATCATTTCAATGGGATCTAATTCTCAGAAATAAAGCGGTAGCCTTAAAACGGTCTTATTTCTGTTTTTAGCCATTTCGTAAATACCATTAAGATTATATTTATATTTGTGCTGCCTGACTAGATGGATAAGTTCTGTTGACCATATTTTCATTGAAACCAATGACTTTTGTTCAATTTCTGCCTTTTTTGTGGCCATTGTGGGAATTTCTAGCTGTCTAGTGTGGTATGCAGCATTATCAAGTATAATGACGGCATTGTCGTCAAGCTTTGGGAGGGCTTCTTCAAACCATCATTCAAATGAACTCCTGTCCATTTCTTCATGGAAGTCGGTCGTTTTCTTTGACTCAAATGTCCATAGGGCAGTGGATACAAAGCTGTATTCACTGCCATTGTGACAGATCGTTTTCCTCATAATAATTATTTCATATAGTATTCAAGAAAACTAATAATAATACAAGCAGAGTATCTAACAGGTATTGGTTCCAAATCTACCAGATAAAGCTAAGTTTAGTGTAACTAAGTTTTCAGCGTGGACTCATAGATTTAGTCTACTTGACACCATTTTTACAACACAAATAACGAATTGGTTAGATACACGTACTTGACGCATTCTTAAGGCCAGTGATTAGTCCATCTAAGAAGGCTTGTCTTGCTGATTTAATTGTAAAGCCAGCCCATACTATAGGTTTATATGTCCTGCAATTATCCAGGTTTCATCCAAGTAATAAATCTTCCTGCCCTGGTCGCGGTATTTCTTCATTGATTTTAAATAATTTCTTCTCCATAAAATAATCTCTTGGCTGTCCATCTAAATACTATTTCTGTCCCGTTCTCTATACTCAAAATGAAGTTCTTTGAGTAAACTATAGAATGTGGTCCTTTTGAAAATAGCTAAGTCTTCATCACTATTAACCTCCTGTAATACTTTGTCTATGGTGGGAAGTTCCTGCCTTTCAAAAAAATGATGTACTTTGTGACTGATGGCATTCCGATCAAAGTTATCAACTATATCCAAAAGGTTCGTGTAATGCAGCCTCTTGTACAGTGGACACAATTTTTGTTATATATTCTTTAACAATATTGAAAATTGTCTTAGGACATAAGATTATTTTGTTCGCCACACGTATTTCAATATCATGAATTTCATTTCAGGATGCTCTTAAATTTCGCTCTTATAAACGTTAAGGACAATTTCTTTTGCCTGAATATTCAAATGTTCCTGCTTATCACGTTTTCGGGGAGGATACATCACTGAAGAGGAAGCATGGCTGAAGGAAGCATTGGGGGAAATTTCATCTGCTGTATCCGTATACGACGTGCTAACGTATACACAAACGCTATGCATGCACCGAATATGAACAGCAACTGCCGGCGTCGGCGTGCCGGCGTTACCCCGAGCCTGAGTTCTATCCTGTTCGTATCCTGCACTTGTTCGTAGTTTTATGTCCGAATGACCAATAGCTATTGCAACGCTTCGGCGGCTGCGGCTTTGCCGCGCTGCATCTTGGTTGCGCCAGGGCGTAAATGGACTACGAATAATTTAGAAGAAAAATCAATGAAAGCGTAATCCTTGTGAGATAAACGTAATAACGACCGTATTTTATTATTCCAGATTACTTATGCTACGATTGGCACAGTCCAAATGACGTTCCTCAGACTGCTTTCTCAAGAAGCTTACCAAAACTTCACGTACACGTGCATCAACAGTGCTGCGTGGTTCAACGCTAAGACGTTCAAATACGACATGTCCGTAAAGCTCCTTGGTGACAACGAACAAGAATTCTCACACAATGGTATCAAACCTGAAGTTATATTCGACGGCTGTAAAGCAAGAAAAGGGAAAAGTGAAACTGTTTTCGAAATTAAGTCCAAGCGAATAGGCCGATTGCCTATTGTGGATTTCTATCCAGTGGATTATGGGGCTCCTAATCAAGCATTTGGGTTTTCTGTAGGACCTGTTTGTTTTAAGTAAAATCAGAATGTTAGGCAAAATGATGTGATTGTGAAGCAATTGCCTAATGGAACAATATGAACACAAACTGCTGTCTTGATTCGGGTCTAAAGACCGTGGTCGGTTGGAATTTCTTCCTAACGTTTCGCTAGCACGAGTGGCAAGCTTCTTCAGAGGTTCTTCCATTTCAGATGCTGGATGCAGACCCGTATCAATACAGCAGTTTATCAACTGGCCGCGAAAGCCTTAACCAATTTGTCAATATGAACACAACTATTAACACCTTATATGATCTATGAAATCATAACACCCTGAATATAATCCCTAATCTGTTAAGCAATATTTATGAGCAGACACTTTTGTTGACCTCTTTGTTGTAAATTCTGCATCGATTTTTTATCATTGACACAGGCGGCATAAGTTGCAGTACATCCCTCGAGGCCTAAACCAAAACAAGTCAGTATTAAATCTCAATTCAAATCAATATAAAAATAGGCGTTTGAAAATATGAGCTATGATACTCTTCCACATATTCTTTCTTGAGTATTGTTGACTTAAGTCAGGCATATGCCTCTTTATATACTTATGATAATCATTTCATACTTTTAAGAAGCATTTAGAAAAATTAAAAAAAAATTGTTGATAGGTTTGTACTTGTTGTTATAGCACCTTTTTGTATATATAGTTAATGTTATGTTATATGATATATGTATCCAAATGTAAATATTTCATGAACCAGAGACTACCTTTTGCATTTAGTTGTATTTTTGTACTTATATGTATGTATTTTATTGCTGTATACAGAAATAAAATTATAAATGTTACAGATCGAAAAATGTGCAAATAATTCAAGTTATTGGAAATACCAATAATAAATAGACGCGGGGTTAATATACCTGGCACTTATACCAGGTCATCTCACCATTGTATACAAGAGATAATCTCTCTAGCCTCTAGACGTTATGTAAAAAAAAGCAGATGCCTTCCATTCATCCAAATAAGCAGACCATTATCGTTAATATTTATTTCCTCATCATACGTGAAGAAGTCGATAACTTAAAGAAATAAATGTATTCGTTACAACCCGCGTTCTCCCCAGAAAATGCGTATGTTACGCTCAAAGACCGAAAACGCTTATTGAGCGAAAAGATATCTCGCAACGTATTTAGATTGTTTAACAACCGATATCAAGCACATACAGTGCCGGATGCTCCGCTGTTCGATTTTCGTCCACCGGCGCGCATGACGTCACGCGGAGAGTGATTATCATTTGGGTTGATATAGATAACGTGCATATTTTCACCTACAGGCCAAACGGCTGGACGGATTTTCACATATGAGGTTTTGTTGGATTCGTCTTAGCGGTGCGAGTGACACTAGCTACATTGAAATTTTATAAAAAACAATATGGTGGATTTTAGTAAAAGATGTCAACCTTGTAATTCCTACTTCATAGACTACAAATCAAACGTCTTGATAGATTTTCACATATGAGGTGTCGATGGATTCGTCTTAGCGTCGACACTGGCTTCATTAAAATTCTATTCAAAACAAAATAGTGGATTTTAATAAAAGATTTCAACCCTGTAATACCTATTTCACAGGTATAGCTTAAACGGTTTCTAGCTCCACAATAGAGCGTATCGTTTCTTCACTGTAAAAACAAGATAACTCCATTTTTCTACATTACCTATATCTTAGTATGTTCGGTGGAGCAGGATTAACATGTTATGTCATAATACTGTACTACATTTATCCTTATTCCACACAACATCCTAAGTACATGTAAGGTGGTGGTAACAGTAAATGGAAGTGACTTAGTCTAAGCAACAATTTTTTTCCATTTCCTTTTACGATCTTTCTGTTCTTTCAAACTTTTACTCTGTTCTTTGATTCGGAAGAACATCCTTGACCAGAAAAATAGTTTTTTAGCTTTTTCATGGCATCAGTCAATGTTGCTGCTCTTCAACAGAAGTTCACCTATAAAATTTTGCTTTTTTGTCACTATTCCGTCCCCATTGAATGTAGTGAATACCTACCTTGTTCAGCTTCTCCATTTGATTCATGAAGGCTGAGAAAGGTTTTGATAATCCACCCTCACTAAGATGGTCTATCCATGAATAAGTTTCATTTGAGGAACTTTTCAACCTCACATCCTGCAATATATGGCAAACAAAGCCGGCCAAATTTTCCAGCCCGTCATACTCGAGCTCATCTATTTCTTCTACTAAGACTTGCTCGTTATAGTCAGCTGATACTTCAGGTGCATTCAGTTTATTCGTTAATGTTGCTGTTAGTGGAATGTCTGGAGTATCCTCTGACTATACGCTGCAATACTATGAGTATGCGCCTTCGTTTCGCCCAAAAATATATGATCCTATCCTATATTTAAACTCTAGGGGACTTGGATGGTCATGAAGATCACGTTTAGCCCTAATTACTCTGAAAAAGTTTTCTATCACATCTTGATTAAGACGTCATCTGTAGAACTCCATGTCTTTGCAAGGATTCCGTTTAGACTGGTTGTCGGAACTACATCCCACAACAGCACATCGCATTTTTAACAATTTATCAACCATACAGGCTATACAAAGTGTGTAGCTAATAGAACTAGTCACAAAAGCACCAAAAACCACCAACAAATCGCACTATATACTATTAACCACGATACACGTGAACTGCAGTAACGTTACGACAATCCTGCCGCTGGTAACCACGAGCCGACAACTCTCCGGGTGACGTCACGAAGCCCCGCCCACATGCGCAATATCCTACCTTCAGTGTATATAATCAAATCCAAGCGAATAACCAAAATTTCTGTGTTATGTGCCGCGGTTATAATATGGTTCAAGATGACACAAGGGTTGATGACGTCAGTTACACGAATCGCTTGAACGCGTTGGGTTTAACCGCGGTTTTGTTGCAAGTTGTTTATTTTAGAAAAGCGCGTATATAATCTCTGATTATTTTTAATATCACTTAATAATCGGTGCTTTTTCGTCTACAACTGTATATGGAAAGTTTAAATAAGAAACCTTTCATAATATTCATGGGAGAAATGTTTTTTCGGATTTTTTTTTAATGATGGAACCATGGCTTTGTAGCTATGATAACCTTCAATTCTCTAAATTTTTCCGCATGTCAAAGAAAACATTTATTGATTCAGCAGAAATGATGAAAAAAGAAATTAGCAAAATCGTATACAGGTGGATATCATCTAGTGAGTTTATATGGCCATATTTTAATATTCTTGTGGTATATGGCCACACAGGATACTTTGTTAAGCATAGGAACTACGTTTAAAGTGTCCCCAACAACCGTAATGAGTATAACTAATAAGGTGCTCCACTTTATGGTAGAACTGAAGTCAGCCTGTATCATTTTTCTCAAAAATTAAGCTGAAGTACAATAACAATATCCAACACCCGGCAAAATTCTAACTTGTCACATTTCAAATAATAACCAGAAATATAAAACTACTCTTGAGTTGGGTAAATACCACAATTTTGCGGTGATAACTATGACATATAACAGCTGATTCGTGACGTCACGGATCTTATAACCAAACTGATAACTACACTCGCTTGAACGGATTGGTAAATACCAACCCAAAATGGTAAATACCATTTCCATTTGGTTATCCGCTTGAATTTGATTTATGTATCGTGAGCACTTATCAAGTCCGTTATGAGCCACAAAACACATAAGACTGAAGAAGTGGGAGCTACACGTTAAACGGTGACAACACCGTTGACGTTTATTAGATGGTTGCGCCGCCTACTTGCCTGGAGATCTGGAGGAAGTATTGAAAGAATGCCGAGAATGCGCCTGGAATAAGGAATGCTAGGAATTTCCCAGGGATTTCGTTTGTTCATAACTTGAAATCTGCTGAAAATTGTATTTCCGATATTTCATGAGCAGATTCAATAACATATGCCCAATAAGGGTAATATCTCTTTCAGCAGTTTTGCTGAGAACAAGGTTCAGAATAATAAAATCCAACACTAATTATGAAGCACAAAATATATCTAGTTACAAAAAACAATCCTGTTGACAATGGTACGATAATTGTATTAAATCAAAATATATATAGATTTATTCCAAATTCATGTTGTGTGTTATAAAACAGGGGTCTCACTTCATTGGATTGCTTCTTGATAATTCTGAAACAATACAGAAAACACTAATGTAATTCATAATTATTTGTAAACAAGCTTGTCACTTTTAACTAATTTTCTCAGTTCTATGCCGTTGATTTGTTGGCCTAGATGGACAGAATTTTACTTTATAAAGCTTAGAGCTTTATGACTGTGCACTGCCGATATTACCATGTCGAATTTAAAACAAAAAAAATCGTACTTTTGGTTGAATCGAGACATCCAATTTCAAATGATCTACCAACTACATCATACTGATTTTTTAAGTTCATAGTCCACCTGTAGAATTTATTACTTATGGCAGAGTCTCCTGAACTTCTGCATCTCCCACAATAGTCACAATACGTCTTACGTATACCATTACAGCTACTGATAGTGTTCCTTTATATTTTATACTCATTTTTAACGAAAAATCTCCGAAAGCATCTGGATATCAACCAAAACAAAAGCCATATTTTTACATTTAGATTAAGATTAAAGATATAAAATCCCGGCAAGCACGTCACGGGATGCCGATTCCTCGAGTTTGCCTGGAGATGATGGCCTTGGTGGTGCCAGTTCGCCAACCCATAAGACGTTTCACCCCCCAAAACATTTTTTTGCAAAGACGTACATCATATTTAAATACACCATTTTGATCGTTGACAAATGGATATCTTATTCGTTATCAGCGATCTGGAAAATGAATAGAAATTTTTGTAAAATTAAGTGAATTATTCTGACTTCTGGCTCAGTGTGCCGCGTATAGTAAACTTCCTAATTATAAAGTTTCCTATAGTCGAAAATATTGCTCGTTTCTAGTTCATATAACAGTATAACATGTATCTTTTATAAGTCTGGAAGAATTAATTCATTCTCAGCGCTCAAACTCTGACGAGTCGCAATATATTGCTTGTATATTGGTATACATAGACTGTTGTGCAAAATTATATCTATGCAATAAATAGAATTGCAGAAAGGTTTTCTGTGTACCGGTTTCACTTATCCTCCACATTATAATGGTTAATAGTTAAATATACTATGCGGAACATTATGCTTTGGCACACATCAACAGTTCTAATTAAGCCCACACGCGATTGATGCCACAGTGGTTAGAAAATTCCTAAAACAATGGCAAAATTAGAAAGACTCACTAAATTTTGCAAAATTTGTCACAGATCAAAATTATGGACTAAATATTAATATAATAATACTATTCGTCATTTGTTTGTCTGGGCGGTCCGTAGGACCTTTGCCCATTAGTCACTGTCTAATGTACGTTAGTCGAATCTGTCAGTACTGGTTGCCCAAAAACCGGACATTGTCAAGGAAAAAGAGAAAGGGAAAGAGAAGAAAAATGAACAGCAAAGAAAAACAGAAGCTTTTTGCTTAAGAGAAGACACCAAGGCTTTTTGACTTGGTACACGGATTAATTTCGAGGTGAACTAAACAAATTTTGTTTCGGTTTTGTTAGAGTATAATTTTAAGTTTACTAAAAGTTCGCGCTAATTTTTGATTACAGTGATTACTGTGTAGTCCACTGAGACGCGCAACAGATGGTTGCTGTGCGATTCAGCTTGACCATAACGTCGCTGCGCCTGAATTTTGACATAATGCCTCAAGTAAGGAATGTCAAAGTCTCTGTGTAGTGTCTCGTTTGAGACATACCATGGAGCGTTGCAAATTGTTCGCAAAGTTCTACTTTGCAGTACTTGAAGACTTTGCATATGTGTCTTGGCAAGAAAGCACCAAGCTGCACATGCATAAGTAATGGCTGGTCTAATAATCATTTTATATAGGCGAACTTTGTTTATCAAACTCAATTTGGAGGATCTACATAACAAAGGATATAGTTGCCGAACCGCAATTTGGAATTTTGTTTTCAAGGCTGCTGTGTTTCTGCCAGGTCATGCCTTTATCAAGGGTGACAACGAGGTAGTAGAATTTGTCCATGGCACACGATTGCCATCTACAGAGACCTCTGCTGGGGGGCCGCGACGTTTTTTGGTACAATAAATAGCCTGCGTTTTCGCATGATTAATTTAATCAGCCACCGTTCCACCCACTCTAGTACTTCTTCCACCGCACTCTGCAACCCATCGTGAACCAGATCATCAGTACACGATTGGTCGACAAGTGCAGTGTCGTCAGCATAGAGGTAGACTTCACAGTTGCTGGGGTAAGGGACATCATGCATGGCTAAAAAGCGAATAAAGGTTTGGTCCTAGGACCTAACCCTGAGGAACACCGGCCCGTACTGATCCGTATCCTCCTTCCTTCAAGAAGGGATTTGAGTAATTTTAGAAGTCAAAAAAGGAAAACCCTTTTGGATTAGTTTATAAAGGAGGCCCGCGTGCCACACCTTGTCAAAGGCTTTTGAGACATCCAAAAGCAAGATGCCAGTACTCATGCTGAGGGTGAACCCCCTGGTTACATGTTCCAGCAAGCTGACTGCCTGTAGCTCGGTGCTATGCTCGGACCGAAAACTGAATTGAACGTCAGGAATCACATGGCGATTTGACGAAAAATTATGAAGGTGACGATAAATCAACTTTTCGGCGAGCTTAGAAGGAGCTGACAGAAGACTTATGTGTCGGTAATCCTGAGGAAATATCGAACCCACCTTCTTTGGAATCATGATGATCTCAGCAGTCTTCCACCCAGCAGAGAAGTACTGGATTCTGAGCGTCGCATTGATTATTGTCACGAAATATGTCAAGGCTTTCGGCGAGAGCAGCTTCAACGCCTTGTTGGTGATTTGATTCTCCCCGGGTGCTTTACGCACCTTGAGGTCTTTAATATGACTTACGAGCTCCGCTGGTGTGCAATGTGGAAACTCAGAGGGTTCCGCTAATGTGCTATGTGGAGCCTTAGACGAATCTTCTGAAGAAGAGTCATCCGAAGAGGATTCAGTGCCTCCGCTAACGCCGTTGGCCCTAAAATATCTCCTGACGGATCGTACGATGTGCTTTTCCGTGCAGTGCGTTTCTCACTTCATGGACAAGATTTGTAGCCCTACGAATGTCATCAGGATGACAAGATCTTTTTGCCTATTTAATAGCTGCTCTTTTGTTAGAGATTTTCTGACGAATCTCCGCAGGCGAAAAAGGTCTGTCGTCTCGTTGTACAGGAAGTACAGCTGCATGCTGTAGAGCTGCTTGAATGAAACTTGTCCACTCTATTCCATCTATTCCAGACTCATCATCTATAATCGGGATATTGGGAAACTCTCTAAGGAGCAACTTGTTTAGCTCCCAATCAGTGCGTTTTCTTGGAGGAGCTTCCTCCTCAGAAGTTTGCTCATTGCCCACATCCAAGACAACAGGTAGATGGTCACTAGAGATATCATACAAGATTCGAGAAGAGATACAGTATATTCAGTTTTTAGATATCGTGAAGTCAATGACATCTGGTGCCTGAAGATGGTTGAATGGATGGTGTGTCGGCTCTTCAGTGCTATGTATAAGGTACCTATTTCGCATCACATGGTTGTACAATCGAATCCCACTAGTGGAATTCAACCTAGAATTCCATGATCGATGTTGAAGTCCCCTGCCATAATATGCGGACCCCAGTAGTCCAAGAGGACCTCCAGAGCCGCCTCTTGTAGCCTGGCACCACACCTGACATACACCGATGTGATCTTCAACGAGACACCTCCCGCCATATTGACCACCACAGAAGCTGCTTCGATGCTATGCATCTCCGCATTAATGCTTCTACAATAGTATACACCGCTCTTAATCAACACTGCTAAACCGCCGCCTCGACTATTCAATCTGTCACCTCGGATAACATCATAATTTGGGTGAGCTAAACGATCTCCCGGATTAAGCAACGTTTCTTGCAGCAGGGCCACGTCTATACCTTCATCCAAAAGGGCTTGATAAAATTCCCGTTTTTTTTAATATCTCTCATGGCCAAACAATTCCAAAAAAGCATTTTGATGAAAGCAAGCTGTCTACTATTGTACCTACACATTTACAGGGTAGCGCTAATCACTGGGCTTATTATTTGTTGTGAGGACCTTAGCGCGGTTGCCAGGTCCGCATTTTACGTGCTCAAGGGAGGTTGGGCAGAGGGGGCAGGCAAGGTTGCCTCCCTAGCTGCGTCCGCGTATGATAGATTGCGCTTTTGCGCTATAACTTGCAAGTTCCTCCTTGGAGTGAACTTGCAAGTCCGGCTATTTGCGCGATGTCCCTCTCCACAGTTCGCGCACTTGCGCTCTTCCTCTTCTGTGAGGGGGCACAAATGCGTCATGTGGTCATTTGCACATTTTAAATACTTTGGACGGTGCAGTGCAATACGACTGCGCATGCCCGTACTTTTGGCAGCGGTGACACTGCCCAGTGAGTCTGGAGTTCTTCTGAACCTCAACTCGAATGGCCAGTACCAACAGTTCGTGTTCGTTGAACACTTGCTGAGACTTTTCAGTCTTGGGCAGTATCACGACCACCAAAGACATGGGCGCGCCGCCGCTACGCTTCAATCGAATGATGTGGAGAGGGCTATATCCCCTCTGCTCAAGTTCTCCCTTAATCTCAGTATCCGAAAAGTTGACGCGAACTCCTCGAACCACCGCGTGGATGTTCTGTTCCGAAGGGAGAGGAAAGGTGTGATGGGGCACTTCTTCTTCTCGGAACAGTGTAACGATCTTACGATAGTCTTCCTCAGATTTAGGAATAATCCTTATTTCCACATCAACAGCAACCGCGCGATCTATTTTAATGCCTAGGGAAATGATTGTAGTTTAACGTACGCCACCTCGCCCCATCACACAGAACAATGGGCGTTACGCGCCTTTGGCGTGAAGGTTGGCTTAATGCCACGTCGGCTGAGCGAGCTGGCTGAGAAGTGACATTGGCCGACGGGGTGACCTTAAAGGTAGATAATGTAGTCCCTCCGCCAGCCGATGACAGAGGTTTGGTAATAGACATAGTGTTACTGATATTTTCTTTGATGAAGTGGGGGAGGTGCGTAAGAGAGTGGATTCTGTATTTGGAACAGGTGGAAACTCCTCGGCTCGTCAGTCAGTCTTGTTGCTTCTCCTCCTGCTAGATTTTGCGTTTATAAATCCGTCGGTGTGTGTGTGTCATCGTCTGTGGATGTATATTGATCGTCGGCAATGGTCCGTAGCGGTCTCTTTAGGCTGTTGGTCCGTTCTTTGGGGGATTCTTTCGAACTTATTAGAAGAGTTACCTACCGGTCAGGCTGTCAATTTTAGCCGTCTGGACCTTGATTGTCTGCATGAGTTCTCGGATTTGCCTCCCCTGGTCGTCTATAATCATCATCACTTTCTCGTTGGTTTTCTGCTCCGATGACATCTGCGTCAATGGGCCCATGTTTTCAGTTTTTGAACGTGAATCGCCGCCGCTCAGCTCCCTCCCCATTTTCAGTGGTACTGCTTCCTCTTTGAACCCTTCTGGGTCAACCTCCATATTAAAATAGCTTTTCTTTCCAACAAACTCGTAAAAAACCTTTAAGCTCGCAAACGTGACAATGTTGTCAAAACCCTTCTTACAGGGCGTTTTTACAAGCATGGTCTAAATATGATGTACATCTTTGCACGCAAATGCTTTGATTGAGCTCCAAATTGAGTTTTAGATGTTTTCAAGCTCGCTAATAACGACCTTGGAATCTATTATTCCAAAACCGGAATAGCGGTTCTAATATATGGCAGCTATGTTAGCAAAAAAATGTTTTGATCGCGCTCAAAATTAGGTTTCAACTGTTTTTAAGATCGCTAATAACGAATTAAATATCAATTCTTAAAAAATCTAAATGGCGAATCCAGTGTGACGGCTTTATATTCGCAAAAATTTTGTGGACTGCGCTTAAATTACAGTTTTATATGTTTTCAAGATATAATTTATATGTTGCTGTATAATGTCGCATCACTGCCCAACTTTTGCAGTGAGCTGTAGCTAAAATTTGCATCATATTTCTTCACAGAATATCTAATAAACATGCTACTATTCGAAATAGAATGGCCTCTAACGGGCTTTTTTTAACTACTTTTGAATTAACTATGACTTACGAAAAAAAATATCAATTACATATTGTTTTCGTATAGTGACGATTGGCAAGTAATACATTACCATGTCATCATAACTCTACGTACCTTCGAACCACAATCCATTTTGAGACATCTCAATACAGTTGATATTTTGAAAGGAGACACTTTTCGATTATATAAATGCACTTTAGTCCTGAACTATGCCTATGCATCTTCTCGTTGGCACGGACGAGGTTCAAGGAGAATTCCCCCCACAGCCACAATATGATGTCTGTAACAATATTCACATTATCTCGAAATAAAAGCAATAATCTGTCCCCGTGCACCAATTAGGGTATTTATCTATCATAATAAACACATATACACATACGCATCGGTTCGTAGTAGCGATGGTAGCTGGTGTCATGTGACGTCATCGCTCAGTCTCGAGCTCCAACAAGATGATTCTCCACATAAGGAATTTCTGGGTAGCGTAACTGTCATTTTTTTAGAGATTCAAAAAAAATTCAGTACTGTCTTTCACTTTACTTGGACTATTATTTTATGTGCATTTCAAAAAATAGGAGACTTCCCCATTGTATACGGTCTAAGTTCTAGGTAATCGATCGCCGCGGTTATTTTTCGTGGCACGCCCTGTATGCCCCAATTGCGGTGCAAAAAAAATTATCCATTTAACAGTTAAATACGTCCGTGTTACGTTGGGTTTTTGACAATATAGCGATATTATAATGTATTATTTGTACTTCTGAATAAAGAAAAAGACCCATTTATGTTTGTAATTCAAATAATGGTACGCCATTGGTTTTAAATGGCGACTATGCGCCAAAATTCATTAGGAGTTCGCTCTTCTATTTTCGGATGTTTCATGCTTCAAAGGCTTAAACTGTCACCCATTTGTCAGTTGTCATTCACTACGGTCCATTTTTATTTTTTAAGCCATGTCCAGTTATGTCAGAAATTCAGAAATTTTTGTTTTTTCAGTAATTGCAGTTTTCAGGTTTTAGAAGGCAGCGCAAAAATGTCGGATACTACCCAGAAAAAAATTGATGAGCTTCTGCACCGAATACAGAGCACCCCGCCAAACCCGAGCGGAGGCCTGGCCCCAAGTCGTCCCAACTTATCATGTAAATATTAGGCTATTTCCATTAGATTTCTGAAGTGTCTTCTGTTTTGAGAACTTCGGTTATTTCCAAGACTACAACTTAATTATATTTCGCAGCTTATGCTCAGTTGCACTGCAAAGCTAAGGGTCAAGATGTCTACAGAAGTCTGAAGCTATCAGACATAGATTCTTGTAAATACTCATACTACTGTCGTCAACGTTTCCCTACATATAATATGAAGTTGTGTTTATTATGATTTCAGTGGGACTGAACAGTAATAATAGCAGAAGCCCTGTGCTGCCACGACCAAAGCATTTGAATTTCATGACAAAACAAAATGATAACATAGAAACTGAAAGAAAACTCAAAGAGATCATGAAAATAAGTGGAGATCTCACAATAGATGGAACCCTATACAAGACAGATATTAAAGATATGGTTGATCTTGAAGAATTAGGAAATGGTACATGTGGACATGTGGTGAAAATGAAACATAAACCTAGTGGAAATATTATTGCTGTCAAGGTAATTCTTAGATAATTTTGTGGATGTTTTCTTATAGGTTTAGAGAGTAAACATTGTATTCAATCACAAATTGTCATGTTCCAAACATCTAAATAATAGATCTGTATACTATAGACAACACACCACACTTTATCCAGAGCTTGGAATTAACTTCCAATGTAAGATTTGAACCTGTAAGCCTCAGGTTGACTAACTAGTAGCTCAATATGCTTACCATTTGACTACCTAGAGACCCATTTTACGAAAAGGAATAATCTATTATTATATTTAAGATAGCCTAATGGCATAATGATTCAGGCTATCGGTCTACTAACTAGTTGTTATTAGCTGAGTACTCACCTTCTTTCCCCTGTATCCTTTAATAGCCCCATGTCACCTAACTGTCTTTTAGGCCCTCAGCTAGTATAAAAAAATTATACTACTCATACATTTATATCAACGTATGATAGGTATTTGTATAAATTAGTATGACTGGTTGGCTCTATGCAAAGTTTTTAACTAATGCTTATTTGTAATTTGGGAAATGTTTGTTCTCCTTGAAGCAATATCTTCTAAATATTAACTGAATTAATATTTGTTGTAAACAATATGTGCTAATACTTGAACTACAGGATTATTTTTTTATAGCAAAAAGCTTTATATTTTGTGAAAAAACTATTCTGAACTATCATAATCTTAGAAACCTTCAGTAATGTTAGCCTCCTTAAATGCATAAAATCTATGTTTTTTAATAGGAGATAGGGTCAACTTTCAGAAGTAGTAGGTATGTCAAATGCTGGGTGTTTCAAATTTAACCTTAACCATTGGGATCTTATAAATGGTAATAGATACAAAGTTGCTTAAATGTGGACAAAGTTGCGTATTTTAGGTAACTAACAAAATGCTGCTTAAAAAGTTTCAAATGTCAAAGTACTTCTGCAATTTCCTAAATAATTTTCCTGTGTAGTGCGATTTGAAAATAAACTGAACATTAACATTGCCATACAAAATGGTATAGTTAGAATTTCAATATGAAGTTTTGTTCCTTGTCCTGCATCACCAACTTTAATTTTTTCTTAAGGATGTCATATTGAACAGTTTTTAGTTCTGATAAAGTCAGGGAAAAATTGAAACAATTTTGGGAAAATTCTGTTATTTCGTCTCTCTGGAAGTACTTTGAATTTCAAAACTTTCTAAGTAGCATTTTGTTAGTTACCTGACTATGCAACTTTACTCCCATTGAAGTGACTTTGTATCTTTCACAGTTCCCGAGATCACAATGGTGATGGATGAACTTGAAATTCCAGGTCTATATTAAGGAAGAACTTTTTGTTATGTGCTATTTTTTTTTCTTTTGGGAAAAAGATACAACTGATTTTTAATGTAATATCTGCTGAAACATCTATTCCAGTACTCTTCCCATAGAAGATACCGTCATGATTGATTAAATATGCATTATTTTAGTGAGATTGAAAATACTTTCTGAGAGCACTGGAATGGGTACTTAATGTTCTTATAATGAATTAGGGCTTATATATATATATATATATCATTTGACAGTAAGTTATTTTTTAAAATATCCTAATGCATCCTCACCCTATGGGCACATGGTGGACATGCCCAGGGCCCTCGCCTTATGGAGAGGGGTGAATCAAAAAACCTTACACCTGTGGCAGAGGCTGATAAAATGGTCTGACTAGCTTTCTGCCCTAAAAAGACTAGAAAAACTTTTCTCTGTGTGAAAAATGGATCAGTATCAAATGAGACCTCCAAAATTCACTGAGCGAAATTTAAGTTTAGGCCTTGTGAAACCTAGCAATAATAAGAACTGTTGAATATCAAGGAATGACTGTACAAGTTAATAAGGGGGCATCAGATCGAAACAGACAGTCTGCTTCCGCATCTTCCAGGAGTATTTTACTACTTTCATCTAATTTATAAAAAAACTTGTCAAGATTATGTTTTCAATAGACGTAACCCATATAAGTAGTACCTGTATTTCTTGAGGAAAGTTCTGTAACACAGAAGCCTTAAAGTTAAAGAAGAAGACATCCTTTTTGATCCGAAGCCTTCTTATTTGCTGGAAGTTTGAAAACTTTCTTGTTACCTCTGATTGAAAAAAATCATAAATATATGAAGTAGAGAATACTTAAATAACATTATGAAATGTATAAGTGGTTAAGTATGCTAGCTTTCATAACTTCAATGGAAGCCTTCATTCTGATACCTACATTTACTTTTTTTATGTTCTGTATTCAAATAGAAAACACATTAGTTACCCTGTACCTTTTATTTTTTTCAACTATCAGAATATAGCAATATTGGTAGTAACTGTGAAAGGATTCCTTTAAAAAAATTTGACCTGGATCGGTTATCCTGACATATTCTCAGCCAATTCTTCTTTTAAATAGGGCTATCGGCTCCTGCGTGGCTAGGGGCCCCTACATAGCCAAAGACAACACTGCCAAAACACAAAATATTGTCTGGTTGTTGGATATTCATACTAATGCATACTAGAGGATAGTAGGAGAGATCATAAAAGAGGATTCCCCTTCTGAACACTTACTACATTTCTATTAGCCTATGCCTAGGGATCCCACAGTATCATGTCCTGTGCCAAGTTAGGAAAATTCGTTCTGGGGTGTGGAGGGATATGCTGTGAGATCCCGTGAATTTTTTTCTATGCACTTGTCCTCTAATGAGTACTAGTTCTTATGCATCATCATACATATCAATTTCGCAGGCTGAAATAATAGGGTTGTAACAACTGTTGCTTTTTTAATAATAATAAAATAGGCCTTCATTTTATCTGACGGGTATCAGCTATAAAGCTGCTCTCACCACCAAACTGTTTCATAAAACATAGCTTGAGATAGATATGGAACTGTAGTAGGTGAAGAAAATGTTCCTTACATTTATACATAGAAATTACTCCTATTTTTTCTTTTCTTAAAAAGCAAATGCGACGATCAGGGAATAGCGACGAAACGAAACGAATTATAATGGATATAGAAGTAGTACTAAAATCTCACGACTGTAAATACATAGTACAATGCCTTGGATGTTTTATAACTGAATCTGAGGTCTGGATATGTATGGAACTAATGGACACGTGTTTCGACAAATTGTTGAAACGATTCAAGCAACCTGTTCCTGAAGAAGTCTTGGGAAAAGTGACAGTGGCAGTAAGTACACTTTTGACTTTTATATGTCGCAGTTAAAACATATGCTATAGTTTGGATTTATCATTTTCTAATAGTGATATTTGTTTTTCACATGTCTAAAACTTGTGAATTCCGTCCTTGCATTTTATTGTACATGTTCCTGATTTTACAGACAGTAGAAGCACTATCATATTTGAAAGACAAACACGGGGTGATACACAGAGATGTGAAGCCTTCAAATATTCTTCTGGATATGAAGGGCAATGTTAAACTATGTGACTTTGGTATTAGTGGTAGACTGGTAGATTCTATGGCTAAGACTCGTAGTGCTGGGTGTGCAGCATATATGGCTGTAAGTTGTTCGACTAGTTTTATATTTATCCCATATAAAATAGGAAAAAATGTCTATGGCTCTATCACACAAAGAATGCTTAACTTATTTCTGTCTTCCTGCCTGACTGCTAGATTTTGCTACCATATAATCGCAGTAACCTTTGTACATATTTTGATGAAATATTCTTACTATTACAGACTGGCATTGTATTTTATCAAGATTAATAAATGTGATGAAAGGTTTGTTAGTTTATCTTTAAACTAATCTATTTTATAGCCTGAAAGGATAGAACCGGATCCTGAAAATCCAGACTATGATGTTAGGGCTGATGTATGGTCATTAGGAATAACACTCGTAGAGCTAGCAACAGGCGTATTTCCATACCAGGACTGTAAAACAGATTTTGAAGTACTGACAAAAGTAATCAGTCAGGAACCGCCACAATTACCACACGATAAGAACTTTAGTCAGGATTTTAGGGAATTTGTTTTATGCTGGTAAGTTTATTTGTTTCGCTAATATATTGTATACCTCCGATCTCACTATCAAACAGTTTTTTTGACAATACATCTGTTGAGATTATTTTTACAATGAAAAGTGCTTATGTGACAAATATTTAAGTCATTTCAGTAAAGCTACTCGTTCAGGATGGTTAACCAGTATATTGTCATAATACTTGATAAAAAAAGCACAGAAATATGCTGCTTTTCTCGAAAACGGCTCATTTTATCGATGTTAAACAAGATACATTTTTTCAGCTTAAGGCTCAGGCATTCTAAAAGTATCTTCATTGAGTCATTACTGTACTTGGATAATTTTTTTTCAACGTTATTTTAGTTCTGGTTTGTTCCTGATCTAAGGGACTGAAATGTTTGTAGCAAATTATCTCTAGTTTAATTTGTCACGTATCCATTTCTGTCGTAGAAAGATATATTGTCAAAAACATTCCTTGGACGTCATAAGAGATATTGATGTGACATGAATTTGCAAAGTATGTTATGACTGAATGTTTTCCTGACTTATTGGTAGTATTTGCATTTTTGATTCTATTTGTGTCTGTATTTCAGTTTGAAAAAGGATAAAAAACAAAGACCAAAGTATATAAAACTGAAAAACCACCCGTTCATCCAGAAATATGAAAAGGAAAATGTAAGCGTTGGCGAGTGGTATGTATCAATGATCAGAGGAGCCGAAGAGAATACGAACAGGGCGGCGCCTAGGTACGTTGCATGGTTAGTCTCCCCTCTTTCCGTTTACTTAACATTCCTAATGTTTTAATTTCTACTCCACCTTTGTCTCTCCACAACCCATTGTGAGGCTACGGAATGCGACTTTGTATGCATGAGACTGTCGCGTTAGTCGGCGCAGTCTGAAGTCTCGAGTTCTAGAGTGTTTGTTAACGAATGTTGGTAGTGGCGCCTCAGTTTGTGTTCGTTCGTTGCTGTGACGTCATTGTAGAGTCGTAAGTCTTAGGTTATTTTTATTTCTGATTGTATTTTCATCCTCACGACATTTATTCAGAAAATCTCGACAGTTTCCTGGGATATACAAAATTTGCCTGTAAAATATATTCGCGATTAACGGCCTAGAAAGTGAAAATATACTGGGTGATTCACAAGTCGTCTTCTATGTAACATTTTTCCTCGAGGGCTTCATTAAAAAGATACCACAATCTCGACACTCGCGAAACAAAGGAGCGGTGGTATCGGCCAGTTCTGGCTGTACGAAGTTCGACACTGTTAGGATGGGAGGCGAAAGTCAGGCGGGTCTGTCTGGCAGGCACATCGCCGACGGCCCGCCAGTGCGAAAGGGTCCGGAGACCATCTGTCAGAGAAGAGTCATCAATCAGTCGGACAGCATCGAGCATAAATAATGTAGTCGGGGCGGCAGCACCCCAAAGGTGTGAGCAATACTCTGGCTAGGCCTTATCTGGGCCTTATATAGAGTGAGGTCATGCGGAGAAAAGTACTTCTTAGCCCTAGCTTTTTCCCAGCAGCTGCCGCTATTGACGAGATGTGTTCGTGCCAGATCAGGTTCTCGGTGATCTGGATTCCGAACAGCCGAAATGTATGGCTCTGTGGCAGAACTCGGCCATCCATCAAAACCGGATGAGCGCTACGACGCTTTTTGTTGGTCAAGGTACAGTACTGTGTTTTGGAAGCATTAAACTGTACAAGATTGTTGCGTCCCCCAGTAGTGATGACCTCCAGAGAGGAAGTCGTCGCTAGTCTTCTTTTTTCCAGCTCAGCGGCAGAGATTGGCTTGTCACTCTGAATTCCTGCATGTAGAGTGCTGTCATTAGCGAAGCTGATAGTGTAGGAAAGGAGGCCGTTGATATGTAAGAGGAACAGTGTCGGAGCCAAGACCGATCCCTGGGGAACACCCGTGTTAACGTTGTGGGATGGAGAGAAGAACACGTCAATTACGACGGGTATTTTGCGGCCAGAGATTATTGGTTTGTTCGCACAGTAGTCGGTAACTTGTCAGTGATTGTCAAAATCAGAATCAGAGAGATGTTACTTGTTCGTACAGTTTCTGACTGTTTGCCGACAGCTAATCCGTACAGAACCTTCTGACAGATTAGAGGACACCAGTCAAACAGTGACAGTGTGTCGAAACTATCTTTAGGACTAAAATTGCTTCGTAAGAGGCATTTAATGATCGATTGACGGTCTGTGGGACACCAACGGGTCCTTGGCGATCTAGCTACGCCAACGGGCTTTGCTCCTCAGAGCTCTCTTCCATGGTGTCGCCGCGCCACAATTCAACAGAAAAAAGTTTTTGTAACATTTTCGGGTGAGCAACTGGCAGAAGAAATTTTAATGAAATTCCATTTTAAATATCAGCCAGCGCCAAAGTGCTTTGTGCTTGATGTTTTGTTTATTGACCCGGTAATGGCAAAATGAAGATTATGAATACAGTATGAAAAATCCGAACAATAGAGGACATAACTTTCAAGAAGCATAATTACAACGATTTTTGTGATCACTAATCTTTTGAAAATTTTTGTTACAGTTGCAAAATGCGAAATTACGCGATTTAAGTATTATTTCTATGTATTTTCGTAGTATCAGTTCTTTTTGTCCATGTTGGGAACTCAGTGATACTTATAGCTATGTAAGCAGATCTTGATAATTGTTCAGCTGTTTTAGCTTTTTAGTTTTTATTCAAAGACGTTATCAAATCCTTGTAGTATTTTTACTTCTTTCTTTTAGTGAGAGTCTGCAATTTGGCACTCACCATTGGAATCTTGAAAACTGTAAGGGATACGAAGTTTCTTAAATGAGGTAGTTAACAAAATGACACGTAGAAAGTTTAGAAATGCAAAATACATACTTCCGGAGAGTGAGGAAAATACTGTATTTTCCCAAAATCGTTTTGCATTTTTCCCGACTTTTTTTATATTGGTGTTTTAAAATAAATTGCACATTAATAATGCCACGTTTTCTCCTCTACAAGAAGGCATAATCAGAATTTCTATATGACGGTTCGTCTCTTGTCCTTAGCATCAACTTTATTATTCCTTAAGGACGCTATATTGCCATTTTGCACAGATGAATAGAGATTTTAATGTTGATTCAAAAAATTCATTGACGTTGCCAAACCTTAGTTACTCCAAAAAAAAAACAATTTCTTAGGTAGGCCTTGAAATTATCAGATGTTTGTTTCGCTCACCAAATTTATCCCAAAATCGCTCTATTTTTCTTTATTGGCCATGGGATTTTAAAATAAATTGCATATTTTCATTGTCACTTATTCTCGTCTACAAGATGACGTAGTCAAATTTTCAATTCGACATTTCTTCTTTCGACATCATCAATTTTGTTTTTCATACGGACACTATATAGGAATTTTGTACATTTAAATGGACTTTTCAGCCCTAAATTCAGAGATGGACTTCGTTAGTTGACCATAAATTTGTTGTTAGATGAAAATTATAAGGAAATATAAAGATATGGTGAAACCTGAATATGAAACGAACATTTTATTTGTGGTAATAACAATAATAACCATAAATAAGCAGAGATCTTCACAGTCTTCTAAACTCTATTGCTATGCAAACAAATGAAATCTGATAATTTCAAGGGCTACCTAACAACTTCTGGAATAACTAAGGTTTTCTAATGTCAATGTTATACATTTTTTAAATTAAAATTCAAATTCTATTCATGTGTGTAAGAATCCAATATGGCGTCTATAAGAAAAAATTAAGTTGATGCTGGAGGACAAGAGATGAAACGTGATAGAGGAGATATAGAGGAGAAAATGTGGCAGAGTTGATGAGCAATCTATTTTGAAATCAAACCATAAATAATGTCAGAAGAAAATTAAAACAATTTTGGGAAATTTCGTTTTTTATGTTTCTTTCCAGGAGTACTTTAAATTTCAAAACTTTCTGAGTGACATTTGGCTGATTATCTCAATACGCAACTTTGCCCCTATTTAAGCGACTTCGTATCCTTAATGTTTCTGAGATCCCAATGGTGAAGGACGAATTTAAAATACCCTGTATAGGGATATTATTTTCACCCCAGCAGAAACAGTCCGCCACTCCTTCCCCGTGGGCACCCGTGAAAAAAGGTGTATGACAAAATCTCCAGAATTCGTTATTTTGTTGTTCATCAGCTTTGGGCTGGACTTACATAGCTAGAATATACATGTATAAATACTGTTTGTGCATACACTTCGAGGCTGGGCGACAATGGAACAAAAACAATACCATCTGAGCTTTATTAAAAGGCATTCACAATACTTTGTACATTTCTCATGCATAATCACTGCAGATGTTTATTCAGAGTTCTTACTATGTATTTACTTCTTCAAGTTATCATTTGATGTGAGGAATCATATTTCTTCGAATTCATGTTTATACTTTTTATATGAGAATTGAATGGGAATTACTGAGTATATCTTGACATTTTTGGGTGCTGTTATTTTTTCTAGAAAGTGTCCATGTTTTCATCTCTAGAGGAAAATTCGGGCACATTCAGGCAGTTGAACTAAAAATCCTAGATCACATACCCCAACTTTTCCAAAATTGTCTACCTCATTCTGAAATATTTTACATTCGAATAATGATTGTACTTGATTTCGAGCTCTGACAATTTACTGGCAAATTATCTGCTGACTAATTTGACATCATCAAACAGTCAGAAGTTTCTGTACGAACAGCGGATTACTCGGTAATCGGTCTTACCTTTCTCAGCCAACTCGTAACGTTCTCATGTACGAAATCAATACAGTCAGCGACGTGTCAGTGACAGCTAACTGCGTAAACTAAGGTCATAACTTGTCGCCGACTATCAGTTTGCTGATTGTCAGCAAACAGGCTGTACGAACAAACCAAAAGTCAGCGATCCATCTGCAAAGCTTTTCTGGGAGGCCATAGGATGGAAGTTTGCTTAAGAAGGCAGCGCGCCACGGCTGATCGAACGCTTTCGTGATGGCAAGAGCAACTACATGAGCCTCACCATAAGACTGGATGAGTTTACTCCACAATCGCGTGACGTAAGCTAGGAGGCCCCCTGTGGATCGCTGGTGCCGGAAACCATACTGCATGTCGTTAGTCACGCGGTGTCGTTCGAGGTAGTCCAGAAGCTCGCGATTTATGCACCTCTTCATTACCTTACTTTTCACAGAAAGCAGAGCTATAGGCCTGTAGCTGTAATGGTCGGTCTTAGATCCTTTTTTTGGGATGGGATGGACATGAGCAAATTTCCAGTTTTCTGGGAAGGTGCCGGATTCATAACATATCTGGAAGAGACGCGAAATAACTGGAACTAGAAACCCCGCTGCACACCTCTTCAGTACATTCGCAGAAATCAAGCCCGATCCAGAAGCTTTGTTGACCTCGAGCGACAAGAGCACTCGTCTTACGGTCTTATGCCTGAATGTTACCTCCACCATAGTTTAGGGAACTTTTTGAATTGACGGCACTTGGGAGTTGGGTGGGGACGTCAGTGGTCGAGTTGGCAGCAATGATCTTGGCAAGCCCTTCCGCCTTGGCTTTTGAGTCGGATACAATCGTTCTACCTTGACACGTAAGTGGTGGAAGGCTACTGTGTGAGTTCTTTTCAATCTACTTGGCGAGCATCCAGAAAGACATAGTGCCATTGCGCTGCGACATTACCCTGTGTCTAACTTTCATATTGTGCTGGTTTTTGGCATTGCGAACCGCTTTGTTATATTTGTTTCTGGACTAGACGTCGGCTTGTCTGTTCTCTACTGTGGAGTTTTCTAAGAAGGTTCTGTGTGCCTTGATCTTCTGCTGGCGAGCAGTGTCACTCGACTTATTAAACCAGCCGTTGGACCCTGGTTGGGGCGCTTCCACTGTATGAGGGATGTACTCCTACCTGGAGAGGTAGAGAAGAAATCTCTGAGCTCCGCCCAGTCGGCATGTCCGTAATGCCAAATTTTGCGGCCTGTGCTAGTTTCTGCTGCCACAACGGGTTCTGACCGAAACCTAACCTCCACAACACCGTGGTCTGAGTTACCTAAGGGGGACAAGACAGCAGTGCTGTAAGGGATAGGATGCATGGTCAGAAAGAGATCCATAGCATGTGACGAGACGCGGGGGAAGAAAGTAGTGCTCGTCACCAGCTCGGTCAGCCCTTGAGTAAGAGCGAACGATTCAACTGCACGACCTGCTGCATCGGTCTTGTTTGACCCCAACCAAAGCTCATTATGGACATTGAAATCACCGAGGAGAACTACCTTTGAAGCGGGGTGATTGATGTTCAGGAAGTCGATCTTGACGGCGAGGTATTCAAGTAGGTCATTCCAGTTATGGTCCGAGGGATAGCGATAAAGGCAGCAAATAAATTTGGCGGACGTTTCGGAGTTGAGGCAAATCCTCAGAATGTCGTTCCGGTCTGATTCCAAAGAAACATCTCTGGAGCAGGAAAAACTGCTGCGGACAAAAGCCACAACTGCCCCGTTCTTTCTCAGTTTGGTGTGCACCTCGTAATTTGGGAAGCTAAGATGGTTGATCGGTGCACATTCTGAGGTTTTTGTCTCCGCCAAAAAATAGCATGGCGGGACGATTGGATTGCAACATTGATGCTGTTAATCCCGCAGATGTTGGTGAAACAAATTTTATATTCTGGCATTATTTTTCCAAATAAAAATAGTACGTCACTGTTTTTTTTTTTTCGGAACGCTCAATGTTTCGAATTTTACCTTCAATTTGCTTCAAACAATTACTTTTTTTTTTCTTATTGAACTGTCGTTGCTAACGGAACATCATCTAACACATTTTCTATGTAATTCTCTAAAAAAGCTAAGTATGACTTTGCATTTAAACGTTGTGGCAATACGTGCATAAATAGTTGGCCACTGAAAATGCCGCACCCGACATTTCTAGAAAATCTGTGTTGAAACGAGTGGATTCTTACAGAACGGGGATTTTCTAATGACCAAATATGTTCATTATGCGAATTAAAGGTCCCACTCCTCGTAAAAAGCGATTCATCTGACCACAAAACCAAATCAATAAAATCTGCATTTTGATTATGCATTTTCAGTAACCACTCACAAAAATTTCGCCGTTGCACTTCGTCGCCGGACTGCAGACATTGCACATTTTGCCGATGGTAAGGATGTAAAACTTCCTGATTTAAAATTCTTCACGCAAGACTTTGGGAACATGGTAGCTGGGCTGCAAGCCGCCTAGTACCTATACTAGGATCATCCAGCACCAAATTAATCACTTCCAGTTCCTCTTGAACAGTATGCTGGACACCATAGCCTCTAACTCCGGGAAGTCTTAGAAATGAAAGCGTAAAAACCTTTGGGGTAGGTTGGCGTCTGTTAGGAAATCTACGTTGTTACTCCCGAGAAGCCGCTAAAGCATTTCCTTTACAGAACCCGTACACAAAAATAATATCGGCGTACTCATCAGTGCTAAATTCCATTTCACAACACCGAAAAATGGAAAAACTTTTGACTTGACTTTTTCGAAAAATAGTGCCACTAATCCCTTGTATCTCCGCCACTGGTGCAAGTTAATTTTAAGTAAAGACTTTTGAATGTGGACAATACAATCTGTTAATCCACATACCAAATTTTAGTTTATTCTAGTTGACGGTTTTGAAGATATTAAAGGTATTTTTTATTTTTAAACTTCAACAAGGGTATCTTTTTAATAAAGCCCTCGAGGGAAAAATCTTACATAGAAGACCCCCGTTGAATTGCGGTGCAGCGTATGATGTTTCATTTTTGGTCACGACTTGTGAATCCCTTTGTATAATGTGATTTATCGGTATTTATTGGGTAATGTAGTACTTATTGACCGTGTAGCCCGAACGTCAATAATTATAAATGTATAAGGTTACATAGAAACCCACTGATACTGAGAGATCCCTAATTAAATACTGATGGTAGGGACCACAGTAAATACTGATCATGTGACATTCGCCCAAGTTAACAAAAATATACATAACTTTACAGGATAATTCATAACCAAATACATACACTTTTTAAGGAACATCATTTACATTTTATTATGCTAAAGGGCTTCTAAGAGCGGCCACAAACAGATAGACATATTTTGTCTGGTACATATAAACAATGTATCGATACAGGCTGAGCTATCAGAAAAAAGCCTTCGTAATCCTTACCATAGGTTCTTGTTTAGCCACTTTTAAAATCCATTGAGTATTTATACGAAATGACATACCTATCAATATATTGTGCTTCATCTACGACTTGTTGGTAAAGTTACTTTATGAATAGGTTTTTCAGGCGTTATGACTAAGAGTTGTAAAGTACCTTTAACGCCAACTACGTTTTGATTAACCTATGCTGATTGTGTGCAAGTCCCTTAAATATCATTGGATCGGCGATTTATTTGTTTTTAGATCTACCTAAACGCTACTCAATTTTCTCATTCAAATTGGTCGTTGATAAAATCTTGTAGATATTTATCTTTGGCTTAATAAGCATTTGTGTCACTTGGCGTACTAGAGCCCGCTGCGCTTCGCACCTTTGGTCCTAATTTCAGATGGACCATAGCTCTTTACACCTTATCTCGCTCTATATGAATAACTATAGAAAGATACTATTATCTGAATGTATATTTGAAATTCTATACACTAGTGTTCTTGAGGGTGAAAATATGTAGCAGTTTGTGCGCATGTTATTTTTGGCACGTTAGTGATTTGTTTTGATACTCTCTGTTAATATACGTTTTGTGCAAGTTTTGTTTGTGTTTATTGTCATATATTGTCATGTAGCTGCTATTGTATTATATCATTAATCAATCCAAATCATTTTTTCCATTGAATGTATACACTTGCTCACTAATCGATTAATCAAATAATTTCCACTTATAACAATAAAAAATCAATATCTTATGGATATACCGCCTAGTGGTATATTGTTTCCGCTCGTGGAGCAAATGCTCTGTTCCTTGTTATGCCTAATAAGAAATATAGCAATATTAACAATTTTATAGTTTTTGACGTTGTCAAAAAAATGTTCATTTACAATTCTTTATTCGCGACCACCATGCTATTATATCAATACAAGATGGGCTGGCTGATACCGTATTTGAACCCATCTGTTTTATAGAGACAACCGGCATTTTCAATAGCTGTTATAGGATATTTACATCCATTTTTGTGAGATGCAGTTTATCCTTGTTTGTTCGGACGTGTCATATATAGAATTCGTATGTTGAAGAAATCTCTGATTTGGAGTATACATTTTGGGTGTAAAACACTGATAGACCGAAGGTATTGGAAAACACCGAATTATATCAGATCGCTATTTTTCTTGCGAATGTGAGCAATCCCTAGCCTCGATTTGAAAATAAACGACCGCGTCGATTTAAAATATCGAAGATTTCCAACAGAATTTATAGTCAAAGAATCAATTGATATTTTTCAAGTCGAATGCTCCACGTAGCGGAAGAAGTTTTTCGCATATTCTTATTAATAATTTCCATGTTCTTCCCTCTCTGTCCCCACAGACGTAGTAGCTACGGCACCAACGGCGCATCCACTCATCACCACCCCCATCAACCGCACTATTACCACCTCAACGGGGTGTGCGGGCCGCCGGCACCGCCGCCAACCTTGTCCCCGCCCCTTTCCGCACAGGTCTGTCCGCTGACCAATGGCAGCGGCGCGCCTGGTCCTCCTACCAGCAACGAGAGGCCGGGCTCTAGGCTCTCCGCCTTCCAAATGCAGTTGCAGCAGCGGGCGGCGAGTGGTAGCGGTGGGGCGGGGCCGTATTCGCCTTACTATGCGTATCATAGCCACAAACAGCAGGCGCCTCCGCAACCAGCTGTGACGAGGCAAGATGAGAACGTTGTGGTAAGTATCTGACAAACAAATGAGGGACCATTCAAGGGAAAGGAAGCGATGTGTTCTTTTACATATAATCAAATGAGAGCCCGTGCACTGCGACGATGCTAAGGTAAGCGACGTGTGCAAATAAGAACTGTCGTCGAGGTTTCCTTCGCGTCACTCCGTTTCAGGGGCTTGCAACTGATGAGATTATTGTTTTGAATGAAAGGTATTGTCCCACCGGTACAATTAGTGCGTGAATGGGCTAAGGGAGTACTATTATCATAAAAATTTCAACTTTTCGAAATCAATACCTCCACTTGATGAGAATAGTAATGTTAGCGAGTGCACAGCAGTATAAAGATCAGGTTAGAAATACCTCTTATGCAAGGTGATTCGAATCTAATGACATCGGATACCTGGATTAAATATATCCCCTGTATACCATAATACGCATTAAGGATTAATGTCAAAGGTTTACAGTTTACAATTGTACTATTTTGATGCACAAAGTAAACATTTTTACGTGATTGTACGACTTTGGAAGATCATAAATCATTTTTTTGAGAAGATTGATTTTACATTATAGAACAGACTCACGTTTATTATGTGTAATTATCTCTAGAAAGAAAAAAGCAATCACGATATTTATGCGCAATTGTAGGTAATTCAGCAAAAAAAAAACGATCTCGATAACCGTAGCCCTTAGAGTATTGCGGTTTCCATCAAAAATCATCAAATAACGTCCCCAATCGCCCAAAAAATGTTGTAGGTTCATGTACCAGACACCATGTATATTGACAGTATTCAAAATGTGGATAACTATTAGTTAAATTGTTACAGAATAAACCGCATTATTGGTTATTTAACCAAAACTCATTATTTTAGCTATACCTGATATATATTTGATCCAAGTTGGAGTCACTCAACTTAAAAGGTAACTTGTCATTGAAAAATCGGGTCCGAGACCATAATATAATAAATTTACAACCGGTGCGAAAGCTACAATTTGGGCTCTCACATGAGTGCTTCAATATCACTTCTACGTTATGAATATGTCTGTCTGGTAAGATTTCGGTTTCTTTTCAGGAAAGAATCTGATAGTTATTTTATACGAATACCAGTTCGGTTCTTAACATTCTAGAAATACTCCACTGTGTCATTACTGTATCATGAAACTGTAAACCTATCCAACAATCCTCGAGACAACTTGTCACTTGGTAAGCAGCAAGGGTATTATGTAAAAAACATGAAAAACGATAAAATGCCATCTTGCAGACTAGGTAGTTTTTGGTGTGCAAATAGTTCATTTCGTTTGACCAGTATGATCGCTGGTAGCTGACGTTTAAGCAAACAGTGTACCACAGCTTGTGATAAGTTAACATCTTGTAGAAAAACCTACGTTATGTTACAAAAAACCTACGAAGTGCTAAAAAAAAGCAGCAGACATTTTTGCCAAGTCTGTATTGTATAGAATAGAAATAAAGTATACGAAGTCGCACAGAGAAATGCAATAAATGGGGTGTTTTGAATGTCACTAGATAATCAGTTATTTGTTGCCTCGTTTTGCCGTGATGCAGTATCGCAAAAAATTATGTATTTATGAACCCAGCAGCGCAAGCGCTTGCTTTTTGGTGGACGTTGTTAACTCCGCTAATACCCGTTTTACATCAACAATTTCTCCACGAATTTATTCATATGGATTCCTTCAAGGTCATCCTGATTTCTATGCAGTGAACAAAGTTATGGATTATGTTACAGTACACAGTTCTGCCTACAATGGTAAACGCACAACAAGCCCTTGCTAGAAACATTTTGAGTTTCCATATTTATTGATCTTGAGGCGAATCTCTCAAACAGAAACCATATTGTTGAATACTGTTGTTCTATCAAAGTTCTATACTTGAATGAAAAGATCATCAATATATTGAGAATGAGAACAATGTTGGAGTCTGACGTCTAACTTGGCACAAATTAGTGCATGTTCTAATTCGGCGAAGCAATCCATGAATTCATTTGACGACAAATTCCTGTTTTATGATTTGAAATTTGGACATAAACTCAATTCATGTAGAAGATATGAACTGAAAAAATTCGAGCATTCCTGACAATAATTGCAATTTTAATTTCATTTTTAGGTTAGGATTTAGCCGACTTAATACTATTTCCAAAGTTTTCTATAATGTTTTAAGCTAGAGCCAGTTAGTTGACAAAATCTGTAATTTAGTTGATGATTATTCATTATTGTATTGGTGTAGGATTGTATGTATTTTGTAGCACAATTTTAAGTTAAAATTCAATTCTTGTTAAAGAAATATTCTATTTTTTTTATTTCAGTGCCGCCCTCCTCCTGGTGCCTGCTTTTCCCCACCTCCAGTGAGAAGGACCGAATACCCCGTTCTGCAGCACAGACGAGTTGCCAGCGAAACGAGAATGCGACCCGAAGAGCTTTATAACAACGCAAATACTAGTCCAATTATATTGCAACGATATTACCACCAGCAAAAGCAACAGGCCTTGGCCAGGGAGGCAGAAGAATCTGGTGAGATCTATTGTCCTTTTATTAGGAAGGTTTTCCTTTTCTCATCTTATTTTATACTTGTACAATTTGACAGATCATTAACTTTCGACATTAGCAAGCGTAATATAATAATAAGTCAAATAAGTTTAGGAGAGTTCACTGTAATTCTGTAATTCCTGTCCAGCCGTTGGTTGCCGCATTTCGACATGATGGTAACGACATAATTCCCCACTTCGATTACGAATAGTTCTACAGTTTTAGCATTATTTGATATTCCAGCAGGGAAATCCGAGTTTCCTATTTGAAATATGATAACGAAATCATTATATATACAGTAATGGACAAAAATATATAGACAAATTAATATTGTGCTGTATTTCTTTTTTAACTTGTTTTATTAACACACCAACCTGTATACATAATTCGTTATAGCATAATACTCACTTATACATAAATAAATTCATTAGACTCCATTTAATAAAAAATTAATTGAAAGAAACTGAAACTATGAAGGACAAAAAAATATAGACAAAGCAAAACAATTACGAAAAAAAGAAGCAAATTTCATTGAATTATAGAAAACCAACCATGTTTGTGTTAATGTTTGTAGCATAACCATTATTATCAATCACCGCCTGGCATCGTCTTGGTATAGATTGTAGAAGTTTCTTGATATAAGATTCATCGATCTGTCTCCACTTTTGCTCTAAAGCGGCAAAAAGTTCATCCTTGTTTGAATAATTTTTATCTCATATTTGCTTATCTAAGTACAGGTATTCCCATAGATTTTCAATGGGGTTTATATCGGGAGATTGTGAAGACCATTTGAGAACTGGTATTTTTTCATCCAGAAAGAATTTCTTTGCGAGATTTGAAGTCTGCTTCGGGTCATTATCTTGCTGGAAGATTGATCTTAAGGGCATATTGACTTCCATAGAGGGTAACATGACATGCTTTAGTATGTCTGTGTATACAAACTTATCCATAATGCCAACTATTCTATGTAAAGGTCCCATCCCAAACCCCGAAAAGCACCCCCAAACCATAACAGATCCGCCTCCATGTTTGACAGTGGATAAAGTGTACTTGGGGTTCAATCTTTGTCCACTAGGACGTCTAACGTAATGAACACCATCTGATCCAAACATATTGAACTTGGATTCGTCACTGAAACATACCCTCTTCCAGTCACAGATGCTCCAATCAAGATGCAACCGTGCAAATTGTAATCGGTCCTTACGGCTTTTCCTCGATATTAGCGGCTTCTTACTCGGGCGACGTGGAAATAACTTCAAATCGTTTAATCCTCTACTTATAGTTTTCGTAGAAACACTGACAATTCCTTTTGTCTCGATTTCGGATTTTATTTGTCTTGGGGTTTTAAACGGATCTTTGGACGAAATTACTTTTATTAATCTAACTGATCTAGCATGTAGTTTTTTAGGCCGACCACTTCTCTTAGAAGATACCTTTTTTAACTTATTCCACAATACTTGATGAACACAAACTAATCCTCTTCTGACACGAAACTGTACTAAACTAATGTTGAAAAGAATTTGTCTACATATTTTTGTCCCTAATAAAAAAGTGCTTATATTCAGACTTGTATTGTGTTCATTGCAGATAATGTAAAAACAAGGTATTTAGTTTATGGAGCAATGAAGTATGAATTCGTTTTCTAAAGGTATTTAGGTAAATATTCATATTTGTCTATATACTTTTGTCCATTACTGTATATCATTTATATTCAAGGCAGGCCCTGTGTCATTATTATATATATGGTTAAAATCTCAACCAATAATCTCTGTTCTTGCTAGGTAAAAAGCGATTCGCTTCCTATGTTAAGCTTCAGTTGAGTGGTGATAGGAGTGGTCGATCTTCGAGACACCAAAGTCCAGAGCCTCCTCCCCGGTTAAATAGACATGTAACGGGTGAACAGAGCCCTCTGGCGTTGAGGAGGACGTTCTTGGAAACGCACGCCGGTAACTCGCCGGGATTGTCAAGAAGGTAAAATATTTCTTTTCAACATTTTCACATTTTGTACAGACGCTGTGGCGATGTGAGCGCGCAAAAGAGCAAGTGTCCGTTACTTATATCTGTGGGCCGTATTAGATTTCAATAATTTATATTACTCAATACTGTTAAATGACAGGTTAAAATTAGAGATATCAAAAAATATTACAGGCTCACAAAATAAAGAAGTGAAACATCACTTTTCATTTTGTTGGCTTGCGTATTTGGTTTTGCTAGCCCAATTTGATTGGAAGTCCTAAAAAGCATTTTTAATGGTTTTACGAATGAAAGCAATTATTATTTCGAAAACTGAAGCCGATCTGCAAAAGTAGAAAGTGAGCATGGTTCTATTATTTTCCAAGGAACTATATTCTTTAAATTGATAGAAGACTTGTTCTTCGGTTCAATCACAGGAGAAAAAGTAGAGAAGTTTCACCGCCGCTCATCGGTATCATCTCTAAAGACGAAGGTATCATGGTGATGTAATACTTAACGATATGGAAAGTCTCTCATAATTGAACCGGTCATTGCAGAAATCTTCCCCGTCACATAGTTTGAATTTTCAGGAAACAATAAAAATTGTGTCACTGACAAATAAATCAGTTTTAAGGGCTTGTGCCTAATGTAGTAATTGAATTTCACACGATTGAAATTACAAATAACCTTCACAGTATATTAATAATAATAATGGAATAACCGGAAAACTTGTTATGGACTTACACCGTTTTACCAGGAAATAGAGTTAGTAGTATATAACTTGAGCAAAAGAAACATATTAATCGTGTTTTTAATGTTTATTATTGAAAATGACTTAAATGTTGACTTTTGAACATGACACATGTGAAAAAGTACATTACTTCTTATTCTAATCACCGATTACTATTACATCAGATGAAAGTTCGTACCTTCTTTATTATGATTCCTATTCATAGGTTAATTTTTTTTAACACATAACATAACGGACCATGCAGAACCTCTCAAAGTTTTCCGCAATAGAAAGTAGTGTCGAATTATACACCACAAACTACAAGTTTGATAGTCTGACGTGGTAATAGTGTAAGCAAAGTTCTGTTTTCATATACAACTTATAATTTGAGAAATTAACTTTGAAATGCTGCTCAACTATGCTCGAAAAACGGGTAACCGTATATCCCCCATGGTATGCCTCATATTAAATTGAAGATACGACTAGTGAAGAAATGATTGCAATGTACGGAGTCCACAAGGAAGAATACTTGTGCCCCTTTTTAATTTATATATCAACGACTTGTATAATCTATCAACAAAAAGTGAAATAGGATTTGCAGATGACGCCACCATCATCCATAAATTCAGAACTTGCATAACATTAAAAGAAGAAATTGAGAAAGATTTAGTTCAGATAACAGACTGGTTTGATAATCAGTTATTAACTATTAATTATAAAAAACCTATTTTGTTCCCTTCACCTCTTATGCAAATAATTTACCGCTATAGAATCGGCTAAATATAAAGAAAACAAATCTACAGAAATATCACGTAAATTAAATATCAAGTATCTCGGAATTTTTTTAGACTTGCGTCTTCGTTGGGATGAACATATCCAATATGTATTAGAAAGAAACTTGATTTCTGTTATATATGTAAAGTTCAGATATTACAGATAAATTTCAATGAAACTCAATTAAAATTTTATTTCAAACATTAATTGAATGCCACATAACCTATGGAATGATTATCTGGGGATGAATAACAACCATCTAAATGTTTTACATCCCTCCAAATCTCTGTTTATAGAAACAAAACTTTTGAGTATAATAGAATTATTTTGGTATAATGTAACATTAGAATTCCATAAAAAACATTCGACCATTTATAGAAATTATGAATATAATACTGTAAATAAAAATAAACAAATAATCATTGCCACGCCAAAAAGGGAAATAATGTTGAAATCTTTTATATACTTAGGTCCAAAAAACTTAATTTCATTATCAAAAATAGTAGCTATTGAATAGTGATATAAGCATGAGGTAATTTAAAAAGAACTCTTATATTATACAAAGGGTACTATAAAAGTTTTGCAATGTGACTTAACAAACGGGCGCAGTAGGCTGCATGTTACTGCATGTTGAGACATGTCCATTGATTTAGTTGTGCATTCGTATTGACAGTTTAAAGTGCGGAATATGGCGTCGTGGTCACTTAGTGAGATAAGGGCAGTTTTAGGGTATAACTTAGGCGTGGTTTAAGCATAGACCAGTGCTTAGAAGAAATGACGATTGCATTGAAGAATGATTGTCCTCATTAGGTGGTACAGAGGATTCCAAAGGGACAATTTCACTCTGGAGGACGCTGAGAGGGAAGTAAAGCCGCGAACGTAACAGAGGAAAACACTACTGTTGTGAGGAAAATGCTTGACGAAGTCCAGAGAGTGACATACCAACAGATAGAGGAGACCTTACACCTTCATGCACCAGCAATTCTTTCAATTCTGCATGACCATTTATACGTAAGGAAATTTTGTTTTCTCTGGGTACCGCATAGTCTGACGGAAGAGCGAAGACTCGTCGTGCGGCTTGGTGCCGAAAGATGCTGAAAATGTTTGATAAGAGACAATCTCGGTTTGTGAACAGCATCGTGACAGATGACGAGACTTGGCTCTATTGTTACGATGTACCGACCAAGGCTCAAAACAAAGTTTGGGTTTGGTCTTTGATGATGAGGACACACCCGTAGCGGTCAGAAAATCCAGATCTGTTAAGAAAAAAATGATAGCTGTATTTTTCAAATCGGACTCACAGAAGTCAGTCACAGCTAAGTGGTACACGGAACAGCCCCTGCCTAAAGTCATATAATCTATGAAAAACCTACGGCCAAAGCCAAGAATGGACACTTGGTACCTGCCAAAGCCTGCGCCGAGTATTTGGCCACTACTGGACTAAAACTTATTGAGCACCCTCCTTACAGTCTAGATCTTGCTCCCTGCGATTTTGCATTGTTTCCGCATATGAAAATGAAGCTGAAAGGAAAACGGTTTTCTAGCGTTGTCCCAAGCCCTCAGAGTGTGCCGCATCCCGGGTGAAACTTGGCAGAGCTGGGTTAAGGACTGGTTTGGCGGATGGAGAAGTGTATTGAATGTGGTGGAAATTACTTTGAACGAAGTCAATCAATAAAGCTGTATTGCAAAACTTTTATAGTACTCTTTGTATAGATTTTTTCTAATCAATCGATTTATTCCTACTGTGTAATATGTACGTTATGTATGTAAAAGGATATCCACACACAAGGATATTTTTCTTTTGTGACATATCAATTTATTCATAATTTATAATTGATGTGAATACATATTATTCTTATTAAACTTTAATCAGGTATATATCTCCAACGCCGCCAGTGCCGCCACCCCGTCGGTTGTCCGACAGCAGTTCAGTGCCGGGGTCGCCGCAACACCTTAGAGCGCGTTTCCACTACACGCCTGAACCACAGCGGCGACTCTACCAGAACAATGATATATCATAGCCAGAAGTCGCTGCTGCCACTGTCGTCGCATAGGTATAATCGTGCCATCTGCAGGAAAGTGGGTACGTTGTAAGAAGTGTGTGCTGACTGAGAACATCTTTTTTTGGTTTTATATGTCACATTGTCCATACGTTACGTCAAGTATCGACAATGTTGTGTATTATTAAGTACATTGCGGGGAGATAAACTTATTTGTATATCAAGATAGTGTTTTGAAATCGAGATAATAAAATAATACTGTTTAACAGATCACTCGTCTTCGGCATTTAAAACGCGTTGTGGGCCAACCCGACCCCCATCAACTCCACGTCTCTGTCACAAATCACCACTAGCACGTGCACCTAAAAAAAATGGAACTAAGTGTTTCGTGATGTGGTATGTGCCTATTCGGAAATCGGTGTGCATACAAACGACGAGCCTCTTGCGAATTTTGCTCTGCTTCTCCGTACGCTAAAACAATGACCACTAACTCCTCATTAGTGTACACATGTGCCATTTTTATTAATAAATAACTAAAAACATAAACTCGAAAAATACTTTCGTATTTAACTTCACAATAATCGACCGTTCTTCATTCAGATCACCCACGATGCATATAAACTTTATTTACAAGTTCGTATCAGTATGAAGAAACAAAAAATTCCTGGTACTTTGTTTTCGTCAGATGTTTGGTACAGCATTGCTACAATAAACTATTAATGCGTGTTCTAATATCACGATGATGAACGCAAAATACAAATATTTATTTTTCAATTTATTATTGAAACTCAGGTTTATAACTTAATTTCTGAGGACTTTTATTACATTTTTTTTTTGAGAAATCAATTTCTTTCGTAACAGTGCATATGTGGTTAAAATATGTCGGATAAGTTGTGAAACACCCGGTATAGAAAGATATCACGAAATGTTCCATTAAACGTACTGAATGAGGTTTCTTGTCTAAACAAACCAAAAATAAAAACGGGCACGGTACAAGACCACAATTTGCACAAATGTGCATTTCTATAAGATCATAGATACGTTTTGCTTTTGTGCTGAAACTGACTTCGTAGCGTTTTGAAAATTGTTGTATCGTGCTATATTTTGCGCCTGTGATCACAAATGTTTTATATTAAATATTTTTTTGGTGACTATTTTCACCAAGGAAGTACAAGAAAAGTCGACATGTGTGAGCAAAAATTTAACTGATTTGAATTTTCATTCTGATTTTCTAATAAAAATGGAATAATTTCTATGTGACCTTGTTTTGACTGGACTAAAAATTAAATTGTAGAATATAACATTAGTTTCGTATATCCGACAGCTAAATTTAAATTACTTGTAGTTTTCCAGTGTAGGTTCTAGACTATTTTTTCTAACATACCTGTACTATTTGAATTCAAAATTGGATCTTATGCTATATACAGGGTGTCCCAGGAAATCTTTTAGAAGCATTTCATGTTATTGATCGATGTACGATCTGCTCTACAAATATTGCTGTTTTTGGAATCACCTTATACAGGGTGTCCCAGAAGTCGACGTCAAGCCGAAACCGGGTGATAGGCAAAGTCATAACAGCTATCAGAAAAATATTTATGTATATGTTTTGAAAATTATAGGTCTTTGAAAAAGATATAGAAATTTCACACCCTACGGCAGTCTGTCAACTCCTGTTACTACAAATATTTTTTGGATTTTATTTTTACAATGTAATGATGAATAATGCATCTTCAAACTGGTGTCTCAACCTTACTGCCAACTTTTCTCGTTCAGGAAAAATTGCCACTTATTTCCCAACCAAGTATTCCAAAGTAAAACTTTGCTCAACTTTAACTGGCTGTACTGGAAAAAAATGTACTACGAAAGTTTGGCAAGTAACCTTAAAAGTTGGCGCATTTAATAACGATTCCAAAATGGTATAACACTTAGAAGATTACTCGTTAACTTATGCACAATTTTTATTTGAAGAAAAACTGATGAAAATTTTTCAAAATTTCCTAATTAAACAGCGATTATGAAAACGCACAAGGACCCTTAAGGATAACTGTTTGCACAACAGTGGGCGTCAAAATGCTGCTGATGATGATTTACCTTTACAGCAAATGCTCAAACTGTTTTCCTTCAGCCGCAATACACGCTCGACATCTTCTTAAAAAAGATCGGGTTATTAAACGAGCGAATCCACGGTTATTAACAAACTCAGCTGCTTCCAATAGTCTTTGCCGTAGCTCAGCTACATTTTGAATCGGCTTGAAATACACTTTTTCTTTTACAGTTCCCCAGTAAAAAAAAATCTAACGGATTCAAATCTGGTGACCGGGCTGGCCACGGTATTGTACCAGACCGCCCTATCCATCTGCCTGGAAAGTTTTGATCGAGATACTCTCTCACTGAGAGTGCATAGTGCGCTGGGCAGCCATCATGCTGAAACCACATGTCCCTGTAAATACTCAGTAGCACGTCCTCCAATAAATTTTCTAAATGATTTTGCAAAAAACCTAAATAAACCTCAGCAGTCAAAGTCTCTGGGAACTCAAACGGACCGATTATTTTACCATTTAAAATTCCTGTCCAATGGTTTATCTTGAAGCGATATTGAGATTTATCTTCTCTCATCAAATGTGGGTTTGCTACGTGCCACTCGTGTAAGTTATGCAGGTTCATGTACCCATCTTTCTTAAATGTGGTCTCATCTGACCATAAAATTTGTTCAAAGAACATCTTCCCTGTGTCTTTCTAACATTGTGCGACAAAAAGCAACTCGGGGCTCATAATCCCGGGGCAGAAGAGCTTGAACACGCTGTACGTGGTATGGATGGAGCACGTTTTTTTGCAAGATTCTATGGGCTGTACTTTTGGGCACACCTGTTTTTAGCTCTATTGCACGCACTGAAGTACTCGGGTCTTCTTCGACAGCTCCTAGCACCACGTCTTCGTAAGGAAGGAAAGATCTTCCCTCACCGTGTGATTGGTTTGGTAGTTGGCCCTCTGAGAACAGTAAGCGGTGCACATTTGTGAACACTCGATGATCTGGATGCCGAGCTGCATTCGGGTACCTCTCACAGTAAAGTCTCGCTGCAGCACTAGCGTTGCATCTGCATTCCCCATAAATGAGGTGCATGTTAGCATATTCTTGTACGGTATACACGGACATAGCGGTACTGCACAATCACACTATCAAAGATAGTCTAAGGAAAGCAAATGTTGTTTTGAAGAGCAATTAAACAGTCCAAATCCAAATCACAAGCGATCAACAGTCCAGTTCACGAATCCAAAATTAGTAACAGTACGAAATCAACAAGCACGAACATGTAAAGATGCGCAGTAAACGAAGGAGTACTGATCGGTATCAAAGTGTGCAATAGCAAGGAAGTGATGTGCTTCATCCATACCACATACAGCGTGTTCAACCTCTCGTGCCCCAGGATTATGAGCCCCGAGTTGCTTTTTGTCGCACAATGTTAGAAAGACACAGGAAAGATCCACAGTTCTTTGAAAAAATTTTATGGTCGGATGAGACCACATTTAAGAAAGATGGGTACATAAACCTGCATAACTTACACGAGTGGCACGTAGCAAACCCACATTTGATGAGAGAAGATAAATCTCAATATCGCTTCAAGATAAACCATTGGACAGGAATTTTAAATGGTAAAATAATCGGTCCGTTTGAGTTCCTAGAGACTTTGACTGCTGAGGTTTATTTAGGTTTTTTGCAAAATCATTTAGAAAATTTATTGGAGGACGTGCCACTGAGTATTTACAGGGACATGTGGTTTCAGCATGATGGCTGCCCAGCGCACTATGCACTCTCAGTGAGAGAGTATCTCGATCAAAACTTTCCAGGCAGATGGATAGGGCGGTCTGGTACAATACCGTGGCCAGCCGGTCACCAGATTATCCGTTAGATTTTTTTTACTGGGGAACTGTAAAAGAAAAAGTGTATTTCAAGTCGATTCAAAATGTAGCTGAGCTACGGCAAAGACTATTGGAAGCAGCTGAGTTTGTTAATTACCGTGGATTCGCTCGTTTAATAACCCGATCTTTTTTAAGAAGATGTCGAGCGTGTATTGCGGCTGAAGGAAAACAGTTTGAGCATTTGCCGTAAAGGTAAATCATCATCAGCAGCATTTTGACGCCCACTGTTGTGCAAACAGTTATCCTTAAGGGTCCGTGCGTTTTCATAATCGCTGTTTAATTAGGAAATTTTGAAAAATTTTCATCAGTTTTTCTTCAAATAAAAATTGTGCATAAGTTAACGAGTAATCTTCTAAGTATTATACCATTTTGGAATCGTTATTAAATGCGCCAACTTTTAAGGTTACTTGCCAAACTCTCGTAGTACATTTTTTTCCAGTACAGCCAGTTAAAGTTGAGCAAACTTTTACTTTGGAATACTTGGTTGGGAAATAAGTGGCAATTTTTCCTGAACGAGAAAAGTTGGCAGTAAGGTTGAGACACCAGTTTGAAGATGCATTATTCATCATTACATTGTAAAAATAAAATCCAAAAAAAGTTAATATTTGTAGTAACAGGAGTTGACAGACTGCCGTAGGGTGTGAAATTTCTATATCTTTTTCAAAGACCTATAATTTTAAAAACACATACATAAAATTTTTTTAAATATTTTTCTGATAGCTGTTATGACTTTGCCTATCACCCGGTTTCGGCTTGACGTCGACTTCTGGGACACCCTGTATAAGGTGATTCCAAAAACAGCAATATTTGTAGAGCAGATCGTACATCGGAAAATAACATGAAATGCTTCTAAAAGATTTCCTTGCCCTGCGGCACGAATGGGACTGAACAGGAATACTAGGAATTCAAATCAAGTTGTAGTCGTGTGCGTTTTTTTCTCAACCAACAGCTTGTTCCCAAACTTTTTAAGTTCTTTGTGAAACAGTATTGGAATTATAAAAAATGATAGTATATCGAGCATCAAATGTATCTTGGGGTGTGTTGAGAAAAGGAAAAGATGTTCTCAGCCATGGTGGTTAGCAGCCGTACGTATAACACGGCAACTGATCACTATCTAGTTCAATTGTTATGGTGAGTTATGAAAAGAAAACCAAAGTTTTATCTCTTTTCTATAAATGTGCAAATGTTCGTGAGGTGCTTTGGTGCTTTTTTATAGATGTATATGAAATAAACAAATAATCGAAAGGTTTTTTAAAGTTTGTGTCTGCGCAGTTTGTCGTACGATTTTTCTATTCGTCTAAAGGCTGATGTGTCGATGTGGAAAGTGCTCCACTTAATTTCTCACTGTGTAAGTTCCATATTTTCAATTTGTTGCACAAGGCTTCCTAAACTGTAGGTAGCAGAGTGGTCAAAAATAATTTTACTTTATCATAAAAAGAATAAATACCTCATCCGCACTTTGAAATGGTGATACCACAGTTTTCCTCATATAAAACGATGCCTGATGAAAATTGTGGAAGGGAGCGTTGAATTTCCTGTAGCTTGAAAGTAGAAAAATGTTGACACACTCATAATATATTATAATATCGATTCAAAAAGTGGAATGTATCAGCAAAGTTAAAAAATGGCGTCAAGTAGGCTGACTCTGCGCTTCCTATACAATGCTGTCATAAGTTCATATTTTTGGCACAAATTAGCCACTTTCAGAAAAAAGTTAGCTACGAACGTGTATAACAAAAATTGAGGGATTAAGTTAGTCAAGCAGGCTCATGCAATTAAAATTTGCAGATTTACGTACAATTTTGGCGCTGTTTAGGATTTGGTTTCAATGATTCTGATTTTTTACTTTTTTGCCCATAGCTTCACCGCCACTGGATCGATTTTCAAATAATATAAAGCTTTTTCGTCTTTGGCATAGTAGTAACCTTGTGTAAAAATCTCGTCGAAACGGACAGACAGATAGGCCAACAGAAATGAAAGATGAAAAATTATTTTTAACCACCCTACACTTTTATGGATGTACAGTGTTATTCAAAACGGTCCCCCTATTTATTTTTGAATGAGTCAAGTTAGAAAGCTGAAATTCTGGGAAATAAAATTGATCCATGGATATTATTTGTTAGCGTAAACCTATTATTTGAAAATTTCAAAACGCCATTTGGAAATATTTCTTAAGTGGAATGAGGGATCGTGTGATACCTCATTTGGAAGCTCCTTACGAGCGCCTTTTCCCCTAGAATATAAAATCACTAAATTTCAAAATGGCGATCTGGCAGGTTGGCAAACTTAAGAATTTCTTCTGTTTGCGTTTAAATGTAGTATCCATGCGTCAACATTAATCATCGAGAATTTCAGCACCCTAACTTGACCCGTTCAAAAAGCACTGAATACACTTTTATAGCAGGAAGTGTTGAAAATAAAGATTCAAATATACTGTGCACTTCCAAATCTAGCATAAGGATAATCTGGCTCACTAAGATCTTATTCACCTTAAAATGTAATGCACTGTACTGACTAGACTTGAATTTTCACCTTAACACTTCCCATTTTGCGATGCATCCTAGAGTTTTACGAATAGATGCATTTATCACTTGTGGTTCATGATTGTAATGTGATGTGATATTCAATAATAGAAATCTTCAGAGTTGCTACATAGCCTTCAATAGATAGTTAAATTAAATTAATTAAATTAAGTTTAGTAAGAATACTAAACTTAATTTATTTTCAACAAACACTAGGGAAAATGTTTACGTCTCTGCATGGCAGTTCGCAAGTATTTTTAGGCACGATTACTTGAAAAGAACTGTCACGAGTTTGTCACTAGAAAACTCGAATAACAAAGTGACAAGCATCAAGCGTACCATCTGCAGAATAATTGGTTCTGTACTTTGATACAAAATACAACTGATTGTCAGATCAAAGTTTACTGGTTTTATTTCATATCTAGTAGGCACCTTATTGGCTCTCCGAAAATCGAAAGATGGTGCGAAATTTGAAACAATATGTGATGTCAATAACTAATGTATCTCATTAGGTATTTTAACATTTTCGGCTTATAAACTTTGCGGTGTAGGAGGCGAAACTGTTAATGGGTGAAAAAAATGAATGTATTAATGTGTATATCTGACAACCTTCGTTAAACTTTGATTTTGGCAATTTACATAAACTCATTTAATTTTGTTGGTTCCACAGTTGCATTTTTAGGATTTCCTGCATATAGAATTGTGTTACTAATGCTCCAAGCAGTTATTGTATTTAGGAACGATTATAGAATACTTTAAAAAATCTAATAAGACATCAAGAAGAATATTGTAGAATATCACATCAATCCGCAATAGAGATAAAAATATATCAAAGATCTATTTGTTTTCAGCACTTCCTTTGTCAATTTTAGTTCTGTCACTGCCATTGTATTCTCATCAAGACGAAGTGGTAGCACTGGTACTTTATCAATGTGTACTTCATTACGAAGATTTAGTCATCTTACAATTACTAGTCCTATTATCCGTCAGGAGTTTGGTTGCTTGTGTATTATTTTTCTTATTTAGGTTTTTTAATAGATACAGTGCTCTACAAGTTTCAATATCAGGATTCATATGACACAGAAAATGGAGCACTATCTTGCTTATAGATAGTGTAAACTTTGGACGCATTGGTACATGAACGTTGCAAGAGTGCAGCTGTTATCAAGTGTCCATGCAATTCAAATAGCCTATGACATAAATACGAGCATTATCTTGTTGGAAAAAATACCGGAGTACCACTTCATATAAGTTCGGGCATTAATGAAAAATTGCAGAGTACTGTATCATAATATTAGTTATTATTTATGAATTTATGAATGTTATTGGACTGATATTTAAATTAAACTCAAGCGATTTCTGTTCCTGTATAGAATATTAAATCGTTCTCCATTTTTTAATCTCTGTTAAAAATGAGGATAGAACAAACTTAAAAAGTGTTATTTTTTCTGCTATGTTAATACTTAGTTGAAATGATCATTTTAACATTAGTTTTGAAAAAATAAGTATGAATGCTATGATACTAATTTATTACAAAGGCTGTTGAAATTTCTTTTTTAATTATAATTTAGTATATTTTGAAATTGATTTTAAACTGTACAGAATTTAGAGAGCAATGCCATACCTGAGATATTATATATAGTATTGATTTTTATGATGTAAATATACCTGATATATTTTAAGCCAGTATTTCTTGTATTACTTCTTTGTCGCCCATCATCACGCCATTACAAATCGGGGAGGCCGTCTACGCCACGAGCCCTGCGGGCGCTCAGATTCGCCATTGGAGATCTAAATTATTTCGCAAGCTTATGATAATAATGTCTAGTTTTGCTCCCGCTATGTTGCGCTAGTGTAGTTCGAGGCCAAGCTGTCTCCAAAGCTAATTTCATAAGACCATATACACTGAAAACCAAATACCAGTGAAGCCGTAATGTGTACGAGAGAGAAGCACGAGAGGCGTGCAATACGTGTGTTGGAAAGACATAAGCATCTAGTTTGATTAAATCAACTTCGCAAGGAAATTAGACAAACATCTTGAAGGTCAATGTAGGATAGATTAAAGTATATATACCAGCTACGCTCATGCAAACGTAGAAAAGATCTTAATATTACACACTATCCCCAAAAAGTTTTCGCGAATATAATAAAACTCTTCAGTTTTGATTAATATATTTGCCTTTATAAATTACATAATAATATTTTTCCTAAAACAGTAAAAACTTTAAGTGATCACAGGATCAAATTGATAAAATCTATACATATGTAAAACGCTCCACCAGAATGTGGCAGTATCTGATTGCACCAATGACAAAAACTTTACAAAATGTTTTTATTTCATATAGATACATATATTTAATGTAGATTCCAGACTGACTATGTGATGTGTATTTAGACTCAGTTACAACCTCATTACAGCCTATGTTATTTCGCTTAATCTCATCTATCCTATCCAACACCAAAATGTAAATATTTTACAACCAGATAATGCCAAGTGTAACTTAACGGATTATAATCAGCACGATATTTCTCCTTGTAACAATTTATTGCACCTGTAATCAAAGAACATAAAACACGTTAGTTTCTTGGGTTATAAGATCTTGGTTGAAGTACATATTCTGAAAAAACATAGAGGTCATTTACTTCCCAACAAAGAGAATAATTTAGTCTGATCACTATATACCACGATACTTCAGTACGTTTGGACGTCTATTGAGGCAAACAGCTGTTCAGCAACTGACATTATAAATGGGTGTTGGTAAATAATCAATCTGGTGAAAATCAGGATTGTATTCAGAACTAGTTACACCACTGATGAAAAGTAGGTTCACATACCTACGTCCACTGATACAGTATACGAACTTCATGCAATAAACCGCATAATAGAGTTGGTAGAAAGCATGAATCACTGCAAACAAAAAAAAAAAACGCGACCACAGAACACCCGGCCTTTTCGATACGGCTCTGTCGACAGACCTCAGAATTGTGTCACTTGACGATATGAGGTATTTTAAATGTCGCCAGATAATCAGCTGATATTTGTTGATATGTTTTGTCATAATAAAGCATCGTGAAAATAGTGTATCTCAATACTGCACTGACGGCAAAATGAAATCATTGATGTAGAATCAAAAAGATTTATTAATGTTTGGGCCACCTCGGTAGCCTTTGTGGCTCTAAGATTTCGAAGAAAAATATAAAATTAAACCTTTTTGTGAATTTCACAACGGTTGCATAGTTTTGAGGTTCAGCTAAACAGTTTAAAAAGGATGATACATTAATCCGCATGAATATGAAAACAATTTTTCTTTTGACCAAAAAACTCCTCCACCTAGCGACATTTTTTCATAATGATGTAATATATGGATAAAAAATCAAATTCTTGACCTCAATGTTGCTTCAGTCAGATGATTGTACACCTAAAAATACCTACCCTAAAAAAATAAATAAGGCGTGATAGTGAAGCAAAGCGATACGGGTTTACCGTGGATGCAATTTTTGCTTTCGTTTTGGTTGCATATAGGACTGCACCTCCCGTGACAATGAACTAGCCGAGCTCCATCTAGACATCTATATCCATAACCACAACAAAAAGTATAAGCCAGACACCAAATAATATATAATATGTGGTATTATTACAAAAATGGTGTTAGGAAAAAAAGCAGTTCATGCAAGCACCGTACGTCATTCTTGATACTTCTAATTCTTTGGCAGAAAATATATTAACTTCTTATTTCACTTGTAATGCAAAATTATTATCTAAAAAAACTTAGAAAAAATTCAAAAATATCCATATAAACTAAACGTTGTTCAACATGTCACACATTCAAATTAATAAAAAATGTCGAATATGCTCATTGTTTTGTTTTTGAATATTGTCCATTTCTGAATAGTTGAATAACTGATCCTGCTGATAAACAAGCATTAAGAACCAAACATGTCAACGAAGACGAAATGATCCATTAATGATGAGTCATGAGAATGATGTGTGTAATTTTTTAAATGACAATAAGTGGTGGTCGCTGCTCAAATCGAACAAAATCCTTGAACATATTCAAGTAAAGGAAAGTAACCGCAGTCTATATAGATCGCGAACTTATCTGAAAAAAATGGGAACATGTTTAACTTTTCTTTCAAGTTTCAAGATGGCGAATGGCCTAAGCATCTCTTTTCACGGATTTTGGCGGTTAAATGTCATACAAAATAAGTAACCCGATCTATTAATTGCATCATGAATGGAACTTAACTTTCGGAAGGGAAGTTTCACACTCCACAAACCGATCTTTAACATAGCTGCTACTGGCTCTTGGAGTAGGCAATAAACGCCCGTGTCATTAACCGTGTTTATGGAGGTATCAGGGGCGAATCTAAGATGACGTAAACGAAACTTTTTTGGGACCTTGTTCAAAAAAATCGTCACTGCCAAGTTTCCAGAGTGCTAGTGTACTATGCTGACGAAACAGCTTGACTCATGTCAAGCAACACTGGTTCGCGACTTATGACTGCTTGACCTCACGTATGAAAAATGATTCCTATGAGAAGAACGGGTTGATTACGAACTTGCTGTCAAAATTTGTTGCTATTTGAGCTTATGAAGCTGTCCTCCAAATGACCTCTGAGGTCATCATCTAGGTCATATTAGTGGTCACCAATAACTTCTTTCTTTGATCTCCTGGAACGTGTCGCAGGAAACTTTCGAAATAATGCGGGGATTTAATACTTATGTAATATGGAGGACTAGCAAAACTTAAATTGCGCGCCCATGACAGTGGTATGAGTAGTTTTAGAACACTCATAAGTAACGGCAAAATTTTTGAGGCGCGAGACAAAACAGAAATTAAGGAACATATGTCTGTGAGTTTATACAAACGTCCGCAAACAGAGGTTGCATGTACTATGTGTAAGGGAGATTGAGATATAAAAATGATACCAGTAGTTTTGTGTGACCCGCCAAAATCGGTGGAAAGACCCACACATTATAACGTGACACGTTACAGGGAGACAATCCGGGTAGTCAGAATATCCAAGGAAGACGTTCTCCGCGAGCACTGGATGCTTCAGAAATTTGGTCCTACCTGCTCGCCGGAATGTAATGTTACTCTTACAGGACAGTCGCCACCATAACTTACTTTTATCGTCAATAGTCTCGAGAAAATTGAACAAAACTAGTTTTAAACCCCCTTCATATGGCCGTGCCCGTATGATTGTTAGCCATCAGCCAACAATTGATGCAGAAAAAAGCTTCCAACGACAAAAAAAATAATACACAAAATGGTTGCGTTAACTTCCCTGATCGTTTTCCCTTGCAGGCAGACATTCGTAAAAGTCATGCATATTAAAGGAATCAAACTCATTCTTACATCACGTTTCTCGATGTCTTAATAATCGTTAGATTTCCTTTTCTAGCAACAAATAAAAAAAATTACATGTGTGTATTCATCGTTCAAGACACAGATTTTGCTTTCTTATGTTCACAGTTCCATGAAGTGTAAGCTGCTCATACGTTGTTTAAAAAAATACTGCTCACTAATCTGATCAATGAACAAGTTAAGTTCATGTTTTCGATTCAAGTCAATAGTTTCCGAGCTAAGCTTCGGTCAAAAATACACCTTATGCCTTTTTTGATCGAATGCCGAAGGTTCCAAAAAATGAAGAGTGAAAGAGTAAACATGCACATAGAGATAATCGTCGAATTTAGGAACGGATGAAACGCTTTTCAAAGGTGTTAAAGGGTAGTGACATGCAAATGACTAGTGGTTCTTAGTCTAGACCTCTATGCTAGCTACTTAGAAATATCTGTTAGCCTGCCAGTTAGTACCAGTGTACATATTGTCAAATATTTAATGTTGCAGGACAAAGGTACGATAAGAAGAATGCGAATTTACAATGTGGTATTGATATGCTATTTTTTTGGCTTTAATGTCTAAGTTTTCAAAACTATAAGCTCACCTACTTGTTTTAGTTATGTCAAAAGTTCACCCCATACTATGCAGTGAAGTCAACTTTAATTATAACATATTCCACTGTCAAAAAATAAAATGATATACTTTATTTTTAAAACTGACTTTTACTTGAATGGTATTACTTTGAAAATGTTTCACGCAGTAATTATTTTGCATATTAAGTGCTATGAAATTATACCAAAGAAATCGGATGTTTCCACTGTAGATTTCAATTGAGTGTAATGAGTTTACAATTTCAGGAATTTTCAGTTTATTAACTAGAATAATCCAAATTCTAAAACTTCCTGCTCCTTATTTGATACATTTTAACTGACTTCGCATTATTCACTAGTATATTAAATATCTAGAATTTTATAATATGTTAATCTTAACGCCACACAACGTAACTTTCACGTTTTATTTGTTTTTAACTAGTTTACAATATTTCATGTTAAAATAGAAATTTCTACTTATAAGAGGTGGATTCAAAGGCGTCCATCATCTATTTTCAACCTGGCGAAAACAAAGGTTGCGTTAAAAACCAAACATATGCTTTGACCAAAAAACTGAGACTCGGTCGGACTCTACAAATCGCTGACTTAATCCTAACACCTAAAATGCAAAATTCGGCCTGCCAAACATGGGGGGTTGTAAGATATGCATGGCATTCGATAGAGAAGCCCAAGATCCACCGTTCTTTTTACTCTCCTAGAAGTTGTCAGTTTTGAGTTACGCAGTGTTACAACATAAGCGACGGTATGTCACCAAGACCAGCGATATCCTTTGCCTTTCGTAAATATATTCGATGCACCATCATTGCGTCCTTCTCGTCACAAACTACTACTGTCCTCATGGACTTGATGTAAAGTTACATTAGCAAAGTTTATCACAACATCTTTCTGATCAATGATTAGCCTCAAGCAGCTCACGTGCGCTGTGGAGTCTTAGTCTACAACATGCATGTGTACTAGAACAGGCGTTGTGACCCATGGAGTGGTGGAGACGTGAATTGGAAAATATTACATCGTGAAGATTCTAGATAGTGAGACACTAAAGATTTGTTAATGAATAGAAAGAAATACGAGGTCGGTAAATTAAGTAATGGGACTAACTTTTCTCAAATATTACTACATTTTATATTGTTGCCCTGCTGAAGCCACACAATGCTGGAGACGTTTTTCCACACCTCAGCAGTGCTGGAACTCCAATACTGGAATAGCCTTCAGCTGGTCGGTTACAGACGTTTGAATTTCTTCGACTGACCCTTGAGGTGATTTTTCAACATTGGGAAGATAAAAAAGTCACAAGGACTCAATTCAGGCGAATAAGGAGGCTGAGGTGCCACATGAATGTTTTTACGGGCCAAAAGCTCGTTTATTGACATTGCTGTTTAACAAGGAGCATAATCGAGATGCAACACCCAGTGGTTCTTGAAGTTTGGTCTCACACAATAGATCCTTTTCGAAGTTTTCCAATAACCTCCCGGTAAAAGTGTTGATTGACCGTTTAGCCTTGAGGTTGTGGATGATTCCGTGGGTATCGAAAAAACAAATCTTCGACTTCGTCTTTATTGCTTTTTTGGGCTTTGTAGAGGTTGAAGTGTGTCAGTGTGCTTGGTTTCTGAGACGTACTCAAACACTCAAGACTCATCACCAGTAATGATACGTTTCAGAAAATGGGGGTCATTTTCAATGGGACCCAAAAACTCAAGGCACCTCTCGTTCCTGTTGTCCTTTTGACATGCGAAAGGTGGTTTTTTGCGAAGATTTTTCTCGTCCTCAATTCTCTGATCAAAATCTGATGAACGGTCAAATTTAACTCTTCTCCGATCATACCGACAATCTGAACGCACGAGATACCGGATTCTGTCGATATTTTCATCGGTTCTTGAAGATGAAAGGGTTCCGCTTCGTGATTCATCTTCAATCAACTCTCTCCCTTCTGAAATTGCCTTAAACCACCGAAAAACCCGTGCTCTTGACAAAACACTATAGTTTAGTTTAGCAAGAGTTTCCGTTGCACTGTGCCCAAGTCTGAAGCATAATCTGATAGCACACAGTTGCTCGAAATTGATGTCGCTCATTTTTAAAACACAATAGAAAAAACTGTTTCGTAAAAAAAATTGTTACGGACAACCAAATTACTCGAGCGAGTTCAAACTTGTTTTGAAGGCGAAAAACACGTTCCCCTGTCTCCCCCCAAGTCCGGCGCCTCCAGTGTTGCCAGATCGAACGCTACGGTACCAGTCTCATTACTTAATTTACAGATTTTGTATGTATATTTTCGGATAGTAAATATTTTGATGTATGTTCAGCTTACACTGCATCTACTGTATATTTACAAATTGTACAATTTGTCTCGAAGAAACTTTATCTCACCTGCTGCTCACCCATGTGTGGCACTCCTCCAGGAGTTAGAAAATCAACAGGAGCATTAGGGTCTCCCATAGGCTGTGGTATAAAGAAGTTCATTGGCTGCACAGTACTCATTGGCGCGGCTGGTGCTGGAACTGGTGCGGGACCAGTCGTAGGAGCAGGTTTGGCAGCACCACCTTGACTGAACACATCTACGTAGGAATTCTTCAAGTCTGGAAATGTTACGTAACATGTTTTGTCGATTAAAATAAAGAATATGACTTGAAGAAGATTTCATAGGCAAAGGCAGGACCTCAACTTAATCCAACCAATGATGGCTAACCTTTGATCCTGTCAGGAAGATACACACCCTGTACAGTAATGTTAGTTAGTAATGGCTTTTCACACGTGTTCAAACCAAAAATATGAGTTTACTTATGCGGTCAGACAGACTTGAGTTATAATTCTTGATTCAAATTTTGGTCTAATATCTCACAACTTCCTTTGAGAGATGTTTTTCTAAATTGATTACCGTTCTCTGACCTAGGCCCTTTACCCTAAATCCGTAATAATCCCGTCTCATTCATGACAATACAACATGCGACTGGAAAATATATAGACTGTCCGAAATCTAACTATTCCATGTCCAATTCCAAATCGAATAAAACTGCTTTCATTGAACGGGCCAATGTCTTGCGCAATAAGTCATAAATGCGCAGGTGAGCATGAAATATAACTAAAAAATGTTTGGCATATAAATATTATGAAATTTGAAATAAGCTGTTGTTGACTCGTTTTTACATAAAGACGGACATAGTTTGGTTTCAACTAGAGTATAGCAAAAATGATAACTTGTGAAATCAACAATGTAGACAAACGAATTAACTTTAAAGTTACTATTTTACTGAAATCTATCTCTTTGAAAGAGGACCTTAGAAAATATGCTTTGTATGCATGTGTTAGGTACTGATACCAGGTGGCTGATTATTGAATAAATCAGTTCCAACGATGCGATGTACCCATTTGATATTGCACCGATTCGACCTACCAGCACTTTATTTGTGGTGGTAGGAGATACCATAGTGCTTTGAATCCCCTCGCATGTTTTGTATGACAGTCTGTATGTCTGTCAGAAACGGATACACCAATTTTGGAATGTTTAAAGAGCGACATGGTGTGGGGTAATAATGATTGGTGAAAAACAAGCAGGTTTTTAATTGAAAATCTGCCGGCATTGCCGATACACTTACTTCTGCTCCTTTGCATCTTAAAAATGTTGGGTTGCGGCGGACCCTTTGGAATCAAATTTCCGTTATCATCAGGCAAAGGAGCTTGTCTTATTTGCTGTACAACTGCTTGCGTTGCATTAGGAATTGGAGCTGGAGCCATTTGCTGGAATCCAGATGGATTCTGCTGACCTGCAGGCGGTATGTTGGGCATCAAGTCCGCCATTTTAGGTGGAGGTTTTATCTCGTTTGCCGGATCGTTTGGATCTTCGTCGATGTTGACCCACCGCTTTTTGTCTTGGTCCCAGACAATCTGAAACAATCACAGTCACTCTGTACTGTATATTTACAATATAATACCTGGTCTATCTCACAGTCTAATGAATGCAATGAGTTATATAAACCTGTCGCAGTCAACGTAAGGGATAATCACTTATAACACCGATATACCGGCCTTTAAAGTATCGACATCGACGATTATATTATCACTATCGCCAAAAATCCTGTATCTATCGATCTCCACCTCTAAGAAAATCTAATCCCTTGCTTTTTTCGTCAAGTTTTCTCTTTTTAGCGTAAAAATGAGAAACATAATGTTGCCATAATGCTCTGTTTGTTATCTTGTATCGAATTCGATATTATTGTCACATTATGGCCAGTATAACAATGCAGAGAAAAGTTCCTTAATTTTAACGTGAAAGCAGTGAGTACCAGGACACAAAAAATCAATGTATCGAAGATTTTAGAATATTTTTCTAACGAGCAAAATCGAGTGCATACCATATTATTCGTCAAAACTATTCAGCTCAAATCCAGCATGAACGTCACTTGAAGAAATAAAAAATGCATAGTAACCGCGAACCAAATTTAATGACAATATCCATAGTGATAGCATAGATATTGTAAGAAAATTATATTTGCCACCCTATGCATTGAAATCCATATACTACTGTTGTCGTAATGTGTACGAGACAGAAGCGCGGTGCAATACGTGTGTTAGAAAGGGATTGGGTTGCCTAGCAGCCCGAGTGACGAGGGCACAGATGCAGTTGCGGCTTGCCGCGTTGCCATCGGCATACTCTTTCTAACATACATATTGCACGCTTCTCGCGCTTCTCTCTCGTACACATTACGACGTCAATCAAATTTGAACCTCACCGTATAGCAAAATTTAAGATGTTTGGGGCATTGTATCTTTTCATTCAAATAAACCCTCCTTTAAATATTTTCCTTACTTTTGAGGCATCCTGTATATTTTCGCTTGATAGGCACTTGATTACAAAAAATTGTCATTACCAACCTTCGGATTTTTATCATCAGGTAACTTCATTTGATTCTTCGGTTTCATAGCCAGTCTACTAAAAATTCCACCAAACCAGCCAGTGCTCTGAGTGGTCTCTTTGGATGGGCTCTGCGGCTTGGGCTTCACAGGACTAGCTTTCTTGTCAACTGTCTCATCTTCTCTATCCTCGAAGCCTCGCTGTTTTTGATTAGGTAATGAAATCTGCGGCGCCTGTTCCTGTGGAACAGTACAGAAGGAGACAATTTACTATTCTATGTGGACGTGCAGCGGATGATCTTGAGATGAAAAGGGATGAAGCAATAGATGAATACCCAATACTAAGAAATTGAACACTACACTATGTTTGTTCGATAAGAATGAATTCAATATATATTATTAAGTTTAACCATAAAAAACATGTTGTCCTATCTGATTTTTAGAGGTTATACCATTGATTAACGTAATTCACAAGAAGATGCCCAAGTGAATGCTGTATTTGGGCGTTCTCTTGCAATTTCCGTCATCTGCCAGGTAGGACTGGAGTAATTCCCTCACCACTTCAAAAACAAATTCCACTTACTTTTAAAGAATATTGTTTAATTATACTTATAATTTCGTATCATCAGGATCTCCTGCGGCAGCAGTTCAAGAGGTGGCAATCGACAGGTAACATCAAGTTGAGACCTTCCTTTTCCGAAACAACTGCCCGATATAAATAAACCTATAAACCTACGCAGCTCCGGATGAAAACATCCATTACAATGATCGAATATACTCACCAAATATCAACAGCACCTTGATGACGCGCACGGTAAACTAGGAATGTGCCAATTTCGGTTGTTTCAATCGATTGGTAAATACATCGCCCGGCGTCTGATTTGGATTAGTGATGTATCGAATGTAAGTTTTTCGAATATCAACTGCCGAAATTCGGGAATGCGAATGCAAATATTCAGTTTTCTTCTCAATACATTACATAAAACCTACTTGAAGGAGAAAAGACTGAAACTTTCATTTTTGAAGCTTAATTATTAAACTGCTTTTGAAACAGATTTGTATCTAGCTTTGTAAAAAAGGTCATCCACAAAAAAATATTAAAAAAGGTCTCTCGTTTTTATTTGAATTTTTGATTGTAAGAAGAGTGATAAGTGAGAGTGATAAAAATGAAAAAGTATGTTTTTGTTTGTTTGAAGTTATTTCATAATTATAGTTGCATTCGTTTTACATACAATCTGACTTCTGTCTTCCCAGTTTCTTCACCAACCTCAGCTGAGTGAGTTTAGCTCTCATTTGCAAGTTTATTTTCTTAAAGTGCAAAACCCTCCGAATCCAAATTCTGAAATTTTTAACTTTGCTTACAATATTTTTCCGGCGATCCATATTAGCAAACCGTAGAAATGTTTAATCTTGAGTATAACTCCGTGATGAGAGTTCATAAACGGCTGGCGGCGCCACGGAATGTAGCCTAATTCCCGCGCAAGAACAGCTTTTAACAGGGTTAAATTCTGGTGGAATATGTTAATCAATGGTTTCTCGTAATCTACTGCTAGTTCTGGCTCCCATTCGAAAAAGATGACAAGTGCGTCTAGAAGTTAGCTCTAAATGCTTCAATTGACACTTCTTTGATTTTAGCAATATTGCACGCGAAGGCCTCATCGTTAAGTCAGCACGTGGATGAATTGACCAGATTTATGAAAAAATCGACCATTCCTGACTTCAAGTAGAGGTTTCTGGGAATACCAGATAAACTTTTACAAGTTCACTCATTCACCACTCTATGAAATTTGCAATAAATTCGCATGGTGTTTCCAATACTTTGATGGATGAAAATGAGCCACAAAAGATTTTTATTCGAGAATTATGAACCATCAATTCCCCAACCTAATTTTTTTCAAATTGAAACTGAATAGAATTAATTATTCAATTTTTTGGCACTGGGTATGTGCACGCATCAATGGTTATGGTAAATCCTGGTACAATGTCATAGATATTGAGTCAACGGTGCTATAGATAAAATAAATACACAAACTCTTGGATGCAAGCTATAAAAGCTGGTTACACAGACAGTTAAGCCTAAAGATAGATCTATGTCACTGTACCACAGAAGCAAATGTTAGTGCAAATAAGCAGATATTAACGATATGTTGGTTACAATAGGCAAGGATGATGGCATAGTCTTTAGTCAACTACAAAAAAGATGTTATTGCAAATTTTATAACTGTTTATTAAATAAAAAATTACATTAAGCTTGTAAAATGCACAAAAATAATTTGTTTCATACAACCATCGCAGTTCAATAACACTTATTTTAGTATATTACATTGCAGTTCAATAACACTTATTTTAAACTATTCTGCTACAACAATTAATGTGGCTTCATGTGTGTGTGAAAACAGAAACAGCCTTGAATATATAATATGAGAATAATTCCAAAAGTAAGCCCTCCTATTTTTTTTAAAGTACAAAAATCATTTATTTCCAATAATTATAAAGCTTGAGCACTGGTATATTTTTCTACATAATTGCCATTACGGTCAACGAATTTTTGTAGAAGCTGCCTGGTCTTTGAGAAAGCACTGACCTCATCTTCCACTTTGTCGTCGGAACTTAATTGCTTCCTAGCCTAATGTCCCTTTTCAATTTAGGGAACAGCTAATAGTAAGTATTGTGAAACGCTGAAAAAACTCAGATACACTATATGCAGTCCAGACTTGGCATCCAGTGATTCACACCTATTCTCTAAGTTGAAACAACCATTGACAAGACGATTCATATTTGACGACGAGGTGGAAGATGAGGTTTCAATCCTTCCTCAAGGACCTGGCGTCGAGCTGGTACAAAAACTGCCACACCGTCTACAAAACCGCAACGATTCTCATATGAAGAAAAAAAGATCGATGCTCAAGCTTTATAATGAAGTATCAGTTATTTGAAATAAATGGTTTTTGTACTTTTAAAAAAATAGAGGACACCCCAAAATTTGGATTACCCTCGTATTTCAACAATTCCATAGAATAGGTGTTCGATATTTAACAATATCAACAGGTGGTTATTTCGTTTTATATTTTAACAACCATTTAGTTAAAGCCATATTTTACGTATGGATTTTGAATATGTACTATACATGTTTTCGTTTATTGGGTACAGCTATTTGAGCACTATGTGATTTGTAGAAAATGTTTATACAAAGTTAATCAAAATAAAATGAAATGATTATAATAATCCTTAAAAAAAACCTTCCAGTGAAAAGAAAATAACAAATATCGGTTTAAATTAAATATTAAAGGTCTATACAGGGTGTTCCTTAATGATATGCGAATATTTAAGGGTGTGAATCTACATGAAAAATTAATGTTAGTTCGCTTCATAAACTATGGTCCAAAACTGTTTCCTTACAAAAACTCGGGGTTTTGAAGTATTAGGAAAAAATGGAAATTAATTAATATTTTCAGAACCACTTCAGATATTTCACTGATATTTAGTACGTAGGGAAAGTTAATGAAGTTGCATATTTTTCAATGCAAAAATAATTTTTAGCTTTAACAGTGGCATGCGTACGGGTATTGACTTCGATATTTTTTAAGAAATAAATGGTACGCCAATGGTTTTTTGCCAAATAAAAATTATTTTTGAATTCCCCGTTCAATTTAAAACAAATGATCTCTCTTGAATTGTTTTCCTTCGATGTGCCATTTTTGAGTAAAAAAATAAAAACCGTTCTATTGTCTAACTTGCAAAATTAGTATTAATTTAATTGGAAAAATTAAACACATTACGGGTAATGAACAACAACAACTGACAACATAAACATAACATTAAAACCAACGAAATGATAACAAAAATTGTTGAAAATGGTCCCCTTCACTTAGTATGCATGCTTCCGCCCTCCTTCTCATGGAAATGCGCACCCGTTGACTATCCCAGGAGTGTCTTTTATTCTATCACAAGCTGCAACTATTCTTTCTCTTAATTCCGCTACAGTGTAATGGGACTTGTGTACACTAGTGTCTTAAGATAGCCCCACAAAAATAAATCGAAACTGTTGAGGTCTGGGGACCTGGGTGGCTATTCTTGGGGCCCACCGCGGCCAATCCAACGATTTGGATAAACAGTTTGTAAATAATTAAGAACCGCTACACTGAAATGCGCTGGTGCACCATCATGCATGTACCACATATTGTTTCTTATTACTAACGGAACATCATCAAGCAGCAAAGGCAACTGTTGTCGAAGAAAATTGAGGTAAGTCTGTCCGTCAAGTCGTCCCGGCAAGAAGAATGGGCCAATAAAGTGGTTGCCAATAATTCCTGCCCATACATTAACCGATAATTGGTATTGGAAATGGGTTTCGGTTACGGCATAGAGATTTTCTTCTGCCCACAAATGATTATTGTGGAAATTCTGAATGGCATTTCGAGAAAAATTAGCTTCGCCCGTGAACAGAATCATTGATTCAAATTGCGGATTTTGTGTAATTTTTTGAAGATACCACTCACAAAAGGTCACACGCCTTGGAAAATCAATGGGAAGTAATGCCTGTACTCTAGTAAGGATATAACAAAAATCCACTAAAATTTTCCAAACAATTTGATGGCAAATATTTAAGTGTCTAGCGATCTTCCTCGTACTCGTTTCAGGATGTTCTGCGACTTCGTGCAGCACTGCTTCCTCAATTTCAGGTGTTCTCATACTTAGAGGTCTACCTTCAGATGTCCCTTTTCGGACAGAACGAATTTCAACAAGACGACGATTAATCTCAGAAAAGGTTCGACTATCTGGCAAAGCACGATCGGGATATCTCTGGTGGTAAATCCGTCTGGCTTGCTCACCATTACCGTCGGCAAGGCCATATACGTACCTAACGCATTTCCGCCATTTCTGCATTTGAATAATTCACCATTATTAACAAGATTGTAAAAACTAAATAATGAAAAAGATGTCACAGCGAACAGATTTGAATAACAGAGACTTTCAGAAAGTGACACATTCCAGAGCAACTAGATATTTATTGCTAAATTGCATTCTTCAATTATTACATTAATTTTCTGGAACAATAGAACGGTTTTTATTTTTTTACTAAAAAATGGCGCATCAAGGAAAACAATTCAAGAGAGATCATTTGTTTTAAATTGAACGTTGAATTCAAAAATAATTCAATACCCGTACGCATGCCACTGTTAAAGCTAAAAATTATTTTTGCATTAAAAAATATGCAACTTTATTAACTTTCACTAGGTACTAAATATCAGTGAAATATCTGAAGCGGTTCTGAAAATATTAATTAATTTACATTTTTTTACTAAAACTTCAACACCCCGAGTTTTTTTAAGAAAACATTTTTAGACCATAGTTTATAAAGCAAACTAAAATTAATTTTTCATGTAGATTCCACCCTTAAATATTCGCATATCATTAAGAAACACCCTGTATAAACAGAAAAAAATGACTACTCATAACTCTCACTTACGATTTTGACAGGTATATTTAACAGACCCGAAGTTTGCATAAATAAAGTATTTCTAGTACAGACAAGTTAAAAGATGTTGGGTTTTCAGTTTAACTATAATCAATGTGATTTCATTAACGAGTACATTTCAACCCATGTGGTCGAAGAGACTGAGAGGATATGGAACGTGTTTACAATTTTTATCACTATAATCTATCACTTAGTACACTAATCAGACATGTCATTGTGCAGTGCAATATTGTCTACAATACAGACTCTACTTATGGTACTGTTGCACCTTCTAGCATTTTTTAAATTCCACGATTGCTCAAATCAAGTAAACGAATTACAAAAATCATTCTATTACTAACTCTATGAGAATTAGCAAAACGTGATGTAGGTGTTTTTCAAAGCTCAAGTCTTCATCGAAATGTAAGCCAAAATTTTTGCCACATCCTCAGTAAGGGATGCTTTCTCCATTGATTTGAGTCAGTTTTCATTTTGTTTTGACTTCGATGGATTGAGTTTGAGATTGTGGAAGTTGCAGTGGACGCTAATATTTGACAAATCTCATTGATATGCTTATGGGTTTCAGAATAGCTCGAGACTGTAAAATCTTCGAATCATCGGCGATCAGCAAAGCGGGAGCCATCTCTGAGGTAATATCGCAGACACAAGCCAAACAAATACACAGCTAACGCAAGTGACTGACAGCTAGTACATAGTACAAATTTCGCAAAAATTGCAATCCGACATTATGGATCATAATCTAATAGTAAGAATTGCAGTAACATAGTAAAGATGCCGATAACATGTTGAAAAATACATTTGTGTAACCAAAAACTACTACACTCTAGTTTTCTAAATATGTAACGTATTTGACATCTGCAATCGTTAAACATTCTGATATAAATTGAAGTTCTAGAGGATCCGCCCCTCTTTTATCCTAAATGCGGTCTTCCTTTCCCAGTTTAAACTTATTTATGTATAACGAAACATGGTTATGTTGATTACAAAACAAGCAGGCATATACATATATACATTTATCACTATATCTTGCATCATTATGCCTTTATAAATGTGTTTCAATTAAAAAAGATTCGCGGATAAGCTGGAGAAAGATATTTATTTTTAGGTATTTTTATCCAGAAACATGTATTAGAACATGTTTGGAGAAAATGAGTATACAGAACGTAAATATTGCATTCTGGCAAAACATTTTAAATGAGAATTTGAGAATATACCAGATATTAATCTGGATCTTTTAGTGCATTTTTCGTTTCAACTGTCTTTTACCCCCACCCCTTCAAAACGTAAAGAATTTTTCTAAAGTCAATGCTCCGATCGGTATCGATATTTCTTATTCTACGTGAACAGACCTTTCAAATAATATATGATTTATTGCTACCGGTTCTGGTACCAGGAACCGTCTTCCTTTACAGAGACCACATAGGAGATTAAACAATTAAAAATAGCTTTATAAGTATACTAGAAAGTGCAGTACATTCTATAAATATGAACCATTATATGGCATAACCTAAATGGGTTGATCTATGTTGAAAGTCCTTGGAGGACCATATTCCCTCAACTTTGGAGGCTCGTTCATCACAATTCTACTGTGCGTTGTCTTCGGCTTGTTCTGTAACTTATTATCTCCCGGAGATTTATTTGTGCTTGTCTCAAATGTAGGACAGTCTATTGGATAAGTGCCTCCAAATACCAACGGTTTGAACACCATTTCTTTTTCTTTGTCACTACTATTGCTCCTGAACAAAGAATGCCTGAGGTTAGAGAACATATTTCTGCTGCTCTTCTTTGCCCAAGCGTCGACTGTATCGGTAACAATGTCAGATTTATACTTTTTTCTCTCGTACTTTGTCAGTCTAAAGTCAGAGTTAAAGTCTTCAGCGGAGATTGATACCTTGCTGTTTGGTTCTTGATACCTGACTACGGTTTTAGCCGTACTAGGTATATCTAACGATTTGTATTTGACAAGCTTGCCTCTTTTATCTTTGATATCAAAAGTGTTGTATCTAGTATGTTTCGTGTCATTACGAATGGTCACCACCTTCGTGTTGTCCTTATAACAAATAAGATGCGACTTCTCCTCGTTCCTGTAAGTTACGTTTCTTTGTCTTCTTTTCCCAATGTATGTCTCCAACTCCAAATCTGAACTCTCTCGCGATGAACTTCTCTTCTCCATGCTACTTTGCCGGGAATAAACTTCTTGCGAACTATCTTTGGAGATGGGACTGACGCGACTGGTAGGAGAGGTCTTCTCAAATGAGTCTGGTTTGAGGTTAAGCCTCTGCAATTCGATGCCGTCTTGTGACTGGACTGGACTGTGGACAGTCAGTCGTTTTCGTAATGCGGGAGCTGGCGCAGGAGGCAGTGAGAATGGGGTTAGGTTAGTGAATGTACTTACTTCTGGTGATTCTTTGTGCACCTCGCTAGGCTGCGTTCCGGAAAAGGGGCACAACAAAACAAGCATGTTAGATTCCAGGGTAATAACTCTGAGTGGGTGGGTGTGTCAGTCTAGGCACGTGTGTAAAGCGGTTTTAGACCATTTAAAGATGTGTTTTGCAATAAAATGTTAGGTTGGACAGTTCTGCGATTTTTGAAGTAGAAAGTTAATCAATGTATACATAGCTTAAAATATTTGTTTAATCAACAACATATTGACCGTTAGTTTTCTGTGACATGTTGGGTTTACCATAATGCCGCTCTGTCTGTTCATATCAGGAAAAAAGAGGCGATTTCGAATAGACTCAAATGAGTTATATATTCGCCCATCATGAGGCACAAAAATTTGAAAATACGGTCTAAGTATGAAGATAACAGTGAGTGCCTCATTACTTCTTAACAAAAGCTCTCCATTTGCGACCAAAGAAATTCGAGATAGATTATGACTACCGATTTTCTGTTTTCTAACGTTGACCGCGTCTCCTGCAGAGATGAGGAGGTGGACAAAGAAAACCCGGAGATTTGGTTGGGAACTAAAGAGGCACCCACCTTATTCGTTAGACCTGTAACAATCTGGTTTTCTCTTGTTCCGCATTCTACAGAACAATGTTGATGGTCAGAGATTTGAATCAATTGAAGCTATCCGAAATCAACTCTCTGACTTTTTTGAACATAAGTCCCTAGGCAATCAGAACTACGACTTTGCCCAGACCTTGAAAAAAGAGTACAGATTCAGATGGCCATTATTTTTGTCGACTGAACAGGTATTTTTAAATATGGTTAACCTTCCACTTCCAAGATTCGCAGAATTTTTCTTCCAACCCAATACTTTTAGCAATATCAAAAAGCGACTTTAGCAGAACAGCTCTACTGTAGCATGACAGATTCTTAGTCACGAGCAAAAATATCAGCTACATCTTAATTTTCAGTTTTCCTAGTACAACTGCGGAGAAATGATTTACTATTTGGAAAATATAAAGTGTGCTTCTTAATTGAATGCCAATATTTAGGACGATTTTTGGGCCGATTTAAAAAGAACTTCATATAAACGTATGTCCCAAAAGCCAACTTTTGAGATATAGGGTGGTGAAGTTGTTAATATAGAAAGTGGCCCATAACTTGATATTTATGAGCAGACTTGATCTCATGAATCTTTTTAGTCCGACGCACGGTTTTCACCTAAAATTAAAGCTATTTCTAGGAAAGGTAATATTGCCATATTGGCGATATGGTTATGATCATGCAGAGAAACGGTTAAGATATCTAAAGAGGTGTTTACAGATATTTATAATAAATAATTTATGTTTGAAAACTTTATGACAAATGTAACTCAAAAGTTAAGACGATTAGGACATACGTTCAAATGAAGTTTTCTTGTTGTCTTGTAAGTAAAAAAACTAAAAGAGAACTGCAGTGTTTGAATTAAATAGAGAAAGACATGCTTCTCCAGTATATCTAATTATCTGATTTCATGAAACAAAAAGAGTATATATTGTAGAATACTGCAAATTCATACAGAGTGTTTCTCGAAAGGTGTGATTATTTTTGGACTATTCTATTCTTTGCTTTGACAAATTTCATAAGATCGATTCACGGACAAAATCGTCACAAAATAACAGTAAAAATTATATTGTTATTTCTAGATTTTCAAAAACTGATCAAAATAACTAGATAGCTCCAGTTATGACTACAATATTTTCCTCAGTACGAGTTTTTAACAGAAACATATGAATATCATTGGATAGGTTATCAATCACCGCACATAAAATGTGTTATTGTAAAAGATTTTGTTGGCCGTATCTACGGAAGCCGCAGAGAATAGAATACGGTTGGAGTAGTCTGAAAAATCACTGTTTAAATTTTATCATAGCATCAATCCCACGCATAAGAACAAATCAAGGTTAGAATCATGAAATCAGTATTCCTTATTTGTGCCATGTAACAGTGCTGTGAGAGAGTGCAGTTGAAAAAAAGAGCATGAATTATAAAATGATTGGTCAGTTTTAATGAGATTCATGTAATAATGAACGATTAAAGACATACAATGTGTACAAGATTTGTTTTTAAATAAACCACAATTAAGCGCCTATGAGCATACCATTTTCAAAAATGTTTATAATTTAGATGTGATAGTACAATATGACATAATCAGGAGTCAGGTATGCATTCATATAAAGCGAACTGTACAAAGGACCTGTTTGAATATGAAGTATGAAATGTCAATAGTCATAAGCAGATTAACATATTCTCAAAGAAGATGTCCAACCATCTGGAGGTTCACTTTGTCAAAATTTTCATCATACCAACCATGTTGCCATCGCAATAATTCTCTCAGAATAGACAGACTCCATTTTCCTTTTAGAGAAAATCCTTGATTCGTAAGCCTGTCATCAATCTTACACGGAAAAATCATCAACCCGCTTCATAATTTTTTTCAAGATTTTGTATTCTCAAAATTTCTGAACAACGAAAAATATACAGGGTCTTCCATTTGAAAAAATACAACTTTCTTGGATAGCATTTTCCTGAAACACCCTGTATACAAAAAAACTTCATATTAGACCATATAACTTTTATATACATATTTCGTCTAGAAGGTCATGTGGATTAGAGGTGGGTCAATTTATAGCCAGATACATATGCTTATTTTCGCGCTGCCACGGCTTTCACTTGTATTTGGTATCTTCTACTGGAATATGTTAATCAATGGTAGATATTACCTCAAAACCTATAAAATAGCCCCTCTTCCATATTTCATGCAATCATAAATAGAAAATATATAGATCTGACGTCTTCAGTAAAGGAATGTTCTCCGCTCGTTATATGTACACTTTCCACGATATCCTCTTGAGAAAACAATTCATTTCGATCAACTTAAGGACACATTTTTAAGTGTGTAACCAAGCAAAGCATCAACATCACACGAAATCAGACATATAAACCCAATAATTACCTCTGCTTGAGCATTCTTGGATCCATAATAATTCTGCTGTTTTTCAGCATTTTCTTCCACATACTGATTTTGAGTCTGCTCGCTCCATTGTTGCTGGTTAGGCCAATAGTTCTGCTGTTGTTGCTGCTGATACAGATTTTGTGAAAACTCTAAAAAAGAGAATTAATTGATCCTCTTATGAAACAAGCACACAATTGCTCATACAATTGCTTCACACGCACGATTAAGGAACACCAATTTAGTTATAAATAGCGAACAGTATCCTGATGCATGCAATAGTAATCATTATTATTGTAATTTTATAATTTTCAAGATGTTAGATGTTGTTAGATGACGTTATTGCATTAGACTTTACCCATCACTGTTCCCATTTTCTGCTGTTAACTTCAATCGAACTGATACAAAATTTTGTTCGAGAAATTGAATCTACCAGATTATTTAATATACTGTATTGATTGAAATGCTTTTATTAGTTGGAAGTTTTTATTTGCATGTAATTTTCTTTCATAATATAGACATATATGAACTAAAAGTTTCACTATGACTAACAATTGAACTGTGAGAGTTACTTCGTATTTTGTATGCTATTAGGAAAGTATAACTAGCCCTGTAAAGGGTAGCCTATATAACTTCATACATCCCCATATCTCAGAAACCACCCAGTATACTGAAAAATGTTGTGAACATAGGTTTCTTGGTTTGGCTTATAGTTTTATGTTATTATATTTTTGTGAATGTCTAGTTCTGCAACAACTTCTTTGTATAGCAACTTTTCTATTTTATTACATTTTCGGATTCTACACCTAATTTGGTATATTTTTTGTCATTAGATGTATAAACATTTTCTGCTGCGTTTTTGAAATATATTGAGTTTTGTTCATTTCTGGTCAAATTCAGTTATCTTCAAAATGGCACATTGCTATGAGAGGAAACATTAATATCAACAAATAATGGTCTAGTCAACTTAACGTTCTCCCATATTATTGTATTTTTTCCAAATTTCACCTCATCGAATATACAGGGTATTTACGAAACAAATCGAAACTTTTACAAATTGAGTGTAAAAAAATCACTTACTATGAATAGAACACCCAATATATGTTTACGTCATTTTCTATAGATTTAAATACCTTTTAATTTAATTCGCATAAGCCACATACTCAAACAAAGGATTTCAAAATGACAACAGGACGAAGAACAATGTTATGTGTTTTCTATACATTATTTGAATTTGAGAATAAATGTTGTGTAATGTTAATTTCCCTTCCAAAAATTTAACTTGTACATTAAATTCCACTAGAAGACAGAATATTTACATTGTGTCGCGCATCTTCCACGTTTTTTGCATATTCCAAAAAACAACACATGAACTATCAATTATTATGGAATATTTATAACAATTAACTACAAAATAACAAATAAATTAGAACAAGTGATATTAGCAAAAATAATAACATGTAACTCCTATAAATGACAACTGTTCATGACAAATAACAGTTATATTAATTGTTATTACTTTTGTTGATGTGACTTTATTGTTATTTTGTAGTCTAAAAGTGTATTATTGATTTTTCATTTGATGTAATATAATTGTTAATTTATATGCTTTGGAATATACAATAGACAAAAAACGTGGATGACGCACCACTCAATGTAAAAAAGGTATCGATCAATGAGTCATATTTCATGTTATCTGACTTCTAGTCGAATTTAAAGCATTAACTTATGCTTTAATGTGCGTTACGCCTGCATGTATTCTCAAATTTACTACCAATGACTTATATACATGAAGAGCACACGGGAGAAACGATCTAAGTCACTTTTGGCAACTTTTGAGATAAATCAGTTTTAAAGTTTGAAAGTGTCCTGTTAATACATACTGAAACAAATAAAATATCTATGTGTCTCAACTAGGAGATTTATTATCGTTTTAACATAACTAAAGCAGGTATTAGAACAAATGTATTTTTTTTAAAAGTCATGAAAAATGAAACTACACAAAATAAAATGAAAAAAGGATCCAAGTCCGAAAAATATGTTTGAAGTTCTTTTCAAGTATGTAACAAAGTGAAGTGTGGTTTCTTTATAGTGCCTGCAAAGAAGAAAATGCTTTATTTTGCTCAAATCAAATACCTATATATAGTCGGCAACTCCATGTAGTATTTTTGGTGTTCTTCTTCAACGAATTTCCTTAGGTCCTGGAGCTGAAGGTATTTTTTCTTTGGTACCGGGATAGTTTGCATATATAATAATTTTGGGAATCCGTCCAAGTCAAATTTGGGCCCACAATAATGAAGCTATGTCTCGGTCCGTTATAATTTTCTCTTGTTTCTTTTGTTCTTGGGTGTTCATGGCTTATGCGAATTTCTCTTAACGGTCGTGTGGAAAATGGGCACTTCCTCTTGTAGGATGGTGCTAATAAATCTGTCCAGGCGAAAAACATGTCTTGCTTACATTCTACGACATCAAATGGTCGTGGTCTGCATCTGGCGTTTGTAAAAACTTCTACCCATTGTTCTGGGACATCAACTTCACTTTTTTCATTGATTAGACCAAAGTCCTTATCACATTCAAGGTATGAATAACCTCTTATAGGAAATGTGACCATCACACAGTCAAAGCGTTTTTTTTTTGATGAACCAAGAAATGCAAAAATCTTATTAGGGTATAATTTTTGTTTTGGCCAGAACAGGAATCACATCTCTAAATGTCGTACTCCTGAGTCAAGAATACATCATTTGACCCTTTTTAGCAATAGTTTGCGGCTATGTGTAAAAAATAGGTTGCCCTGATAAAAGGATATGGATATTAAAGCTTACGAACGTCAATTGCCGTTTATAATACTTTTTCAAACTATAATGAGATACACGCCCTTTAAATGATCTGATATGTTCTTCAACAAGTTGCACCATTTCTGGACTCATCTTATGTGGCCGATTGTGACGCCTACCTACGATTTGAAAGTTACACAAATTTAATATTCCAGCTTCTGTAGTATACACAACTCACCTCTCATATCGTCAACTGAGCTGCCCTGCCTTTGAAGACCACTTTTTATTGTTATTAGTCTTATGTTTGTTATTCCAAAGTGTCGATGTGAATATTAGATGAGGTGAAATTTGAAAAATAAACTGCATATGGGGGCACGTTGACTAGACCATTGCTTGTTGATATAAATGTTTCCTCTCAGCAATGTGCCGTTTTGAGGGTAACCGAATTTGGCCAATAGTTAACAAAACTCGATATATCTCAAAAATAGAGCAAAATATGTTTATATATCTAATGACATAATATATTCCAAATCATGTGTAAAACCCGAAAATGTAATAAGTGGTTGATATTCAAAAATAAAGGTAATGCACATTCTGCAAACTGCACACCCTGTATATACAAAGATATAATAAAATAAAACTTTGTTTTCAAACATGAAACGTTATGCATTCAAGGTTTTTCTGTATATTGTGTGATTTCTGAAATAAAGAGATGTATGATGTTATATTGGCCATCCTGTACAATACCACGCAGAATATATGGAAAATGCAACGGACATTAGTAGCTTTCCTTTTGAAACTAAGCCACTCACCATACAATTGATAGGAGGATGATTTCAAATTTTGGAACTCGTCCTCAGAACGTCAATTTCCGTGTCTGACAAATGGAACACATAAATTGTAAAAAATCTGCTTACGTAATACGTGAATGACCCCTTGTCAATTGTATTTTTCACTATATTTCTGCCAAACTAGGGCTCCAGCGGAGATAAACCATTTCACCAGCTATATACCAATTAATAAATGAGCCAGGAAGTTTTAGAAATGTCTCTTATATCGAACATAGATAAGGCTAACCATTTTGTTGTTGCTGATTTGTGTCCTGTTGCACTGGCGTTTGTTGAGACTGTTGATTTGGTGACTGTTCTTGTTGTTGCCAGCCCTGCAAAGAATCCTGTTGCCACGACTGTTGCTGCAAATTCATGGTCTGATATTGTTGATCCACAGGGGATTGCCATGTCTCATTGCCACCTCCAGAATCATATGTGTTAAGGGTCAGATCTGGCTCCTGGTAAACCTGAGACAAAAATAACACAAAACGTAATAACTAGTAATATAGCTTTTGTTGGTCCGACCACAGATGGCCAAGTATGGACAGTTGTTTCGTGCTATATGGGGCAACTCCTCAGCATAGTATAGGCTTGGTCTTGGTGGACATTGAACGAAAGCTAAGCAACACTACTTTATTCAGAGTAAAGGGCTTAACAAAATCAGACAGCGCAACGTGCCATCTACTACCAAAATCGACCACTACGAAAGTGAAAACAGCCAAGTGTACTTTTGCCAGCAATTAGATTGGCTATGTCGTCTTATATGGTAGTACACTTGACACCCGTTACATCTCTGAGGTACGTTAATTCAGGAAACAACAAACTCCACTGTTATCAACATGTAACGAAAAATTTTATGATATAGTCGAAAGAACTTACTACAAAACTTAGTTGCTTTCATCCCTTCAACCAACCGTGCACAGCTCTTTTATGCTTGTCGAGAATCAGAATTGTCAAGATGGAGTGATCTGCTTTCATTTATTCCCCCACCAAGATCATGCTGAAGGGTTGTCAACAAGCGATAATAGCCACTATACATGGTTGGATCATCTGACGTAAGTAGTACTAGTAGTTTTCAATGGCGAGTATAAGACATATCATATTGATGACGTGGCTGTTAAAGCGAACTGAGTTACCTTTACAGCTCCAACCAACACTTACTACTCATTGCACAGTGGCTGATTCTGGTAATAAATAGCCCTTGTGCTGTCTAATTTCAAAGTGAACTTAAACCCATTTACTGATGGTTGCCGCTAGGCAAGCTTAGTTTAAAGTTTCTCTCTGTTAACGAACATTGATATAAACTGCACATGAATCATATGAATAGATAGTGTTATGGAATTGGACCTATAAGAAAATCAACAACAATGAATATTATTGAGGAATAAAAAATAGTTGTATAGTATTTACGGCAATAAATAATCCTACTAGCGGGCCGTGGCAAATGCTTGTTCCGGAAGTTGTTGTATCCAGTATACAACTTCTTCTCGTTTAAGTGATTGTACACGCGTTAAGGAATTCCTCAGTACTGATTGCAGGGTGGCGGTACAAGTCGCCAACAGGCTACTTTAGGTCTATTTAATATCACTAACACTAACACGTAAAAAGAAGGTGGTAGACAAGGACCAGCCGACCGAGGCGGTACTACTCGCTAGCTTTACCCAGGGTATTTAAAAATGTCCGCATGTTTCCACACCTAAGCTATGCAGTCGGTTTTCTTCCAAAACAGAAAAAATTAATGATGATGGATCTCTCGAGCACTAAGAACTCCGGACGTAAACTAACTCCACTCTCGGAACGTCCGGGTGGAGGGTGGGCTCGAGGGAACAACATCGAAGATAAAATTTGTTTTTTGAACATCTGCGGGATTAACAGCAACATTGGGATCTCTGCATGATCCCTCGGGGGGGAATACTACTTCTGAGGAAGGTACTCTGAGGCTTCTGATGGATACGCACTTTCCCGGTTCCACAGTAGCGCGATCAATCACAGAGTACATGCAGTTGCGCAGGCCCTTCGGGGAGGACTGGCGCACGGCTAGGGAGATTGTCACCTTCGAAAAGACGGTATGGGCAGTAGAATCTGGTCGGTAGACTGGAGAAGACTCTAGATCAGCGAGAAGTGGCACCCGTGGCCTTTTTGACATTGAAGGTGAATTTAATTGCACCACACCCGGCTCTGTCAGACATGCCTTGATTAGACACGGAGTTGGATCAATCCTAATAGATTGGGTCCTATCTACTCTGGAGGGTCGGGTAGCAACAGCTATGCTGAATGACGTAAGCTGCAGCGTGAGCGTAGCTAGAGGCTGCCCTCAGGGCGGAGTTCTGTCACCCCTATTGTGGTGAATCATGGTGAACGAACTCCTCGTTAGGCTCAGCAGTATGGGTGTCTACGTGCAAGCCTATGCTGATGACGTAAGCATAGTAGTTAGGGGGCGTTTTTGTAGAACAGTTTCGGAAATTATGCAGGGCACTCTGCGTTCTGTGGAATCGTGGTGTAGGGAAGTCGATCTTTCTGTTAATGCTGAAAAGACCGAGCTGATCCTATTCACTAGGAGAAGAAGGCTTGCGGGCTGGTCATGCCGACCTTCTTTGGGACTAGATTAATTTTGTCCCAGTCAGTGAAATATCTGGGAATTATCCTGGATTGCAAAGTGAACTGGAGAGAGCATCTTGAATACAAGGTTAGCAAGGCTCGCAATTCGATGTGGGCGTGTAGACGTGTTGTCGGTGTAAGGTGGGGGCTTAAACCCAAAGTGGTATACTGGCTCTACACGACGATAGTACGTCCTCTCTTGTACGGCTCCCTGGTCTGGTGGCCTTGCATTAGAACTGAGACAACTAAGGCCAAACTCAATATAATTCAGCGTTTGGCCTGTATTAGTATTACAAGCGCAGTGCGAACGACGCCATTGAGTGCAATGGAAGCTCTGTTGGATCTCCCACCCTTGCACCTGTGATCCGCGGTGAAGCGAGAGTAGTCGCTCATCGACTGTGGAGTCAGGGCAGCTCGGCTTTCTCGAATCCTGTCAAGGGGCATACTGCCATCTTAGTCGAATTGCAAAGGGAGGACCCCGTCCTTCTAAGTAGGGGTGATCGTATTACCCCTAAATATCGCTTCAACCGCAAGTTTATTGTGGAGTATCCAACGAGGGAGGAGTGGGACGCCGGTAGCCGGGGACTCTCCGGAGTGAGCGGGCATGTCTGGTACACGAACGGCTCGGTCACCGAAGAGGGCTCAGGTGCTGGGGTCTCTGGGCCTAGAACTAGGCTATCTCTGCCTCTCGGTGGATACACCACTATTTTCCAGGGGAAAATCTTTGCGATTCTGGCTTGTGTATCTCACATTCTGGAGGAGGGTGGGCATAGGAGAAGAATAACAATTTTATTCGACAGCCAGGCTGCAATGAAAGCACTTTGACGAATGTACCATGTATCCAGCATTCACCAGGTTACTGGTTGTTTCCCCCAACCTAAACGTTAATAACATTTAGCAACAATCTCTCATACGACTGTAAGTTAATTTAAAATCATTTTGCACAACAGTTGCCATTTCTTCTCAATGTTATTGCAGCTCCTGATGAAGATGGCAAGTCCATTGAAAGCTAGAGACTAATAAAGTATAAAGAGTCCTCTTTGCTTGAATTTTTCACCTAACTGGTCTAAAAGACAATGACCACGTCTCAAGTTATATATATATATATATATATATATATATATATATATATATATAATCCAATATTTTTTTCGTTGATACAATAATTATTTTTAATAGATTTTCAGAAGCAACAGATTAATATATGGGTAATAAGAATAATGGTACCAATAATTTCCTCTAGCTGACTACCAGTACATTTTCACTATTAATAATGTTACCTGATGCGTGATAACTCCGGTACGAAAACCATCTTGTACGGCCCTCAACTCTTTCAACCATGAATGGTCTGGCCGGTTGGTCTCCAATCCTCCACCTCCAAATTGAGACTCATCTTCCAGGACTTCCTCACCGATTGGATCATGGAATTTCAGTCTGTCAGCCAACTCACAGACGTTGTCCACGAAGGATTGTTGCATAGACGCGGGGTCTAAGGTGATGAAGTTGGAAATCTTCTCTAAATAATTTAGGGACTTCTCCAGGAGACCGTAGTCTGCTAGGCGGGTAGATAGGAAATATTTGTACACCTACAAAAAAGATATAAGTAATTATGTATCGCTGAAATTAGACATGATGGTAAGATGAAAAACCTCAATACCGTGAGGGATATCTTAAATAGTCGACATTATATAGGCTCAAAGTAATGGAACATTTGCTGAAAAGAATTTTCGGATTTAGCTCCAAGAATAAGAGAATATCAAATTTTTAGAAAACTGGAATAAGATACCTACGATTAACTAGTTTTAGATCATGCTTTGCTATGCGATCATAAATATTATGATACAGGGTGGATCAGAAAGACGTACGAATCTCAAAACCACATTGCTCGTGACAGGCACGCATCCCGAAAGAGATCAGCTGAGTTCGCCAAATCACGAAGATCTATAAGGCGTATTTTGGTAAAAGACCTTAAATTGCACCCATATAAAATTCAACCGCAGGACCACTATCCAAGCCGTGCGTTTGTCGAAACAATATTAGGGGGCTTTCCAAGTTTGAAGATTATTCCATTTTCTGATGAAGCTTATTTTCATTTGAGTGGATTTGTCAACAAGCAAAATTACCGGTATTGGGCCGCAGAAAATACCAAATTAAAACACCAACGACCTTTGTTATGTTACAGTTTGAGCAGCCATGTCGACTGAAGGAATCATCATGGGACCCTATTTCTTCGAAAACCAGCAGGACCTGGTTTCAACAAGATGGCGCGGCATCATAAAATCCGCTCAATTTAATGGCCCACCCTGTAGTTTGACCTCCTGCATAACCACTACCCAAATAGAAGAAGCACTGAACTTCGTGTTCCACAATTTCGTCTTAGATTATCCAAGTTTTGATTTTGTTGAATCATTCTATTTATGCATAGATACTGGGTGGAAACAAAATAAACACCACGCAGTCAACTGCACCCATACTACACGCAGTGGTGAGAAAGGGATAACTTTTAGGATCGTATGCATAGTCCATTTAACGTGTCTTGCCTTCTTTCCCAAAAATTTCGGAAAATATTGAGTTTCGACTATACATATATGGGGCGAATTTTTTGCATTTTGAATTCCACAGCACGTCGTGGAACGAATATGGTAGAATATCAGCAACCATGTTTAAATATACTCTCGAGTTATGCTCATGAAAATTCTGAACTTCTCAAGTGTTTAAGACTGCATGCAAACATGAAACCTTGAAAAGATTAGAATTTTGTAAATTTTAATTATCCAAACCAGAGTTCCCCAAACTTTTTTGTGTCGTAGACCCCTTGCCATGTTTTTCCGTGTTGGGTAGACCCCCTACTTACCTGATATTGATTTCCTGTAAATTTCTAACTCTAGTGAAGTTTAGTGTTAAAAACTTAAAGTAAAAACACATGTTAATTTATACATTTATTAATTGAATTTAAATTAAAACTACTCAAAATAAAATTTTGTATCTGTTATGTAAAATATACGTAACATTAAATAAAGAGGTGTCTGACCAATAAGTGTCCGCATTGGGAATAAGTGCCCGCATTGAAAAAAAAAATAACAGGTATAAAATAAAAAAAAGTGAAAAATAATAAAAAACAAAGTTTTTTACTTAAAATAGTACAATAAGCGATTTCGTTTATTAATTATAACAGAAACGTATGGTCTACAATAATTTCACTGTTAGTTTGATTAAATTCCGCTTCTTATACGTTTAAGTTATCTAAAAATGGTCAAACAATTCACGAATTTTAGTGTGTACCTATTCTTGAATTTTCAGAATAATTAAAAAAAATATTTTCTATAAAGGGGGGTTCTTTAAAGAAATCAATGCGGGCACTTAATCCCAAAGCGGGCATTTATTGGTCAGACACCAATAAACTTAAAATAAACTATAAATAAAATAACATAAGCAATATTTTTAGTGAGAAGGATGAACCTGATGCTTTAATAATAAATTATCAACATTTGGCGTCAATTTTGTAAGGGTTAATCTTAAATCTCCTCGGCTAATGATGTCCAGTCTGTTTCTTTTTTTCGTTAGGAGATTAGTAACAGCGCTGAACCCCCTTTCCACTAGGTATGACGATGGAAAGGAAATTAAAAATTTCCTCGCTATATTCCATAATACGGGATAAGTAACGGGTATGTTGTTTTGCAGCCAGAATTGCTGTTATCCGTTTTTAAACTGAACCTTAAGTTCTTCGTTTGTACTTAGTTCAGTCAGTTCCTCTTGTATTATGACATTCGTTGCTTCTATGTCACCATATGGATTAATTATCCACGGTGGTATTACCATAGTCAAAATATCTTCAAACCTAGATTCAAAATCTGAATAGAGGGCATTTAAATGTTGAACGTAAGTTGAAACGTCGTCTTCCTGGCAGCTGGTCTGCGACAAATTGGGGAACTGAGAAAATTCGCCCCGTCCAATATTTTGCTTCATTAGTTTAACTCTGGCAAGAAACGCTGATAAGATGGACTTTGTTTTAATCAAATTTAAACTGTCGCCTTGTAATTGCAAATTAACCATATTAAATTTTAAATCTGTTAAATAGGCGATGTCTGTTTTCCTCTTCATTAAATTTTCTTTTAAAATTTTATCTTTAGTATCCAGAAATTCTAAAATAGTCTCAAAAAGTGCAAAAAATCATGTCAAACATAAGCCTTTCGACAGCCAGCGTACTTCAGTGTGAAGGAGTAATTGATGAAAGTGTTCGTCATTTTCTTCACACAACTGCGCAAATAACCGCGTATTCAACGCGTTGCTTCGGATTCGGTTTACTGCATCGATCACTAAATGAAGTGATTCATGCAATCTAACTCAAATTTTTAGCAACTAAATGTTGTCGATGGATGACGCAATGTATTGCTAACACCCCTGTCACATGTTGTTTTAAATAGCTTATAAATCCACGATAACGTCCAACCATGGCAGGTGCTCCATCTGTAGCTACTGATATTATATTTGATAAAGGAATTGCCTTTTTAATGAAGTAATCCTTCAAAGCATGAAATATTGATTCACCTTTAGTGTCGGTTATCAAAGTTCTTGCGAAGAGCAGTTCTTCGTAGATTTCTTGATTCATAATAAAACGAACATATGCCAATAATAATGCTGCATTATCAGGTAAAGTTGACTCGTCCAGTTGTATAGAGAAATGGTCGTTTGCAAATAATTACATAAGAAGCTTTCAATATGAGAACTCATTTCATCAACAGTATTGTTGCTTAAGGGAATTCTTTTAATGATATCAGATGCAGGTTTGTGTAAAACAGTTTTTAAAACCTCTTCAACGGCTGGCAAAATTAACTTCTCTCCGATAGTATGCGGTTTTACGGATTTTGCTATAAGTAAAGAGATATTGTAAGACGCCCGCAAACCATCATCATTTCTTTGTGACGTCGAAGCGAACATTCTGTCCAGCGTAGGTCTCTTCTGAAATTTATCTTTGAGTGTTTGAAAGTATTTCAAATCTTTCTCTGTTTTATCAGGTTGGCAGCTTCTCAGATGATCTTGCAGTTTAGATGGTTTCATAGCGTCATTGCCCAAAACTTTGTTGCATAAAAGGCACATAGGCGATTGTTTGTCCGGCAATGATGGAATGAAGCCAAATTTCAAATAATCAACACTGTACTGTCTACATTTCTTTTTAGATTCGGACATGGCATCAGTCATCTGTGGGCAAAATTAAAGTATTTAAATAAGACAGAAAATCCAGCAGCTGTATATTTAAAATATTTTTTGATTTTTCCGAAAACATTCCATAATTCGAACATCTTCTTGCAACAATTAGCTCGAATTACGGAGATTGCACTGTAATTATATTACCGATTGCCAAAACTTTCAAAAAGAAACTATTGAGGAGTACTCGTGTAATTTTGCATGACTGAATATTTAACTACTAATAACTAAAGTCATGATTGTCGTAATTTATCTATATTTGCTAACTACGAGTACAAAACTAAAATTAAATAATAATGTACTTACTTTTCTCCAGCACTCTCAAACAAAATAACACTGACTCACTATAATTTGTGTGATATACTATCTGTTTATATTTTTTAAAATATTTTCTTAGCACTTTCCTTTTCAAGATTCAGGAAACGAATAAACGTATTTGTCCCACATTCCTATTTATAGAGTGACGAATTAAACAAGTCAGTGCAAGGTAGCGAAGCTCAGAGACTGCGAATCTCAGGTTTTTATAAGTTCAAAATGTATTGCGACCACAAAGCGAATACCAACATCCTACAACTTACACAATTTTATAAACATATATAATAAATGTTTTACTTCATAGGTACTTTTATAAATAATATATATGTTTTGATATTATAAGATAGTATGATGTAAGTAAATAGGTACTATCAGTGTATGTGTTGAGATCCACTATCGTGGACCCCCATATTCATTTCATGGACCCCCAAATTTTTTTTCGCTGATGTAGACCCCTTGCAGGTTGTCATAGACCCCTAGGGGTCGATATAGACCACTTTGAGAATCAATGATCCAAACGTAGCATCATTAGTGGCGAGTCGACTTGATAAATGAAGCTTGAAGTTCAAAATTTTGGAGCTGTTTCAACCTTTTTCAAAATTAAAAGTTCAAAATCAAGGGATAATAATGAATTTTGACTTCTTTTATTCTTGCCTACAGATGTCAAAATTTCATTCAAACCAAGCTATGCTTTTTGAATAATGAAGGTTTACCGGTCAAACAAACAAATAGCTAACAGAAGATATGCCCACGGAATCGAATAATACGGATTAGGTGATGCAAATGTCACACATATGAAAACTGTATCTCAAACTAGACATTTATCGTGATTACAACACTTCAGTTATCTTCTAGCGTGGGTAGTAACAACAGCCGAAAGCCATAATGATTCGGATGAGTTCTTTTAAAATAGCATATAACAACCCTTCGACCAAATATCGTTCAGCAAATGTAGTAAGTATTCATATCAAATGATCTCCATTAAAGTTTGTTTTGATTGCCTTAGTACTCGTTATAACATAAAAAGGATAATAATACTGTCTTACCTGAAACTGTGGAATAACAAATCCGGGATCATTCAATCCACATGCGTACTCGTATATCTCCGTCATATGTATAGCTTCGGCTGTGGCATAAAGAGGATAAGGTGTCTTCCTATGGTCAGAGCCCAGCAGCACGAGTCTTGCTTCCGGATCTTCTGCAGAACCAAATCCAGTTTCCGCCATCAGATAGCAGAACTGGGCAGCATACAGGTTTCCCCGTCCACGTAGGGTGTCACCTAATGCGGTGATGGCCTTGCAGTTCAACTCTGGCCGTTGAGTGGAATTCGAGAGAATCATGGCTAGGTGAGGTCGCCAGTCGCCCCATTTTTCATCAGCAACACACTAGAAAAAAAAATCAAGTATAAAAATTCGGTATATCTTGCGCAGTAATATTCTTATTTACATATTTATGCATGATAGATATTTATCGGTCATCATATCACAATATCCGTTATAGGTTGCGGTAACCTTATCAACCTATTTCGAGACATGTGTCATGGCACTGAATTGAAGAAAGATTGTCACATCAATATCAGCGTCGTGCCGCTATACCTTTAGTAATCAAATACTTTCCTGTCAACATATTAGTCGGATACTATCGAGAGGATCCAGCTTTAAAAGATATATATTTTTTACCTTGGATGGCATCTCATTCTTTTGCTAGCATATAACTAAACAAATAGTTCGAAACTGTTATATTCCCTCTATACATTGATTTCCTTAATGTTATTTTTGAACTGGTCGATCCGGGATGATGAAATTCATGCATTATTTTGACGTAACAGAAACTTTTAAAAATTTCAGAATGGCGGCTAAAAGGGATTTTGAAGCTCCTTACCAGTACCTTATAACCACAGAATATAAAGCTCTATATATTCGCAAATGACGGACTGGCCTAGAGCATGTTATATTAACCTAATTGTGATGTGCTCTATCCGAATAAAATAAGGGACATTGGATTAAAAAAATAGCGTCAAGTAGGTTGACTCAACACTTCCCATGCAACACTGTCATCAGTCCGACAAACAGGAAATGAGTTACATGGTTTTTCGAGATGTACATGTCATATGACATCCAAAAACCATGATTTTTATCGCGATTACAATATTACCTCGCCAGTAGGCGTGGGACGTAAAAACAAATTACAAAAATTTATTTTTGAGTCGAATATTCTATATTGCATATTCGGATACACTCATTAAAATAATAATAAATAAATAAGATTGATGTAACATCTACTATTTTAATGATGATGAGTTATAAATGGCTTTTGACAGTCCGTCAGTCTGCCATTTTGAAAGATTCTAGGGTTAGCAACTTTTCATAAGTGTCTTGCAAATATTACATAACCTTTGTAGGTTCGTTCCATTAAAAAATCCGACTTGGCGCCTATCCGCCATCTTGAAATACGAGTATTTCAAATGTCACCTTTACGCTGAGATATAGTTTTAATGCATGAATTTCTTCAACCCAAATTTTAACTTACTAACAATGGGAGGACATTGAAGGAAATCACTGAAGAAGCATCAACCTTAATCATTTCAAGTAGTGAATATATATTATTGAAAGATCGTTGAGTCTTGACTTACAGATACGGCAGCAGGCATCTTTCCTGACAGCAGCTGGTAGAGCGTTTGTAGAGGATCGTTCAATGTTAAGCCGTTAGCGAACCTCATCATTACATTTGCGTAAGTTCGTTTATCTAATTTACTAGCTAGAAATAGTGCATGTCCCCATAATCCATGTTTCATCGCCCATTCTGTAACAGAAAAGATTACCGATATTATGTTACCTCAATTAGCACTCTAAATCTTGCTGTTAAAAGGCCTGCTGACAACAACAGTGCAGCGCCTAATCAAATCAAAGGACTAGGGTTTGCAAGCGGGCTTTTTGGCCCTGAAAATGATAAATTTCAAATTGATCCCATTAAGGAGACTTTTGCGTTTATATACTCAGTGATATTAGAAGTGTTACACCCAGAAAAAATAATTTCTTCAACTTGTTTTTTTTTGGCAACACAATGACTATATTTAAAGCATGCTGTAGCAAAAATGTCAACGTTTTATCTTTGTTTTTGTTTACCTGTGTTAAATTGTTATCTCTTAGTTTTTGTGAAGAAAGCAGTTTCTGAGAGCTGAGTATTAGAGATATTTTTAGTTATTGAGTTCGAAGACGTCCAAATTATCACCATGTTAGCGACTTTGACAGGGGTGTGAATTATGTTGGTTTGTCCTATCACGAAATTGACCGCCTTGTTAATTGCAATGACGGTAAGGCGTGTGTGTCGTGTGTGGATAGAAGAAGGAAGATGAACACGAAGAAGGGCAACTAGTCCACCGCGGCGTACCACAGAGCGTCAAGATAGGCGCTTCAGACAACTAGCCCTACGAGACCGTTTTGCTACTACGCGTCAGATCGCTGACCAATGGTTTGGAGAGAAGGTAGACCTGTTACTATGCGTACACACTATCGCCGCATTCGAGCCTTTGGACTTTTTTCATAGCGTCCACGGTTAGTGCTTCCTCTGATTGCGGACCACTATCGTCAACGTTTGAACTGGAGCCGAGAACGGCAACATTGGGAGGCAGAATGGCATAATGTCATCTCCAGAGACGAATAGCGATTCTGTCTAGGTACGCACGATGGTCGTAGAAGGTTAAGACGTTGCCATGAAGATCGGCGTGATATTGGATTTGCTGTTGAGAGGCATGTACACATGACTGTTGGAGTAAAGGTTTGGGGGACTATTGCCTATGGTAGCCCATCACCCCTTCTCTCTGCAATATGACTGCTGCGCGTTCTGTTGATGATGTCCTTCTAACCACTTTACTGCCGTATCTAGAGGGCCGTTAACACCTCCTTTTCAGCAACACAATGTACGTCCCCATATTGCTCGTCGTAATACGGACTTTCTTCAAAAAGCAGGCGTTAATGTTTTTCCAACTTTAAATCCCTTCGAACATGTGTGGGATATGATGGGGAGGTTATCCACTTTGCACCATCCGCCACAGACTCTGCTAATCCACGAAGTTCGAGTTGCTTGGAATAATCATAATTTTGTCGATGCCTAGACATATGAAGGAGTGTGCGGGGTCGCCCAACACATGAATTTTTTTTCTTATAACTTGTCAATAACATTTAGTGAGAATATTATCATTTCATTCTTGATGTAAGACTACCACATTGCCAAAAAATCTAGAAATTATTTTTTCAGGGTGTAACACTTCTACTGACACTGATAGTATACCCTATGATCAAAAAGTACCGGGAATTTTTAATTTCAGCAAACTGCAGATGAGAGAACCGGTAATTTTTTTTAAGATGGTACGACCTGAACTGACCAACGTGTCGATATTATAGCGTCAGTGCCTTATTAGTATCTGTCTGGCGTCTGTGTACGTCGGTCAACTTTTTAACTTTAGTCGCATTTTGATTGATGGATCGTTTTGTTGAGCAAAGAGTTTATCTGAAATTTTGTTGCTAATACTGATGTATAAAGGATGTTGCAAAAAGCCTTTGGGGAGTCTGCAATGTCGAAAACTCGGGCATACGAATGGTATAAAGACTTGAAAACTGGTCGTACAATGGTAGGGGATTTGTCTCGTTCCGCCACATATCCACGTTAAACTCCGACGAGAACGTCAAAAAAGTGAGTGGTTGTGCTCGGAAATCGTCATACCAGCTTAAGAGAGATTGCTACTGTCCGTTTTGAAGCATTTGAGCGATGCCGTACGCCATAAACGGCCGGAATTGTGGGCCGATAATTCGTGGATTTTACACGACGATAATGCGCCGTCTTATCGGGCCATAATTGTGCTTGATTATTTGACCAAACATCAAGTAAATACCATTGAACAAGCAGATCCACCTGATATGGCTCCGTGTGACTATATTCTCTTCCCAAAACTCAAATTACCATTTCGGGGTAAGAGATTTCAGTCCATAGATGACATCAAGGAGAATGCGACGAGAGAGCTAAAGGCCATACCTTTGGCGACTCACCAGCGGTGTTTGGGCGAGTGGGTGAAACGCTGGCACATGTGTGTTGATTCAAATGGATGTTATTTTGAAGGCGATAAAATAAATTTGACTGAAAGTTAAACCGTTTTCGTTTTATTCTTAAATTCCCGGTACTTTTTGATCATAGGGTATTTTAAACTTTCAACATTTTTTTTATCTTGTTTGTACTTGATTGTTATTTAAAAGCCCAAAGTTCGGCATGTTGGTCCAAAATTCATCAATTTTTTGACATTTAACAATTATTTTTACATGAGCTAATTAATAACAACCTATAATAACACTCTGAGACTCAAAACATATTTTGTTTCAACTTTTGTTTTTATTGTGAGTGTAGTGGATCTGCACTCTCGTTTTTATACAGTGCTATTTACCAAGCCTGCCCCCTACTTATTTTTTGACCCGGTGAAGTTAGGGAACTGACATTCTGGATAATGAAATTGATACATGAATACTACTTTCTAATGTAAAAATAGCAGTTGGAGACTTCAAGATTGCGACAAGGCGCCATTTTGTAACATGTTTTCAAATGGATAGGAGAGGCATTCATGTGATACCTCATTTATCAGAACTATGAAACCCTAGACCTAGAAGATAAAATTACTATCTTTGGAGGGATGTCAAAGTTGAGACTTTTTGTCTATTGAATCACTTATAACTTAAGTAAACATTATCGAAACATTATTGTAAGTTATATAATAAGAATAAGAATAATAATAAACGTCTTTTTATTTGGGCGAAGCTTAGCTTAAGCTATTCCTCCATTTAACCCATACAAAAATAAATACAAACATGAATAAAATAGATAAATGACAATAAGACTCATAATATAACAAAAGTATTATACATATTTAGTATAATTACTCATAGCTGATTAAATACTATTTTTATAAGCAGAAGTGAAAAATAAGTATTTTTAATTTTGGCACAGATTCTTGATATGTCTTTTAAAGTTATCAAATGTTTAAGATTTAATTTCAGGGGGTAATGAATTACATAAGTAGATTACATTAAAGGTTATGGAAAATGAAGCCTCTTTTTTGAAAGGTTTTTACTGAATGCGAGACATTCCGTTTGAAAAAAATTATCAGATTTTGATAGTTTCCATATGTTATCACACATTCGAATAGACCCTTCCAAGAGAACAAGATTAATATACTATAGCATTTTGGTGAGTGGCTGTTTAGTTATAAGCGACTCAATTCACAGAAATGCTTAACTTTGACAGTTTGCCGGAAAGGCCATTTTGAAATATAATGAATTTATATTCTATGGTTAAAAAGTGTTCATAAGCAGCTTCAAGATGAGACATAATTCGACTCTTAATTCCATTAAAAAAAATATTCCAAAATGGCGCCCAGCAGCCATCTAGAAATTTTCAACTGTGACATATCCAACGAACGTACAGAGTAATAAATCATCTGACCGGCATGCGCCTCGTTCCTGTTGGTCCGTTTTCGGTAGATTAGCCGCCAATTTCACCATAGAACTTTAATTAATTGTTTCCGAAGGTCTGTGGCGTGCGGTTGAATTTTTTTTTGTGTGCTTCATTTATTTTTGTGAGACAACTTTTAAAAGGATATTTCGACATGAGTGCCATATTAGACGAGCGCCAATGACCAAGAAAACGGACAAAAAGAGCGTTGCCGGTTTCTGAAAAAGAAACTATATACATATTTATATAGCTTTTCGGGAGCGCTTTCCAAATGAAACTCTGACAGAACGTGTAGCCTTTGTTTCAAGAGCATCAGGTGAGGATTTAGTTTTGAAGTATAGTTTAAAATGTTTTGTAGTTTGATGTATTATCCTAAATAATAGTTATTTTCTGTTAAATATCTTACCCACTAATATGATAGCTACTTCTATTGCACATATTTTGATTTTTTAAAATTATTTTCAATTATTTTTGTTATTTATTATTGTATCTATATATAATATATGCAAAATAAAATTTTGGCAAAGCACAAAAGAAGCAACACTCTTTACTCCTCCCAAAGGTTACCATAGAGCCAGAGTAGTTTTGGACAACGTTTCACAAGAAACTAAGGCACTAATCCGAAGAAAATACGAATTTTTCTTCCGAAACGAACCACCCACATTGGACAAAACCTTGTTATCAATAAGCGACGACGTCGACGACTTGCCAGACTTCAAAAGTTCGACGTTGGCTACATTAATGAAGGAACTTAATTTTCGGTAAGTGTTGTAAAAAATCTTCTTTGTATTTTATTTCTCCTTGAAAGTAAAATACAAAACGAAAAAATTGCGTAAAATTTTCACACACAAAACTAGTTTCGAGTTTTCATTTTTTTTATCATTCTTTATCTATACTTTATGACTAAACTAAATTTGCTATTATGTTAAGATGAATCACCTGAAATTCGTTATTCGTATAATATGATTGAATTAACGAATTTAAAGATTTAATGTAATTTTTAGTTTTGTAGGAAGGAAGCGAAATATCAACTTGAAAGAAAAGTACGAGATAATATGTTGGAGTCGTAGATACTTACGCGAAATCTGGAAGTATAGAGAAGAAGGCAGGAAGATACACTACCTAAACGAGACTTGGCTCAATGCAGGGCACAATGTTAGCAAAGTATGGGTGGATTCATCAGTCGAGCATCCTCGGCAAGCCTTCCTGGAAGGTCTCTCCACGGAGCACGGACTATTGGTATTTGAATCAAAACAAGCAGCCGACTACCACGCCGATATGAATGGCAACTTATTTTGAAGAATGGTTTGAAAATATAAGTCGTATGGAAAAGAACGCTGTCATTGTTATGGACTTCATACCATAATAGGCGTATTGATAAAGCACCAAACAGTGGAAACAGAAAAGGGGAAATACAGGAATGGCTACGAAGGCATAATGTAATCTGGTCAAGGGCAATAAAAGTTCTGACAAGAATGTTATCGACGAAATGGCTAAATCTACCAATCGGACTATTTTACGCCTGCCTCCTTACCATTGCGAGTTTAACCCAATCGAGTTAATTTGGGCGCAAATTAAAAGCGAAGTTTCCAGAAAAAAACACAACTTTCAAGATCGCAGATGCAAAGCAGCTATTTTACATCGCGGTACAAAAAGTAACTCCGGAAAATTTAAAAAAAAAACAATCGAACATGTTGAGAAAGAGGAAGAAAAAATGAGGACAACTGACCAATGTATGGAAAGAGTGGTGAACCAGTGATCATTAACTTAGGAAGCGATTCAGAAACTTCAGATTATACTGATAGTGATAGCGATTAATTAATAAATGTAATTTGTATACTGACTGGATAATGACGAAGGACCTATATCCCTAATCATACTTATATAATGACCATGTTTATTTCGACGGCTCTATCCGGATAGACTTCAAAGTAGGATATCCCAATGCTGTGTTAATCCTGACCGCTAATTTCGAAGGAGCCGTCTGTCCAAGATTTTGACGTTATCAGTTTTGGTTTGACTTGGGGGATTGCCGAAATAAACGGTCAGGATTACACATGATTGGGATAATCCACTTTAAAGTCTATGCGAATAGAATCGTCGAAATAAACGTGGCAATGAGTGTAGATAGATTCATTATTAGGTATTGTATTAAAATGATCCAGAATCCAATCTAAAAAAGAATTTAATTTTTGAGCCCTCTTCATTTTTCCCCATGTTAAAATTATTATTGTAATATAAAAAATACGTAAAGTTAACGAATCATAAACTGGGGCACCTACAGTGAAAATAAATTTACTGGTACCTCAATTAATTTTTAAACCTACACGCCACTATCGATAACGTATCATCGGTTTTGCAGGTAGTTCTGCGGTGTAAATCTGGCTGCCCTGTCACTTGTTTTATTACTCTGTATGTTCGTTGGATAAATTATAGTACTTCTGCACTAAAACACAGTATACATACATCAACCTGATCCGCTCAAAATAACAAGTAGGGGGGATTTTTTTGGAAAACACCGTACATGTTTTGTCTTGGTATTTTTTACTATAGATTTCGAGTAGGAAAAGATGCATCACGCTAAAATAAAAGAATATCCGAAAATGAGTAAATTTTTGACAGAAGTGCCAAAACTTCGAACTTTAAGCTTTAAAAAAAATTCAAGTACTAAGATAAAAAGAAAAATCTTGTTAAAACTACTCGTATAAGAGACATATGTTCTAAAATATGTAAATGCTAAAACTTCATAGATGGGATCAACTTGAAATTTCTGTTTCCTTTGAATGCAATGGAAAGCAGATGTGGAAAGTCGATGTCAATAAAGGGGAACAGAGTGCAAACGTGGGTTGGTTGTATTCTTCTTCTGTGACCATTAAAATCCATTTTATAATACCATATCAATTGTTGGAGCATTAAACAAGAATAACTGCATCAGGAACTACAGTTAACATTAGGCACTGTTTACACATTTTTATTTCGGAATATAAAGTTTAGTTATTAAATCAACAGGATAATGATACTTACCAAGTGCTTCCTTTCCAGACCCATACAATAAATATTCCCTGAACTTATTAGTTACCTCTTCCTCTTTCAACAGAGACTGTACACTCTGACTCTTCGACACCGCATTATTGCTGGCTTCGGAATTCAAATTGGCCTCAGCCGCATTACTGCTTGTCGTAGAGAGAACCGAAGGAGGTCTTGGAGGTGCAACGCGTCTGTTTTTCAGCAGCAATTCAGCTATATCGGTGCCCACGACCATCTGAAACAATCGAATGGGGAAAATGTTGCATGCAAGAATCACACCAATATACTGTGCCTGCATAATTCATGCTTATTGATTCACTTGCCAAAAACAAACTAAGGTTATCGAGGAATCTGAATGAAGACTGATATACCCGATCAATATTTACAAGAACCTGGAAATTGGAATATAGTAATAGAATCTGTTCACCCGATCGCGCATCTTTAGATAAATAATGTTATTCCCCGTGCATATACGCAATCTCTCATCCTATTTTTTTGTAAGCCATGTTCTTGCCAAGCTTTTACAATAACGACTGAAAAACATTCATTCACAACGCAACTGAATTGGAAACTGAAAATGAAAAAACTTTATGGGTACGAATGCATTGAAAGTATTGCTACATATTGTTCAACCAAGTTTATTCAGTCATAAAACTAAGCATTCTAGAACTGACTTTAAAGGTTCAATCACACATGAGGTAGGCAATCAAAAGGATGACTATTATCTCTCTCTGCCGAGGTGACGAAACTAGCATAGATTATACCACAGGATACTTTAAGACTCAAAAGTAATATAATACTCTTCACTCGTGTACTCCTGGACCAGCAATCATCCTGGAATGGCCGTTATAGTAATCATTTTTTAATACTATGTATAAGAACATTACAAAAATTACAGTTCACTTACCCCATTTTGTCTAACTAATAAAATCAAAAGTTCCCACATTAGAATATATGACTCGGCATCTACTATGTCTTGATTGTGAGAAGCATTTTTAATCTTATTTTCACAATACTCAATAATAGTCTTTTTGTGAGTTGTGCCTTTTACGAGTGGCCCTGGAAATTCGCTCAGCTCCTGTAACAAAGAAAAGTCCTTTTAAATGTTTGTGAAATACTAATACAAAAGCTAAACTTGTCATAGACATGGCTGTTTAAACCTTAAAAAAATTGCTGAATCATTTGTCTTTTCATGAGGGATATCATTAAGTTTTCTCGGAAATTTAAACATAGACATAGACGAGTATATACAGGGTTATCCAAATTAAGTGTCCACCATTAGTAACTTTGTTATTAGTGAAAATACAAAGTTGTTTGAATTAGCAAACTAGTAGCATTTTCAACGCTGGTAAAAATGAGAAATAAAAAAAACAATTGAGAGTCGTTATTTTGATTTTTTTCAGTAAAATAACATTTTTTTAAATGGAAACCCCTGTATATTATATTTTTTTCTGTTAAAGCATCAAATCTTAAACAAAAAAGTTCATAATGACTTTTCCGCTAAAGTCAAAAATAAAGTCAAAATAACGATAAATATTTTTAATTATTTGCAGTATTATAATATTAAGACGGCTATGAAAACAACATGGCGTTCGCGATTTGACAGCATTAAGATAAGCGACAAATTGTTAAACTGGACATACTCGCAACTAGAAGGCTTTGGAAAACAATGATAAAATCAAATAATGTCAAACATTAGTGTAAATACTTGTATAAGCTTTATTGTGTCATTAATTTAAAGAAAAATGTTCTCCCATGAATAAAAGTGTGATATGTTAGAATGCTATTTAGTGTGCAGAAAATCCTCCTTGAGAGCAAGAGAATACTACAGTGAATTATATCCCGCTCGCATTCAACCGTATGAACGATATTTTCTGAGACTTTATCGAAAATTTAGGGGCAACGAAAATGTTTTTGCTAAAACAAGGGCAAAAAAAGAATTCATAATAAGCGAGGCCACGGAAATTGCAGTTATTGGATATTTTGAAGCTTATCGTGAGAATTCAATAGCAGATATTCTCAAGGACTCTAATTTCAGTTATGGTACTGTTCAAAGGATTTTAAAAAAATACAAATTTATTCCGTATAAGTACCGACCAGTTCAAACGCTTTTGGCAGGAGATCCAGAGAGAAGACTTGTTTTTTGCCATTGGTATCTTAGCTTCTGTCGCCAAAATGTAAATAACTTTCGTTACCTTTTATGGACAGATGAATCAAATTTTTCAAATTCTGGAATGTTTAATAGAAAAAACCACCATTATTGGTCAAGAGAAAATCTTTTGTTAGTACATCCAAGAGGCCCACAAGTCCGTTTCAGTTTCAACGTTTGGTGCGGTATAATTGGTTCAAAAATTGTTGGCCCGTTCTTTTATGAGGGAACCCTAACTGGTGAAAGATATGTGGAATTTATGTCAGAAATTCTGACTAATTTCTTAGACGAATTGGATCTTATAAGTAGACATCATCTGCATTTTCAGCAAGATGGCGCACCTGCCCACAACTCCAGAGGTACTTATCATTTTCTAAGTACTACTTTTAATGATCAGTGGATAGGAACAAATGGCCCAATACAGTGGCATCCCAGATCACCAGATCTAAACCCACTTGATTACTTCTTGTGGGGTTACTTAAAGAACCAAATTTACAAGCGAAGGTACGATAACCTTGACGCGTTAAAGACTGCAGTTAGGGAAAAGATAACCCAGATAGATGGTAGGACCATACTTAAGACAGTTCGAGCAGTTGAAAAACGTGCCCAAAAATGTATTGAAGAACAAGGTGGTGTTTTCGAGCATCTTCTTTAAAAAAAATTGTTATTGTATTTTGTAAGATTATAAGTTGATGTTGAAAATAAAGTTTGTCGATACAATTTAATTGTTTCAGATTGGAGGCCATAATTTCAACAATTTGTAACCTAGGAGAAAAGTTATTGTAAGCTTTTTTGTATAAAATTTGATGCTTTAACAGAAAAAAATATAATATACAGGGGTTTCCATTTAAAAAAATGCTACTAGTTTGCTAATTCAAACAACTTTGTATTTTCACTAATAACAAAGTTACTAATGGTGGACACTTAATTTGGATAACCCTGTATATATATATACATATATGTATATAAAGTTAATTGCCTTAACTGTTACGAGAAAATATCCTTGAATTTCTTTGGGTAGAAGACTATATTTATACACACACACACATATATAAATATATACAGGGTGACTTCGAAGTTGAGTCATTTATTTTAACAGTGAGTAGATCTGATCAAAAGAAATGTTTTTTCCTTTAGCATTTTTCTGGTAAAATTAAAGTAACAAAGTTATAGCCCTTTGGAAGTTTGAGTACCGCCCTGTCTCAATGATAATATTATGTGCTCCTGTTTGGCGACAACGGATATAATCCGCCATCGGTTCATCGCATCGGAAACAAAAAAGCGAAAGAATTTGGAACGATGTTTTTACAATTATTTTATTCAGTTGTGTTGTATACACTCAGTGTACAGTCGGTAACGCGTCAGTGAATAGTAGTGTCTGTTGCGTGGCTCAAACGAAATAAAAAATGGCACATCATGTTTATGCGGATCGGTTTCCCAATCGAGTGCAACCAACCCCTCGTGCCTTTGTTAATGTAGTACAACGGGCTCGTGAATCAGGTGACTTAAGACGGCATGCCGGTGCTCCAAGACCTCGCGATCAAATACAGGTCCGCACTGAAATACTTGTCGGGAGGATACTTTATAAAACAAGGTACATTTTTTTTTATTTTTACACACATATTTTGGTTTATCTTCCTTCTACAATCATTATCTGAAAATTAATGACTCAACTTCAAAGTCACCCTGTATATAAAGAAGGGGCGCAAGTATTGTTCCTTGTGGAACCCAATACATTACAGTCATTTCTTCACTAGTTATATTTTCAATTTTAACCTTGTTTTCTGTAATGCAAATAATTTTGAAATAATATAAGTGGCGTACATCTAATTCCAATGTGACAAATGCTTTTTGTAAGTCGATGAATGCAGCCAGTGTTGGACGACGAGGATGCAGTGATCGTTGAGGGATTACACAATGGCGCTCTAATGTCCAGATACGACAATTCTGCTTATTTAACAAATCCGTTCATATCGAAGTGGGCTTCATCGCTCATTGTCAGTTGACGGTAAACATTTTTATTTTTGGTATTAAGCTGCAATATTGCATGACTGTATTGTCGGCGACATTCATGGTCACTAGGCTGTAGTTCTTGGGTTAACTGAATTTTGTATGGCCTCAAATGCAAGTATTTTTTTAAATAGCGCATAATGACGTGCGTCGAATACCCAGTTCTTGAGAATGATGTCTGGTAAACGTCTCAGGGCGCTCCACTACACTTTCACGAACTCTCTCTATATTTTTAGGAGTACGAGCAGTTGGAACACGGCCCGAACTTGGCAAGTGTTTAACTTCACCTGTTTGTTTAAATTTTCGCAACAACTGACGAATGGTGTTGACACTGGGCACATTATATCGACCGAAGTCTTGTCATAGCTTCCGAATCATTGCAACAACCAACTCATTGTTTAAGTAAATCGTTTTAACAATACGGACAGGTTGTGGGATCATGTAACGCTCCATCATGAATTGGACACATGTACTTTAAACAACTGCTACGGCGCCACCTACTGAAAAGCGTGTATCAAGAATGGCGGGCAGTTTAAATCAGTCAGTTATATACTGGCCACCCTGTATAAGTACAGTCTCACGTATTTATGTAATACATGATTTACATCAATCGAAATCTGATAATATAGGTACATAAAGTAAGAAGTTTCATGAAGTCCTATTAATAAAATATACATAAATTAGATATAAATTACTATTTAACACTATAAATACTGAAATGTGAATAAATAAAAGACATTTTCAAATACAAGTTTTTATTTAGCTGCTAAAATGAACTCAAAATTGTATTTATTTCGATTAAAGATATGCAGTTTTATACTTCTTAACGTTGAACAGCAGCAAGAGGCAAAATGGTGTAATACGGTTTTATTTAACAGTGCGGTAAATACTCGTCACAACAGTTTAATTTAATTTCTAATAGGACTCCAAAAGTTCATATATCGCCGCCAATTCACCTAAGAATGTAATGGGTGCTAACCTTAATTAATACGTTTCACATTGTTCATTAAAAGAGTGGTGTGTGCTAGGGATCCAACTATGTTTTCCCATGTGTTTTTCACACTGAACACGAATCTTGAGTCTAAATCGGAAGTCGGTGGAGAAATTTTAGAAAAAAAACGCATAAAAACGATTAACAGTGCCACAAAAATGAAAAGTTGTGTGTGCTATGGGCCTCACTATATTTTTTCCATGTATTTTTCCCCTCTGAACACGTATCTGAAGTCAAAATTGGGGGAAGATATAAAAGTAATTTTGACATCAGAATTGAAAATTCCTCACTGAAGAGATGCACAACCACCAAAAATAACAAAATGTTATATTAATGCCTAAATTACTTTCTTATTTGTCCATCGACCCCAATTTTGACTTCAGGTCCGTATTCAGCATGAAAAAGTACATGGGAAAAACACAGAGGGGCCCCAAGTACACACTTTTTTTTATTTTCTGAGCCTGCGTTATGAGGCTGTTGGTGTGTGTGCATGTGTGTACGATCCTTATCCAGGAATATGTAGTGCCAATTATCATAATTGCTATTCTTAATTTGCTGCTTAGCTATACATACAAGTTGGTTTTGAATATGAAGGTCGTTTTTTTTAATGTTACAGTCTAGTAATATTATCCTGTAATTGGGTTTTGACTCTGATGGACAATAAACTATGTATTTATTTAAAAATGTTTGCCTTGTCGATGTTTAATCGGCCTCTCCTGGGAAAAACTGCGGGCGTTCATGCATATTATTTCTCGTATTTATTTGTGAATGTCCCCATTAAAATTAAGAAAGGGAATTATAACGACACTAAGCAACTGTTGGAAAACCGTGCTTACCTTGTAGCCTTCATCATCAGCTAACAACATGTTCATATGGCAAAGCTCGACAGTGGCATTCTGGCCGTCCATGGGGTAGTGTGGCAGAACCCTCAACAACCTGCCCGAAGTGATCGATGCCTTCAGATGAGCCGTAGCGAATTTGGCTGGGGTTAATCGTTGGACGTTCATGCTGCTGTCGTCCAATAGCAGGCTGTTGTCGGTTTGATCGTACGGGCGTGAATAGCTGGGTAAAAAAGACGCTTAGAAAGTCATTATATTTTATTACGGATACAGATGCACCGAATATACAATTCAGCTTTTTCATCCAAGAGCTCGGAACAAAATCCGACCGTGCTTGTCAACAACTCAAAATACACAATAAAATAATTATTTTCATTGCCTTTAACGTTAGAACAACTGAAATATGTACCAGCATAATATCACTGGTTTACAATTTTTTGCTTTCTAAAATTTGAGATCGCTGTAAAAAAATTACTCTCATTTATTTTTCCGAAAAACCGTTATTGAGATTTTTGCAAAAAGCGTGTTTTTGTGCCCTGGTACAGTTATAACCTGAAATCTCGGAAACAGTGAGCGTGGTTTTTTTGAAGTGTGTTATTTTCGAAAGGCACACACATATTCCCTTTACGGCAATATATGATCTGTGTCAATCGAATTCGTGTTCCCGAAATAGTCGGTGAAAGTTGAAAAAAGGACATTTTTGAAGGTCATCGAAGTTTATTAACTATTTTGGGAGCAACATTTTTTCAACTAACATAAATTATCTAAGCTTAAAGATAATTTTGTCACCTACATATCGAGATGTCTGCTGTAAATGTGAATGAACTCTTTGCTGCACTTGGACTGTGCTCATGATCCGAACGAGTGGTGTTCATTTACTGATGGTAGCAAGTACAGTGTTACGGCTGTGATACTCCACAAAGGCAACAAGAAACCATCGATTCCCGTTGCCCATTCCACAAATGTCAAAGAAACATACGAGACAATGAAAGAGCTACTTCAAGCGATTCACGACAGTTCGTATAACTTGAAAATATGCTGTGACTTGAAAGTTGTCGGTATTCTGACTGGTCTGCGGGGTGGATATTGCGTCTTGGGGATAGCTAGAGCAATGAAAAACATTCCACTAAACCTGATTGGCCGAAGCATGTGGAATATGTCGTGGGAAAAAGCAACGTTATCAAGAAAGCACTTGTTGACAAAAAAAAGTTAATTATCCCCCGTTGCATATAAAACATGAGCTTATGAAAAATGTTGTCAAAGCTTTACTTGAAAACCAAGCTTCCAAAACTAGTCAACAGCAAAAACCGAAGAAGGTATATTCGTCGGTCCACAGATTAAAAAATTGTTTACTGACACAGGGTTTTATCAATAATCCGAATCTAAAGCTTGAGGAGCTTACCAAAAAGTTGTTTTTGGATTCTTGGGAAACAACAGGAACAAGACCGACCGTTGATGAAAAATTTCAATGCTACAGGTTAGTATTGAAATACACACATACTTCAAAATCATATTCATTTCCTTAAGCATTATTAAAAAAACGTTAAACTTTTTCTATGCTTACAAGTTCTCGCATGTCTTTGAAAATGTACCTACTTCACAGTCATTTGGATTTTTTCCTCGGAATTTGGGTGATGGAAGTGATGGACAAAGCGAGCGATTTCAAGACATTGCTGCGATTGAAAACGTTATGAGGGCTTTTAGGATCAAGGCATGATGAGCGACTATTGCTGGATGCAGCTTCCACGCAACATAAGAGAAAATGTTGAGAGTGAAAGAGTATTTTAGACCCCTAAATGTAACTGTGTCAAATAGTGTAAAATCGCATGTGTTCACATTACGCGTCATAACTTCCACATTTTTTGTCTGATTCAGACAAACTTGGGCTTGTTTTGTAGGTTACAAAATTTTCTTTGAGCTTTCATAATTTATGTTAGTATAAAAAATGTATTGCCCCGAAAAAGAGTCAGTGTACTTTGATAATTTTCAAAAAAGCTTCAAAAATGCCTTTCTTCAACTTTCAGCGGCTATTTTGTGAACACTACGAATTTAATTGACACAAATCAGATATTGCCGTGACGGAAATATGTGTGGCTTTAAAAAGTTACACGCGTCCAAAAAATGACGCCTACCGTTTCCAAGATTTCAGGTAATAACTGCACTGACACAAAAAAACACGTGTTTTTGCAAATCTCGTAAACGGTTTTTTGGAAAAACAAATGAGTCATTTTCGTTTTCAGCGACCTCAAATTAGTCTTAAAAACACCCTTTTGTCGAGGTACATCGTCGTATAAACTAGTGTATTTGCCGAAGCGAGAGCGTGAATTTCCCTGACTATATTTTAAAAAGTTCCAAGACAGTTCTCAAATTTGATCAAAAGATTCAGTGAGCTGGAAAACACGACAAAGCGAACTTAATTTTTCTCATTCACAACTGTTGCCCGAACGATAAGTAAAATTAACCAAAATCACCAAATGCATTTTTGCAACAAGTAAGGCTCAGTTAGTATGCTGTCTTTTCTAAGCGCAAGTCGGTCTGCAAATATGACTAAAATTTGGCATTTGTACTGCTTTGGATGTGTCGATTATGTCATTTTCGATAAAAATGCCAAATAGTCAATTTTACATTCCTTGAACAACTTAATCAGTCAATAAACATGGTACCCCTGTTGCTCTAGGATTAAAGGCAAATAAAATATATGTTGTCATTCAAGATGTCACCAAGTAGGAATGGATTACTTCCTTGACTCCCAGATTACCTATTTTACCTATTCGAGTTTTTGTACGATTATTGTCATCGGAGAAAAAAGTATAATACCGATAATTTTATGTAAATTTTTTTTTAATCACATCATTCGGTAGAATAGAAACGTTCTAGTAAAAATCAGATACGGAATTTTAAAATGTGATTTTCAAAATGTATATTAAAGACATTTTGTTAGCAAGGTATTTGGAACTCTAGAAATGAACCATTGAATCAAATACAACAGAGACTACAGCCGGTATGATTTGAAGTATATATTATAAACTATAATTATCTAACTAAACATATGGACATTTGATATGTTCAATAGATGTACTTGAATTAAAATAGTTTCGTGACAGATCCTTCCACGGTATATCCGCTATGTCGGCAGTATAGTTTTTAAAGCAACTAAATGAGTTTGAAAGCTACAACTAGGTTAAAATCTAATAAAAGTTTAAAAACAACAATCGACAAAAATTACTAAACAGAATGATGTAACATGGATTTATGGATGTAATGTAACGCAAAATGCTTAGAAACGTTAGTATAGAAAAATAACAGATAATAACGGTACAATCATGGTATCTGTATACTGACAATGCTCGTACTTATCAGATTATAGCTCTTTTGACTAAGAGGATTGAAAATATCAGTTTTCGGTATTATCTCATTTAACCTGTACAGGCAGTTAATTCATAGTGATGTTATCGATTCCGAGCTCCCAACTCTGACACATGCCACCATGGATTTATACTGTTATTAACTCATATTAGGAACATGCTATAAAAACTGCTACATAGTTGCAAAAATTAGAAAAACTACAAAAGAGTAAAGTAAAGAAGCAGCAGAAGCAGGAAAAGAATAATATACATTACTGTAGAGCCCCAGTTCAGAAAGAATATTAAATATTAAGGTAGAACAGGATTATCTTTATTTTTGTTAATTTCACCTATTATAAAGTCGTGTTTTTAGTAAATATTATGAATAACCTTTATATGCTCTTGTATACAAGAACTTATTACTGTTAGTTTAGTTTCATTCTATTTGATCGCACTGAAATAATAACTTTACATTATGCCATGGTTTTGTATCGTATGGCAAAAAAACAGTTCCGTCAATATTGCTATTAACAACAAGATAGCTATACCCACAAACTGTCAGCAACTACTTTCAAAAATAATAATAATCATAATGCACGCGCAGGAGAGCTTTGATAATTGCAAATACCGGATACGTAAACGTTAACGCTAACCTTATTTAACTTCAATGTCCATGATTCGTATATTAAACAAGATTTAAAGTTTACGTATGCGGTATTTGTGATTACCAAAAAATCCCATTGTCATATAAGTTATTGTTAATAACTCTTTTTAGATATTCGCGTCTATTACCACACAAAACTATTACAATGTAATCAGCCGAATAATATAGAGTTACGTTAACTGTTATTTGACATTTAAGTGAATGATTTATGTGACAGATGATAAAAAGTTAGCGTTAACGTTGATGTATGCGGTATTGTAATTGGCCATAGCCCTATTATCACAATTCTAGTTTTAGCATTGCTTCTAGACTATCACAACTTCAAACTCCAACCTTTCCTTTTCATATCAAATGTTTGCAAGTAGCTGCCATCCGTTTTCGATTCATATTTGCCTTTAATTTCAAAAACAAATTACTAGAACAATTATTTATTGGAAGATCATCTACCACGTGTAAAAATCAAGCTTTGCCTGATTTGTCATTTTTGTTATAAACAAGGAACATTATAAACAAGTAAATACTGATGACATTTAGCAGACTGAAAAAATAGTCGCTAAGTCAACTGTGTGTGTCATGACCATTATACAGTAAGCTCACCGGAAAATTGCATAAAGTTAATCATATCAGTAAGATTCCAATCTCCCAACTTGAGTACTAGCGATAATGGAGGGGCTCACCTAGAGGAATCTAGTCCATACTGGGGCGTGGCCTGAGCCCTCATGTCCCCATAATACGACGACTGCGCACTGGACTGATTATAAAAGCTCTGCCTCATGTACCTGGTGAATGGGACAGAAAAACAAAGCACAGGTGCATGACATATGCGTGGTGAATATGGATAGGATTATTGATAAGAAGTTTTCTCATGTGTGCTGTGGATGCGTGGGTGACAAGGTTTGCTTCTCTTTTTCAATTATCTTTTTCTGGTTTGTTGTACAGATTGGTAGTCTTTGCGTACAAGATATTATGCTAAAGATGCCAATATGTGATATTTGTAACTAGAAATAGTTAGCCTATAAGTGGCTTTTATGTAGTTTGGAATAACGGCTAAATGATTATTACAGTCCTTACAAAAAATGGTTTAGAAACAGATTTGGTATTCTGTATCTTGAAAGCAAAGAAATCTATGATGTGTGGAATATGTCTAATAGGAGAGTAGGTTTACCGGGGTCGAAAGCATATAAAAATACTAAAGCCAAAAATTGAGATAGACCCTCCCTCACCCAATGAAACCCCCAACGCCCCAATTTTAACCCCTACAAATATTTTTCTGGAAATTATCAAGAGTATCTGCTTACATGTAGCTCCGCCGACGCAGGAAGGATTTTCAAAGCCTTTTCGTTCTTGCCATAGTCGAAATTATATATACATAGATTTAATATGATATCCATAAAACAAAAAGTTCATTTTCAAAATTGTAATTTCACCTTGAACATTTTTAAATTCGAACACTGTTTGATATGATTATTCAATTTATTAAATAAAAAAACTCCCTTTTGAAATACATATTTGCTAGTTATGCTACTATTATAATTTTGTAGATGAAAATCTATACTGCCTCTAGTTTCGTACTATAATGTCTATTTAATTTTGTGAAGTTTTCTAAATATGTAGGTAATAAATGATTTTTTAATTTGAATATGAAATTGAGAACTTAATAACATGAAATTTTTCACATTCAACCACTGGAGTTTTTCTAACATAGACTTAATCCTAGCATATTATGAAAAATGTTTTCATCCTACAATTAATACAACCACGGGCAACAGTTTTGTCTGTTTTAGGGCTTTACCTATATGACAAAATATAAATTACATACAACAAAAACGGAGCAATTTCATTTTCAGCTAGCATGAGCAAAAAGAAACAAACCCTTTGTGTACATGTGCTAAAGCTTAAAACAAATAGGTATATGTGTACTTGAAGCTAAACCTGTCTCACCTTTCTTTAGCAAGTTCGTCATTGGCAGAGCTTCTACCGGAATGTACAGAAGCTCTATCTTCACCGCCGTACGAGGCAGTACTACCAGCTGCCTGCTGATAGTACTTGCGGTACCATTCGGCGTACGCTTGAGGATTAGTCCGTCTCAAGTTCTCGTAGTATTGGTATTGTTGGTAGTACGGGTTGTAAGGGTCGTAAGCGAATCCCTGGAAATAGACGCTGAGATAATCTCTAGAAAAAATAAACTATATCTAAAAAATTACCAGACATGAGAGCTTGAAAGGTTTCATCTATATTCACTCATATTCGTTTGTATATCTTTTGCACTTTCGTTTTTTATCTAGATTTAGTCTAACCTGCACAGCATTTATTAGGATACATCTGTACATCTTGAAGCCTATTTAAGTGCTGCCCTCAGTTGGATCATCATCTTTTTCCCCAAATATCGATAGGTACGTTGTGATTGTATTCAGAAACCATTCTGACCACTTCATGCAAGACACAAAAAATCGTAGGCGTAGTTAGAAGTACCAAGCAGTATGAGCGTTTCTCACTTGACGATAAACTAATTTTCAAAGATACTTTAATACTTATAAAAAATAGGTTTTTTACGATAGTAACATTTCACAGATGCTACTCATCAAGCGAGAATCAACTGATGATAATACATGCACACACGTTATTTGGTGAATTAAAGAAAAACTTCAAGTGAATCTCGTGTTGACTCACTTTGTTAGCAAGACATTAAAAACCTACCCCCATAAAAACAAGCCTTTCGAGTAAAAAAGAACGCACTCAAAATCATACAGATAATGGGTGTAACTTTTGGACGACTTTGTTAATTGAACCCTTTCAAACAATACCCAATCAGGCATATTCACTGACTTTGGGTTGATCACCCCGGCGTTTACCGTCCATAATATTTAAACAATGATGAATGATTTCAAAATACTGTTCAATATTGAAACGAATAATTTAATCCAGATCATATAAGTGATATGACAAATTTTAAAAGGTACCTGGTATGGATTGAAAGATTCTCTAGGGTCCCTATGCCTTTTGTATTTATCTCTATGCCTTCTATCTCTGTAATCCTTTTCATGTCCTCTATCCCTATAGGAATCATGCATCGAATCTGATCTACTCGACGGTCTAGAGCTTCTTTCGTTATCATAATCGTCTTCAAACCTAGTAAAACCATCCCAATTAAAAAAATCACAGCTGTTAAAATGTTGACGTATAGATGAATTACAATATAAGCATTACACAGTTTTTGATAAATCATATTTTCTTTAGGAGCGTCAAAATTCAAATTATAAGGATAAAAATAACAGTACAATAATTATCAGTGCATATGTAAGATGAAATAAATCACTACCACCTAATAACAATCAACTAAGTTTATAGCAATTATGTTACTGACACTATCTCCCAACAAATATAGATACATTTGACAAGCAAGAAATTTGTACTTGATACATTGACAGTGTCTGTATTGGTTTATAATTGGTGGTTACCTTCTATTCATTTCTGGTTTAAAAATACCTATAACGCTTGCTTACCTACTTCCATAATAATATTCCCCTCTCCCTCTGTGATCTCTCCCATCTTTCCGTCGCCTATCTTTGTCTTTCTCTCTTCTAAGACTAGCATACTTCTTCTCATACTCTCTATCCCTATCTTCTCTCGCTTGACGTCTCTCCTTTTCTTTGTCACTATAGTAGTCTGTATCTTCTTCATACCTTCGTTCTTTATAACGCCTACGATCGTACGTACGTTCTCTGTCTCTATCTCGAGGTGGTTTATCCTTATCCCTATCTTTGTCTCTCTTGCCTACAAAAAAAAACGAATCCAAGAACACCCTCGACACCTCTAACAGATGCAATAATAATATAAATTCGTAGTTATCTCCAGCTGTCTTATGCTATATGAACAAGAGTACGTTTTGAAAATGTAGATGTATTAGCTCGCGGAAAGCTAGCATCGTTTTTGTCGATATTCCATGGATTCCGTAATTAAGTTAAGGTGGTAAGTGGGCATAGAGGTTGACCCTAAATTTATGCATTTGTTTCTAACAAGCAACGGTCTTGAAACCGATTCCTTCGATTCGTACTGATTCCAATTCCTTTCGATTCCGATACCCGTATTTCCAAATGATTTGGCGATTTGGATTGTCTCTATTCTTGAGGCCGGATTTTATAACTCGTAGCAATCATTTCAGTTGACGCTAGTGATATAAAAACAGAAATGAATGGACTAGTGATACTTGTTACCGAAATAGAAGAATTTTAGAATCATTTTTGTATGTCCAATGTTTTTCAGTGATCCAGCTGTATGAGAAATGGCTTTCAGAATTTTTTAAATACCTAGTATGTTGTTGGGTTCAACTCGTAAAACAAAATGGTCCATGGGCTCAAATTTTTCCGTTAGTAGTTTCCAGATTCAAGGCCTCCAAAGTTGGGCAATCCATACTCAATTACAGCGCATTGTGGGTTCAGTGATATGATAGCTGTTTGATATTTATGTTCTTATCATCGTGCCTACTGACGGGTTCAACAATAGTTCAATTCTGCTGGTGGCTTAACTTACATAGAGTATTAATCCAAGACACAAACTTTTATAAAAACTCTTCAAGATTATCTTACAGCGTCTCTATTTATTAATTATAAAAAATGGCGTCAAGTAGGTTGACTCTGCACTTCCCACGCAACGGTTGTCAGTTCATAAAACATTGTGTTCAGCGCAAACTAGACCTTCTGAGAAAGAAGTCAGTCAAACTGGTCCATACAATTAAACCATAGGCGTTATTTCTCTGCCCTACCGGTACTGCATCTGGGAACGTCGCCTCTCCCCGATACTTAGCTGGGTTAGACGTGGCTGCGCGGTCAGAGCATAGGAAACACTATGCTGGGACGCGGCAGAAATACGTGTGTTACCATTCGAGAATAGAATACTCCGCAGCCGCGACTGGTAGGTGCGCGATCCCAGCGATCTCTGAGAACATTTTTTTAAGTTTGAGAAGCTAATGTATAGAGAAATATATAGAAAATGATGTGTGAAATATGTATAATAGATGCGTATAATTACCAAGGTTGGGACCGTATAAATGTACGGGCATAAAAAAAATTGAGATAGAACCTTTACCGCCCCCAAAACTCCCACCCCCAAGTTTTTTTTATCTATACAATTTTTTTCAAAAATAATCATGATCATCTGAATTGTCAGAAAACGAAGTTTGAACGATTTTAAAAAACTACAAAGCTTTTGCGTCCTTGGCATAGTAGTATCACTGCATAAAAATTTAATCGAAATCCGAGTGGTACTTCTCAAGGTATAGACTATTATAAGATAAACGGACGGGACAATACAGACAGACTGACGGAAATGAGTGACATCCAAAAAACATAATATCTCATTTTCGCGATTACAATACTTCCCCGCCAGTAGGCCTGGGAAGTAGAAACTGAAAAACTGTTGTTATTGTTTTAGCAAGAAACAGGATTATAGTGTATAATTTAAGCAAAACAATCAGTCCATCCGAAAACCACTTCAGTCACTGTCCTATGTTATTGTTCATGCAATGAACGTCTATCCTCTTTTCCACGGTATTGAAGAAGGAATGTATTCACTTACGTGGTTCATATTTAGAATACGCAGCTACTTTTTAGAACGCGTCTTCAACAAAAAAGTATGTTGTGAAAAAATATGACTGCGGTGATTTTTACAATGACCAACTCGAGTAATAAAGCAAACAAAACATGTGGAATGAAGTGGAATGCAGAGTCGGAATAGTCAAATAAACCACAAACTTTTGTTAATTCTTGATTCTGGCTCTCCCTGCTTTTAGATAAGTCTAGAAGCATAACACGACAAGCTATATATATATATATATATATATATATATATATATATATCAATTTCCTACTTATCCCAAATAATCCGAAACGAACAGTGACAGTAACATGAAATAAGCAAAAAACTATTTTAAATGTCATTTCTAATTATTTATCCAGTAGAAAAAAGTTACTTTTCAATGGGGCATTGTGATCAATAATAGTGATTTCATTAGTAGTGGAAAAAATAACTCCTATGATAGACTGGATTAGTCGACTTACCTCTCTCAGATGACTGTCTGTCTCTCTGTCCTCTGGAGAGACTAATGTTTTCTCTTTCGCTATCACTACTTTCCTGTCTACTGAGCCTTCGACCTCCCGAGTCCGCGTGACTAGTATTCGAAACCCTATCATCAGCTAGACTCTCGTTTACAATCAGGTTTCTAACAGAATTCGATAGATTTGATACTTCCGGATCCTGAGTTTGCCCTTCTATAGAGTCTCTTCTGGTAGAATCTGATTCTTTGGAGGGTTTGCGCTGAGGTTTATCGGATCTAACACCTGGAAATATTCAGGTGATATAAATGCCATGCTGAAAAATATGACACGATCATATTTATAGTATGTTACTAGTAACTGTCGATTGCTCTGCTATACGATCCTACATTCGAGTAGCTCTCCCTCACTGGTTCTGTCGCCACTAAATTGGCTATCGTTAAATCATACCAAAGATACAAAAAGTCTAACCCAAGACTGTTCAAAATCTGTCACAGGATAATCAAATCAGCATTTAAAAATGCGCGAAAAAGCTATAAGAAGCACCAGTCAGTGCCTATTATTGCTTTCTTAAACATATAAAACTGGCGGTGACAGATTTTCTATATGAGTAGACTCATGTTTCGGTCTCCAGTCCTCGAACTTTGATGATTAAAAACTATCCTGCAGATCAAATATATATATATATATATATATATATATATATTTTGAAATGGTGACAGTTGAATTAATTTAACCATACAACTATAGCTTTGTCCCAACCCTTAGTACTAGTATCGTACCAGAACCGTTCGATTATCGTGAGGTACCCTGTTACACGCATGCGCGGTCTGTCGTGGTTCTAGAATCGTTTCTGGACTGTAAAAGGTGATGGAACGGATTCGGAATCGTTTTGTGCCTCGAAATTGACAGGATAGCCAATCTTGCCTGATCTACCAATTTTTCGGCATAGCTATGAGGAGCTTTAGATTTTCTATTTAATTCGCTTATTTAGCGACATATGTTGTTTACACTTGACCCTCTTGAAGTATGACATGGCTTAAATAAAGTTAAATCGTAACATTAACTTAGTAGACGGTAATTTGGAATTAAAATAAAAATTAAACATTTTGAGTGTGAATTTGAGATTCATTCCACCTGCAACAGCATTATTCAAAAATCATGTTCAACATTTTCTATGCGAATAAGTGCTAACGTTAAAAGAGCTTCATGTGAATCATTGGTATTATATCTGTGGTACATTACTCTGATATCTTATATTACAATTGCCTGGACTGTGATAAAGATGCGTTCAAAATCGCTGATGTAGATTTGTTTATGGACTAAAAAATATGATCATATATCAGCAACGATGAAATAAAATCCGGTCGTCTTCACTATCCGAAAACAATTCAAAATCGATGTCCCCTTCGTTGTCACTACTCATCGCGATGAAAAATGTAGAATCATTATATTTTTTTTTTGTAAACACAACACACACGTTCAATCACTATCCAAGCAAAAGGAGGTTTGGAGGTTAGGCTTAGAAGAAATCACCTGACAGTAGCTCTTCTGCGCATGTTAGTTCCTTTAGTTCTCGCTTCAGTTCAGGTACCGATATCACCGTAACAAAATCGTCCCAAATCGATCCCAAAACGGGTTGGAACATAACTGAGATCCGTTCTGTTACTTGGAACAATTTTTCCTAAATGCGCAAACGCGTCACCGTTCCAGCACGGTTCTACGACGGGTTGGGTCAAAGCTCATTAAAACTAATTGCATAAAATACTCAAGATGTCAGATTTTAAGGGTAGTGTCTTTTTTGTCTGAATTTTTCAAGATGTATGATTACTTTTTTAGTTTTTGATGAGCTCACCTCTACTCCTTCCAGCTACTCCATCCTGAGCGCCAATAATTGCTGATCTTCCCCCTCCACCGTTCGTACTAGGTGGACTAACTGCAGTAACAGCAGGAGGCGTGTCAGCCCCTATGGTTGCTGATCTAGGTGGCTGAGGAGCAGAAGAAACAGATCCTGTTTGCCCAATGTGCTCGAATTCAGCTTCAGAGTCGTCATCTTCCACACGACGCTGTTCTGGAGAACTGGATTCACCGGGCACCATACGCCTCAGATACTGGGAACTGAAAGATTAACAATAGAGGTTTACTCAAGTTTTTCGAACGATTGCTTGGTTACAGAAAATAGAGATGACATCCACACTCAAGATAACAAAAAAACGTACTTGACACCTCAGTTATCATATTCATAAATTTCATTCTATTACTAAGCCTATAACCTTGATATGGATATCAAAATCAACCATCAAGGAGTTGCTATTAAGCGCACTGGGGTGTGACCAGACAGAGACATTAAGAGCCCTGCTTCAAAGGCACTGCACGGCGACATCACCAGCATCCATAGCCAGACAATTCTATTGAAGTATGTGAAAGCTCTCTGACTTGGTGACTATCTTGGCAGCGGCCAATTTGAAGGCGTAGCTACACCGCCGACTAACGACACCCTGTTTCAAGAGTATCCATCACGGAACAAGGACAGCTAGTTATATTTCAAAATTCCCCATATCGGCACAGGACACATAATTAATTCCGAGGGATCGGTGAGCTTCCAGGACCTCTATTCTTGAATTTGAGGGAGTATAAATTGTGAGAGAAAATGGCAAAAAGTGTGTGTGGTCAAAAAATGCAGTATTCTTGAAATCAATTCTGCCGAAAAGTGATAGAAATGAATTCACTTTAGGGAATTGCGATATCTCTTGGTACTGACCAAGAGAAACTGGAAAAATTAGTAGAAAATAACACTATATAACCTAAAAATTGACGTTTGGCATTGTTATTGCCGTTCCTGCTAAACACACCGCAGAAAATGGATAATTTCAATCAATTGATGTATTGGAACGATATTATTTGTACAGATGTTTAGGTTAACCAAAGATTTTTTGTACGAATTGCTGGAGATATTGACTCCAGTCATACAACCACCCCCACGAGCCTCTGCACTTTCGATCAAAACAAAGGCAACAGTAGATATTAAGTTTTAGTCATTCTAAAACAGTATCCTTTAATATTTGATTGCATTTTCCCTGGTACATTTGGAGGTAATGTGTAATGTGTTTTTTTCAAGTTTTTGGCTCCATAGATAAAATTATAAGGAGGAAATCTTGACCAATATTTTTGGTTAGTTTTTGACTGTCAAAATTATCCCCATTTTGATTGGCTTAACACATTTACTCAAGCCTGGCAACCCCGTGACTTGATTTCATTTCGCCGTTCTATAGTCCTTTCAAGAATACAGTATTTTCGAATCGACAGAAAACCGAGGGAGTAGAAAAAGAGAGGGAGTGTGATTTTCTATTAAAGTCAAGAATAAGAGCACAGGTAGACATGCCCGTATTTTGTTGTTTTTTTTTTTGCATATCGACGAAGCCGCGCAGGCAGAAGCCTAAATGCCGGAACACCGCGGCTGCTATGATGATCCCAAAGAAATTTTGCTAATACGATTTTTGAACTGCCTAAGGTTAGTAGAATTGGGAAAAGCTTCCTCTTGTAGATTGTTCCACAATCTCGATATCCTCGGGACAAAGGAGCGGTCGTATCGGCCAGTTCTTCTGGATGTACGAAGTTCGACAAGGTTAGGATGGGACGCCAAAGTCAGGCGGGTCTGTCTGGCAGCCACATCGCGCGGCGGCATCATGGAAGAGAGCTCTCAGGAGCAAAGCCCGTTGGTGTAGCGATAGAAAAGAGCTAGATCGCCGACGGCCCGCCGATGCGAAAGAGTCCCGAGACTGTCTGTTAGAGAAGAGTCATCGATCAGTCGGACCGCCTTCCTCTGGACAGCATCGAGCATGGATAATGTAGTCGGGGCGGCAGCACCCCAAACGTGTGAGCAATACTCCAGGCTAGGCCTTATCTGGGCCTTGTATAGAGTGAGAAGGTCATGCGGAGAACAGTACTACAAATAGCCTAGCTTTTTCCCAGCAGCTTGCAGCTATTGACGAGATGTGCGGTCATCAGCGAAGCTGTGGATTTAGTTGATCGTGCAGGAAAGGAGGTCGTTGATATGTAAGAGAAACAGTGTTGGAGCCAAGACCGATCTCTGGGGAACACCCCCGTTGACGTTGTGGGATGAAGAGGAGAACCCGTCAATTACGACGGATAACTTGCGGCCAGAGATAAAGTTAGCCACCCATCTGCAAAGCTTTTCTGGGAGGCCATAGGGTGGAAGTTTGCTTAAGAGGGCAGCGTGCCACCGCTGATCGAACGCTTTCGTGATGTCAAGAGCAACTACATGAACCACACCATAAGACTGGATGAGTTTAATCCACAATTGCGTGACGTAAGCTAGGAGGTCCCCTGTGGATCGTTGGTGCCGGAAACCATACTGCCTGTCGCTAATCAAGCCGTGACATTCGAGGTGGTCCAGAAGCTCGCAATTTATGCACCTCTCCAACACCTTACTTATAACAGAAAGCAGAGCTGTAGACCTGTAGTTGTAAGGGTCGGTCTTAGATCCTTTTTTTTGGGATTGGTTGGACATGAGCAAATTTCCAGTTTTCTGGGAAGGTGCCGGATTCATAAGCTATCTGGAAGAGACGCGAAACAACTGGTGCAAGCTCCGCCGTACAATGGCAGGAATCAAGTCCGGACCAGAAGCTTTGTTGATGTCGAGCGACAGGAGCACTCGTCTTACGGTCTTATGCCTGAATGTTACCTCCCGCATAGTGCAGGGAACCCTTTGAATTGACGGCTCGTGGGCGTTGGGGGGGACGTCCATGATGGTGGAGTTGCCAGCAAAGATCTTATGTAGCACTTCTGCCTTGGCCGTTAAGTCGAATACAATAGTTCCGTCCTGACACGTAAGTGGTGGAAGGCTACTGTGTGAAAAGTTATCTGCTTGGCCAGCGTCCAGAAAGTGCCATTGCGCTGCGACATTACCCTGTACCTAACTTTATATCGTGCTGGTTTTTGGTATTGCGAACCGCTTCGTTATATTTGTTTCTGGACTGGACGTCGGCTTGTCTGTTCTCTACAGTGGGGTTTTGTAAAAAGGTTCAGTGTGCCTTGATCTTCTGCTGGCGAGCAGTGTCACACGATTTGTTAAACCAGCCGTTGGACCCTGGTTTAGGCACTTTTTCACTGTGTGAAGGATGTATTCCTCCATTCCGACGTGTATAATTTCTGTTATTTAAGAACAGACAGCCGACGCATCCACGTCAGTGAAACAGACATCTCTCCAAGGAAAGCTAGAGAAGAAGACTCCGAGCCCCTCCCAGTCGGCATGTCCGTAATGCCAAGTTTTGCAGCCTGTACGAGTTTCTGCTGCCACAGCGGGTTCTGACCGAAACCTAACCTCCATAACACCGTGGTCATAATTACCCAGGGGGGACAGGACAGCAGTGCTGTAAGGGACAGGACACGTGGTCAGAAAGAGATCCAGCAGGCTACTGGCGTGTGACGAGACACGGGGGAAAAAGTGGGGCTCGTCACCAGCTGGGTCAGCCCTTGAGTAAGAGCGAACGCTTCCACTGCACAACCTGCTGCATCGGTCTTGTTTGAGCCCAACCAAAGCTCATTATGGGCATTGAAATCACCGAGAAGAACTACCTCTGAAGCGGGGTGATTGATGTTCAGGAAGTCGATCTGGACGGCGAGGTATTCGAGTAGATCATCAAAGTTATGGTCCGAGGGAGAGCGATAAAGGCAGCAAATAAATTTGGGTGATGTTTTGGAGTTGAGGCGAAGCCACAGAATGTCCTTGCGGTCTGATTCCAAAGAAACATCTCTGGAGCAGGAAAGACTGCTGCGGACAAAAGCCACAACTCCCCCGTTCTTTCTCAGATTGGAGTGCACCTCGTAGTTTGGGAAGTTGAGATGGTTAATCGGTGCAAACTCTGAGATTTTCATCTCCGCCATGAAAAGCACGGCGGGACGATTGGATTGCAGGTAGTGATGAACAGCATCAATGTTCCTGTTAATCCCGCAGATGTTCGAAAAACAAATTTTATCTTCGATGTTGTTCTCTCGAGCCCACCCTCCACCCGGACATTCCGAGAGTGGAGTGAGTTTACGTCCGCAGTTCTTAGTGCTCGAGGGATCCATCATCATTAATTTCTTTGTTTTGGAAGAAAACCGACTGCATAGCTTAGGTGTGGAAACATGCAGACATTTATAAGACACCCTGGGAAAAGCTAGCGGGTGGTACCGCCTCGGTCGACTGGTCCTTGTCTACCACCTTCTTTTTACGTGTTAGTGATATTAAATAGATCTAAAGTGGCCCGTTGGCGGACTTGTACCGCGACCCGGCAATCGGTACTGAGGTATTCTTTAACGCGTGTAAAATCACTTAAACGGGAAGAAGTTGTATACTGGATACAACTTCCGGAACAAGCATTTGCCACGGCCCCCGCTCAGTAGGGGTAGTGTGGTTACTTGTACGCTACAGATAGTACAGATTCATTTTCTACTTGCTAACAACTCTGTTATTTAAAAAAGCTTCCTTGCATATGAAAGATACACTACAAGCACAATGGCTGCTAATGACCATGACTAAATTTCAAGTCAGGTAGGAATAAAATAAGATAAACAGTTTTTGACTATATTAATTATATCTACTTTTTAGAACTTGGAACACCATAAGATCTTAAAGAGCAATGAAACAGTCATACATTTAGTTGAGAATGTGTGGCAGTATATGACCGGGTTGATAGAGTTTCGATTCCCTCAATTAGGTCTGAACATTACTCAAGTAATTCTAACAAGTAATAAAATAGAAAAATATAAGTAACTATTGCAGGAAGTCATGAACTGTACACAACTGGGACAATGCAGTCTTCGTGAATACAGGCATGGGCCAATGAATACCAATAATATGGCATGGTGGTGGGTCGTTTTAGTAATTTTGGGTGAATGTATTAGTTTTGATATGATTAGTTATGTGCTTTTGATTAATGACGTTACACTGATGACGGACAATAAACCAAAAACTCGTGTCTACATCATTTTACACTTAAACTTACAGATTCTGGAAAGGACTACGCAACCTGTTCTATTGACTTACCATGTAATCAATAAATCCCAGATGTACTATAATAATTTTCTAATAAACTTTTCTATATCTGTACTTGTACATTTCATTGTCACATTTCACACCCACTTAAAAATATAAATCTGATATGTGAACAACAGCTCTGAATACGGTCCCGAAATTCATTATTGCGAACGTTACAAATTAACACAAAGATGTCGCTTTTGTTCAGCTGTTCACTTCAAAGCGTGATGGATACTCGTGAAATACGGTGTATGTGAAATCTGGCGACCCGCGCTGGCGGCTTTGAGTTGTCGACAACATGCTTTTAAGATGCTTCTCAGTAAGTCACGTCAGAGAAACATTTCTCTGTCATCAGTGTCTTTGCGGCATTTCAAAACTGGTAATCATGGAGCCTAAATACCAGGAGAAACTATGGCAATTCTGTTCGTGCTGTAAAAACTACCCCAAAACTTGACGCCTGGGAGTACCAGTGGTGCTTTGACAGGGTTATCATGGGGGATTTTCCCCAAAAGTACCAAGCATAAACCATATGGAATTTGATCATTAGTCAATTTTAAAGAAAATTTATATAGATATCAATTGTTCTAATGAGCTCAAAGATAAAGGCCCATAAATGCTTTCTATTTGAGATACAGGGTGTCAAACTTACGAAACCTAACCTAAGTCGTCTTTAATGTATGCAGTTTCTTAACGAAATTATAAAAATCATCATCAACGCTTACAATATATACAGTTCTTTAACAAAAGAGTTATATAAGATATTCGAAAACAGTTTGCGCATAAAGATTCTCATCTGATAGGTGTGTGTCTCTAAATTACCTGATATCATCACTTTGCCCAACTCCAATATTTCCTACTCCTTCAGTTTGGCCTAATACCATTCGCTTCAGACCAGGCGGTGGTAAGGTATCACTTTCTTGTCTCGCTGGCGATTCTGAAGTATAGTCCCCGGACAAAGGTTCCGACAGTTGACCTGTCTCTAGATATTGGTTCCTGTCGTTGATCAAGGGTGCTTCATTATTTTCAGGGCGATGTTGGGTTAGACTTGATGTTGGCTTTACCTGTTTGAAATGAGCAAGTACTCAACTACAGTTTATAATGTGTAGAAAAGATAATACTTCTGGAGTTAATCATTTGAAGCTTTAGATAAATTGTTAGAAGTAGATATTTTTGTAAAAATCTGTTATATTGCTTATTGCTATATTAGTGGTATTCAAAGAGGAAACATTCCATTCTACAGTTTTACACAGAAAAAAATCAATAATTTTTCATCGACAGTGTTTTGTAATTATGTAAGTGTGCGGTAGCGAATGTTTACGTTCAAGTATGGTAGAAGCTTTGCCACCGGCGAAGAGAACGTCGAGATAGCTAAAGTGACATTCTAAATACTGCAAAGCTGATTTTTAAATATATTGTAAGTGATTTCACACTGACAAATAAACACTCAGCAAGTTTTCAAATCTGACATTTCGTTCTATAGGAAGAACATTAGAATATTCTCCCATGAAAAATTCCCTTATAAAGGGTGGGCCATCAGTTGGTTTTTTAAGTTGGTATTATTTTGACAGTTGGTAACACTTCCATGCTCAACATATTGACAGATATATTGTGTCAAACTTCCGCTGTGAGCAATGGATCGTTTTAATCTTAAACAAAGGTGGGAAATATTGAAAACATATTTTCAAAGTGAGTGCTGTGTTGCCGTGACTGGTATAAGAAAATTCGTGAAGAAGGTTCGTGAAACTGGCATGCATTGTGGATAACAGAAGGTATGAGCGTGTTCGACCCGTACGTACAGCCGAAAACATTGCTGCTGTTGCCCACAGTTTGCGTGAAAACGCAAGAATGTCAACTCGTCGCAGAGCACAAGTGGGCATCAGTCGCACTTCTGTGCGGAGAAGATTGCATAACGACCTGGGATTATTTCCTTACAAGGTGCAACTTGTGCAAGAGTTGAAACAAAATGACCATCCGCTTCGATATCGTTTCTCTGTGTGGGCTCGAAATCAATTGGAAACGGTCGTCAATTTTGTTCGCCAAACCATGTTTTCGGACGAAGCCCATTTCCATCTGGGAGGTTACGTTAACAAGTAGAACTGTAGGATTTGGAGTTCTGAAAATCCATATGTCGTCATAGAAAAACCAATGCATACAAAAAGATTAACTGAATGGTGTGGCTTTTGGAGTGGTGCAATTATTGGTCCCTACTTTTTTTCAAGATGAAGATGGTAATAGCGTGACGGTAAACGGAGAACACTATACAGGTTGTTTCAGAACTATGTGATCAAACTAGTAGGGGTTATTCAGTGTAACAGTAGAAAACATTATAGGGATCCATATCCGGAAAAGTGTCACTACTACACTACGGCCCTAAGACGCGTTAAAATATAGAAAGACGATGAATTGCCTAAATAGGATTTAATGCATTTAATTTTTACCTTTTGTGCATGATATCATCACAACAATTATTCAAAATGTCTTCCTCCAACCTGAATACATCGATTTAAACGTCGCACATGATTTCGGCGGACTTGACTAAAAATTTGATACTCGTTTTGAATGATTCTCCCTACAGGAACGGTGTATTCAGGTTGGAGGAAGACATTTTGAACAATTGTTGTGATGATATCTTATACAAAAGGCAAAAATTAAATGCATTAAATCCTATTTAGGCAATTCATCGTCTTTCTAAATTTTAACGCGTCTTAGGGCCGTAGTGCCTTAGTGACACTTTTCCGGATATGGGTCCCTATACTCAAATGTTTTCTGTTACACTGAATAACCCCTACAAGTTTGATCCCATAGTTCTGAAACAACCTGTAGAAACATGTTGAGTGTTTTTTTCTGGCCACTATTACACGACATGCACTTGCACAATCTCTGATTCCAGCAGGATGGCGCAACATGCCACACCAGCCGTGAAACAATCGTTCTTTTACACATTAAGTTCGGTCATCGCGTTATCAGCCGTTTTGGAGACGTTCATTGGGCAGCCCGCAGCTGTGATTTGACGCCCATGGATTACGTCCTATGGGATACTGTTAAGGACCGCTGTTACACTAACGATACTCTAACAATTAGGAAGTTTCCTATAGTCGAAGATGTGTTACTTGCATCTGATAATACAACTACTATCTTTGACAAATCTGAAAGAATTATTCCAATAACTTTAAATTTAAGGAAGTTATGGAATTTTCTGTGTTGGCTGCTGTAGCCGATCGGCCTCGCGCGTCGAGGTTCCGTAGTGACGTCACATGACGGAACGTCCCACGTCGTAGTGAAGTGGTCAGAGGACACGACGGCATATCCCATACATCCTTAGCGCTCAAGCTGACAAGACTTAATTCATTGTTTGAATCTTGGCGTAGACTGTTGTATTATTGTATATAATAATTAAAATGGAAAAAGGTTTTTTACGTGGCGATTCCACAAATCTTTTGAAGGTGGACATAATAATGGTAATGAATTTCTTCACAAACAATCCACTTTATGTCAGTACGGAAATACGTACGTAAGTAAATAGTATGATTTATTCTATAGAACTCTGATAACCTGAACCCATTTTTTCAACCCTTTGCCTGCGACTATATCATACTGTGGACCTATAAAAGTGTTTTGCGTCATCAACTTTACCTAGGACGCGTGGTGTCAGTGGCGGGGTATTACCGATGATCTTATTTGGCTTTATTAATTTTATAAATAGAAGAAACTGAAAACATGCCTTGCATGCATCAAATAATTTAGGATGACCCAAACTCCAGCGAATACGTTTGATAAATTAATAATAAATTCAATATCGCGCAGTGACCAGAAAATCAACTGTTTGAACTGAAATTTAATCCAACGCCAATAGGACTTGATGGCCGTCCGGTGTTTGTTTGTTTCAGATTTATTTAGCATTAATGCTACAATATCCATATTACATAGTATATCACAAAATATATTATGTCTTCAAGACTACATATTTTTATACAAAATTTCACTACTATGAATTCTGGTTTTCCATGAGATATTTTTTCAATTTCCCTTTGAACATCTTCAAACTGACACACATCTTGATATCATTACTTCACAGCATTTTAATAATTCTTTCGTAACACTTCACGATGTCCATTTGTTAACCAGGACTAGAATCAATGATTCGTCATTCATTTTTGGGTATTGTTATTTGGCTGTTGTCATTATAGGTCTGGAAGATACACCTATGACGAGGCGATAGGTTATGTGCAGTTAAAAAGAAAACGGGATATCTGTATTGTAAAAGCCAGGATTTCGCCCGAACATAGAGTTAAAAGCAAACAGTATCATTGCAGTTTTGAATGCGACGAAAAGGAGGAAATAGTAATCAAGCTAGAGTGAAGTGGTTGTGCTGCACAAGAGGGTGGCTGTAAGCATGGTGTAGCGCTATTAATGTGGCTACACAGAAGAAGCGAAGAACCACCATGCACAGCGGCAATTTATCGTCCCCATTCATTACCTTGCACCACTTCTTTCTAATACTTCCCTGTTTTGGCACACAGAAAAACTGTTTATCTGGAGCTGATATTCTAGTATATATATATATATATACAGGGTGACTTTGAAGTTGAGTCATTAATTTTCAGATAATGATTGTAGAAGGAAGATAAACCAAAATATGTGTGTAAAAATAAAAAAAAAATAAAAAAAATTTTTTACCTTGTTTTATAAAGTATCCTCCCGACAAGTATTTCAGTGCGGACCTGTATTTGATCGTGAGGTCCCCTGTGAGGTCTTAGGTCACCTGATTCACAAGCCCGTTGTACTACATTAACAAAGGCACGAGGGGTTGGTTGCACTCGATTGGGAAACCGATCCGCATAAACATGTGCCATTTTTTATTTCGTTTGAGCCACGCAGCACATACCACTATTCACTGACACTAACTGTATACAAATGAATGAGATACCTGTAAAAACATCGTTCCAAATTCTTTCGCTTTTTTGTTTCCGATGCGATGAACCGATACGGCGGATTATATCCATTGTCGCCAAACACGACCACATAATATTGTTATTGAGACAGGGCGGTACTCAAACTTCCAAAGGGCTATAACTTTGTTACTTTAATTTTACCAGGAAAATGGTAAAGGAAAAAAACATTTCTTTTGATCAGATCTACTCACTGTTAAAATAAATGACTCAACTTCGAAGTCACCCTGTATATATATATATATATATAACGTATATATATATATATATATATATAAAATATTTGTATGTTGAAGGGTTGACCCACTTTTTACTCATTGTTAATAATAGGGGGAAGCGTGTGTGGCGCGGCGCGGCGGGCGCATCTCCTTGCAGTGGTGCTGGGCTGATAAGACTCCGTCATGTGACGTCATCGCTCACTCGCCCGGCCCACCACACGATTCTCCAAATAATAAACTTCTGACTAGCGTAACTTTGTTATTTTTCCAGATATTCAAAAAAAAATTCAGCGCTGTGCTTCGTTTTACTTAGACTATGATTTTGAGTGTCTTTTGTAAAATAGGAAACTTCCTCACTGATGCTCTTAAGGAAAATATTGGACGAGCTATTGATGAAATAGTAACTATCGAAAATGTGCTCCAATATAGGGTTAAGAGGATGGACTACTGCCAGGCCCGCCGCGGCAGCCATTTAATTGAATTTGTTTTTCATAAATAATCATAAGGTCTATTCTTTTGAATAAAGTATCAAATGTTACATATTATTGAAGAGTGTAGTTTTAATACCAATTTAAAAAAGAAACCAACGGATGGCCCACCTTATAGTTGAGAAGTGGTACCCAGGAAAAAAATATATTTCTGGTAAGTTGCTACTATTTTACCAAGTGAATTTACAAAGAAATAATATAAAAAAGCCCTACTGCTCTAGCACGAATCGCCATAACCTATTACCTTTCAAAACGGTAGCAGCTTGCATGAATGTAACTTTGAAAAGAGACGCTACACAAACTTCCTTATTGATGGGGAAATATTGTAATTGGTCGTGTTTATCAGAACCTAGCATTACTCAAGCGATCACTGATATAATCAAATTTACAGTTGAACCTAGTATTGTCACTTTTAGTAATCGGTTTAATAGGAAATGTTCTGCTGAACGCGATCACTGTAAGTCCTAATTTCATATATGTAATATATTTCTCGGGCGTATAACTGATCTCTATATCATGACCAATAAATGTGTACGTAATTCAACTGGTGAATACGTTATATCAGCAGAATGTCATCATACTGACCCTAACGAAGCTCTGGCCAGGCGGCACAGGATCAGGCTGCTCCGAATTATCCGGCGGCGTTTCCAAATTCACCTGCTGCTGATATCCGAAGTTCTGCCTAGACTCCGCCGGACTGACGTTCGCCGTCCTGAACTTGCTAACCGTCTTATGAGAAAGAGCAGTGTTGCGTTTGTAAGGGTTCGAGTCCTCGCCGAATGTTCCTGGTGGTGGTAGAGTGTTCAAGGGGGGTGTCTGCGTGTTCAACGAAGGCGTCAGTGTGTTGACAGGTGGCGGGGGGATGGTAGCATTGACTTTAGGCGGTAGAGGAGGCGTGGCATTGGCCTTAGGCGGCACCGTCGGAACGATCTCTTTGTTTTCGAACTGTTGCTGGTCGTACGACGGCTCCGGTTTCGAGGTTGGATCTTCGATCTAGGGTTTTGAATGACAATAAGCTAATGTTAGACATTCAGTCATTAAAAGACGTCAATAACATCACCACCAGGCAAAACTGTTTAACGATCAGATGACCAGTTTATTGACTGATTCTTTTTAATTATAGTAACGCGTAATATGTACAAATGCCATGTCAGTTTACGGAAAAATGTACCGCATCATTCATGGAAAATTGTAACTAGTAAAATTAGCCATATTTGTCTTTTCTCATTTTGATCAAAGGGTTCATGAGCAGAAGGTTCTAGAATCAAATGAAGATGCGTAAGTATGGTACCATATCATTTTGGTAGACCTGACATTCAAAACTACACTTAAAATGACCAAAATTCAGTCGATGGTTTAAAACAGCGCCAAAGTAGTCGCTTTTACAACCGTAATCGACAATCAAACAAACCACAAAATCATATGGATGTTATTCATAAAATATTATTTAAAATTAATGCTTGCACAGGATGATAGCTTCAGCACAAAGACACGTGCAAAAGATTGAACCAAAAAATGTATTTTGGAATTTTATTATTTCAAAAAAAGATAACAGCACAAAAAATTAATAATGCTTACAAATCTATGTTTGTTAAAATTTATATTCCAAAAAAATCACTTCTCATGTTTTGTTTTCCAATTTAGCAAAGCTAAATTGAAATTCAACGTAGATTTCAACTAATCCCAGTAATTTCTCATGTAATATGTATTGACTCAGCTTGGGGAGAGCCCGGTACATGAACAACTTTATCAGAGATAGTTTTATAAAAAAATTAGCTTCATTTCGTTACGTGGGGCTTGAGAGAACGAGGACAGCTCCTTCTAAAACGTTCATAAACTACAATATGTATAGCAAGAGCGAAAATAGTGAGAAAACATGAAAATTGTTTAAAAGTGAGATGGATAAAAACAAGTATCTTGCCAGCATCACTGCAAAGTAAATGAGTACAGGGAAAAGTGGAGGCAACACGTTAATAGAATGACTAACAAAAGACTTCCCAAAGTATAACCCAAAAGGCAAAAAAGATTCCAGAGGGCCAAGGAAAAAACGGCTTTAGCAACTTTGTGAAATCGGATCAGGCAACAGAATAATCCCTGTTGAGAAGAAGAAGATCAAGATAAAACTGAGAGTACACCGTATAATAATATTACACATACATCGTAACGAAACTGTAGAGATGAGATGTAATATGAGACTTCTAACTATATTCCCTCACCTGTGGCTGCGCCTGCGTAGGTAGTGTATACCCAACAGCAGCGCTGTGAGACATCATCATATGTATTTCTTTTTCAGATGTATGAACCACATCATCCGACGATTCCTGCGACATCTGGGATTCTGTAGACCACTGAGGAGTTTCTAAAAATCAATTAAACCATGTCATTGCGTCTAACTTCTTTATTATAAACTAAATCTGTATTACTTTCTCGAGATTTAAAAAGGCCCAACAATCTGAATTATCTTTCCACTTTCTACACCAAATTCGAAGTTCGCGTGTCAGTATCCCCACTGACACGCGAACCAATTCAATACAATATAGAAATTGCAATATACTCACCCAATTTTCCCCGCTTACTCATACTATCCTGCATAACAGGCATTTTACTAGGCACATTGCAGTCATTTTCAGGTTTCACAGAGTCTGTAGTTGCTTGCCCAACCAAAGGAAATAATTCTTGAACATTCGAATCTGTTGGAGTAGGTGGTACATGACTAGCTGCTTGAGGCATGATTGGTTTACTATCTTCCACACCCCAATTCCACGATTCGTCATTTGCAAAAGCATCGTCTAAAATTCGAGAAAAGTTCTAAATTTAGTTTTTACGGATATACAGAGTTTAATGTCACATATCTCAAACACTATTAAACCAATTATGTTGAAATTTTGTACGATAAAAAAGTTACCTAGGATTAACGTAAACCAAGAACCGGGCTTGACTTTTTTCACGTTTTTGCTTTTTTTCAAAATCAACACCTTTTAAGCTGAGCATTAAAATGTCTGACTACGTATAGAAAAACCAACAAATGGTGTTAATCAATTGGCAAAATAGATTGATTGCGCTGCCTATTTTGGTTTAATCAACATTTTGCGAAATAATACTTAAAATTGAACCAAAGATCTTTTGTCACTCAAAATTTCAGGGTTGGATTCGTTTTTTTTTTCGCTTGTATGCTAGTGTACACGTGCAACTTTTATTTTCAGATATGAAAAGGCAATGTCCGTACTACCTTCCAGTATCCATTAAGTTGCAAAACCATAGCATCTGCTAGGCGTCGCCTCCCCACAACTAGTACTACAACTCCCACTACTAGAACTACTACTATCACTACTACTACTAGAAACTTTGGCAATGTTAAAATTTTTTCGTATTGTTTTTCGGGGTCGAAAATGGCATATTTTGCAATTTTTGTAGGGGAAGGTTTGAATTTAGACAGCCGGGAACCTCAAAAATAACTTTTTTTATATATATTCCACCCATGAGGTACCGTGGGGCTATAGGGGGATACAGGGGAAAGGGGGGACGCCACACGGACTCTGGCGAGGGAACACGTGTCCATGAAACATGCACACATTCTGGCCCCGCCTACGAGATCCGCCGGGTGGTACCTCTGCGTACGACAGTCAGAGACCGTCTACCACCTACGGACAATCACGACATCCATAGCCAAAACAGAAAAAGACAGGATTCGAATCCGCACAGCGCAAGGGGGCTGATCAGGAGACCGAAGAGTCTAGTACTGCGGCCTCCGCTTCTGCCTTTAACCCAGATTTTAAGCACTGAAAATGCTCATTTATAGGATTTTTCAAACATTAAATCGCTTATATCTAGAAAAATATGAACAGAGGGGTTCATAAACATTTTTTATTTGGTCGGAATGACAAAAAACTGCCCGAAAGAAAAAAATATTTTGAATTCATTGAAAAAACATTCTAACCAACTTTTGGTGAAATTTGGGCCTGGAAACATGCAGATGCACTAAAAAGGGACTATTTTTGAGTAAGAATACTTTTCCGAACGGATGCGAAGACTATATGAAGTTTACTTCCGATTCAGACAGTTTATCTTCAAGATTTTCAACTGTTCAATCGTAAGTTCACTGCATCTTGTCTGCTAACCAGAAGTTAACTTTCAAAACAGTTTTTCAATATCAAGTTTGTCCTAAAGTGGTAGTCAACTTCAACCAGAGGACCATGTATGGGATAAGTGTAAAGTTGTGGTCAAGCTGCAATGTCTAACCTAATGTGTTTGACAGTGGCATACGTTGTCATGGACGACACAAGACGCACATACAGAACCTCACATGCATTAACGCTTTATTGAATGTTAATTACAACTTCAAAAACAAATTCACAGACAACTGATAGTTAATTTCCAAGTCATAGTTACCTGACTTGAAAGTTAACCACAGATTTTAAAATTGGGCTTTAATAATTGAAGAACTACTACAGAAAAACTTTGGATCAATATTTAGATGTACTTGTCACTTTCATTCGAAAGACCAATGTTAAATTTATGGTCCGCGAAAATTTAATTCCGTTAATAGATGGTGACTAAAAACAATGGCAATTAAAACATCAAATACTAAGAATCATTTGATCTTGTAAATGAAAAAAAGTTTGGTGTTTAGAAGCTGGAACAAGTGAGAAGAAAAGAATCGAGTTAGTCCACACATCTGGTTTACCATCTTACAATAGTTTCTACGAAATGACTAAAAAATAATCGCTAAGGTTCTAGGGCAGAAAGTATGTCCAGTTATAACACGAAAATTTGATATAAACATTGCTTCCGTACCGAGATAAAGGGTAATCATGGAAAGGTGGATAATGATCAATTAAAAGTTTTGTATATGCTCTACTAACAGCATAAGCAATACAAACAATTTTTTGCGGCTCTAAATATACTAATGGCGTAGAAACAGATCAGTTGATCCATATACACTTTTTTAGGAAAATGTTTTCACATCATTCGTTTTGGGGAAAAATTGGTTTGAATATCTGAGATAGACCACCTTCATCAAAAAGTTCCCGGAATGTATTAAAAAAATAAACAATACAAGTTTATTGTTCAAAATCGATACTGTCACCTTCAAAGTAGTCCCCATTGACTGCAATGCACTCATGTCGACGCTTGATCCAGTCTTCGAAACATTTTTTAAGCTCAATGTTAAGTATGTCTATTAGGGCCAACTTGGATTTTTTCATTATCGCCTCTCGGCTGCTGAACCGGGCTCCTCTCAGTGGCTTTTTGTTTCGATTGAACAAGAAGAAGTCACAGGGGGTTGTTGTTGAATCGTATTCGTGTTGTTTTTGGCCAAAAGCTCACGGATAATTATGGCATTGTGCGGGGGTGCGGTCTCGACTCCTCCGGCGCGCGCCATTTCTCGTCTGATGTCTTGATTACGTGTCGTACTCATAAACCCACGTCTCCTCTCCAGTAATGATGTTTGGCCAGAATCAGCCATGGAAATCATGTCTTTGGCGACATCAACACGGTCATTTTTTTCAAGAAATTTAACTCTTTTGGCACCAACTCGTCTGCAACACGACGGAGACCCAAATCGTTGACCAAAGTTCTTTGGATGGATCCATTAGCAATACTCAAGTCCGCTGCCATCTCTCTGATAGTTAATTTGCGGTTGGTGGTCAACATATCCTTCACTTTTTCAACGTTTTCTTCTGTTTTCGATATCTATGGCCTGCCGCTGCGCTCATAATCGGCGATGCACTGACGACCTTCTATGACACGTCGAAAACGGCTGTTTTCTTCAAAGCATCGTTGCCGAAGCATTTTCCTAGCATTTCCAAGGTTTGCGTACCGTTTATATTATTTTTAACACAAAATTTGATGCAAACGCGTTGTTGTTAATTCAGATCCATTGTAAAAATTCTAATAAATCGTTAACACGCTCAAAGGTACATGTACTCAATTCGACGTAGCTTTGACAACTGATAAGTGAAATGACGCTAAAATTTGGAGGGACTATCAATGAAAGTTGGGCACTATAACAAGACAAACAGAATTGACAGCCGAGTGCTACGAGCGCCACACGGCGACCATTCCGGGAACTTTTTGATCAAGGTAGTATGTATAAAAACTTGGATCCATTCTACTTTGAAGATACACTGAAAATAGTGTGACGTCTGTTACACAAAATTGTATGTAGTAGGTGGTGCATAATCCCATTTCAATGCAGGGATATTTAAACTATACTCATATTTTGTTGAGTGGCATACAAATTTTCAACACTCTGTATCTTCGTAACTTCGTGACTTTTTAGAACCTATGATCATATTGTCAGAGTATTTACTGTGCTCCGTCAGTTTTTACGATGAAATACGATACTTATCGACCGTCTAGCTTGGACGTCAGAAATCATCGATTTATAAGGGTGTGTATAAAACCACTGACACTGGAATCATCAGTAAATACTGATGGTATGAACCATAGTAAATACTAATCGTGTGATATTTGCATTAGAACTGTTTGTTATTTTTTATGTACTTTCTGCTCTAGGAACATCGTTATGGTTTTTTGAATTACTCTGTACATGATGAACATTTGATGATACATTGGATCCCGAATTTATAAGCCACTAAATACTATATGTTCACCTATAGCACCTGTTGAAGTACTTTCTTTCACACTATTCTGTTGCTGCTGTTGCTGCACATTCGAATTATCCTCGTCACCCCACTCCCAGGCCCCCCAAGCATCTTTTTCTGTCTTATCTTGTTGCTGCACCTCCCCAAACACGTTATTTTGGTCATACGTCTGACTGTACTGCATATTACCATACGTGGGCTGCTGACTGTTGTAGTTTGGAGTATTTTGATAGTATCTACAATACATAAAAAATGAATTAAACCTAAGAAATTGAAGAAAACCCACAAACAAAACAACAACATAATTTTGATGACCGAGCTGACAATAATTAGTTAGATTGTCTTATCTTGCAAGGTTTACATTTGGAAAATAAAATTCTAACTGACCAATAAGCAACAATAGAAAGCAGAAGGTTTGATAAAAAAGACTTTACTACAAAGATACACCCAACTCTCTTGATCTCCTATATTACAAAATAGGGTGCTATTAAGTAACTCCTGACTACATGTTTGTGTGTGTGTGTGTGTGTAGGTGTGTGTGTGTGTGTGTCTTTTTGAGGCAACGTAGCTCCAAAACGGATGATATGGTTTTGATTTTTCCCATTTACGTAAGTATAGTAGTCGCGAAAAACTTTGAAAATGAGATATATGTTTTGAATGTTACATGACATACATCATGCTCTGTCCGCTAATCCTTCGCCCATCTATAACTTGGAAAGTACCGCTCAGGTTTTGATGGAACTTTGAAACAAAGTTACTAAGATGACAAGGACGAAAAAGCTGTGTAGTTTTTGAAAATCGATCCAGTCGGGGTGGAGCTATGAGCAAAAATAGAAAGCAAAATAAACGATGCTCAAACTTCGTTTTTTGACGTTTTAAAGGCTCAAGATCATTTTCAGAAATATTTTTGAAGGGACTAACATTTAGGTGCTGCGCGGTTGCAGGGGGCGATGGAGGATATATCTATTTTTTGAGTGAGTCATTTATATACTTCCAACCCCAGTAATTATCCGCACCAACATATTTCACACATCAACACATCATAGATTTCCATATACATTTACCCTTGACGCTCTTTTTATACTCCAGCTCCACGAAGGACAAGGCATAAAACACCCATGGGGTACCGTGGGACTATAAGAGCATACAGGGGACGCCACACGGACTCTAGCAAGGGAACATGTGTCCATGCAGCATGCACACATTCTGGCCCCGCCTACGAGATCCGCCGGGTGGTACCTCCGCGTACGACAGTCAGAGACCGTCTATCACCTATGGATCCATAGCCATTTCTCTTGGGACGGGATTCAAACCCGCGCAGCGCACTGATTAGGAAACCGAAGCGTCTACCACTGCGGCCACCGCTGCTGCCTAGTTCATGAACATCTAAATAATAAGTTGCCGAATGAATGGATAGAGCGCAATGGTCTGTTCGCTCCCCGGACTCAACCAACGCCTTGCGATTTTACTCCGTGGGGCTATAGAAAGAGTTGGTGTATCCTGATGGAGCAGTCAATACTCTGGAAGAACTTCAACAGCACACTGAAAATACTTGTGATTTAATTCGTGGCCACCAGGGTTTATTTTCGAAGCTTGTAGAGTCGTGGATCCGCCACAACTAGCATAGGTGAAATATACCTTTGTTATGCGAATCTGCCCGCTGGCTGGCTGGCGAGTTTCAGCCAGATGGTCGGTATTGTCGGTAGGGCAGTGGAGGGATTTCTACATCTCAGACATTGTCAAATGGGTGGGCACCATGGACTAATTGTACGGGGCCTACTTGATTGAGTTGAATTAGTCATTTTTTTGTTATTGACCTCCATCTTCTTTTTCTAAGAGGGGCTAACTTGTACCAAATATAAACCTTTGTGAACTAATGACAGCGTCTGCTTGTAATTTAACTTAATCAAGAGAGTCTTCTTAGCAATTATAACAGAAACTACGATCGGTAGATTTGAGGTGGGGGATTTTTTTTAATTTGTTATTTAGTTATTATAGTCCGCTGTAAGTAATTGCAAGTTAATTTTGAAACAGAAAACTGTTCATTCCTTAAATTTATGCAAAACTATTATGAGATGTCTGAAAATTCATTAGTCTCGTTTGAATTTTTATGACCTCTATATCACGAAAATCCATCTCGATCGTCTTTAGTCGGGCCGTAGCTGTTTTCTACCTGCGCACAGAGTAAATACTACAGTGACTTTGATGTGTGTTTGTTGATACATGGTAACATGGACCGCACACAATAAGAGACTATTTTGTTGGAGCTCTTACGTGAACGTAGTGATGAAATGTGTAAGAGTGTGTAAGAAATAAACTTAGGTGACTCAATTTTGGCCACCTGGTGCTAATTAGATGACAACACTAAACGGATCAACTATATCTGATCACTTAGTCGACTGGATAATAATTTATTTACCCTGCAGCGCCACTCTGTTGTTGCTGTTGATTCTGCTGGTAAGGTTGCTGCTGTTGACCATACTGTTGATTGTATGCGTGGTAATGCTGATAATAGTTCTGTGGCATCTGCTGTTCTTGATTGGGTACTTGTTGCTGGTACAGGTTATGCTGTGGCGGCTGTTGCTGTTGTTGACTCTGATTGTACCAATTATCATGGACTTGCTGATTATGCCACTGACTCTAAAAAATCAACACGAGATATCTTATAGTCCTTGTGTGAATAAAAAAAGATACATGAATCCAAATATACCATTCCGATTATGGAAAAAGTAAGAATACACACAACGTCCCACAGGTGTTTTTACCTTTGTCAAAAAAATAACGCAAAACTTTTAAAAAGTCGTCTGGGAGAAATATACCTTCCAGAAACGCTTGTTTAACAAACTAATGGATTTATCTTCTTTATAATAAAAGTCGATTTTACTGGTCTTATAGGGTATGTATGATATTAAACTGACAGGTCATTGGAAGCAGGTATGTATTTTGAAACAGAAGATTTTGCAACATATCGAGAAGTTGTTGACATAAAATGTTTAAAATGTATCAGCCGGATTTTTATAAAATGTATAATATCTTATAATGATATAATAACATAAAAATGCGAAACATCAATTATTGTCATAAATAATTATCAAACTTTTACTCAATTTTTCATCCATTGTTAGATGGTTGATAGATCATAACAAAAAATCGATCAGTCGTATGTTTTTAGTTAAAGCGAGCAAAGAAATCATTTTCGCTTCTGTTCTACAAGTGTTAAGTTTGATGGTAAAACGTAAGAAAAAGCAAAAGTCGCAATTCATTCATTTTTCAAACATTTATGTCCCTCGGTACGAGACTTCTTATAGTTCAACTGCAGTAATACCGGCTGCTGTGTTGGCAGAACATAACGGAAGTACTTGATATGGATTTTCTCATTGTAGTAATTATAAAACGTCCAAACTCATTATCTAATTGTCAAAAATTTATGAAACTACAGTAACTTTTTTTATACTCCAACTACCACGAAGGCCTAAGGCCTAAACACCCATTGGGCACCGTGGGGTTATAGGGGGATACAGGGGAAAGGGGGACGCCACATGGACTCTGAGACCGAAGAGTCTACTACTGCGGCCACCGCTGCTGCCTGTACTAAGTACTAATTTGTCTTCTGTTATTTACTGTTTATATTCTCGATTTCAGATAAGCACCTAGCGAACAATTAGTAACGTTTATTCTCCAATATGCAGTTTTATGTTATTGTATACAACGGATCAGAAAATACAGTTAAGATGGTTTTATAATCAGAAAACGTTTATTCAAAAATTAACAGAAAATGTAACTTTATATACTATGATGTTTTGTTTCTGGATATTATAAAACATAATTAAACAAAATAATGGTGCATATAAATCTGTAGTAAACAGCCTGTTAATTATTTATTTTTGAGAAACGAACAAAAGAAAATGATAATACAATATGATAAGATTTACTAACCATGCAACAACATATGAATCTTCAGTTTTAAATTCACTTTTATCATCGCCCTATGTTTTCATGACTTGACTGTTGTTGACTAAAAATAAAAATTCAACGAAGCAACCCCAATCATCTTGTAAAACTTATAAGACTCACGCACATACGCAAAGTTATTACTTTTGAAGTGGAATTACAGAAGTTTTTTCACATACTGTAATGTTGGCAAAAAGTCAAACATCAAAATTAACACCGTCAAAATTGTCACACTATTTAGGACAGATGTTAGTATTTTGGACAATTAGGAAAAAATTCAGATTCTCAAAAGGTTTCATTATGAGCTGCCCAGTAAGTAAGATCAATACTATTCATACATAAATTAAATGCTGGATAGGTTATAAATAACTGCAAATTACCTAACGCGTACGTATGAACTTGGCACTGGCTATTCAGTGGAATTTAGCCAGGCATGGAAGCCACAAAAGCTAAATATTTTCAAATTTTATTGAGATTGTTTGCAATAAGATTCTCTAAAAGTTGACATGAATGAATACTATCACACACTCCAACTCTTCCTTCAAAAGTATCATTACTTTCAACTTTTTACTTAAATAACGTTTCAGTGATTATTTCAAGAAAAAATGCAGTCCAAAAATCGTGTAGTCTTCGCTAAAATAGTATTTTCATCAGATTCACAATTATTACCATCCTTGCTTATGTTGAAAGAACAAAGTGATCATCTACTCCAATTCAGGATCAACTATCGATTGTCCACCATATGTTAACAGTTGCAAATTTGATCGGTTATATACCGGGATATAAGGCGATAAGTATGTCAAGACATTTGGTCCAAAGTTCATACGTGATATCATATCTTGAGAATGGTCTATCTGAACTGGTTGCTTTCACATGGTGGTTAATAAGTATGAGTACCCCCGAAGTAAGTAATTTCCGGTGTGCACGCTGCAATCCGAGTCTACCTTGGATGGTATCAAATTAGTAACTGCCGATTATATTTTGATAATTTTAAACATTCTATCTTTTTTAATCACGAGCCAATCATTCGATAGTTTTATTTAACCTATGGATTTCGAAGTTGTTTTTAAAAATGTTCACATTTTTGTCTCGTATATTTTCTCGTCCTGTCGCCATATTGCAAAAACGAAGAAGCACTCTAAAAGCTTTTTAGAATAATCTAAAATTATTTTGTATGATGAATCATTGCGGAGTATGGACGCCGTAAAGTTTTTTGGTAATATCTGAAAAGTTTAAGTGAAGTTATAAAAGCTGCTACATTGGCATGTGAATCGACGTGCTCCTCCCAAATTCCTTTGGTACATCATACCTCATATTTTTGCCGCTTCCACTCTCATATTGGAAAAATGGTGTCCATAAGTTTGTTTTGACTAGGTCTTGAGAATATCTGTTCCAAAATTTATATAAACACCATAAAAACGAAAATCCAAACAAATGAATACACAATTAAAATGAGACTTCAACTCTTGCTTTCAAGTGCGCAACCCTTCCAGTTTTTTCATGTTTTGTGTCTCCGTGTGTTTTCATTATACTCGTAGGTTTTAAATAGGAAATGCAGCGACCATCCGCAGCTATAAAAATTGTAACTTCACTATTCAAAAATGGATGAATTTTGGACAAAAGCTCAAAAATTGTGAACTTTGGGCTGTTAGAGAAGAATAAAGTACTAGAAAAAACAGATAAATGTTGATGACAGTTTAAAATGCTATTCTAGAATATTTAAATGCAAAAATTTCATAGAAACGATCAACTTGTAATTTATTATTATTTCTACAGATTGTGACCAAACGCAAATACCATCTTAAAACATGTTCAACTTTCTTCAGACCAAAGAGCAATGCCAGACTTTAGCTGCAAGCAGAACCTACAAGATCGTCATGGTGCGGCATGGCGAATCAGAATGGAACAAGCTCAATCTTTTTTGTGGTTGGTTCAACGCTGAGCTGAGCGACAGAGGTAGATCGGAGGCGGAACGAGCGGGAAAAGCTCTGAAGGACGCCGGATACTCATTCGACATGGCCTTCACTTCCGTTTTAAAAAGAGCCAATAACACACTGGAAGGAATTTTGCAGCAGTTGGGCCAGACGAGTACACCCATCAAAAAGTCGTGGAGGTTGAACGAGAGGCATTATGGAGGCCTAACAGGTATACGGGGTATTCCTTATTATGGTGCTCATATTTCAAGATATGAATCCACAAATTTTATCAAGAATAGTTTGTGTACTCAATGGCTTATATTTTTTCATTTGGGGTAAATTTTTTTATGAAATACGCCGTTTTTTATTCATATCTTTGTAAGCACTTTAGATATAGTGTTTTAGGTTTGGCATGCATCCCTGAAAACGTGTCTCGTAATACCATTTTTTAAAAAAGTACATTTTTAAAAAATCAAAAAGCCCGACTGTGGTAACTGAAAATAATATTTTTTTAATTGTGCTATCAAGATAAATCTTATGGCACCTCAAATATAAAAATCTACCAAGCCGTTTGAGCTGTAGCCCGTGAAAAAGAAGTTTCAAGGTTGAAGTTTGAAATCCGCCATTTTGATTTTATAGAATTTGGTATACCCAGTGTCACTTGCGCTGTGAAGATAAATCTCTAGACCGGTCCAGTGTCCAGTAAAATAGAAACTTCAAAGTTTAAATTTTCGATCAAAATCCACCATTTTGATTGCATCGCTAAGGCAGATTCAACAACACCTCATATGTCAAAATCACTCAAGCCGTTTGGATTAGCCCGTGAAATAGTATTTGTTTTTGTCCATAAAAGGGGACCAACCCACGCGAGTAAAACATAACCCTCATAAGGTAGTCGGGTAAAAATTGGTATGCCACTTTTGAACATCAATTTTACACAAAACACCCCTATCTTGATTTTTTCTCGTGAGATGCACCGATATAGCATAACCGTTAAAGCACACACTCAAGTATCTCCCTTTTCAAAATTCACACACAAAATAAAAAACAGACAAGAATTGTAAGATACTGTTCCTATAGCAAATATCAGGTTTAATTTACTCGGGACAGATTTCTTATATTCGGCATATTTTTCGAGACATACAGAAAAGACCGTCAATCGCTTTATGAGGAATGAGGACGGATTTTATCCCTAGTGCTATTAACTACTTCCATTAAAAAATGTCAGCCTATTGTTAATTTTTCTGACCTTAAACCTTAAATATAGACATTAATGCCCATATTCACCGTCGCTTGAGAAGTACGATTAATGACTAATCCAGATTATTGCCGCGTTTTCATATGCACCGATACATTTAACACCTGCTAATCGCGTTTAGGCGTAATCCCAGCGTATTGACAGTTTAATCCGAAAATTGACGGATTGAGGTTCTAACCTTTTTTCGAGTTGTTGATGTCTTTGCGAAAAAGTGCTGTTTTGCAAAAGTAATGCAGATCGAAGATGAGATTTTCCTTGACGATGATGACATCCTAGATATTATTCGCTTCGGATTTCCAAGACACTATTATGAACGTACAGATTTTTTTAACGAGATGGACGACCTATTGTTTTTCAGGCTACAAAAAACATTGTTCTCAGACTGGTAGAACAAATAAAGCATCAACTCGAGTTTAATAACAATTTGTAAGTATTTTTTGCCAAATATTAAATTACGATAATCAATTTCCTTGGCCAGAATTGAGTTTAGACAGGAACATCTTTAAACACCTTTTCCTCTGGCTGTGGATCTGAATCACATTGGGTATTTCCGAAATTTCAGTCACTATAAAATTTTCGTTTTTCCAGGAATAATAGTGTGTCGAGCATTAATCAGCTCCTTACATGCCTACGATTTTATGCCTGCAATGCACATTAAAATTGTATTGGAGACTTTATTAGCATGCATGATACAACAGCATCCAGTATAATTGCGAAGATTTCAATAGCAATAGCATCAATATATCAGAGTTCCCAATGAAGCTGATGAAATAATAAGAGTCCAGAATGACTTCTATAGGATCTGTAGATTTCCACGAGTCATTGGATGCATTGACGGGACGCACATAAGGATTCAATCACCAGGAGCTCAAAATGGAGAAGTTTTTCGTAATAGAAAGTGATATTTATCTATAAATACTCAAATAGTTGCTGGGCCAGTTTTGGAAATATTTAATATTGTTGCTCGATGGTCAGGATCTACCCATTATTTAACTATTTTAATGCATACCACGTAAGAACACGCATTGAAGGGAGACAATTTCAGAATGCTGTGCTTTTGCGAGACAGTGGTTACCAGCTGAAAGTCTACCTAATGACACCTCTTCAAAATCCAGGCAATGTTGTCGAAAGTCTTTTTAATGAAGCTCATGTGCAATGTACAAGAAACATTAATTGATGTTTGGAAACGTAGCGTCGGTTCCCAGTATTAGCCTATGGTAGTCGGTGTTAATTAGATAACGCTTTAACTACAATTCTTGCCACTGCTGTGCTAGCAAAATATGGCCGTGAATATACTAGAGGATTTGCCTCGCTATCCAAAAGAACTCAATGGCCAAGAGCTGGATTATCTAATTTTACAAGGAGACATTCCTCATGTATTGGGTGGGCCATTTAAAAGTTTCGATTTAAAAATAAAATAAAACAAAAACGGTTTGAGATATTGCCAAATTTATTTTTTTGTTTTGAAGTACAATTGTTCCGCTCAGAAATGAAATATTACTTCATTCAAATGGCTGCCGCGGCTGGCCTCACAGTAGCCCATTCGATCGGACCAATTTTCGAGCACTTTTTCGAGTGTTTGGGGCCGTATCTCGTCAATGGCATCACGAATGTTGGCCTTCAAATGGTCAATTGTCTCTGGATGGTCGACATAACACTTGTCTTTAACAGCGCCCCACAGGAAATAGTCCAATGGTGTCAAATCGCAGCTTCTTGGCGGCCAATTGACATCACCATTTCGACTGATTAAACGGCCATCGAAGGTTTCGCGCAATAAGTTGATTGTGGCATGCGATGTGTGACAAGTTGCACCATCCTGCTGAAACCAAACATTCTCCACATCAATACCATCAAGAGCAGGAACAAAAAAATCAGTTATCATGGTGCGATAGGTGTTTCCATTGACAGAAACGGTTGCGCCGTCCCCGTCTTCAAAGAAATATGGGCCAATGATGCCTCCGCTCCACAATCCACACCAAACAGTCACTCGCAAGGGATGCATTGGCTTCTCTAAGACCTCGTGTGGGTTTTCCGAGCCCCAGATACGGCAATTTTGCTTATTGACGTAGCCACCAATATGAAAATGAGCTTCGTCTGAAAAGATTATTTTTTTCGCAAAATCGACATCATTGATTAGTTGCTCGTTGGCCCATGTAGCGAAGGCAGAACGAAGTGGATGGTCACGCGGCTTCAACTCTTGAACCAATTGAACTTTGTAAGGCGTCATACCGAGATCTTTCCGCAAAATTCGTCGTAAACTGGTGCGGGAAATGTTCAATTCTTGGGAACGATGACGTGTTGACGTTGATGGATTTTCACGCACACTCGCAGCCACAACATCGATACCTTCGGGTGTACGCACTGTACGAGCACGCTGACGTGTTGGAGCATCAACAATGAAACCAGTTTCACGCACTTTATTAATAAACTTGCGTATACCGGGCGCTGTTGGTGCTTCGTTGCGACCGAATTTTGAACGGCATTTTCGTGCAATTTCTGCCCAATTGTCTTTGTTTTGGAAATAAATTTCCAATATTACCCAACGTTGCTCAAGCGTAAATCGATTCATTTCGTTCAGCGGAGATAATATACTGAATTTTATGACAAATCAGATTGACATAAGTATTGTCAGCGTCAAATTAACACGTGGTTCAAATCGAAACCGATAGATGGCCCACCCTATACATGCAGCGAATGTTGGTCAAGACCCATTTAATTTTCGCCAAAATCTGATAGATAACTATTTTGGTTATTTATAAAACACACACAATTTGTGGAAAAACTACATACTTTTTGTAATATTGTATTAATAAAAAATGTTTGCTATAGTATTGCATTGAAAAAAAGTAACATATAGTATCTTGACACAAAGTCAGTATTTTCTCTAAGAGTAGATTGTAACGTATTTAGAGGCAATATCAGATGTTAAAGCAGTCACAACTTGCTTCGGTCTTCTTTCAGACCTCTGTGGAGTCTGGGGAAAGTCATTTGGAGAGCGACTTTAGGCCCCCACTTCATAACAGGCATCGCTCCACCTCCAGTTGAAAATCTTTGGTTTTTCTCCTCACCTACATATTTTTCTTCTTATATTCATACAACATTATCAATAACTCGGCTTTTCTGAATGCAGTAGAGGGAGAAGAAGAGTTAAATTCTTTTTGAATTTGGTTCCAAGCATTGCTTTAGAGGCTGTCGGCCTTCCTGTCCTCTAATATTTTCGCAAAGCCGCGCACTTTTACATTAAATAAATGCATCTTTTCATTAGCAGTAAAATTCGGTACTCATTTCTTCTGATTCCTGTTCATTTTGATAGCCGTCATGAACATACAGAAACTGTCAAATTTCAAATTTTTTTGACAGAATCTACAAATTTGAAATATTGTTCAACGATTAGAAAGTGGTCCGTGCATCATATTCGAATCTGCCGTTCCTGATCCGGATTTCCCAATATGGATTAAAGTGTCAAACGATGCATATGGGCATAAGAGATTAGGCAACTTCAATTCATAGATCATATTACAAAAATGAATACACAACCATCGTTTTTTTTTTAATTCAAAAAGATTCTGTCCGTATGTTACAAAATTACCATTAATTAATAAATAATAGATGCACAGACACACACTGTGTGATGAGATTTAGATTTCTGTTCATTTTGTCATCACCTTTTTACTTCTCACGCCATTGGCGAGAGAGTGTTGTAATCGCAAACAAGTCGAAAATATTTTTCTTAATATTATATGACATCTACATCACGAAAAACCATGCCACGCATTGAAGGTTAAAAATTGTGGATGGGAGGTTGTATGGGATGGAGCAGAGTACATTTCAGTTTTTTGGTATTTTTTTATACTCCAACTACCACGAAGGCCTAAGGCCTAAACCACCCTTTGGGTACCGTGGGTGATTTGGCACCTATTACATATATTTCACACGTCATAAATTTCCCGGTACATTTGTCCTTAAAGAATAAATGATAGAGAAATATTTTCAAGACATACGTCTCTGGGTATACAACTGTCCCGGTCGCAATGATGAGTGTCTGAGTCGTTGTTTCGTAGTCGGTAGTGGCGGCCATGGGGCCGTGGTGAGCGCAAAGGGCGAGGTTAGTCATAGCAACGTTGCCAGATGATAGCGTATTTTATCTCTTATAGTAGTTAACGTTTTCCTTAGAGGAGCTAACATGTGCCGAAAAAATCCTTTATGGAGTCATCACTGCTTATGGCCATTTTTTGAAATACTTATTTCGCGAAAGCACATTATAGGTATGTATGATTTCATTTTAGGACTGAATAAAGCAGACACGGTAGCGAAATACGGAGAGGAACAAGTGGCAATATGGCGACGCAGCTTTGACGTACCCCCACCACCCATCACACCAGATAACCAGTACTATAACGTAATTCTGAATGACCCTATATATAATGAGGGCCCCCATAAAGATCAGTTCCCGATGTTCGAGTCCTTAAAACTCACAATTGAACGCACATTGCCTTTCTGGTATGACTATATTGTGCCAGAGATAAAGGCGGGGAAAAAAATTATTATTGCAGCACATGGAAATAGCCTTAGAGGTAGGTAGATGAGTAAGTAGAATATTGTCTTACCCTCTACAGTCTACAAAACCAAATCGCAGATGTAGGACGAGGATTTATTAACCTTGAGGCCATATATTGTCATTATCATTTTTGTTGTAATTTGTAAAAGATCACCGCAGTAGCCGAAACTAAGCAGGATAGTCAAATTTCAACATAGTTGCCAATAATTATTGGGCTCACTCAGGAAGCAACAGTGTTATATCCCTTTATATCAGTGGTCAGTGGCTATTTGAATTAGAAGAACTATGCAATGTAGTTCATCGCTTTCATCACAGCTAGTTTGAGAATATTCAGAAACATTGTTAACATCTCTTGTAAAGGACAGCCAAGTAATTTGCGAAAAGATTGCTGAGGTAGCTCCAACCTATGTAGACATTTTTTTCAACATAGATGGTTTTATTTAGTTTAATTTTCATTGTACTTTGAAATTATAAATTCCTTTCAAAATACCCTTTGTTTTAAAATTTTGTGACACCTAGCATATGGGATATCTCATTGATCTGTATGTACATTTTGCAGATGGAATGGTTTCCTCTCAGTAGCAAAACATTCACTGGTGACTTGTAGATATCAAGTTACCACCATTATACTTCAATCATAAGTAAATACTTTCCAACAGTTTGGTAACAGTTGTGATCCATTGAATGCACTAATTTAAGGAGAAACGTATTTATTCAAAATGAAGCATCAGATGTGCAGATTTAATTTTCTTCAAATTACATCATGTAGATGCATGTACTCATGGATTCTGTTTGTTACAGAGAGGCATAGCAGGTTCAATTGTGCTTGCATCGCGACGTGAATCTTTTTATATCAATAATACTCTTCGGAGTAAATTTTGCTCTCGAGGTTCTCCAAGGGAAAACACCCATTGGGGTTAATTCTGGTAATTGTAGTACCCATGCATCTTCCTAAAAGCTCATCCGCGAATTGTATACAGAATGTTGTCTAAGCTGGAGAACATAATAATTTGCTGAAAATCACTTATCATTTCACGTCTCGCATTTTTAAAGAAAATGGCCATACCATTTATTTTGGTGATATTGTGTGGCCACCACAATCATCAGATTTAACTACCACTGACTCGTCCTGTGGGGTACCCCATGAGTGAAGTTCACATTAACACTCCAAGAAATATCAATGTTTAAAAGAAATTATTCATTGTGAAGTAAGAGGAATCGAAGCTGTTATGCTTCAGCAAGTAGGAAAAGGTGATGGACATGTTCTATGAGTGTACAATGCAATTGAGGACATCAAGATGATGTTATCAATAAAAAATAAAATATGTGCAACTGGAGCATCATTTTAAATAAGAACATGTTTCCTAAAATGCAGTATTTTCAAGACAATTTGGTAATACTACATCTTCTCTAGGCTATCCTATAGAAGATGTATAGTAGCAATCAATCTGTAATAGCAAGTTTTCCAGAAATAAAGTACTTGATATAAAGCTGCAATATACACATTAGATGGCAGTAAACCTCCAAAACATTTTCATTGCTGATGTTTTGTGGTTCAGTTGTGTGTTCAGTGCTGGATAAACTTGTATATTTTAATATAAATCCTGTCCAAAATTGTTCAGTAAGTTTATGTAATAGAAATGTATATACAAGCCCCTTCCCTTGCCCACTTCAAGATTTGTACCAAAATATGCCTTTATAAACTAAACATGATGAAACTATTTACTTCTAAAACAATTTATTTTCTCAAAAACATTTTAGATACACTCTAGTCGTAAAAAATACATATTTGAAATCACTTAGACCTATAACTAATAGAACATCTGAACAAATAAACAATATGTGAATAAATGCGCGAAGTTCATAAAGCAACAATTGAAAGATTACCATTGGGTAACATCACCTTTATTTTTTATTATGGATGAACTTCTTTGGGGCATAGTGTTAACCAAGTTTTGTCAAAAATTTGGTGTAAAACAATCCCATATTTCTTGTAGCTTTTGTCTCAGTTTGGTGATTGTACAAGCAGGATGTTGTCATAGAACCTTTTTCATCTCGTGCCACAAAGTTTCAAAAGTGGTACATTATTTTCTTCCATCCATTTTATAGCCTTTTTTGACGTATGGCACTCTGCACCATCTTGCTGAAACACAAAATCTTGGCCAGATGTCAAACATTCTTCCATCACTGGTAAAAGCAATTCTTCTAAAATTGCCAAATATTTGTTTGTATCCACATTACCATCAATAAAATGAAGTTTTCCTACTCCTTTTGATGACATACTGCCCCAGACCATAATTGATGCTGGAAATTTCACTTTTCTCTAGAGACAGTCAACATGGGATGCTTCATTTTTTTGTGAATAACTCTACTGCGACTGTCATCAATACAAACTTTGAATCGGGTCTCATCACTCCATTGTATTGCACGCCATTGTGGAGGTGTCCATTGTCTATGTTCTTTAGCTCATCTAAGCCGATTTTTCTTTTGCAGTAGAGTTAATAGTGGCTTTTCTTTGGCCTATAAACAAGTTGTGCAACTTTAGGGTTCTTACTTCACGTTTTTTTATAAGAAATCTTACCTTGCAAGTGCTAAATCCCAGTTTGTGGGCCTCTCTATGAGTTGTGGACCTCGAAATTCTCCTTCCAACAGTGTCACTCCACAAAGCACTTAATTGTAAATAATTGGCACGCCTGTTTTTCACGATTATCCTTCTTAATGCTCTTCGGTCGGCATTTGTGATATTACTTTTTTTCACATATTGTGGCTTAATATTAACTGAACCAGTTACGTTATATCTTCTAACCATATTTCTCACACTGTACCGCGATTATGCTAACAAAGTTGCAATTTCTGAGTTTGATTTCCCAGAATTAAAAAATATTTTAAACCTATAATACCCCGCTACATTTTTTTATTTGTGTTTGATAAGAAGAAACCTAAGATTTCAATAGTTGGGTGGGAAGGGGCTCGTATTCAGAAAATAAGTGCTTTATAGTAACAGGATCACTTGGATACTGGCATTTGACAGTTCAATACACCTTCACACCCCTGACATTCCCTTGTTCTTTCGAATGGTCAACAATTTTAGAATGTCATATATCAACTACCCGGGACATCAGTTGATTAATTTTCCAAATCAAATGAACATTTTTTGCTTATTTATTTCACTTTCAGGTATAGTGAAGCATTTGGATCAAATGTCAAATGAGCAAATAATGGGATTGAATCTACCAACTGGCATTCCTTTCTACTATGAGCTAGACTCGAATCTAAAGCCAGTACCAAATGGTAGTCTCCAATTTTTGGGAGATCCTGAGACTGTCAGAAAAGCAATGGAAGAAGTGGCTAACCAAGGAAAAGCGAAAAAATGAAACAATATTTTGTCAATATTAATTCAGTTGCTACTAAAAATTACACAATCCATCGTTAGCATATTTTATTTTACGAACTCATATGCAATTCGTGTTTTTAATTAACTAAAAACGACTTTTTTATCTACGAATATGCTGATAGCTGACCCCTTATCTCCATATTGGCATTTGGATAAAGGTATGCTTACCTCATGTTGATTGGGGTTGTACATTTGCACAGGGGGTGTTACTGCCGGGCTGGGCGTCCCGGCATGTTTCTTCTTCATCCAAGACATGCCTCACCCTTGGAAAAAAATCGGTGGTTGAGATGCCAACGTTTTGACGTTTAACCTAACCTAACTTAATCAAACGAATTTCTGATTGATGGTATTTTTGCGTGATTATAGTAAGAACATATTCACGTGATAACATTTAAATGAATGTGATAACTTTCGCCAAGTCAGAAAATCGATAATATAATAGATTTCTAGTTAAATAGGCAAGTGGGATGATATCAAGCAATATGTCAATTTGAAAGATGAAGACATACTTAAAAACCACTACGCGAGTTGAGGATATAGTTTATTAAAATACGACAGTACAATAGGGTTGAACTAATATTTACCTTCAACAACAATTTGATAGAACATATGTTGTGAATTTCAAGACTCAACATTGATCTTGGTGGTGACTTTCATTTTGTTCCTTTTCTCTGGAATTAGCTGGCTTACAAGCTAGTGTGTCCGGTTAACAAGTTTATATAACTATATTTCAATATTTAGAACAAACAGTAATCCAAACAATTCGATATTTCACAAAAAAACATTATAGATGATTTTAATTTCCACTATCTACACAAACTTACTTTCTTTTTCTGAACATATGAGTTTCGGCACACGTAGATGCAGTCTATCTCTTTCTTACACGAGTCATGCGGCTGTGTTAGACGAAAAAGGAAGGACGAACTGACAGGTGACAAAGGTGACAGTTCCGCATCTCTTTCTATCACCACTGATGTCTCATATCTATCCTTTTAACAAAGGCTACGTGGCAGCTCTGGGCAGTATATACAGAGGCGTATCATTTATTTTTGATCACTTTCGTAAAGGGTTCCTATTCTAAATTCCATATAAAAATTAAAGTAGCAGATGTGAAAGCTAATAACAGCTTTGATTTTTGGATACGTCACATTCTACACTCTGTATTTTAAAGCGGCATACAAACGGGCGTACAGCCCAGTACGAGGGATGTCTTTTAAGTTGCGTTTCCATGCTTGCCAAGGCTTGACAAGCGTCCACAAACACAAGCGTGTAAAGAGGGTGTTTGGCTTGGCTTGCGTGAGCTTGTGGATGCTTGTATCCGATCCGGTCTAGTGTCGGTTTTTGGACACAGATCAAAGGGCGCTTGCGGCAAGCGCTTGCGACGCGTTCACACGTTGGCGCACGCTTGGTAGCCGTTGTGATCTCGCGACGAACGCACGTCTAGTTCTGACTTCAAAATGAGTGGCTGGTCGAACGAAGAGAGTTTATCGTTTTTGGAATATTACCAAACCGAAACGTGTATCTGGAACCCCAAAGATGTTAACCACAAAGATAAAAAGAAAGTTGCAGATGCTTGGAGTCGTCTTGCCCAGTTAATGGGGAAGCCAGTAAAGGAATTAAAATCCAAAAAAGAAATATTGACGACAACTTTCCGAAAGCATTTAAAAAAAACAGGATTCTACTCGTTCTGGCGCAGGTATGTACAGTGTTTATTATTTTAATTAAGTAAGCAAGGTGTATCTTTGCGCTTATTACTTGTATTATTAAAAGTAGTTTTAAAATTATCTTTTGCTTTAGGTGGTGAAGACATATATAAACCAACTTGGTTTGCTTACGAAATGATGGAGTCTTTTTTACTACCAGTATATACTTGCATTGATGGAATAAATACCGAAACTGTAAGTAAGAAGCAACGTTTATTTTAAATCAATGAAACCACATTTATTTATAATTTTATTTTTAATTTTCATGAACTTAGAAATTTCTACTAAAATACGAAGTAAATTCGTCTCTGATTTGTCTGGCATTCAGCGGAGATCTTCGTGGTACATAAGGCAAATTTTGCAATGCATTATATCCATTGATTTCATTTCGCCACGAACCAGGGGTCACCATATTTCCACTACTATCATATACGTCAAACGATCCCTGAGGAGTATATCGATTTGAGGAACTTTTACTTGTTCTCAAATAGTTATGTAGCAATACACAAGTCATCGTAAGTTTCGACACAGTTTGTGGATCTAAGTCCATAGGGCGTCTAAAAATTCTGAACACTGAAATTAAAATTCCAAACGTATTTTCTACTACAACTCGGGAGCGGGATTAGTTTTGGTTAAATAATCTTTTTGGTGAACCGACGTCATGGTTTCCAGGGTAGGGCTTCATTACATGTTTACTCAATGCAAAATCACCGTCAGCTAAAAATATGTAAGACACATTTATATTCGATCCTGGAAGTGGACATGACGAGGGAAAATTTATTTCGTTATTAGAGATTTTTTGCCATAATAACGAATTGTTAAAAACTCCACCATCACTTATTCTTCCTTGACTCCCTATGTCTGCGAATATAAATTTATGTTGGCTATCCACTAATGCCAAAAGGACAATGCTAAAAGTTTTCTTGTAATTGAAATACTCTGTTCCACTATGAGATGGGCTGTGTATGACTATATGCTTGCCATCCAATGAACCTATGGAATGTAGAAATTTGGTCCTGAATCCTTTTTCTATTTTAAGCCATTCTTCTGCTGTGGTGGGCATCTGTAAAGAAAAGAAAAGAAATTAACTGTAAGTAACAATATGTTTTAATAATTGTTATTTTTTGCAGCAATCACAACAAAATGTACATGAAGAAACGGAAGAGACAGAGGATGACCATACCGATACGGTCACTACACCATCCCGACCATCGACATCTACTAATAAACGTCGTCGCCCTGTTACTGAAATGGCCACAGCATTCGAGAAACTTACAAATGATATAAGACAAAGGCGAAGTGAATGTAGACCAGCTCACGAAGACGATGATTGCAATTTATACGCAAAGCTATCAGCTATAAAGCTACGCGAACTGCCAAATGATGAACGAAAACTTATTATGTACCAAATAGACGGGTTGTTTATAAGCAGAATCAACCAAAGGTCATACGCACGTCATACACCATCCCCTCAATATTATTCTAGACCTTCATCAATGGCCACCACATATGCACAACATACGCCATCTACTCAATTCCAAGACATTCCGAGTCGGCCAACATCAGTTAATACCGTTTATTCTGAACCTATCCCAAACACTCAAAGATTTTTTCCATTCACGCAAACCTCTTATTCAGAGCCCTTCTCAAACATAATAATTGAACATCGATCACGTCCAACTGCTCCATCTCCTTCAGAAGGGACCACGGTTGGCCGCGTGGGTCAGAGTGTCGTGCTACTGATCAGCCGGCCGGCCGGGCCGCGAGTTCGAATCTCGCCTTCGCCATGGATGTTGTGTGTTTGTTTTAGGCAGCAGCGGTGGCCGCAGTAGTAGACTCTTCGGTCTCCTGAACAGTCGCCGTGCGCTGTGCGGGTTCGAGTCCCGTCCCAGGAGAAATTTTCCTCTTGGCTATGGATGTTGTGATTGTCCGTAAGTGGTATATGGTCTCTGACTGTCGAACGCGGAGGTACCACCCGGCGGTTCTCGTAGGCGGAGCCAGAATGTGTGCATGTTGCATGCACAGCACACGTGTTCCCTCGCCAGAGTCCGTGTGGCGTCCCCCCTTTTCCCATGTATCCCCCTATAGCCCCACGGTACCCAATGGGTGCTTAGGCCTTAGGCCTTCGTGGTAGTTGGAGTATAAAAAAAAAAAGCACCCTCGCAACTTATTAATATCATATCGGATCAAATCATCCAGCCTGCGCCGCCGGAACGCAACATTATAAACGAGGCTTTACTGAAAACTTTCGAAGATTTTCAGTCATCGGGATAGTTCTTATTTGAAGCTACTTAATAATTAAATGATAAGTAAATACTAGTCAACTAATTACATGCAACAGATTTCTTATTAAAATCTGAATAAATAAATAATAACAGTTGTTTTATTTTACCACTTACGTTAACTTGATCCTTTAAAACTTCATTAAGAGCTTGGCAAACTTCACGAATGATTTTTGATATCATAGGGACAGATACTTTAAACAAGTAGTGTAGGCTTTTGTAAGAATCACCAGATGCTAAAAATCGTAGCGTTATGGCAAGACGAAATTTAGCTGGTATAGCTTTTCTGAAGTCGGTATCATGCTTGGAAATCATTGGTAAAATTTTCTGCAGCAAAAACTCAAAATCAGCATAACTCATTCGGCAGAAATTATCGAACTCTCCAGATGGTTCATATAGAAGTTCATTAAATTTATCTTCTATAAATTGGCTGTAACAAATTAAAGCAATTATTATGTAAATTTATTTTTTATTTATATACTTTATTGTACTTTAATATACCTACCTACATAATAATTATATATTGTGGGATAACATAATAGACATAGGTAAAAAGGTTGCCTGGCAGAAATTGCTTTTAGCAATAAGGCCGCCCATTGTACTTTTCACTGTTAATTATATATCATGTACTTTGCAAATCCTAATAACTACAGTGTACAATAAAGTATAAAATAAATAAATAAACTGAAAAACTTATTAGTTACCTGGTACGATTTCTATGAATCTTTATCATCCACCATCTTCATGGTCGTCGGGCTTTCCTTGATTTTGTTTCAATTTGCTTATATTTGAAATAAAAGTAGGTTAAACCAAACGTAATAGCCGATACAAGTTCGGTGTCCGCCATGCTTGGATGTACGTAGCACACCGACGCATTCACAAGCGTGTAAACGACTTCCAAATGCCAAGCGAGGTTTGTGGACGCTTGTGCCTTGTGGTTGCTTGTCAAGCCTTGGCAAGCATGGAAACGCACCATTAAGTTTTGCATATAGAAACATAGTAGGCCGCGCGGATCGAACGTCAGTACTGAATCTTAACCTCACTCTTCAGTAAACTTAAATTCAAAGTTTCACAACAATACGTGCAGTGTTCTCACTACAGTAAATTTTTAAGTGTCACCAAGTCATTAGAAAAATGGAACTCAACCGAGAAAATTTTCGTGCCATAATTTATTACAAATTTCAGAGACAATTATCGCAACAAGAATGCCTTGCTGAGTTACTGTCGGTTTTCGGCAACGAAGCGCCCCATCAGTCGACAATTTCCCGTTGGTATGGAGAATTCAAACGTGGACGGGTGAGTCTTAGCGACGATCCCAGGGTGGGTGCGCCAAAAACGGCAGTCATCCAGGAAAACGTCGATGTTGTGCGGAAACTCATCATTGAAGATAGACATGTGTCATATGTCATATGGCGAGATTGAGGCGTCCTTGAAGATCTCAAAGACCTCAATTCAAAAAATTTTACATGAAGAATTAGGAGTAAAAAAATTAGTTTCTCGTTGTATACCCCAAAGTTGAAGAGCAGAAAGCAGCCAGGGTTGATTGGTGTTAAAAAACGCTTGACCGTTTCAATTCCGGAAACTCAAAAAAAGTGTACAGCATTGTTAGTGGTGATGAATCGTGGATTTACTGTTATGAACCAGAAAATAAACGACAGTCGGCTGTTTGAGTGTTCCAAGGTGAAGAAAAGCCAACAAAAGTCATCCGTTCTCGAAGTGCTTCGAAAAATATGGTCGCGACATTTGTGTCAAAAGCGGGTCATATTGCAACAATTCTTCTTAATGAAAATTAAAAACAGACTGCGTGGTCAAAGGTTCCAGTCACCAGAAGAAGCAGTTGACGCATTCAAAAATGCCGTTTTGGATCTGCCAGCAAACGAGTGGAATAAGTGCTTCGAAAATTTGTTCGAGCGCATACAGATGTGTATTAATCTTCGTGGAGAATACTTCGAAAAACAATAAATTCATTTAAAACTACCTACCGTATTGTTTTATTTCCATATGCAAAAGACATCCCTCGTATATGAACACTTTTCATTCTAATATGGATGAAAATTTGGGTTTAGGTTATTGTAATATTGTTTGGTAACTCATCGAAAAGTTCGCGATCCTGCGGTAGTAAAGGGCTGAAAAATCATTAAAAAACTGTTTTAATAGCAAAAGGTTTCAACGTCAATTTTATAGATTGATGTGTGGGCTGAGAAGTTATATGTGCGATATTTCATATCTATTTTCGTTTACGAAATAAGACCAATTTTCTTATATTTGTCATGATGCCATGCGTAAGTAAGTGCTATCTTCGAGCCATCTGATTGATAACATAGTTTTTGAGCCACTTACCAAGACCCATATTTAATGGAAATTACGCAGGCGGGATATATGTATAGAGAAAAAGCTGAATTTCGTGATTGTGTTGAAATTGCTCAAAAAATTCATCTTGTGGGAAATGTACCTACTTTACATTTAGGAAATTATTTTTATGGGGTGATATTCATGGGAAGCATTTTTCAGCCTCATCAAAACGAAAAACCCTTGTAGACTTTCATTTCGTTGCAGAACATACTAAAGCCCAAACATATCTAGGTATTTTTAAGAAGAGAAAATTTATTACCACTTTTTCAAACGAAACGTATAGGATTACCTCTAAGTAGCTTTATAGTTAATCGTGAATCGTCCTACACGTTCACAATAAGATGATCCGTGACATATCCTTGAAAATGCAAGAGGGGCCCTGTCGCCAGATAAGTTGTTCTGACCATATGTCCAGTTGAAGATACCATTATAAAACCAGAATATCGATAAATAGTAATAAAAGTGTGAATCACTTTGAATTTTAGTGGCATATTCACGTGAAGATACATATCTGCAATTTTTGCACCTCAGCGCAGGCCATGCGCAGACACTCTATATTCGATCCTCTCGTGCCTTCATTGTGTAGAGGAAGGTTGAGACTAGATTTCAATACACGCATTTAATAATGTTATAAGTGATCAATGTGAACTTTTCAGAAGAGCCATTTCAATGTTCTTAAGCCTTAAACCGAATTCTTCAACGTCTAAGTAATAGGGCGAGCAGTATATGTGCTAAAGGCTTTTCATATCAATTAGTACCGTATTTCACAAATTAGAGGAAAAAACAGAAATGGTAAAATACGGTACATATTCTTTCTTAAAACGTGTCCAACTTCTTCAAAAGCAGACACAATTACTGTCCAGTCAAGTTCTACTGAAGCGATATGGTAAAATTTTCGCTGGAGTCCCGCCGGAGTGTCTTCGTCCCATAGTAAAACCATTGCGTGATATTCTTCCAATTTTAATGAAGCAGAGCTTGATTTCCTTTTATCGGCGCACATCTGCAAATTCCTTCGTTTCGCATTAAGAGTTTCCCTGCTAGACTTAAAGATGGTTATCGTTAAATGCATCAAAAATTATTTTCCACTTTATAAAATACATCTAACATTTTTTTTAATGGTATTCCACATTGTCTCCACAAGTAGTTCTTTGTAATTTTCACTGCTTTCTTTCTTCGTATTCCACGCCCAATATTTCAGGATTAGGTTTAGTTGCTCTAAACTTGTAGTTTTTAAAAGCTCGTATTTATTTGCCTTGCATCATTCCGTTAGCTGTTTCCATATTGACGTACGGATTTTAACGGTATTGTACCGTAAACTTGTCTCAATCACCAGATCAATATTAGTCAAAGAATCGCTTCTTAAGCTACTCATTCTCACTACATAAGCCGCTATCACTGTTTAAAAACAATATTACAAAATTTATTGCCAATAAAATCAGAAAAATTTTGCGTCGTTTTTTGGTGCCTAGAAGACCATAATTCCATAATTATTACTTGTTATTAAAGGTATTGTAAATTTTGGTGACAACAGCTGTCAAAATTGCGCGTTTGTGATTGGTAGAAATAAAGACGAGGAAAATAGTCAGCCAAAACATTTTCTGTTTTAAGCAAGTTTGGTTATACTTGAAATGAACCTCACTTCGTTTTTACAGACGACACATCCTGTACTGTCAAATAGTTTTTGTTTTGGGATTAATTTTAGCTTAGCTGTATTAAACACTTATAAGTACGTTTAAAAGCCCGTAACGGGATTTACGATAATTTAATTGAATTTCATAACTTCCACAACTTTACACAACTTTCTGCTACTGTCAATGAGGGTGGAACTTTCGCGCTGTCACAAATTGTCTCCTTAAAGTGTATTTTGACAAATTTTCTAGCATTTAAAACTCCAAATGATTTGTCATATGCACACCGACTCGCCGCCAGGACTATTCATGAGAGTAATATATTATAGGGATTAGGACAAATCTCATTCGCAAAAGAATTTTTTTCAAGATGCTGGTGATAACTAGTGAAGGGTATGAATACAAGGGAACATACAATTACTATTTTTTATTGAAAAAATGTACAATAAAAACAGTGTCAACACGTCACGACTGGACGGCCAACATAACAAGAAGACATAGTACAACAATATGACCTGCACGATTTCCGGAAAAATGCAAGCTGGAGCTTTAAAAATTTAAATTTTATACTACTCTTACTTACTACCATTATATCCCTAATAAATATTCAGTATGTACAAGTTTTTATCACTTAACAGGAGCAAGCAGGCACGTTTAATATCCTAGCTTCTTCAGGGCCTTCAGGTCTACATCCTTGTAATAGTCCTCGCTAAAATATGCAAAATATCACGTCACTTTGAAGCTTCACTGTGTACAATACTCAGTATTAATTTAAATTACTTACTATACGATTATTTCTTTAACTAAATGTGTACAATGAATGATGCTATCTAGAAAATGATTTCTCTACAGGGCATTATAAAACAAATAAATAAAATTCAATGGTCGTTTCTCTATAGCGCTTTACTTAACTCTAAAATGAACCACAACTTTGTGTGACAGGAAAAAGTTTGTTCTTTGAAATGTTTTTTATAACTACACACATTATTTTGAAACAATGCCACATGAAGACTCAGAAGATGACCAGACAGTAAAGCATACATATACGAGACTATTGATATTAAATGTAGTAATGTGTAAACGGAAGCTTCAGAGTTACAATTTACCCTCCACTTCATGATGTAAGCAGTAATGTTTTAAATCTAGAATGAACTCACCCTCTTAATAACTATAATCTGATGAATGAAGTTAGTGTTTTCATCACATCATTTAGTCACATAAACAAATGAACTGCATGATTGGACATTTACTGGAACTATTTTTTAATATAAATACATACTACTATAGTAATATACGAGTACTAGCAATAATCTTCCACACTGATTTCACCTGGTTATTTATAGAAGGTTCCACAAGACTAAAAATATGACAAATTATTTTGTAGCTCCCAGTTTTATAATATTACACGATTTAGTTCAGTAACAAGATAGAAATGTCAACTTGAAATTTTTTCTAATCTCAAATAGCTTATTTGGCCAATTTCCCATAACCGTCAGTTATCTAAATAGCCTGCCCTGAAGACGATATCCTTACTTATTTCATATGAGTTTTTCACGTAACCACCAAAAACCGTGAAAAAAGCTGAACTCCAATTAGCTCACAGAAACAAATGAACTGCATGATTGGACATTTATGGGAACTATTTTTTAATATAAATAGATACTACTATAGTGATATACGAGTACTAGCAATAATCTTCCACACTGATTCCACCTGGTTATTTTATAGAAGGTTCCACAAGACTCAAAATATGACAAATTATTTTGTAGCTCCCAGTTTTACTTCACTGTATCCAAGACTTTTTCTCGAGATAAGCATCATTTTAAAAACAGTGCGAACTCACTTTGTATCAATATAAAAATATTTTGTATTTGTTGGCATTGCAAGACTATGTAAAATGATTTTAACTTGATGATTCTCTTTGGAATTGCGCTGTAGGCGACGATAAAAAATGGCAATGCCAATCCTCAGCCTTTTGGAGTCTTATTTTTTTTGTTAATATTGCTTATTTTGCATAAATTCTCCAGTAAATATGATTATTAATATCTATTAATCAATTTTTATGATAAATATTCTTATAAATGTCCTTATATAACATCAATATAAGATTACAGTGCTCCAGGGAGATGTGTTTGTAGTAAAATAATTTAGGACAAAAGCCTTATAGCAGTTTGTGAAAATAAGTGAATGGAAAAAAATAACTACTTATCTTGAAAGGGGTGTTTGAAAAACATATTTCGTTCATATCGAACTATTTAATAATAACAATAATCGTCTTTATTGACCTTGATATGAGTGAGACTTTTAGCTTCAGCTAATCCACCAAATAGCTCAAAAAAATAAAAATGAAATGTATGAACAAAGAAGACAGTAAAATTTAGCTGGAACCCTAAGAAATGCTTCGCCATATAGTTACAGTCAATCGGACCGTAAGTCATGTTTAGATGCATGTATAAAGTTTTAGAAGAAAATATGCTCATCAAATCTGTATTCAATATATATCTCTAACCTAAAATCATATCATTACGAAATATATGTAGTTGGGAGCTGCAGAACAATAAGTCAAATAATGTATCGTGGAATTAATAAATCCAAGAGTTATGAACTTCGGGATGCATGCATGATTATCTTTTTAATCGTTTTAATTACTGCTATTATATAGTAACAATAATAAGGAACCACTATTAGTAAACACACTATATACAACGTTCTAGATACCTTCACCTTGTAGAATAGAGTAGTGAAGAACTACATTGAAATGTTTGGATAAATGTGGGTGGATAAGTGTGGGTTGGGGAAATCAAATAGACAAGTTTTATGGAATTTTGTTTTATTATAAAATAAAAAAAATAGTTTTGTTCAGTTTTATATATAAAACGAACAGTGAACAGTTCTTGGATAATAAAAACATTATACAAATGCATAATAGTTGATTAGTGGAAGGAAAGGCGACTTCACCTAAAACTAGACTGTATTGAAGCTGGGTGTGCCTTTAAATAACTAGGGTATCCTTTCCTTGTACCAAACAACTTGATGTTTAACAGATAACTCTAAGGCAAAGAGAAATACTGGTTTACCTTTACGTAAAGATATCTTATAAAACGTGTTTTGATTTGTATAATAAATAATGAATTAACTAGGTACTTGCTTTCTACCTTGGTATATACATGCGGACCGTTCCTTAATATGTATCAGAATGTTTATAGTGGTAATTACGCGCTATAGTAATGCAAACAAAATGTAACACTGGTTGTACGAAAACGGTAACTGTATGGGAGCCTTAGATTTCGAAAGGAGGTGGTCATAAGTACACCAGTGATTCAGCTTTTCCTGTTTGTTATCGGTTTATAAGTGTTGGATTGGTATTACAAAAATGTATCCAAACCGCTCCAAATATTACATGAAGTATTTTTCATTTACCAGATAACATGTTTCTAAAGACATGATGAAGAATTGGATTGGTCTATGAATTGCATGCATTATTTTCAATGCTGTGAATTTAGTGTTGACATTTTTGAAAGTTTAATTTGATTGTTACTTGAACAGCTATTTTATATTTTTCAGTTACAAAAGTTCTAAGCCAAACTACTCTCAGTGAGTCAGAGGAATGAATGAGCATTGTCAAATAACAGGCAACAGTCAAAAATCTTGTAATAATGATTTGATACAAGTGGTTGTCTTCTCGCCATGACGCTACTCTCCAGTTTGAAGAAATAAAGGAGGAACTGATGCAACATTGTAATATTTGTCATATTCTTGAGAGTTGCACCATTCTTTTTTTAATCACCACTTCTACCTTAAAACACAACATCGTAAAATACAAAATTGTATTCAGCTTTTTGTGCTCGACTGCATCAAGAAAATAATTCGTACTATTCAACATTTCTGCCATAATCAAGGTCCAACATTGATCCTAGACGCCAGCTATTTTATTCTTGAACTCTATTTCGGTCCAAGGGGCAGCGACGAAACTAGTACATTTCAATCACGAAAATTTGAAAGTCCAAATGATCAAAACTAACTAATCTTAGACACTACTCAGTTGTTGCCCTGAGGTTCTGGGGCGTTCCTTGACGCAGGTGCTGGCCTAGGCTTCTTGGGAATGTTGGCGTTGGCATTGGTGTTACCTTTGTCCTTGTTCCTACCACCATCACTGCTTGCCAGACCAGCTAGCAATTCACTCTTCCTGATGCTCTTCAAATCCAGGTCACCGTAGTAGTCTTCGCTGTGAACGGAGAAAGTATGCTCTAATTTCTACACGCTTGGAATATTCTCTTAGAATGTTCCCTATTTCAACGCTTGGTTACCTACGCCTAGGTGGTAAATGCTTTATAGTGCGGTAATTAGAGTTTTATTTTTGGGTAAAAGTTATTGCAAATATCAAATGAGAAGAAAATATCAGCGCTGGGAAACATTAAATTGACTTTACTTGAAGCCAAAACCTAATAGTAGTTATACAAATAAAAAACTGTTGCGAATATATTAGAAAGAGATAAGAGAAGTAGCCCAAAACATGGCGTCCACAAAACAGCTGATGGCGTCTTAACACGTGTTGTTTTTATTTGGTTAGAGATAAATACGATGATGCTAGATTGTGATGTCAAATAGAATATATTCCTTTTGGATGGATGAGTCATTGTCCATCTAACTTGCAGTGAAAGCATGTTTTGTTCAATTTACGTTTGGTTGAACATTTATCATCTGTTTTCAGCTTAGAAAATATATTTTATATTGGATAAAGTTATAAATCACACTTCTAGCGAATGCCCTCCGCGTTATGTAAACAGGATTTATTGTAGCGTGAAAGTTATCACACAGCTATTTCACCTTTAGAACCTAACGGAGAATATTACACGATTTAGTTCAGTAACAAGCTAGAAATGTCAGCTTGAAATTTTTAATAATCTCAAATAGCTTATTTGGCCAATTTTCCATGGTTGTCAGTTATCTAAATAGCCTGTCCTTAAGTCGATATACTTACTTATTTCATATGACTCCAATTAGCTCAGTGTAATTTGGTAGCGTTTTATAAACATTTTATGTCAGTTAGGCAACACTGCCTCGGTAGATGCGGAGGCACTTATGGATGAAACGCCACGATCCTTGGCAGAATGCCCAAATTAAGGGCAGAGCGCTCATAGATCAAGAGACGACCGCAAAGTTTTGGTTGCCTATATCACGTACTGATATGTTAAAAACTAGCAAAATATTAGTGTAATAATAGTTTTTGATTAGTTTTTATCATACGATATCAGTACGCAATATAACCAAAAAATTTGCGGTCGGCTCCCATACTACTATAATGCAGAAGAAACCCAAGGTATTTCATGAAATATTTTCTCTTTCTATAACTACTCTTTGCCGAAATTTTATTTGCTCCTGGACGCGGAGGTCATGTAAGTAATACATGATTTATGTTTTAGAGTGGCAAGCATTCATTCTTTAAGTACGTTTGAATGTTTTTGCGTTGATGAAAGTCGATACCAGATTTTAATAATATAAGAATAACGTTTAGATACTATACATTCTTAAATCAAAAAATATTTTATGTAGACCTTTAGGTAGAAGTTTAAACTATATCACTGTCAGTACAGGTATGATTTCATAATTTCTGAATTACACTTCGTTAGATAAGATTGTGACATCTAATACTCGTATAGTATAGTATATATCCCAACTCAAGCAGAATTGAACAAGCATTCACCATAATGACGAAAGTACAGATACACTGACAAGTTAAAAATGAAGCTGAATTTGGACTCAACTATAGTAAAAAAGGAGCATCGTTCAAAGTAGATACCGAAATCATGCCAATAAAAGTACCTACTTCATATTCGAACTTATACAAAAAAACACATCTAACAACTTTGTTTTCCTTAAACTCATATTTGGCTCAGCTAAAGCACAATTTGGTATCAAATATTGATCATTTTCGCGACATCATTTTTAAGATGCCAGTGGATCGGTGGATTATAATATATAAATATACAGTAGCATTTTATTCGTTTGACATATAAAGACTATGTTTTCAACGCTTTCGTATATATTTTTAAAACTGAACAAAGTTGGCAGAAATACGCCATTATAATAAGAAAATAGTCCTAGTTAAAACTGTTCACCTGTTCTTGATGATAATAAACGTCAAATCGTTTAATTGCAAATGGAAAAGAGTTTGGTGTTTAGAAGTTGGAACTGGTGAGAAGAAAAGGACAGAGTTAATCCATACACCTGGTATACCATCGTCCTCCTTCTTAGTTTACATACAGTACGTTGAGTATAAAAGTGGGGTGTTATACGTTTATTAAATGTGTATGTCCGAACTCTCTTGGCACCAAAACTGACTGATTTTCTTTTTTTGCTCGAAGGGGAACTTAATCGTGAGTGTTTTTAGCTCTTCAGGCCGTTTATATCGGTGGTTTTTAAAATTTTCAATTTATACCTGTTAATAGTGTTAAGATGTAAATATACCAGAACTAGCCATATTTAATAAAAATGTCAAGTGATTTGAAAGGTTATGCTTAACGTGATCGATTCCTTCAGTCTCCTGACGTGTAGCTAGCACGTAACTGATTAGTGATAATAGATAATGTTATTATTCTCATCCATGATCAAAATTTTTGTGAATTCATACCAAAACTGGTCTCCTTGAGAGGAGCGTATTCCTTTAAAAATATTTGACAGCTTGCTTTTTGGTGCACGTGGTGATTTTTTTTTGATGGATCCAATACGTTGAACAGTATTAAATCTTGAGACTTTTATTTTGCTGAGACACGCAGTTAACTAAAATCATTAATTAACGTATTAGGTAGGTTAATGGACATAACTCATCGTGAATACAAGCCGACCCGTTATGGGATACGATTAACAGGTGATGATAGTATTAGGAACAGTAAAGAGTATTTAATTGTAATGGCAGTATTCTACCCTCCACATAATGTATCGACCATAACTACAGCAACAGTTACATTATTTTGTACCACCTTGCAGTTTTTTAATATGTAGTGTTTCATATAAAACGTACGTACGAACGTAATTAATTTATACTGCGTACTAAACGGTGCTTTTCTTAAAGGTTCCCCTTTTATTATTTTTTAAAGGGAAGTTAGCAAGCTGACATCGGGATGATGAAATTGATGCAAGAATACTATATTTTGGTGTAAAAGTCACAGTTCTAAATTTCAGGATGGAATATTTTTTAAAATGGTATGTGAGTCATATAATACCTCATTTTAATGCTCCTTATCAGTACTATATAGCCCTAGAAATAAATTTACCTATGTTTCAAAATGGTGGACTGGCGAACTGTCAAAGTCAAGCGCTATAATATGTTATATCAGTGTTCTTCTGAACAGTCCATCTGTATTTGCAGTAAAATATTGACGTTTTTGTAAAACGGGATGTTGCATATTTCATTACATATTCGAATATATCCTTCCAAAAGAAGAATATTGATATAACATGCTACATGCTATAGAGTTTTGATGAGTGGTTGTTGAGTTATAAGTGAGTACAAATCGCTCAGATTTGATTGGCTGACGGTCCACACTTTTGAAAGATAGTGAACTTATATTCTAGGGTTATCATATATCCATAAGGAGTTTCAAAATGAGGTAGGTATCACATCATCTCCTACTCAATAAAAATTACTTCAAGGTGACGGCCTGCCGCCATTCTGAAATTTGCATTTAACACTTTTACATGAAAAAAATCATCATCCAGAATTGTGCCTGCAAACTTGATCCATTCAATAAATAGAGAGGAGGGACCTTTGTAAAAAATACTGTCAAGCACAGTTTATTATAGTTTTTTATTATAAAAGTTATCGCGTTTGATAATGTTATAGTTTAACAGAAAAGAATTTAACATAATAAAGCATCTTATCGATAACTATTTTTTCTCTTCAGCTCAATGCCATTTCCTTTTGCTATTGTTGAAAATATTAACTTCAGACGGAAAAAGTGTATATTTTGTAAGCAGCTACTTTAATCGACCTATCAATTGTGGATCTGTGTAGCTTCAATTTTTCTCCTTTGAACATGTTAAAATTGGAGCAATTTACTTTTTATGGACTGTTACAGTTATGGCTAACACCGTACCTGTGTGAGAATAAGTGTAAGAAACTTTTGTTAATCGGTTATTCACAATGTAACGAAATAAACAGGTAGTACGAGTGACATTCAAAAAGAGAGAGCAGACACATGCGTTGTTATGTAAGTGAAATAAAGAGGTCTTGAGAGAAGTTACCTAAAAGAGACATGCCGATGCGTCGGTAATATTGGTCATTTTTGCAACATCGTCGGACCACTACATAACACTTAATAAGTTTGTACGGCGCAATTATACAACTGAGACATTTATAACCCAGGAGTCAAGACATTGAAATCTTCAAAAATGAAAAAAAATAGTTGGATCCTATATTTTGAAATTTGTATTATCAATATAAGTCAGATTATAGAGTACTTAGATACCCTGCAATGTAATTCCCCTATACTTATGTGTGATCCCATATCGATAGTTTTGGAGATATTTCCGCTTATACGGAATTTTGGGATTTTGAAGTTGACAGCTAAGCTATTAGGCCAAGGTTGTCAATTTTTTTTTGAAAAAGTGCAATAATAGCCTTTCTTGGTCATTATATTGTTTTGGCTCAGGTTATATAGAAATTGAGGTAAAAAATGTTGGTTTAAGTTTTGATGTCAACATTTATGGAAGTCTAATTAAGCTCAAAATTCTTAATCTGTTCTACTTCATCGCACACGCCATATTCGGACAGTAAGGCTTTACCTTTCTGTTTCCTCAAGTTAAAATAAACAAAATAATCTATATTTGACATAGAAATTGAGGGAAAAAATGTTGGTTTAAGTTTTGATGTCAACATTTATGGAAGTCTAATTAAGCTCAAAATTCATAAGCTGTTCTACTTCATCGCACATGCCATATTCGGACAGTAAGGCTTTACCTTTCTGTTTCCTCAAGTAAAAATAAACAAAATAATCTATATTTGACAGTTGTAGTGCTTAGTAGGCCACGGAAATAATAAATAGACAGTTGTGTGAGTGTTGTTACTCGAGGGCTCTACGAGAACGCAATACTGTAGAAATTTTGTCAGTTATAGAGCAGGCGAATGCACGCTTGCGAATCTAACCCAATCTCAGAAAATTTATTGCGTTTACTATGAAATTTAGTCAAACGTTTTGTGTGGGAAAATCGTCAAGAGCGCCTCACGTAATTAAAGGACGCCCTCCTACCCCTACCGGATCGCGTTCCGGTACAACACGTAGGATAGACCTTCAAGCCTCTGCTTAATCATACCCATATAAAAACCTCGAGGTCATAAACACGTTTGTTATACAGTGTTATTCAACAGGTATTGGATCTACTTACTTTTTGAATGGGATAAGTTAATGTGCTAAAATTTGGGGTTATGAAATTGATACATAAATACTGTATTTTGATGTAAAAATGTTCCTATATGGCGCCCGGACGTCAATTGGACCGCCATTCACATCCCAAATTTTCGGCTTGTTAATTTGACTCATCCAAAAAATAACTACGTCGCACCTTTTTGAAAAGCACAGTATGTATAGCCTTTTATTCAGGCACAAGCAGCGGAAATTTTGAGATTAAATCTTTTGGAATATCATATGCATTATGAAAATCTATGACATTTATTTCCGTATATCTATCATTATATCAATTTGTCGGTCCTTTGTATTCACGCAACCGTTGTGGAACCTCGAGAAATTATATGGTATGGTGCCATAGTACACAATATTGCTTTATTTTCGAAAATCTGTACAGTTGCCATGAAGTTATCAGTATTTTGGTGAGGTAGACGTTTTGAAAGTTCTTCAAAGCATTCCCTCTCACCGTTTTTCAAGCGTTTGGACAAAATTGTTGTTTTCAGACATCTTTGTGCTAACTATATTCTATACTGGTCTTTGTTATGTAGCTTCTATTAACAGCTTTAATAAACTTTAATATTGTTCATATAAATATATAATTTTTTATTCAGTCCCATATTTTTCTACGTAACATTGTATTATAATATAGATACAAAATATCTTACCATCTAGTCTAAAGCACAAAGTCATACTTAATATTTGACCAGTGCTATACTATAGCTAACCAACGATGTTGCAAAGACCTCTGTTGCCCTAACCCCCACCAAAACTCACCATCCAGGTACATCCTCTGGGTCCTCGCAGTTTCCGGTACCATCAGCATCGCCGATCTTAAACACCGTGCCAATGGGGCAGCCGTATTCTCTCGCCTGTCCCTCAAGACAGATGTAGTACTTACGGCAGTCCTCTGGATGGGCGTGTCTGCTGAAACTTCCGGAGTTGGTGACTTCCCCTGCGGCAGGGCACGAGAAACCGCCTGCAACTTCTGAAAAGTGAGAGAGAGAACGGTGGGATGATGAGACATGAGGTGATGATGATGAGATGTCACTGGCGTCGCAGTTGGTGTCATCGTCGATCGCAGATCGTTGTTATGATGCCCAATATTGGTTGATTGTGAAAAAGCTTGCTAAATTCAAGTGCCGGTAAAAAATAATTTATCCGATTTTGTTTTATTGGGTTTCAAGTTAATTTTACAGATAAGATGAAAACACATTTCCATTGTTACTTTTCAAGTTCATCAAACATATGGCGTAGATACTTAAATTCAGTAAGACGTATCTTTTCCTGAAAAACTTTATCGTATACTTAATTTTTAGTGATACTATTTTTATTTCAAAATGCAAGTCCAGCCTAAATTACGTTTTGTGTATCCATAATTTCAAATGATTCAAGAAAACCAGATTCCTCAAAATCATTTTTTTGTATTTTTTGCCAAACAGTTTAAATTCGTGAAAGGATATCTTACTGCTAGCGACTTCATGTGATAGGTGACGCAACTTTCTGCTCATTCATCCAACATTGTAACTCTAACCTTTCCAGCCAGTTAGTGCTTTTCAATATTTTTCTTGAACACACTTAGAAACATCTTTAATGACAGATAACAAAGTGAAAGAGCCTTAAATGAGCATTCTGTTTTAGAAGGCTTAGATTTTATCATTGAATAAGGTATTCAACTTGACATTTTTCGTATTATTTCTAGTGCGAGTATGCTATAAACAGTCAAAAATATAACTTATTCATCAATAATCATTTTATATGCAAACTAGCTATTAGCTAAAATATATGTACATGATGTTTGTATACCAAATATTTACAATATGTACAAGTATCTAAGGTGCTTCTTTAAATAGAGCTCATTGGATATTCTTGGATTCACTCACCTAACTGAAACAAAACAGTTACTAATCTGATCTAAAAATTAAAAGATTTAATATAATTATGATACCCATCGATTTTAATTTTTGCTGAAGTAAATATTCACATTAAATATCATTATTAATAGATTACCTACTATTCCTATAAGTTTAATTGAAGAGTACAAGTATTAATGTATGTAAACAATAATCAGTATGATTCATATAATGCACTTTAACATATCTTTATCATCATGATGAGCTTATTTGAATGCATAGGTGAATTACGTCCATAAGGCCCAAATCACCAGATAGCAAAAGTAAAAGCAACCAAAAGAAGAAAAGAAGACAGTTAAAGTAAGGAAAGAATGTTTTTGATGAGTTTATAATTAATTATTGGTATATTAAATAAAACATGCAAGTGGTAAAATTGTTATTTACAATATACAAATATACAACAAAGACCATACGCAGATTTTGCCATTAATCAGTCTTTCATTACTTATTTACAATATTGGTTTGGCTATTTTGTTTAAGTAAGGTATTAATGATTTTTTTAAGTGAACGTGGTCATATAAAATACTTTCTTACACCGATACACTGTCTCAGTCTTCAGCGACACATGAGATGGATGTTGTGACATGATTGTAAACAAAACTGGTAATTGATGACAAAAATGTAATGTTTTACAAAACTGAATTGACAATGACAAATGCGCTATGTGTGATGTAAAATGATACTGTTACCATTACAGTAGGTACATGAATTAACAAATGAACTAAAGAACACGAGAATGAAATAATGATAATGGAAAAGGTAATGTGGGATACAGTTATTCTTTTATATTAATTTATATTTAGAATATAAATATGCACATATACGAGGCAGAAACAAAGCATAGGAGAAGAGTTTATAATGATGGTATTAAAATAAAAGTGGCTCAGCAACTATATGGATTTTTTAAGCAAATTTGAGCGGCAGGTTTGAAGTTAAGTAATTTTTAATAAATTCATTATCAACGCGATGGCCCCAGAATTCTAGCTATTGGGTTGGAGCTGTAATATCTGGAATCACATTAGGAACCCATGGAGGGATCAGAGCATACATCCTACAACCGGTAGTGTCCAGAGTAAAGCTTGTACACATTGTTATGCCTCTATAAAGTCGTATCATAAAAACTTTATGAAATATAGGGTATCCTCAAAGCTTGGACTTTCCTTTACACGGCGTAGTAGCGTTTTTTCTAGTAACATATACATCAAAGTCTTGATAATCAATCAAACCTAAACAAAACCGTAATCCGTCCAGCACCTCGATCAGATCAAACGTGAACACGTACGATGCGGATCAGTACTGAATCCAGGCGCTGGTTGTGTTTGCAAATAAAACCATTACACAATTACATATTGATTTTATAAAAAAAATGGAACACCTTACAACAATATCGGAGTTGTTCATATTACTTTAATGTCTTCATATTGCTACCGAGGCTTCGCTTCATGTTCGATCTTAAGGATCCTTGATTTCTTCCTTTGTTTGAGGCGGTATGACATGTGTAGTGTATCAAACACATACATGTATCCGTGAATATATCGCAGACAAATTTGAATAATACTAGTGACTAGTGACAGAACTGTACTTGAAATTTCTTGTCTATAATCCGTGAATACTTTTTAATTTTTTTTAATTTTTTGCTGTTTCATCACACATTAGCTTTGTTATTATAATACAAACGTAGTTGTTTCTGCAAAGGAGAGTCACAACTTTCAGGGCACCCTGTATAGGCACACACTTTCAAGCTCAATGATTTAATAAAAGCAGCGTTAAATTACAATGGCTATCATATTCCAACTTACAACTAAGCTAATGCAGTTTATTAATCTCCTAGATAGCTATTAGTAAAGCGTAATTCAATAGCTATTGAACGCTACAAGAATTCCACTTCTAAATTAATGGCTTTCTATTTCTTACACAGTTAATTACCAGGTGACTCGTTAGTAAACATGCGCTATTTCATGCCAATTAATTTTTATCTCGATGATAGTGTGTTTGAAGTGATAGAAAATGATGCGAGTCAATGATTTTTACGATTTTATAAACGATATTGTGAATGTATTAGATTTGGCTACACGATGAGCATTTATGAATCGATGTATGTTCAGTGACAGCTGTTTTTTAGTTTTATAAAGCTATTCCTTGAACATTTGAAACAGAAAGTAATATAATAATCTGATGGTTATTTTCTTTTATGCTTTGGAAGTCACAAGAAATGATCAAGAATTGACAAGCAAGTGAAAAAGGGAAGGAATTGAATATGTCTCATGTTGCGGTACTTAACTAGAAAAAGCTTTACATTCTTATTTTACAACAAATCAGAGTTATACACTCATTTATTTTATTTGATTATAATCATTGTTAAATCAAAAAAAGCTGTAGTGACCCTTCCTTAATTATTTACAACAGCTCATCCCCATATTCTCCAAGACGCCATGAGTAATATGTTTGCAACTTCTTTGTTACATTTACTCCGCTTAGCAGCACATATACTATGCGATACGAAAATTTTGTAGGCCATGATGAGGATATATAGAAAAGTCAAGGTCAAGGTCAGTTGCATTTTTTACACAGTTTCATGCATTTCTAGTTCTACGGTCGTAGATAGATTGATTTGAACTTACCTGGTACTGACCTATTATTTACAAAAATACAGTAACATGCTGAGAAGGTTGCTACACCATTGTTTCAGAGGTTATGCCCTAATAGCATATGCAACCGGTGACTTTTAATATTTTTTATGTATGAATAAAATATAAGCTTTACGCTATATTTCCTACGATACTTCAGCACATTTTGACGTCTGCGTGTGCAGGTATATTACTGCCGACAATGGTGAATGTAGTGCAATTCAGTAGCGATTCCAGCTAATATTGATTAAAACTAATTTAATTCGTAGCTGACTTGACTGTGGTCATAATCGTTAGCAGCCATATCGACTGGTTCGTTCTAATTATATACCGAAACTTCTCTAAGTGCTTTATGCAAAACAAATCACACTAAAGCGTCGGCGTTGCTAGAAGGTACGAACCAGCAGTAGATACACATAAACGTTTTGACTTGCTGAAGCATTGTGATAATAGTGTATATATAGTTTCATTACATGCACATGCGCGCACACCTCCATGCAAAACTGACCTTCTGATTTGCACTCTGGTACCTGGTCGGCCCACATGCATACTCTAGCTTCACGGTCGTAGGCTAAGCCGGGCGAACATTGGTAGCGAGAAGCTTCACCGTTCCAACAGTTCCAGAATACGTCGCATTTCTGGGCATCCGGGAAGATACCGTATAACCTTTCACAGTGAGGCGCTGAGATTGGCGGTTCTGAAAAAAATATATACACGAATTAATTTAGTTCATTATTTCCTTAGGTAGCAATAGGCTTGGTCTTTGTGGGTCATTTCTCTATTGTTAAAGGTCGCTAACATTTACGTATAATTTCGTCAAAAGCTTGCTAAATCTGCTTAACCTGCAAAAAACCTTTAAGAGGAATAAACATCTATCACATCTCGTCGGTGTCAAAAAAACAATATTTTGTTAGGTTAGGAAATTAAAACTCCGTAGGATGTCAGCGCTTTGAGTCGGATGGATTTAAGAAAGTTCTACAGACTTTGGTTTAGTCCGTACTTCATAGTGTCCCCAGTCCAGACACACATTTTCGGCAAAGTTTGCTTGATACGAATATAAGGGAAATCAATTGTTTCAATAATTTGCTATTACCTGGAACCTGGTTTTGGTAAAGTTTGAAATTCGTTTCATAGACTTTGCCGTGCTATTTTCTCTTTGCCACTTCACTGCGCACCGTTGCGAAATTCATGCCTAAACAAGTGTTTTGGCGGTATGGGATGGACCGAGTACTACTTTTTTCCAAAGGCCGATTACCGTGACCGATTTGCTGTGGGTTATTTCACCTACTGTTAATGACATTAAGATTATATATGCGTTTTTGAACGGTTCCCTCATTCTTAAAATTGATTTAATTTTCCACGAAATTAATGCGCCACAATTGTGCAGCTTATATAATTTTTGTGAGTAAACCGTCGCAGAAGTATTTGCGGTATTTTTCAGAAGTTTTGATCCCTCAAATATATAAAGAGTCTCAATATAGCTAGTCATGTATTTTTCACTGTGGAATTCAGCAGTTAAATTTGAAACCATATTTTGACATTATATTTTATGCATAATTGTGTTTATATACTTTTCATTCCCTCCTATTACAATAGAGGCGCATTTCTACGATATTTAAAAGCTATCTGCTCGACGTAAATTTTTGTTAATGATTGCCTAATAGGATCGTCATGAAATCGCCATCACGATCTGGAATTAAATAATCTAGATTTCTGGGCTAGCTTTCGGATGAGGTTACAAAAGAAACTAAGCTGCTGGATGTCGTGGAGGCACCAGTTTAGATTCGAGAAGGACTAAACCTAAATTATACTACGGTACGTATGAGTAAAGAGTTTCTTAGCAGAAATGCGGGACATTCGTCATTGCTGCTCCTTTTCGAATATCTCGTTTTGTAGCTTTTGTTGTTTTTTTTACTATAGTAGCTGCTCCATGAATGAAAACATGTTGTATATAGAAAATAAGCTACGCAAATACCGTAAATACACTAACTTACTGGAGAAGATGGTCGATATTTACTAAAGAATCTTCGAAATAATGTATGCTATAACCTTGGTTATTTTTTGACGGGTTGCTAATTTCTTGGAGAACATAAAGGCATATGAGCTCACATTTTGCTTATCACATGTACAATTTTTGGATTCAGAAAATTTATGTCTTGCGTTCAGATCGAGTAATTACCCGGCAGAGTCAAACCGGGTACTCGGTAAAATGGGCCGAGCCTGCCGAGTACCGGGTACAAACAGAGTACTCGGTGTATTCTTAATCTTTATTCAGAGCTTTTCTCCTATGAAAATTGTTCTATGATAAATTGAACTACAGAGCATTTTCTACACTTTGTAACTGTTTTGAGTTGGATTTTTTTTATGTATATCGATGCAGCCGCGAAGGCAGAAGCCTAAATGCTGGAACACCGCAGCAGCTGTGATGCTCCCAAAGAAATTTTGTTAATACGATTTTTGAACTGCCTAAGGTTAGTAGAACTGGGAAAAGCTTCCTCTTGTAGATTGTTCCACAATCTCGACACCCTCGGAACAAAGGAGCGGTCGTATCGGCCAGTTCTGGATGTGTAGAAAAGAGCTAGATCGCCGACGGCCCGCCGGTGCGAAAGAGTCCCGAGACTGTCTGTTAGAGAAGAGTCATCGATCAGTCGGATCGCCCTCCTCTGGACAGCATCGAGCATGGATAGTTGGTAGTTGGGGCGGCAGCACACCAAACGTGTGAGCAATACTCGAGGCTAGGCCTTGTCTGGGCTTTGTATAGAGTGAGAAGGTCATGCGGAGAAAAGTACTTATTAGCCCTAAACAAATAGCCTAGCATTTTCCCAGCAGCTGCAGCTATTGACGAAATGTGTTCGTGCCAGATCAGGTGATCTGGACGCCGACCAGCCGAAATCAATGACAATTTGGCAGAACTCGGCTATCCATCGAAACCGGATGAGCGCTAGGACGCTTTTTGTTCGTCAAAGTACAGTACTATGTTTTGGAAGCACTGAACTGTACAAGATTGTTGCGTCCCCAAGCAGTGATAGCCTCCTGGTCTTTTGTCAGACAGGAAGTCGTCGCTAGTCTTCTTCTTTCCAGCTCAGCGGCAGAGATAGGCTTGTCACTCTGAATTCCTACATGTAGAGTGCTGTCGTCAGCGAAGCTGTGGATTGGATTGATCGTGCAGGAAAGGAGGTCGTTGATATGTAAGAGAAACAGTGTCGGAGCCAAGACCGATCCCTGGGGAACACCCGCGTTGACGTTGTGGGATGAAGAGGAGAACCCGTCAATTACGACAGATATCTTGCGGCCAGAGATAAAGTCAGTCACCCACCTGAAAAGCTTTTCTGGGAGGCCATAGGATGAAAGTTTGCTCAAGAGGGCAGCGTGCCACAGCTGATCGAACGCTTTCGCCAAGAACAACGAGATGAGCCTCACCATAAGACTGGATGAGTTTACTCCACAGTTGCGTGACGTAAGCTATTAGGTCCCCTGTGGTCTTAGATCCTTTTTTGGGATGGGTTGGACATGATCAAATTTCCAGTTTTCTGGGAAGGTGCCAGATTCATAAGACATCTGGAAGAGACGCGAAAGAACTGGAGCAAGCTCCGCTGCACACCTCTTCAGTACAATGGTAGGAATCAAGTCCGGACCAGAAGCTTTGTTGATGTCGAGCGACAAGAGCACTCGTCTTACGGTCTTATGCCTGAATGTTACCTCCCGCATAGTGTAGGCAACCCTTTGAATTGACGACACTTAGGCGTTGGTGGGGGGGGGGACGTCCATGGTGGAGTTGGCAACAAAGATCTTGACTAGCACTTCCGCCTTGACCTTTGCGTCGAATATAATCGTTCCGTCCTGTCACGTAAGTGGTGGAAGGCTACTGTGTGAGAAATTCTTTTCAATCTGTTTGGCCAGCGTCCAGAAAGACCGACTGCCATTGCGCCTGCGACATTACCCTGTGCCTAACTTTTATATCGTGCTGGTTTTTGGTATTGCGAACCACTTCGTTATATTTGTTTCTGGACTCGACGCCGGCTTGTCTGTTCTCTACAGTGGGGTTTTGTAAGAAGGTTCTGTGTGCCTTGATCGTCTGCTGGCGAGCAGTGTCACACGATTTGTTAAGCCAGTCGTTGGACCCTGGTTTAGGCACTTTCACTGTGTGAGGGATGTATTCCTCCATTCAGACGTGGATAATTTTGGTTATAGAAGAACAGACAGCCGACGCATCCGCGTCAGTGAAACAGACATCTCTCCAAGGAAAGCCAGAGAAGAAGTCTCTGAGCAATTCCCAGTCGGAATGTCCGTAATGCCAAGTTTTGCGGCCTGTACGAGTTTTCGCTGCCACAGCGGGTTCCGGGACCGAAACCTAACCTCCACAACACCCTGGTCTGAGTTACCCAGGCGGGACAGCATGCGTGGTCAGGAAGAGATCCAGCAGGCTACTTGTGTGTGACGAGACGCGGGGGAAAAAGCAGGGCTCGTGACCAGCTGGGTCAGCCCTTGTGTAAAAGCGAACACTTCGACTGCACGACCTGCTGCATCGGTCTTGTTTGAGCACAATCATAGCTCATTATGGGCATTGAAATCACCGAGAAAAACTACCTCTGAAGCGGGATGGCTTGGATTCACAAAAAAGTATTCTAATTATTATTTGCGCAACTGTTTATTTTGAAAGCGCTTCCTTTTTGTGCAACAAGTGGCATAAGTACAAGCCATGGCTATTGTTCAAAGCTGCATTGGAAATTGATGTTTTTACGACGTATGCTCATGTTAGAGTGAGTGACAACTTGGTGGCGCCCGGACGCAGAAACAATGTGGCAGCGTGAGCGAAAAAGATGTGAGGTGGAAAAATGAAAATTCAGAAAGAGCATATTGTAATACGTAAGGTCATCGAATTTTCTACACTCTTTTAAAACTTTTCGGAAAGCCCCATTTTTGAGTAGATACTAGAGTGATTGAACTACAGATCAAATAGTCACGTCAGGATATTACGGATGTAAATTGTAATGACACCGTGAGTTTCATCACGCATTAAAAACGGTTTTAGGACATAATTGAAATAGAATAAATTGGGGTTATGGGCCCAGAGCGAATTTTATTGTAAATGGTCCAAAACACAAAAGCGTATATTTCCATGGCCCCCGAAATTGAATTGAGAAGCAAGCTTACTGAGTTTGCTAATCAGCAGCTTTTGTACGTGATAAGTGATAAGGGTTTGATGTAAGATGAATAGAATTGAACACTTTTATTTTTAGGGAATTTATAGAAGTGAAAGATGTAATGGTAAATATATACATATATTATTCGCCTTCATCGGAATAATGTTGCAAAACCGACACGGACAATAAGTATTCGGCGGCTGATTTTATTGTATCTTGACATTGTCCATACTCTAGGTACAAAATAATTTTCATAACTTGAGCACAACAATCGACCGTTCCAGATCATTTTCTAATTGACGGCAATATTCAAGAATAGTCTTTGAATAAAGTAGTTCTGGAAGCAAGTTAGTATCATACGATTTCTATATACCACCCTGCTGGTTATTAGCAGTTTAAATTGATTTTTCCTTTATCATATCTGGATTCAGTGTCCAAAAAATATGAGAGTCATCACCGTTCTTGAATATCTACGTTTGACCCAAAATTGGCATCCGTCTTTGCTTTCAATTTAAATAACATTTTAACTGAGCACAGTACTTAAACCTAACTGTTCATTTGATACTGACTACAGGTCCATGTCTTAACTTCAAAGGAGCTTTATGCTGAACAGTCCTCCACTTTCAAGATAAAATAGTTTCTGGATTGACGTATATGTATTTCGCTTTCTGGCTAATTTTCCATCTACTAGCAGCAATTAACTTCAATGATTTTTTCAACTTATCTTGGTACTCACCTAATTGTGACCTATCACCGCAATCCACATTGTGTATGTAGTCGCAGTTCTCTGTGAGGAACTTGGGATCACTTGCGTCAAACGCCAGACCATTACCGCATGTCTTCAGTTCTGCGGCGTTGTTGTCACACTTCCAGTATTTGTCGCAGGAGATGTGATGTGGGTAGAATCCAAAGTCGTCCGGACATTTGAAGTTCTCCTGTGCTTTCACTGTAAAATGAATTACAATTTAATATGCATCTAGTGTAAGCCAGACCTATGTCGTTATAAAATATCAGGAATAGGTACCGTAAACTTGGGTTAAATTGTTCCATTTTTGAACTTTACACTGTGATAAGTTTTATACCAAATGATATTAATTTTTGTTTCCAGTCGCGTTTTATGGGTTTGTATTAGTACTTTGAACTTTGAAATGGAGAAGGAGCTAAACTCATTCTAAATATATATTTTTTTAAAAAACCTGGGTGGCCAAAGTCAGAAGACGAAGTTGGGTTACTTTGGCCACATGTTGTTTTATTTAGAAAACGCAAATACACGCCATAGCATGGGTTAGTTTGGCCATGAAAAAAATAGCCAAGTATGTTTGAAGTTTTTTTTGAGGGTTTCTAAATAAAAAATACTTATAACATATATTTTTTTGTTTTATATATAAAATTTGTAAACAGATTTAAAGAAGTGCTTTAAACTTAATTTAAACGCAAATAAGATAGGCAATAAATCCTTTGACAAAATTTAAAAAAACAAATTCTTTTTTAAAATTTAAAAGAAACACACAAATTCTTTGGTAAAATAAGAAAAAACAAAAAATTCTTTCGAAGAGAAATTAATAATAAAAAATAACACGGTTAACCTGAATTATAATTTTCCACTTCTGGAATTTTAAAGAAACCTATTTTGGACGGAATAGGTGTCTCTATGACCTGTAAAATGTCTTCCTCCTCGTACCAGATGATCTCATCTTTACTCGGCCACTTCCACTGCAACAAACCACTAGATGTTAAGGATTTTATTTTGTATTGCTTCTTATCTTGTTTTGTTTCAATAACTTGCCCAGGATAAATATGTTTTTCATATAAAAACAGGACCAACTGCCCAATTTTTATTTCATTCCTTCCTTTGCATGTGTTGCTTTCGCTTGTATTTTCTTGTGTGAATTTAGTCTCACTTTCAATGTCATCGTCAGGCTCTCCCTCCGATTGAAGTGACATAGCAACAGAGCTTTCGGAATCACTAGAAATTATTGTTCTAGTTTTTTGTTGCGGTTTAAAATGTTTTGTTTAACACCACTAGGTCCTGCAACTGGTTCGTTTTGGCAATTTGGGATTGAAATGCTCTTTCCTGTTGTTATGTTAAGCTTTTTTTCCCTTGTAGTTTGTTCTGCTGGACCGGAAAATCTTCTTTCTTCAAGTAGTTCGATGACAGCGGCACTAACATTTGTCTGGACACAGGGATCGATATTATCATTTGATGGTATTCGCTCCAATATTTTCATTCGGTTTAGAGGGTAAGTTCCTGCCTTTTCGAAACCGCTTATTAAATTATCTTTTTCTGATTCTAATAATAAGTCTGTCACTAATTTAAGTAAATGCGGAAAATCTGATTTTGGAATTGTCTTATTAGCTGCACTAAGTTTGTAATCCGTTATGATGTGCATCCATTTCATTTTAAGCTGCCGAAAATATGCGATGTCAAGTGGTTGACTGAGATGTGTGGTGTTAGGTGGTAAACAAATCAATTTGTCATATTGGGAACATAGGTTTATGACATGCACACTTAGATGCGAAGAGAGGTTATCGCCAATCAGCACTTTGGGTCTCTCTAAACGCTTTAAAGCGAACTAAATGTTCAAACCAGTCTTCGAATAGATGGCCCTCAAACCACCCGCTTTTGAGCGATTATAACGTGTACCATCTGGTCCTCCCTCCATCCATGTATCATACATATTTTTTGCCTTATAAACAACATAAGGTGGCAAAACTGTGCCTACAGCATTTTCACAAAACATTACACTTGTAGATTGTTCAGGATGCGCTCAGAATATTTGCAGCCCCGTTTTGTTAAAACTTTTTTATTACCTGGGTCATCGGATAAGTTGGACTCGTGATTCCAAATATTTATCGGTGGAATCCCCCTTAATTCCTCTTCTAAATGGTCAAAGTATTTATTAATAACGGCAGATGAAACGCCGGCCCGAACGGATTTTATATTTGCAACAAACCTTTGTGTCACTGCTGGATGTCTTTTTAAAAATAGTCTTACCCATTCACTACCAGGAAGATTATTTGTAAATTTGCTTATAACTACACCCTTTCGATCTAGATAGCACTTCATAAGTTTTCTTAAATCTAGGGAATCTAGAGGAAAACGATATGACGATGTTAAATAGATTTGCTTCAATTTTTTATTCTTCCTCCACTGACAACACGGTCTGGCCACCTGCAGGTCTATTGTCCACTCCCTTCAGCTTATTCTGCAATCTCGTAGAACATTGTCTTTGTGATATTACTCCCGATCTAATCAGTCGAAGTGCCTCTTCTAGTTGTGCTGTGGTATAATTGCTGTAATTCCTGCTCCCTATGACTCTTTTGTAGCCACCCATTTTCCCTAGAGATGTATGCGAAAAAAACACACTTGTTACCGGTCGGAAACAACGCAAACATGTGATGGCCAAAGTCAGACCAATACTAACGAATAATGTATTGGCGACTTTGGCCGTCCTCTATCGGCAACCCCTGAAAGTTCAAGTTTACTCACTTGGCTCATAAAGTTTCCTAAAGGTTGTATGATAGTATATTTTTTCATGAAAGTCATAGATGACGCCTCATTGTCAAGCTGCGCATAAAGTTTTTTTTCGTAAAAAAATCAGGTTTTTTTATAAATTTTCCTATTTAAATTTTTTCAGATACTTAAAATCAAATTATATTAGGTACGTATACATTTTTTTTCGAGTCCATTATAATCTATAGAATCATAAAAAAATGCTATTCCGCGCACAAGTATTATTATAACGTAATCGCGCGTAAATAAAACAAATCTTGAAAAATGGCCAAAGTCAACCCTGGTGGCCAAAGCCACCCAAGTTTACGGTATGAGGAACTCCTAAAACTTAAGATGGATTTCACCTGGCAGGAGGCTGAAAGTAACAAGATTGATAATAATAGGCGCAAAATATGTCCCCTCGAAATAAAATTCGACGGGTTTGAATAAATTTTTTCCCAAATACCATTTATGGGAAATTGACCTTGTTTTATTTTTACTAGCCTACCCTTTATGCTATTGTAAGCATAAACAGTTGGAGGCTCTAGGGTACATGAGAAATAGTAAAATATAAATATTCTATTTGTTGGTTGGAAATATGTTAAAAATTGTCAAATGCATGTTCCTCATGCAAGATGTTTGCTTATTTTTTCAGGTTATATTAGTTACTGGCTCGGACACTTAGATACATTTATTGAATACTCATTGCGCCTATGTTCCTATGCTGATCCATTATTTTGCAATATGGGTTATACATGCAGGCCGCTGCGTCTAAACATGAAAGGTATAGATTTAAAATATGAAGGGTCTTCGACTTTAAACGCTGGGACAGGTTTTTTTGTCAACAGCCTCGTTATCTTGATTAAGCCACTGTTTTGTGGTCGTCGGTGGAAAAGCATAGGAGCTTACTAAAAATTTCGTTGATTTGTAATCCGTCCCTTTTTCCTTATCCAGGCCATACTAATCTCACTAATCTGTGTAAAAAGCATATTGTGCACTGAAGAGCCTCGCATTCACCATTTCTGGCAAAAATTGCAATGATGATTCAGCAAAATTTTCACAATTTACAGCATTCCAGCCTAATGTTCCCATATATGAAGTTGTTCATTTAAACCTCAGATGCAATAAAATTCCTCTAGTAACCCTCCCTCTGAATGGGACTGAGTGCGTGACAAAATATACATCATGTTATAATAATACGTGTTCACCTTATTTGATAAATTTGCAATAGCTCGTTGGCGACTTCAATGATAGGTCAAAAAACAGTCTTTTTACCTGAAGGCTGTTTGTTTTTCAAGTTTTTGTAGGTACGTATATGGACAAGACACGAGGATTAATTCTATTTCATTTATGGCTATCGTCAAATGACTTGATAAATTTGACCATACGCAAAAGAGGTTGTTATATGGGCCTTAGCACCGCAAGGTTATGTTAAAATGTCATAAAATGAAAAATAAACAGATTTTCAGCGAAAATTTTCCCTTGGAATACCCATTCCACGGGCTGCAGCTTAAATAGCTTGATGGATTTTACATATGAGTCTTTACCGAGTCACTGGGTATATCTATTAAAATTTTATAAAACCTAAATGGCTGATTTTAAACGCTAATTTCAACTTCCAAGTTTATATAGATTTTGACATTTGATGTGTTCATAGATTTTTCTTGAATACAATTAAAAAACTTTATTCTTTTCAGTTACTGCAGTAGGGTTTTTTTTTGCTTTTTAAATGTACTTATTCTAACAATAGTTGCTCGACTATGTTCAGAAAAATTAATTATTAAGGCACATGGGACACTGTGAACAAAACTCATCTGTTCATAGAAGTTCCAGCATTCAACGATAAGAATATTGGGAATTCAGAGCTTATTGTTTGTCTTCACATGATTTCAAATTTCATATTTTGTTTTCTGAATATACCATATCCAAGAAGGTGTTAACTTTGACGTTAATTGATACTTGAGATGAATTTGTGGCCTTAAATTATAACGTATTTATATTGATATTACGGTGCTACGAGATTAGTGAAAGTTAAGTTATCCGAAAAAATGTATCTAATCGATTGCGATTTTTTGTCAGATCACAAGTCCTGACGCATCTCTCGTTAAAAAATCAGGTAAATTGCTTTGCTTTTAGTTACTTTAATTTCTTGTTCCAAGAATAAATGAGATATATACTGTATGCTACTACGACTTTTACAGAGATCCACACACTGTTTGGGAGAATAACTCTCAGCGAATGTTGCCATTTACATTTATCAGGATGTTCCTGCTGATAGTAACTATAGCATTGTTTAATTGGGTACCCAAACAACATCAAAATCTGAATTATGCAGGCGACAGACGTAAGATTGTTATGGGCGCGTAATCCGTGATATGGGTCACCCGGACGTCTTGAAACACTTAGATATCAAACTGACTTGAATTCGCTAAATTACATTAATTTCCAGCCTGTTGCTTTGGGAAGCAAAAAAGCAAAGACCAATGAAAATTTTATTGCAAAAAGGAGTGCAATCAAAAGTGTATCTATCTCCTATCGTTGTGTATTTGGTTCCGCATATACCTATGATCCATATTACATTAGCATGTCTATTTCTCCAAGAGCTATTTTTACCCGTGAATAACTGCAAATAAGAAAGAGTAGATCGGTTGCACAATAAATACCATCCAGTACCGAAGGTTAGCTGGTACGATTTTTTCAGCAACGCAGCGCGGCGACTATGTTATGCAGGTACATGACTGAAATGCATAGAGTATCATTTCCTAATAGGAATGATGGGTGTGTCTGTATATATGCAAAACTTTGGGAAATGCATTACAATTCAATGCTGTGACACCCACTTCTAGCTTTAAGACGTAATCTATACAGGTAACCTAGCAAATCAGGAAGAGTTTTTTCAACTATACCAGTGAGAGCGCAGTTAACTGTTTGTAAGCAAGTGTGATGCATTACGTGTAGACTTTTTGTTCTATTAGTTTTTCAATTTTTTACAGTTGCGGCATTCTAGGTTAGTCGATTTATACAGGGCAATTGAAATAGTGCCAATATTTTTAGAATAGGAGGTGTTTGTCAGTGCAGTAATTATGAGTTCCGCCTCAAACAAGCGAAAATCTGATAGACGAACTCGGGATACCGAATGAGGTCATCTCTACTGAGGCAAAATAGGATTTTTCTAGCTGAAACAAATTGCTCAAATCCAGTTTTGAAAATGCTGCGTTTTATCCTCGTTTTTTCGCTCATGCGTTGGAGAAAACCTATTTGAAATCCTTACATTGGAGAGAGAATTTGTTGAAATCGTTTCTACATACCTATTGCATAAGGAATCAACAAATAGGTGGGAATTGATTTTTATTCTGAACAACGTTATAAAGTGACCACACATTTTATGCCAAAACTATCAACGCCTCTAATGGTCTCAGGGTAAACGTTGGTTTCTTCATATTTGACCACCATGGCAGAGGTGGGGCCACATTCCAAGAATGCCACCCTAGGACTTAATAGTCATATTACGTCTCAGCTCTTGCTCAAAATTTGATGGCAGATCCATGTCTAGCTCATAGAAAAAATTAAAAATAGTTAAAATACCTATTTTGAGTGTTAGAGTATCGACATTTCGTTTAAATACATTCTTATGAAAATACCCCACTGGACCTTCGAACAAACCACCGCACATCCAAAATAATTCTTCCATAAGTGCTTTACTTAACATATAATGCCATTATGGTATACGAGAGCAAGTTAAGAAAATCATTTGTGAAAAACATATTTAAAGACAATCATCACACTTCACTTCTCTAGATTATGAACAAAAACTATGCAGGACATTTTCAAACATAATTTTGATATTATACGCGGATTTATGGAATGTTTATATAATACATACCTACTACTATCTAGTAGTGTACT